GTCACAACCCACATCTAACAATGACAACCACAAAAGCTCCCGGTGGGCTCCCCTGCCTCCTGCTCAGCCCGGAACCCCCCCCCCCCCCTTTTTGGGGGGGGGGGGGGGGAGCGAGGACGCACCTTCATCATCTCGGCGCTCATTTCCCGCATCGTGCCGGCGAGTTGCGGGAGCTGGACGAGGGCGTTGGACGCCTTCATAATGTCGGTCGACGCCTGGAGCGTGCCTGTCACCTTGACCATGGCTGCGTGTCACGTTCGAGTCAGTTCTCGCTGTCCTTGAGAGAGTGGCGCAGAGAGGGGGGGGAGGACGGACCGAGTTGGTGGCCGAGCTGCATGTTGATCGAGTTGAGCTGGGCCTTGGACGTCAACATGCGCTGCTTCTGGCGATTGCTGCGCACGACCTCCCTCGCGAGCAACTTGGCGTTCTTGGTGTCGCCCTTTTGCGCGAGGCGCTTGACGTCGCCCTTTACTTTGGTCGCGGCCGAGTCGAGGGCGTGGATCTCGCGGTCGAGCGCGCGCTGCTCCTTCTTGAGCTGCTGCTGCCACTTGCGGACTTTTTCTTGCGGCGTCGGGCCCCACAGGAAGCGGCTGACGGACTGCATCGCGGGTGCGGGTGCGGGGCGGGGGGTTGAGCGCGAGAGATGAGGATGGAGGAGGGGGGAGGGGGGCGAGGGTCGAGAGGTGAGTTGGGCGAGATGGGGGGAGCGGGTGGGCTTGAGGCGGGCGATGAGGGTGTGTGGTGGTGCTGCACCGACGAGCAGGTGCTCACAGCGAGAGCGAGGCTGTGGCTCTGGCGAGAGGGAGAGCGACGGTCCCAGGTGGAGCGGCGGCTTCGGGTCCGGCCCAGTCTCCCCTCTGCTCTCACCAACGAGCGAGAGCCATGCTCGACCTCGCACAACAGCGACCACCACCACCACCCTCTCGCGCCGAGCCGCCCCGCCTCGCCGTCGACGTGCGCCAACGCCGCCTCGTCGTCGCCGCCTTCTGGGCCGCCATCCTCGTCGGCCTCCCCCTGTGGTGGACCACGACCTCGCTCGAGCGCAAACCGCTCCCAGAGCACCGCATCCACGACTGGGCCGAGCGCTGGCACGAGCGGATACCTCGCGCGACGACGACCGCGGTGGGCGACTCGGCAGGTGCGTCGACTGGTCCTCTCCGTTGTCTGTGCGGCTCGACCAGAGCCTCGACTGACATGGATGACGGTTCCGAGGCACAGACGAAGCCGACTCGCGCGTCGTCAAGTACTCGCCGCACATCAAGCTCGTCTTCAGCCTCCTCAACCAGGACTCGGCCGCAGGCGGCGCCGTCCTGTCGTGGAACGCCCACGAGCTCCTCTCTCGTGCGTCCCCCTCTCCCTTCCTCGTGCATCTCGGCCCCCGTCGCGCCTGCCCGCCCGCAGACTGACGCACCCGTCGCGATGACCCGCGCAGGCCACATCCGCCCGCTCCTGTCGTCGCTCGCGCCGCTCCACAACTTTACGGTCGAAACCCAGGTGCAGTACTTTGCGCCTCTCGCGGTCCCTGTCCATCGCGAGCAAGGGCGCGAGGGGGCGCACGTCGAGGAGCACGACCTGCGCGCGTTTGTCAACAACGCCGCTTGGAACCTGGGTCCGTCCTCGCCCTCTCCCTCTCTCTCCTCGAAGACGCGCATGGAGTACGATGACTGACTCGCCTCTCTCGCTCTCGCAGCATCTGGCGACACGCTCGACCCTGTGCTGCACTTTCTCCTCTTTGTCCCGAGCCCGGAGAACCGGCCGCTCCGCATCCACGACTCGGGTGCGTCCTCCTTTCCCCCCCCCCCCCCCCTTCTCTCGAGCGACCGGGACTGACAGGGAAACCCTCTTTCAGACGGCGCAGAGACGACCCCCGGCCTTCATCACGCCCCAACGCGGCGGCGTCGTCATCCTGAACCCTCCCGCCTCCTCGCCGGCCGCACCTCCTCTCGCCCTCTCGCCCGCCGACTTTGCGCCCTCGTTCCGCCTCTTTGCCGCTCAGCTCCGCACCCTCCTCGGCGTCTCGCCTTCCCCTTCCCCTTCCCCTCTCGCGTCGCCCCGCACCGTCACCCCCACCACCACCGCCGAGCACGACGCCCTCGTGCGGCGCCGGCTGCGCGAGGCGGCGCACGACAGCGTCGACTCGCTCGAGGCGCTCGTGACGCTCGCGCGGCGGATCCCCAATATGCGCATCTCGCGCGAGGTGCAGGCCAGGGTCGGGCGCGCGCTCGAGGCCCTCGAGGCGGTGCGTCCCTCGTCCGCTCTCCCTCTCTTGGGCCTCGTCGTCCCGGCATGCGCGTCTCGCCACTCACGCACGCACTGACTCTTCTTGCCGTGGCGCTCGCGCACAGGCCTCGCTCTCCTCGTCCACCTCGCCCGCGACCGCGCTCTTGCACGCCGCTGTCGCGCAGCGTCTCGCGGCCGAGGCCTACTTTGACCCGTCGATGCTCGCGCTCCTGTACTTTCCCGACGAGCACAAGTACGCCGTGTACACGCCCTTGTTTGGGCCCGTCGCGGTGCCCCTCGTGGTGGCGCTGCTGAGGGAGGTGAGGGAGTGGCGGGCGGGGAGGAGGGGAAGGGCGAAGAGGGAGGAGGACGAGGGGGAGGAGGGGGAGGCGCAGAAGAGGGAGGGGGACGGAGAGACGGGCGAGGTCGGCTGAGAGGTGCAACGACTAACAGTGCAGCCGGACTGGGGCAGGCGAGGAGAGCACGGCGCTCGCCGACCGCGAGGAGGCTCGAGAGCGCGCCGTTCCGACTCACTCGCGCTCTCGTTCCCGTGAGGCTCACACGGCCGCCTCGAGAGCAGCTCGTAGCAGTGGCACCCAGTCTTTGCGCGCCCACGAGAGAGAGGGAGAGAGCCGCTGCCTGCACCGCCTCTTCGCACCGGCCAAGCTCGACCTCGACTCTCTCCCCCACCTCTTGTCGAGCTCCCTCTCTCCCACCACCTGCCGCTCCGCACCCGCTGCGTCGAGCCTCTCAGCATGCCTCACAAGCGCGCCAAGCGCTCCATCCGTCTCGACCGCGCCAACCACCAGTTGCGTCCCCTCTCTCATCTCATCTCCCCCGTTCCCTCCTGACCCCCGGCTCCCACGCACGCAGGGGCCACGACCTCGCGCCGACGGCCGCCGACTCGCTGCTGCCCATCATCCGCACCCAGTGGGACGGCTCGCCCCTCGAGGGCGGCGACAAGCCCGCCGAGCCCCGAGCAGGCGCAAAGGCGGCCGGCAACAACAAGCGGCGCAAGAAGGGCGGCGCGGGTAACGGGGCCGACGAGATGGCCGGTGCGAGCAAGTCGGCGTTCAGGTGCGCCCCCCTCCCCTCTCTCTCTCTCTCTGTGTTCCGCTCTCGGGACTCGGTGGCACGGTGGGCGACGAGAATGGCGCGCTGATGGACGACGAGTCGCGGCGCCGCCGCTCGCAGGGTCATTAACGCCGTCAAGCTGCGCGAGGAGTACCACGCGGCCAAGAAGCGCAAGCTCGAGGACGAGACCAAGGGCAAGAACCCGAACCAGCACAAGGTGCGCCTCCCCCTCTCTCTCTCTCTCTCTCTCTCTCTCTCTGTCTCTTCTCCTCGAGCAGCGCAAAGCTAACCCCGCTCTCGCGCCCCCCAAACTCTCGCAGAAACCGCCTGCCGCCATGACGCCGCTCCCGTACGAGTCGCTCGGGTCGTTCAACCGGCGCGTCGAGCAAGAGATGCGCGGCACGGTGCGCTCGGCGATCCAGCAGGCGGGCTCGACGGCCCAGAAGCGCAAGGACCGCAAGGGCAAGAAGAAGGCCGACGACGGCGAGGACGGCGAGGCGGGCGAGCAGGACGACGAGGTCGACGAGGGCCCGGTCAAGCGCGGTCGCGACGGCAAGCCGCTGCGCAAGGCGCCCAAGGCGACGCCGGACGAGGCGCGCGACCCGTTTGCCAAGAAGCCTCGCGCCGCCACTGCCGGGTCGGACGACGACGACGACGAAGATGCGGGCCGCAACCGCTCGGGCCGCACCGAGTTCGAGACGGTGTCGCAGCGCCGTCGCATCGGCGACGTGGTGCAGGCCCCGCCGACGCTCGCCGACCCGGCGCGCCGCGGCCTCATGCACAAGGTGCTCGGGCCAGGGGGCGCCGCTGCGTGCGGTACGACGAGCGAGGGCCCGGGCGTCGTGCGTCTCAAGGGCGCCGGCGCGGGCAAGGGCGGCGTCGAGGCGCCCGTCGGCAGCTCGAGGCTGCCGATCAACCCGGCCATGAAGGCGCTGCTCGACCAGGAGCGCGAGCGCGCCGTGCGCATGTACCGCGAGCTCAAGGAGAAGCGCGAGCAGGCCAAGCATGGCAGCGCCTGAGTCGCCTCTCTGCATCTCGAGGAGCTCGCTCTCGTTTTCTCTCGTGCGTCCTGGGTCCGTGCGAGAGAGAGAGAGAAAGTGCGTTTCGTCCTAAGCATGCGGAGAGAACAGGAGAACTACAGCAACAGGGAAAGGGGAGACGACGACGGCGAGGGTGCGAGGGAAAGAGGCGCGGGCTGCATCGCGGCGCTCACTCGTCCGCCTGCTTCTTCTTCTTCTTGTCCTCCTTCTTCGGGAGGAGGGCCTGGTTGATGTGCGGGAGGACCTGCGCGCGACGAGGGACGACGAGGTCAGGGCTTGGTCGCTGGGTGCGAGGGGAGGGACGAGGCGAGGTCGACTTGCTCCGGCTGCAGCCGCGACGGACGAGGAGCGAGAGTCAGTCACGGCGCAGAGAGATAGAGAGAGAGTGGTGAAACCTTAAAAGCTTTAAAAGCCTTATATATTCTTTTTTTTCTTATAAAACTTAATCGTTGCGGATCGCGAGCTGGAGGTGGCGCGGCGTGATGCGGCCCTTCTTGTTGTCGCGCGCCGCGTTGCCGGCGAGCTCGAGGACCTCGGCGGCGAGGTACTCGAGGACGGCGGCGAGGTAGACTGTGTGGGCGGCCGAGGTCAACTCGGGTGAGGGAGAGAGGGAGAGTGGGAAAGGGCGAGTCGACGCACTGGGAGCGCCGGCGCCGATGCGGGGAGCGTAGGCGCCCTTGCGGAGGAAGCGGTGGATACGGCCGACAGGGAACAGCACGCCCGCCTTGGCTGCGAGCGGGCGAGGCGGTCGACGCGATGTCAACGAGGCGCCTCGCCGCCCCGAGGTCAAAAGGGGAGAGAGAGAGGGGTGGACGCACTCGAGCGCGAGGGCCGCGTCGTCTTGTCGCCGTTCTTGCCGCCCGAGGACTTGCCGACCATGTTGAACGCGAGAGGGTGGTGCTGGGGAGGAGGAGGTGAAGAGGGCGACGGCTGCGAGGGGGAACGGGGGAGGAGGAGGATGCCGAGCGAGTCAGTGAGACGAATCTCGTGGGGGAGAGAGGCTGAGTGCGAGGGAGAAGCTCACCTGGGTGGAACGAGGTGGGTCGAGCGAGATGACGAGTGAGGAGAAGGAAGGGGAGAGGCGAAAGTGCGGCGGCGCGCTCCTCGCTTCGGCGCTTCCTTCCCCCGCTCGCCTCGTGCACACACTCTGTCAGCCTGCACACTCGAGGTCTGGTATACTCGTGAGTGCACGCGGATCTGAGAGCAAACGCTGCGCATGCAGGTCTTTGTGACGAGGAGGAGGCGACAATCGTCTCGACTTGCGAAGGTCGACTTCCAGTCTTTGCGCGCTCGCCTGCGCTACCTCTCGCCTGCAACGGTAGCAGCAGACTCGAGCTATCGCGAAGCCATCTAGGCGCACGAAACGGCGAGACACGAGCGGTGCCGACGAACGGACGACGCTCGCGCCCCTCGGCTCCTCTCCGACTTGCGCGGACACTCCGAAGCGAGCTGCCCGGTGTCCGCTGAGCTGCTCTCGTCTGGCTCTTCCTCTCGAGCTCTTGTCTGTGTCAACGAGCATGTTCTGGCGGTCGATCCCTCGAGCCATCGACGTCCTCGCCCGCCCCGACAACGACGACCCGCCAGCTCGACCGCCTCGTCCCGGTCGCCCACCTCGACCCGACAAGGCCGCCGCGCTCTCAGAATACTATGACGGTCGTGCGAGCGACGATGACGACCGGCGGCCGACTGCTCGAGAGGCGCCGCGTCCTGCTCGCTCCAGTTCGCGGCCGCCGACCTTGCGGCAAGCGGTCCAGGAGGTGATCGACGACGAGCGCAAGCGGCACCACTCGCACGAGACGATGGGCGACGTCGTACTCGCCGCCATGCGGCAGGAGGACCGCAAGGGCGGGCTCGCGAGGCTCGTCGCCCGGCGCAAGAGCGTCGTCGGCCTGTTCCGCAAAGGCGACGGGCGAGTTCGACGCGACGAGCTCGAGGGCGCTGCCGCCGTGAGCGGCCGACGAGCTCATGAAGCGTCGAGCGAGGACGACGAGTCGGACCTGGACGACGTCAAGCCCGCGCCGCCGTCGTTCTCGCCGCCTCGACCTCGACCCGTTCCTCCTCCTGGACCAGTTCCGCCTCGGCCGGCCCCGTACCGCTCCTCAACACGTGTCGACCAGTACCAGGAGCCGTATTGCGCGCGTCGCCCGCCATCTCCAGCCCGTCAGTCGACCTTTGTCGCTCAGGCGCGCGATTCGCCTTCTCGAGGAGGCTCGTGCGCTCGCCTTCCGCCGCCGCACCCACCCGTCGCGCCGACCTACCCGTCGAGCCCGGACCCGTATCTCGACGTCCTCGAGCGAAGCGCCTACCGCGACGTCGACCCGGACGACTCGAGCGAGGCGTCGTCGACTCGGTCGTCCTCGCTTTCGGTGTCAAGCAGCTCGGCACGGTCTTCGCTCGAGACGGGCCCGTCCTTTGTCCATCGGGTACCTCCCGCATCTGCCTACACTGGGCTCGTCAACCTCGGCAACACGTGCTACCTGTCGGCCGTCTTGCAAGCTCTCGTCGCGACGGACGCGCTCGCGGACTTCTTCTCGAGTGCGTCGCCGCCCTTTCTCCCTCCTCTGCCTTGATCCCGTCCTGACCTCGCTTCTATCTACAGATGACAGCTATCGGGACGAGATCAACACGACGAGCCGGCTCGGCTTGCGAGGAGCGTTGGCCAAGGTACGTCCTCCTCATTTTCGCTCGAGGGTGAGGGCGCCACTGATTCTTTCTCTTGCGCACACAGAGCTTTGCCCGCCTCGTTCAGGTCATGAGAGGCGGCGAGTACCGCTCGGCGTCGCCCGTACAGCTTCGCGTGCGTCTCGCTCTCCCTCTTTCCCCTCGTCGAGCCCCTCCCGACGACTCACCTCGTCTCTCACGCAGGACACGATCGGCCGCCTGTCGGACCGCTTCCTTGAGCCGACGCAGCAAGACGCACACGAGGTCCTCCTCACGCTCCTCGACGGCCTGCACGAGGACCTGAACCTCGTCGTCGAGCCGCCGCCGCCGCGCATCGTCTCGCCCGAGCGTGAGGCACAGCTCGAGCGTCTACCCGAGGTCGTCGCCGCCGACCAGGAGTGGGAGCAGTACCGCGCGAGGAACGACTCGATCGTGATCGACCTGTTCCAAGGTGCGTCGTCGCTCGCCCTCGCGCTGTCCTCGACTTTTGGGAAGGTCGACGACTTACGCGTCTGTGTCCTACGTACAGGGTTCCTGCGCAACCGCATGGAGTGCATGCACTGCCAGACGACGTCGACGACCTTCAGCCCCCTGCAGACGCTCTCGCTCTCGATCCCGGCGCCGCGTTCGCCAACTCGGCCCGTGTCGCTCTCGCAATGCATCGACGCGTTCCTCGCCGAGGAGATCCTGAACGGCGACAACGCGTGGTGCGTGCTTATCCCGCGCTCCTGATGGAGCGTGAGCTCACCGCGACACTGGCGCGCGCAGGCACTGCCCCTCGTGCCGCACCTTCCGCTCGACCTCGAAGCGCTTCTCGGTCGCGCGCCTGCCCCAGATCCTGTGAGTCTCTCTCGTCTCTGTCATCTCTCTCGACGTGCAGAGACTGACCCGAGGTCGTTCTGTCGCAGTATCATCCACCTCAAGCGCTTCGACCCGCTCGCGCACAAGCTCTCGACGCGAGTCGCCTTGCCGCTCGAGCCCCTCCCACTCGGTCACCTCCTGCCGCCGCTCGCGCTCGACTCGCCTTACCACCTCAACGCGCCGCACGAGCCCGAGACGACGTACGAGATGTACGCGGCGGTGAACCACCATGGCGAGGACGGCAGCGGGCACTGTGCGTCCTGCTCTTCCTCTCTCTCTCTCTCTCTCTCGCCTCCTCCTCTCTGTCTCTTTGAGCTATGCGCACCACTGACACACACCTTCTCGCTCGCAGACACGACCCTCCTGCGCGAGCCCTCGCCTCCCTCCTCCCGCCCCGACGCCCCGCCCTCCTTCGTCCTCCTCGACGACGAGAAAGTCGACCCTCTCTCGAGCCCGGGTGCCCAAGCCGCCGCCCTGCGCGACGCCGAGACGACGGCGTACTTGCTCTTTTTGCGGGGCTGTATTGCGGACTTCTTCTGCTGCAAGACGGCGAGGGGAGATGTGGACCCGAGAGAAGAGAGAGAGAGGGAAGAAAGTGCGCGCGAGAGAGATAGGGGCAGGGAGGAGGACAGGACGAAATGACGAGAGGGGACATCGAGGGATAGAGAAGGTTGCAGACGAGGAGAGAGGTTGGAAAAGAAGGAGGGAGGACGGCCAACAGGAGGGGTTTTTGGGGGGGCGAGAGGTAACGAGCACGCCGAGCTATGTACTGGCGGACAACGATGATGACGACGTGCTGACGAGGACGAGAGGAGAAAGGGCGAGAGGAGAAAGGGCGAAAGGGCGAGTCGGGGGAAGGCGGAACGGCGTGACGATGAAAGAGCGAAGACGACGGCGACGGCGTGTTCACGTCGTCGGGTCCTCGGCGAACATGTCGTTGTTGAGGAACGTGTCAAAGTCGAGGCCCGAGAACATGTCGTCGCCGCCGCTGACGCCAAACTGAAGCGACGAGTCGCCGCTCGGGCCTCCTCCTCCACCGTTGACGTCGACGGACGACGACGACGGCGGCAGTGGCGGTGGCGGCGCGAGCTGCTGCGACGGTGGAGGGAGGGGCGTCGATGTGGCCGAGAGGGGCTGTTGCTGCTGCTGCTGCGTCGAGAACGGCCGCCCTGGGCCGCCCATGTCGCCTTGACCCGGCCCGCCGCCGCCGCTGCCCATCTGCATCTGCATGTGCTGCTGCTGAGCCGGCGACATGGCGTGCGGGTCGGGACCTTGTGGCGGTGGCGGCGGAGGACCGCCGGCCATGGACGGCGAGAAGTGCTGCATCGGGCCCGGGCCGCCGGCGGGCGACATGTGGTGGTTCGACATGGCCGACGCGGGTCGGCTCAGGTTGCCGTTGCCGTTGACCATGCCCGGGTGCTGCTGCTGCCCGGGATGACCTGGACCGCCGCCGCCGCCGCCGTTGATGCCCATCGACGAGCCGTCGACGCCGTTGCCGCCAAGGTACTGCTGCTGGTGGTGCTGCTGCTGCTGTTGCTGCTGCTGCTGGAGCTGGTAGTTCCTCGGCGGCGGCGGCTGCATCATGCCCGACGGGCTCGGGCTCGGCCGGTACGGGCCCGCCGGGTCCTGGCCGTACATGCCGCCTCCTGGCGCCTGCGGCAGCGAGCCGGGCGCAGGGCTGCCCGCGCCGAGCGCCTGCTCCCACGCCGGCGTGCCCGGGTCGTCCTCGCCGCCGCCGCCGCCGCCGCCGCCGCGAGTCCCAGGCCGGGGCCGCTTCCTCGTGCGCGGCGACGGGTCCTCGACCGGCCCTCCTCCCGCTCCTCCTGCTCCTGCGCCCGGCCCCCCGGCACGCTTGGCCCCGAGGCCGTTCGTGCCCGGCGGGCCCTTGGCGCCGACCTGCTGCGGCTTCTTGCCGGCGCGGGAGGGCGGCGGCTGGGCGAGCGGGAGCGGCGGCGGCTGGGCAAACTCGTGGGCCGGTGACGAGTGCATGCCGTGCTGCTGCTGCTGCTGCTGCTGCTGCAGGCCGGGAGGAGGGGGAGCGGGAGGGATCTGCATGTGGGCGACGTGCGGCGTCGAGTAGGGCGACGAGGTGTAGGCGGGCGAGGCGGGCGAGCCGGCGTTGGGCGGACCGCCTTGCTGCTGCGCGTACTGCATCATGCGCTGCTGCTGCTGCTGCTGCTGCTGCTGCTGCTGAGCCTGCTGCTGCTGCTGCTGCTGTTGGCGGGCAGGGCGACGTCGTCAGGACCTGGCGGAACGAGGAGAAGGAGGAAGGGAGGACAGTCGACGCACAAAGTACATCCTCGCCTGCGGGTCCGACGGCATGCGCTGCGGCATAGGCGCCCGGCCCTGCATCATCATCATCTGCTGCTGTTGCTGCTGCTGCTGATGCTGAGGCAGGCCCTGCCGCATCGCCGGGTTCTGGCTCGGCGGGAGCGCGCCCATGCGCCGCATCTGCGCAGCGATGGCGGCCTGTTGCAGGGACACACGACGCTGTCAGTGTCCGTCCTGACGAGGCGACAGACGAGGGACAGAGGGAGAGAGAGATAGAGAAGAGAAAGAGGAGGACGCACATGCTCCTCGTTGGCGAGCGACTCGGGGTCCCTCCCCGCAAGCCCAACCGCCGCCATGGCCGCCTGGAACGCCGGGTTCATGCCGCCGCCGCCGCCACCCTGCTGCCCCTGTCCCTGCGGCTGCTCGTGCCCGCCGCCGCCGCCGCGCCCGTTGGCGTACGGGTGGCTCGCCGGCACGAGCTGCGGCGAGCCGTGCACGCTCGACGAGGGCCCGTCGCCGTGCGGCGGCGGCGGCGGCGGCGCGTGGCCCGGGTGCGGCTGCTGCTGGGCCGAGAGCGGCGCCGCGTGGCCGTAAGGCGCCTGCTGCTGCTGCTGAGGGTGCGGCGACGGCTGCTGCTGCTGCTGCGGCGGGAGCCCGCCCTGCATCTGGCGCTGCTGGAGCTGCTGCGGCGGCGGTGGACCCTGCCCGGGCGGGTAGCCCTGCTCGCCGGGCCCTCCTCCTCCTCCGCCAGGCCCGCCCGGCGAGCCCGCCGCCGCCGCGCCCGCCCCCGAGGCCGACGGCGCGAGCTGGCGCATGCCCGCCTGGCCCTGGAGCTGCTGGACGCGTCCGCGCTGCTGCATCTGCGACTGGAGCTCCTGCTGCTCGAGGACGTGCATCTGGCCGTACGCCGCTCGCGGTGGCCCTCCCGCTCCTCCTCCTCCTGCTCCTGCTGCGCCGCCGTGCGGCTGCTGCTGCTGCTGCTGCTGGAGCTGCTGCGGGTGCTGCCCGTACGGCGACGCCGACGCCGCCGCCGAGCCCGACACGCCGCGCGACGGGTGCGCGAGCGAGCGCGGGAGCGTCATGCTCGGCGGTGCGCCCATGCCCGCGCCCGGGCCAGGAGCGACCGTGACGGTGTACGGCTCGCGTTTGGCGCGCATGGCGTCGACGTAGGCGTCGGCGTTCGGGTTGCGCGGGCCCGATTTCTGCGAGCGCGCGATGAAGACGTCCCAGAAGACGGACCACCACCTGCGGGCGGGCGGGTGCCGGTGCGGTGCGGGGTCGAGCGGGTGTCAGTGCATGGTTGGGCCGGGCTGGAAGGAGAGAGGAGGAGGGGGGAAGAGAGGGAACGAGAGGACGCACTCGTAGAGGAGGCCTTGGGGCGCCTCGATCGGCGGACCGGCCCACGCCGCCTCGTCGATGCCGGCTTCTTGCGCGAACCGTGTCGCCGCCTCGGTCCAGCCGCGCTTCTGCGAGCGGGGGAGGAGAGAGGAGGTGGGTCAGGGCGTTGGTCGTTGGCTGAGAAGGAGGGTTGAGGGGGGAGCTCGTAGGGCCGAGGGCGCACAATCATGTAGTCGTAGGTGTAGCTGCGTCGGGTAGGGCGACAAGTCAGTGTCGTGCTCGACGAGGGAGACTCGAGAGGGAGAGCTGGGACGCACGAATGCAAGGTCGAGTCGCCCTCCCAGCGGTACGCCGGCTGGCCTGCGGGGGCCGGCGGTCTTGGCTGCGCGTCGGCGAGAGCGGGTCAGCGACGGCTGGAGAGACGACGAGAGAAGGTGCAGCGAGAGGTTCGAGACGGACCTGCTGAGCCATGGCCGCCAGTATGGAGCGAGACGAGGTCGAGGAGGAGGAGGAGGGGCGGGCGCCGGGGTGGAGCCGAGACGGGGGTGGGCGGACAGCTCGAGGGGGACTAGTTGCGCCGTTGGGCAGTCGACGAGGTGGCGTAGTCGGTCCTGCGCACGTTGACGAGGCTGTCAGCTCTGCCGTTCGCTCATCTCGAAGCTGTGCTCCCCCCTTCCCCCGTGTCGACCACCTCGAGCGGGCGCACAGGGCGGGGTCCGTCCCCAGCTCAGCGCCGGCTTGAGCGACCGCGGTTCTGCGAGCCGGACCATCGAGAGAGGGCAAGGGACGCACCTGGTTCTCGAGGTGCATGTTGGGTCGGAATCGGGCGAGCGCGAACGTCTGGCCATCGAGCGACACGTGAGCTCGATAGCGCGCGAGTTTTCCGAGACCTGCAGAGCGCTCGTCGAGTCGGTCAGAGAGGGGCTCGAGGACGAGAGGAGAGAGAGAGAAAGAGAGAGTGGGCCGCACCTCGGCGACGACCATGTACTCATCGAACGAGGGGAACCCGACGATGTTGTCGAACAGGACCTTCTTGTTCGAGTAGAAGTAGTCGCAGACGACGAGCCGAAGCGGGTTGTTGTTCTGATACACGAGAGCGTTACGAACCCTTCTTGTCGCGGTAGCTCTGGCAGAAGATGACCTTATCGTCGATGCGCACAGTTTCGGGGGGTCCCCAGAGGAACACGCGCACGTACTCGTCGAGCTTGCTCCAGTTGAAGTAGGTTGTCCTTGTTCATGCAGGCGGCGGCGCGGCACGCCGTCGAGTCCGAGTCGCTCCCCTCCTACCCCTGCCGCCCCGCCGCACCCGCACCCACACGCGCCCCCGCCCCCGCCGCCCCGTTGCACCCGCCCAACAGCCCCCCCCACCTCCCCTTCCTCTCCCTCTCTCTCCACCCCTTCCCGCACGCGCCCCTCTCGCACCTCTCGGCAGCGTCCCCCTCGCCCGTCGTCGGCACCTCGAAGCGGCCCAACGGCAAGAAGCGCAAGCGCGGGCGCGGGCGCGGTGAGGAGGAGGAGGCCGAGCGCGGGAGGCAAGAGGCCGAGGGCGGGTGGGCGTGCGTCGTGAGGGTTGGGGGCCGAGAGCGGGAGGGCGTGCGGGAGGGGGAGGGAGAGGGGGAGGGGGAGGGAGGGGAGAGCGGGCGAGAGTGGCACTTGTGGGAGGGGCAGTAGAGCTGGGCGAGGCGCGGGTTCTGTGAAAACTGGTTGCACAGAGAGGAGGTCCTTCTACAGCTCGTCGTGCCCTCCTGCTCGCCGCGAGGCGTGCTCCTGCTCGTCGTCGTCGTCGTCCTCGAACAGGGTCGGCTCCTCGACGACCTCGCCCAGGAACTCGCCCTCGTCGTCCTCCTCCGCCGCTGCCGCCGGCGAGTCGTCGATGCCCTCGAGCCCAGCCTCGGCGAGCGCCTCGTTGAGCTCGGCCATGAGCTCGTCAATCTCGTCTTCGCTCATGTCGTCGAGCATCATGCCAAACTCCTCGTGCTCGGCGAGGTCCTCGGCGCTCAGCGGCGCCCAGTCGTCGCCCGCACCCTCGCCTCGCTCCCGCTCCCGCTCCTGCTCGCCCTCGTCGCCCTCGTCGACCGCGTCCTGCGCCGGCGCAGGCACGTACGCCGCCGCCTCGGGCGTCTCCCACGCCTCGCCGCGCAACAGCCACCGCGAGTGGTCCTCGACGTCCTGGCTCGCGCTCGTCGACGTGCGCACGAGCGGGTAGAACGGCGACGGCGACGGCTCTGCTGCTGCTGCTGCTGGCGCAAACGCAGAAAAGTGCGCAAAGTAGTGCGACAGGCACTGGCGGCGCTGGTCAAAGTGGCCGGCGGCGGGCAGGCCGGCCGCGGCGTCGATGGCGGCGTCGGGTGCGGGCAGGTCGGTGTCGCCGTCGGTGGAGGAGGGAGACGAGGTCGAGGGAGGAGGGACGATGTCGTTGCCGTCGGCGTCGACGGCGACAGAACCGCGGTTGAAGAGGCCGTCGCCGCCAATCGTGCGCAGGGGCGTCTTGGGTTGGAGGAGGAGCGGCGGCTGGCCCGTGAGGTTCGACACGAGGTAGTTGATGAGCAGGTCGTCGCAGTTGAACACTGTTGCCCGTGCGCGCGAGAGGGTGAGCGTCTGGCAGCGAGAGAGAGAGGGAGAGGAAGGGAGAGAGGGGGAAAGAGCGGGCGCACCTTGGTCGACATAGTCCCGCAGGCCGCGCATCTCAACCGAGTCCTCCCAGTACTTGTGCAGCCACTCCTTGCGGAGCCACGCGGCGTTGCTGAGCACCATCGAGTACGTCTTGCGCGGGCGGACGACGTACTTGACCTCGCCGTCGACCTTGTCGTAGTCGCGCGCCGAGAAGCCGACGAGCCGGCCTGGCGCGTCGGGCGCACCGTTGACCTCGAGGAACTGCTGGTAGCCCCACTCGATCGCGTTGCGCTGCAGGACGACGTCGTCGTCGAGAATCATGACGGCGTCGGTGTAGACCTCGGTGTCCCAGTCGACGAGGGGCCGGAATCGCTCGTTCATGCTGTTGCGCTCGCTCTTGCGGACCGAGACGACGACGCCCGAGGTCGAGTACTGCTCGAGCGAGGTCGCGTTGAGAAAGTCGGGCAGGTCGACGCCGACGTTCTGCCACACGATGACGATGTGTCGCAGCGACGGCGGCGGCTGGGTCGTGAGGTGCTTGATCAAGGGCGAAAGGTTGGCGTCGCGCTTGTAGGTCGCGATCATCATCCTGTTGCGGGCGGGCGAGCGGGCGGTCAGCTTCTCGTCAAGGGCGAGTGTGGGGGACGAAGGAGAAGGGGGAGTGAGGGAGAGGGAGATGGGGACGCACGTGAAGCCCTCGGCAGGATCAATGCTGAGCTCGACAGTCGGCCTGCCCTCGCGGTCGACCTCGCCCGACTGGACCTTGACGCGAGAGGCGCCGGCGAGGAGGGTCGAGATGACGCCGACGAGGAGGGCCAGGAGCGGCGCGCGCGGCAGGTGAACGCGCATGGCTCGGGCTCTGCGAGGGGCGGGCGAGAGTGGCGCAAGCTTTCGAGCTGCGAGCGAGGGTGGACAGAGCAAGAGAGTTGAGGAGGGTGATGAGATTGGGTCGGTTGGCGCGCCTCCCCTCAGGCTGTGGTCACTCCTCTCTCCTCCTTCCTCCTTCCTCCCCTCTCTCTCTCTCTGTCTGCACGACCGCGCCCGTCCTCGCCGTATTTCTCTCTGGTCGACGCCGACACCGACACCCTCTCCTCGCCCTTCGACTACACCCTCCCGTCACTCACTCGCAGGCACGGCGGGATCCGGGTTCCGCAGACGGTCGACTGCCTGCAGGGCATCATCAACATCGTCCCGCTTCAGCTGCTCTCCTACCACATGGCCGTCGCAAAGGGCTGCAACGTCGACATGCCCAGGAACTTGGCTAAGAGTGTGACAGTCGAGTAGCGACTTGGCCCCCTTTTTGTGTACTCTCCCTCCCTCCCTCTCTCTCTCTTCCACGGACATTGAATCTCGCAGGGCTCTTCTTAGTCTCTCTACGCGTTTGCGCGCGTTCGGCGGTGCGAGAGAGAGAGAGCGGAAGCGGGAGCGGGCGGGCGGGCGAGCGTGAAAGTGAGAGGATCCGGGCGCGCCGGGCGCATTGGCAAGGTGCGGCGCAGGTCACCCAGTGTGCGCCCCTTCGAGCATCTAGCGGCGTGCGCGCGAGATAGAGCGAGCGAGAGAGCGTCGCAAAGGGCAACCGAGTGGCAAAAAATCGCGCGAGAATGTCGGCGCCGGTTGCGAGGGAGCCGCACCGAGGCGGTCTCTTTCGGGCCGGCAAGCCCTCGAGCCTCTCGCGTTCCCGTCGACGTGGCGTTTCGTCTGAAGAGAGAGTCGATGAGACGGCGAGTGTCCGAGGCGGAGCAACTTGAGAAGGTCGATGTTGGGAAGGCAGAGTGCGACGAGCGAAAAAGAAGAGAGCACGAGGTCGACGTCCGAGTCAGCTCGACGTGAAACAGCTGACGAGGACTGACAAGCAAGGTGGAGGATTCCGCTGGCGAGAGTGCGAGGGTGGCAGCAAAACGAAAGGGGCGACTGGTGACGAGTCCGGGCGCTTCGGATGCTCCCTCGCGCTCTTGGCTGGGCCAGCGAGTCGAGAGTCTTTCCGCGAAGAGCGGCGAAGCGGGAGGGCCGCTCACTGCAAGGCGAGGTCTGAGCGAGGCGGGAAAGCCACGAGCAGGGCGACGTCCGGGCGCGCTCGACGTTCTCACGTCCTGCGCACTTCTTCTGAGAGCTCTCTGACGCGATGCACGAGCGTGAGCCGCGAGGCCAACCTTGGTCCACGAGGCTGCGTGAGAGAGGCTCGAGAGCGGCAGAGAGCGGACGGGCGCCGCCTCGCTAGCACGCTTTCGAACACTCCTGATTGCTGCGGTTCAGCCTGACCTTGTCGATGAGAGTAAGGCGTCGCCCCAACCCAAGCGTGCGCCCGTGCGTCGTCGCGACGCGGGCGGAATGCGAGCGAACGCAAGTCGGACGACTAGTTTGAATCAGAATCTCGAGGATTGGGGAGAGGCGGCGTAGCGACGCTGTCAGGGACGAGGACAGGAGCCAGATCGCTGTCCGCTTCGCGAACGTCGGCGCCTGAGCATCACGAGTAGACGCGAAGCTCGACTCGTCGAAAGTCGAGCAGGCCTGAGCGCTGAGCAAAGCCGCGCGTGTAGCTCTTCCAGCGCACGCTCGCGGGCGCAGAAGTGCAGCCTCTCACGGACAAGCGTGCAGGCTTGCTCTCGCGGGAGCAGAGAGGTGGCTGCAGCTGGAGCCGGCCGTCGACGACGGCACACCGAGCAAGTGGGCGCGCACCTGTCGCCTCCTCGGCGGCAACGGCCGGCCTGCGAGCGCCTCACTCGGCCCGGCCAGAGCGAGAGGGCGGTCTGCGCGTCGTGTCCGACGGGTCGAAGCCGCGCCACAGTCCCTTGCCACTGCCAATGCGCCCGGCGCGCCCGGATCCTCTCACTTTCACGCTCGCCCGCCCGCCCGCTCCCGCTTCCGCTCTCTCTCTCTCGCACCGCCGAACGCGCGCAAACGCGTAGAGAGACTAAGAAGAGCCCTGCGAGATTCAATGTCCGTGGAAGAGAGAGAGAGGGAGGGAGGGAGAGTACACAAAAAGGGGGCCAAGTCGCTACTCGACTGTCACACTCTTAGCCAAGTTCCTGGGCATGTCGACGTTGCAGCCCTTTGCGACGGCCATGTGGTAGGAGAGCAGCTGAAGCGGGACGATGTTGATGATGCCCTGCAGGCAGTCGACCGTCTGCGGAACCCGGATCACGCCGTGCCTGCGAGTGAGTGACGGGAGGGTGTAGTCGAAGGGCGAGGAGAGGGTGTCGGTGTCGGCGTCGACCAGAGAGAAATACGGCGAGGACGGGCGCGGTCGTGCAGACAGAGAGAGAGAGAGGGGAGGAAGGAAGGAGGGGAGGGAGGAGGGAGGAGAGGGAGGAGAGAAGAGCGGGTCAGTGTCGATTCGCCGCACGGGCGTCCTCACGACGACCGAGGATGTAAAAAGGCGCACCTGCAGCGAGGCGACGACCAAGACGAGCGGGAAACGAGGGGGAGAGCAAGGTAGGAGGGGAGAGAGAGAGGGCGAGGAGAGAGGAGGGGAGAGAGATGGAGAGGTCAGTGTCGCCTCGCCCGCCCACCTTCTCAAGATGCGCCCTGACGACCGAGGAATGAGGGGCGCACTTGGAGTCGTCGAGGTTGCGGTCCGTGTCGTTGGCGATGATGAGGGGCTTGCCGCCACGCGCAATGACCTGCTCGAGCGCCGAGCGGACCTGCGAGGGGAGCGAGGGCGGTGAGTGACGAGGTCCCGCGAGAGACACACGCCGGGACGCACCTTGGGGTAGATTGAGTCCTGGGTCATGACGAGGATGACGGGCATCTGCTCGTCGATGAGGGCGAGCGGGCCGTGCTTGAGCTCGCCGGCGAGGAGGCCCTCGGCGGCGACGTAGCACAGCTCCTTGATCTTGAGGGCCGCCTCGAGGCACGTCGCGTACTGGTAGCCGCGCCCCATGATGAGGAGCGACGTCTGCTTGGCGAGCATGGGCGCGAGCGACTGGAACTCGGAGTCGTGCTGGAGGATGGCGCGGATCTGGCCGGGCAAGTCGTGCAGGCCGTCGATGATGGCGTTGCGGCGCGCCGTCATCGACGTGCGGTCCTCGGCGAGCTGGATCGCCATCATGAGGAGCGCAATGTACTGCGACGTGTAGGCCTTGGTCGACGCGACGCCAATCTCGGGGCCGGCGTTGACGTGGATGCCGCAGTGCGACTCGCGCGAGATGGTCGAGCCGACGACGTTGACGACGCCGACGCACAGCGCGCCGCGCTCGAGGCAGTAGCGCATGGCGAGGATCGTGTCGGCCGTCTCGCCCGACTGCGACACGTACACGCACACGTCGTCGCGGAAGATGGGCGTCTTGCGGTCGAGGAAGTCGGACGCGAGCTCGACCGACACCGGGATCTCGGTCAGCTCCTCAAAGATGGAGCGAGTCTGTACCGGAAAGGCGAGTCAGTCTCGGGCGCCTGGACGAGGGCAAAGAGAGAGAGGACGCACCGCGAGGCACGAGTGGTACGAGGTGCCGCAGGCGACAAAGATGAGGCGACGGCAGCGGCGGATGACGTGGAGGTAGGCCTGGAGGCCGCCGAGCGTGATCGTGTGCGTGTCAAAGTTGACGCGGCCGCGCATCGTGTTGACGACCGACTCGGGCTGTTCGTAGATCTCCTTTTGCATGAAGTGGTCAAACGAGCCCTTCATGATGGCGGCGAGCTCGATCTCGAGCGTCTCGATGGCGCGGATGGTCGACACGGTGCCATCGTTCTTGCGCAGGCGGTGAATGTGGAACTCGCCCTCGGCGATGTGGGCAATGTCGTCGTCCTCGAGGTACAGGACGCGCTTGGTGTGCTCGACGATGGCCGACGCGTCCGACGCGATGAAGAACTCGATCGGCTGGGGCATGCCGTCCTCGGACAGGAACGCGCGCGACTGGCTGCGCACGAGCTTGCCGCCGTGCGGGTTGGCCGCCGAGGGGACGCCGAGCAGGCCGTTGGCGGCACCGGGCGCCGCACCCTCCTCGAGCGCCTTGTCGGCGTCGGCCGCGCCGGCAAACTCGACGTCGACAAAGTCGACCTTGAGCTTCTTCTCCGTCTTGACGCCGATCAGGACGGGCGAGCCTCGGCGCGCGACGACGATCTCGTCCGGGTAGTGGATCGACTTGAACACGAACGCGAACGCGCCCTCCTGCAGGACAGGCCTAAGGGTCAGTGCCCCGGTCCGAGCACGCGAGGAAAGAGGTAGAGAGGGAGGGGGACGCACGAGCTCCATGATGACGCTCTTGATCAAGGCCGTGAAGCTGATCTGCTTGCCCTTCTGCGAGTCGAACAGGTACTTGGTGAGGACGGCGGCGACCTCGGTGTCGGTGTCGGTCTCGAACTTGTAGCCGCGCTTCTCGAGGACGAGGCGGAGCTCCTTGTCTGCGCGCAGGCGACGGGCTCGAGGTCAGGGTGCGCCGAGGGGGGAGGAGGCAGCACAGAGAGAGCGAGAGCACGCACAGTTGGTGATGATGCCGTTGTGGACGACAGTGAACTCATTGCGCGCGTCAGACTTGTGGGGGTGGCAGTTGGTGACTGTACGAGGGTCGACGAGGTCAGTTCGCGCACGTCCCCTCGCTCATCGAGGCGAGAGTGGGACGTACCGGACGGGACACCGTGCGTGGCCCAGCTGCACGAGAGACGGGGAGAGAGGCATGTGAGCTCGCCGTACGAGAGAACCGCGAGGTGAGGGGGCGGGGAGAGCGAGGACGCACCGAGTGTGGGCGATGGACGTCTGGCTGACGTAGCTCTTGTCCATGTCGATGTCGGCGTTCATGGCCTTCTCCTTGAGCATGCGCACCTTGCCGACCTCCTTGAAGATGAGCGGCTCCATCGGGTCGTCGCCCTCGATCTCGAGGCCGGCCGAGTCGTACCCGCGGTACTCCATGCGCTGCAGGCCGTTGACGAGCGTCTCGAGGACGAAGCGGCGGTCCTGCGACGGCGAATCGGGCGCGTCAGTGAGGCTCGCGCCGGAAGAGAGAGAGAGAGAGGGAGGGTCGACGCACACGCTCGCAGAGGAACGAGGCATACGCGAAGATGCCGCACCTGCGTGGGCAAAGGGAGGGTCAGGTCGGATACGCGAGTGCTCAGAGGGGAAGAGGTGGGACGCACATGATGAACGAGAGGTGCTAGGCGAGCTGCGGCGCGAGGAGGGGAGAGGACGAGGTCAGCGTCAACGGCTCGTGCGGCGCTCCTGGAATCTTGAACGGGCAGAGTAGCCCTGCGGGCCCACGTAGCGCGCTCGGCGCCTCCCCTTGCCGCCGCCGTCGCCGACGCACCCGCCTCGCCGTCCGCGTCGGCGGGGTGTGCGTCCTCCCGCCGACAGCGCCGGCCGCCGGCCCTCTAAACCCTCGAGCGCGTGCCCATCGAGCCCAGAGCACTCTGCAGAGCCCCTCGCGGCAGTCCACCGACGCGCAAGGCGCCGTGCCCGCCCCCTTGCCGGTCCTCCCACCGAGCGCAGATCCCTCGCCGCGCGCGCTCGACAGCCCGGGCGCTGCGGCTCCGACCTCGCCTGGACCTCCAACGGCCCCCGACCGAGCACTGCGAGACCCCGACGACCGCGCCCAGGCGTGTCGTGGCCGCGAGCGCGGAATCGCCGTTGAGCGACTCGGGGGGAACAGGCGAGGGCGGGCTGAGCTCTGGGCGGTGCACGCTCGCGAGCGCGCGAGGGGCGAGCGCGCGAGGTTGCGAGATCGTGCGAGATCGCGGGAAAGGTGGCCCTCACCTGGTGGGCTGGTGGGGGAAGAGAAGGCGAGGAGGAGGAGGGATTCGCGGCGAGGGGGGCGAGGGGCGCGAGGTGCGAGGACGACGAGGCGCGGGCGGACGTCGAGGGAAGAGGGCTGGCTCGGTGGGTGCGGTGGGGCGGGCTGACGGGTGGATGTGCAGTAGCAAGCTGGCTAGCGAGGGAGCGGGTGCGCAAGCAAGAGAGTGAGGGAGGTCGTTCAACCGAGCCTCGTCCTCCTCTCGGCGACGGACAAGAACCACAGGCGCGTGTCGCCGTCTCAGCTTTACTCCCGGGCGCCGCTCTCCGACAAGCCTCTGAGCACGTCCAAAGGGGGTATGTTGCACTGCGTCTAGAGGACCCGCTCAAAACTGGCCCTTCTGCTCGGGCACCGTAAAGGGGAGCTTGCCCGTCGCGAGGCCCGCCTGGATCTGCCGCAGGCACACGCTCTCCATCTCGCGCTGCGTCTCGACCGTCAACGTGCTGCGAGAGGGCGAGAGAGAGAGAGAGAGAGAGAGGGAGAGGAGAGGGAGAGGGGAACGGGCGCAGGTAGGTCAGTCTCACTCGGTGGACGCTCGTGCGAGGGAGCGAGACGGTCGACGCACCCGACGTGCGGCAGCAAGAACGCCTTGGTCCCCTCAAGCCGCAGCAAGCCCTCGTGGACCTTGGGCTCGTCCTCGTACACGTCGAGCCCGCACGCTGCAATCTCGCCCGCCTCGAGCGCGTCGACGAGCGCCGCCTCGTCGACGACGCCGCCCCTCGCCGTATTGATCAACACGCCCGTCGGCTTCATGCGCTTGAACTGCGGGGTCGACATCGTGTGCTTGGTGTGGGCGTTGAGCGGCAGGTTGAGCGACACGACGTCCGAGGTCGACAAGAGCTCGTCGAGCGACGACAGGTACGTCGCGCCGTCCTCGAGCGCGGGCGAGAGCTGGTTCCGGTTGTGGTACACGACCGTCATGCCGATCGCGCGGGCGCGCTTGGCAAACGCTCGCCCGATGCCGCCCATGCCGACGATGCCGAGCTGCGCGCGCTCTCGAGCCCCATTAGCTCGACTCGCTCTGCGTCCACCTCGCTCGACAGACAGACAGGGAGAGGAGGGACGCACGACCTTGCCCTCGGGGTCGTGGCTCATCTCGAGCCCGGCGTTAAACTTGCCCGCGCGCAAGTTGGCCTGCGCGACGTTGAACTGGCGCAGGGCGCCGAGCAGGAGGAACAGCGCCGTGTCGGCCGTCGCGCCGTCGACCGCGACGGGCACGTTCGACACCTGGATGCGCCGGTCGGTGCACGCCTGGACGTTGATCTGGCTGTGCGCGAGAGGAGTGCAGAGGTGAGCGGGCGAGCCGTGGGGCGGGGGCGCGAGGCGTGCGGGGGAAGGCAGGACGCACTCGTAGCCGGCGCCGTTGTGCGCGATAAACTGGAGCGACCTTGGCAGCGCCTCGACGAGTTCCGGGTCGAGCAGGCCCGTGACCTGCGCGGAGCCGGAAGAGAGAGAGGGTCAGCGTCTTCTGGCTTGGTCGAGTCGTGACGGGGAGAGCGGCCAGGCGCACCTTGGTCGACGCGCCCTTGAAGTGTCGGTAGATCGCCTCGACGCCGTCGTACTTGCCCGCCCGGCAGTCGGCGAGGAACTCTGCTCGCGACGAGCTGGCGAGAGTCTGCGTGGGGAAGTCGGTCAGCGCGGCTCCAGCAGGGGAGAGCGGGAGGACAGGGGAGCGCACAACGACATCCCACGAGGCCGAGAGCTGCTTGAGGAGCGGCGTCGCGAGGTGGATCGGGTCGGCGAGGAGGACCTTGGGCGACGACGCTGATGAGGACGGCGACGAGGGCGAGTCGAGGGCGACGGGGGCCATGCTGAACGTGCGGCGGGATGCGGCTGGTATGGAGCGAAGCAGAGTGCGCCCGAGCATGGTCGTGCGAGAGCCGGGCGAGCGAGATAACGAGCAGGACACGAGCCGTCGGCTCAAGCGGTTGCCGCGGACTCGCGCGGAGTGGAGCCCAACCTGGACCTGGGGCGCTCAAGTGCGACGCAGACTGCTCGTTACAGTACAACCATAGAGCTACAAGGCGAGGCAGAATCGGCTCCTCAGGCGACCACAGGACGCACGCTCCGCTCGGCCTGCGCAGCCGAGAAGCGCCAGTACTCGCGCCGGATCGGGTCGTACTCGACGAGCGAGCGGAACAGCTGCACGACGAGGACGACGACGACGGACAAGGGGGCTCGAGTCAGTCGGCGACGTACTCCGAGAAGAGGAGGCGGGGGAGAGGGGGACGCACCTCTGCCGCCTCGCGCGCCTTGGTCTCGCGCTCGTCCCGCGCCCGGCTCTCCTCCTGAGCGTCCTGCGCCGCCGCGTCGGCGAGGAACTCGATGGCGAGGAAGGCGGGCAGCTCGGCCTTGTCCGACACGGGCGGCTCGGTGGGCGGCATCGACGAGGGCGTGTTGAGCGCGAGCGGGGTGACGAAGGGCGAGAGGGACGAGAGGGGGAGCGAGAGACGGGCGAGGATACTGTGGAAGACGAGGAGTGTGAGCAGGCGGTCAGAAACAAGGATCTGCAGCCTGTCGGGGGCAACAGGCTTGGAGAAGCTCGACGAGGAGGCTCACCCTCGAAGGTAGTTCCACGCTGACGGGTTGTTGGGCGACAAGGCAAGCTTCTCCTTGACGTACCTGTACGTCGGCGACGAGTCAGTGACCGACGAACGAGGGCCGAAGGAAGGAAGGGGGAGGACGCACCGGATCTCCCTCTCGCCCGCCTCGTCGCCGCCATTGCCGCTCTCGAACGCGACAAAGAACCGGTGGTTCCACGCCGAGTTGTTGCGCACGTCGCTGTCGAGCAGCCCCTCGACGTACTCGAGCTCGCCGGTCCAAACGCGCTCGACCTCCTGTCGCCGCTCGTCGCTCTGCGCCGAGAGGACGTCCGGCGCGACCGAGCGGTCGGCCCAGAAATGGCACAGGACCCACTGGCGGTAGGCCCACGTGTGGTAGTTCTTCTCGTCGATCGAGAGCGCCTTGGCGGTGAACTCGAGCTCGCGCGAGGGGTCGTCGAGCGCGAGGACGATCGTGCGGCGGTGCTGCCTGCGAGCGTGGGGGAGGTCAGGCCCGTGTCTCGCTCGCAGTGAGGGGAAGAGCTAGACGCACCAGACCTGGTACGACTTGAGGTGGTACTTGACGAGCTGGTCGAGGAGGTCGAGCTCGTCGGTCATGCTCGACTGGAGCGCGAGGAGCGTGTCGGCGCGGTACTTCCTGCAGGGTTCCGGCCGCGAGGTCAGAGCCACGCTCTCAATGCCGAGGGAGGAAGAGGCGGGGCGCACCAGACCGAGTAGTGGCCAGGGTTAAGACGGATGATCCACTGAGTGACCTCGAGCGTGCGCTCCGACTTCTCGCCCTTCTTGACGAGCGCACGGAACGTGTCCATGCAGTCGCGGTCTGCTCGCAGGTCAAGGTGTCAGTCGTGATTCCGAGATTGCGGGAGCCGGGAGAGAGAGAGAGAGAGCGAGGACGGACACATCTCGTCGTAGGCGATGGGGACGAGGCAGTTGGGCGCGTCATCTTGCGGGACCGGTGCGAGGTCGGCGTAGGAGTCCTTCTTGGCCCAGGGGACGTAGGTCTCTGCCGTGGCCATGGTTGCTGTGGTTGTGCGAGGCGAGTGTGGAGTTGGAACGAGGCGATGCACCGAGGCGGGCCGGGTGTGCGAGAAGACGAGCGGCGGCGCGAGGGAGCTGGTAGCTCGATCTGGAGGTACGGACACAGGTAGTGCAGGTGGTAGAGCTGCAAGAGGGCGCTGGTGAAGCGTGAGAGCGGACAAAGGAGCTCGGCGGGCAAGGGGAACAAAGGAGCGCTGCCTACTCGGCTCAGAGTGCTGGTCTGGCTGGATAGAGCTGATGATGGTCGTATTGTAGATGCAATCACGCGTAGTACAAAATCCTTTGAGCGAGAGCGACAGCCTCGAAGCCGGGTCGACGAGGACGAGGAGGAACCTGACCTCGTCCGACTCTCGACGACTGCAAGCATGAGTGAGCTCGCCTGTCTGCCCTGCCCTCACCAGTGAACGCGAGCTGACCCTGCCTGTGTCCCCGTCCACAGCCGAGGAGTGCGTCGTCCTCATCGCTCCGTGTCGTCGGCTGTCGACGAGCTGCTCACCTCTCCCTCTCTCCGGCCTTGGTCTCGACTTTGCAGCTTTGGAACGGACGTCAAGCCGACCGGTGAGCCACAGCCTCTCCCTACAGCGACCGAGCCCTCGCCCCGCACCTCGAAGAGCCGGACGCTGACCTCCTCTCCTCCCACCTCGCCGTGCAGAGCTCGACGATGCGGTTAGTTCACGTCTGACCTCCTCTCTGGGTTCCTGGACGCGGTCGTCTGGAGCGGAGGACCCTGCCGAGCGTGACCAGCCTCGCGCGAGGACGGCGCCGGTCAAGGGCGATCCGACCACGGCCCACCCTTCGTGCAACCGACACTGACCTTGCGCACCATCCATTCCTCGTTCCGCAACAGCCCCGCGACCGCCAGCGCTCGCGCTCGCGCTCTCGCTCCCCTCCTCCCCGCCGCCGCTCCCCTTCCCCTCGCCGCCGCTCCCCCTCGCCGCGCCGCTCGCGCAGCCCCGCCGCCCGCCGCATGGACACCGACGACCGCGAGCCGCAGCAGCCGCAGCAGCGTGCGCGCTCGCGCAGCCGCGAGCGTTCGCGCAGCCGCGACCGCTCGGAGCGCGACGACCGCCGCGGCAGCGAGCCGCACCGCCCGGCGCCGCACCACGGCCACGGCCACGGTGGCGGCCGCGGCGCGTTCGTCAACCCGATGCAGAAGGCCATGTCGCGCGAGGTGGCGGCCAACGAGGCGGCCAAGCGCAGCAGGAAAGAGTGCAGGGTCTACGTCGGCAACCTCGCGTTCGGCGTCAAGTGGAACGACCTCAAGGACTTTATGCGCGAGGGTGGGTCTGGGTTCTCTGTTTCGTCTCGGGGCGGGCCAGGGCGGGAGCGAGGGCGAGGGCGGGGCAGGCGGCGACGGCGTCGAGGAGCGGCGGGTTGAGGTGGACGCCCGACTCGGCGCTCGAGCCTCTCTTGAGCCGGCGCACCTCGCCGCTCAGGGTCGTCGTCCATCCCTTCCCGCCTCGGTGCGAGACGGTATACGTGTGGGCGGGAGCAGGTCAAGAGTTGAGGGTCAGCAGCAGCCTCGGGATCTGAGCGAGAACGCGGTATTGATGGATGGCTCGGTTTTCTCTCCTCGTTGGACACGGCGCGGCGGCGGTCTTCCTCCTTCCTTCCACCTCTCCGACGTCCTCCATCTGCCGCCATCGGCCTCGTCATCCTCTCGCCTCGACCACATCCCCCTCCCAACCACCTCGACTCGACCTCTCTCTCGGCCCCTCGACTCGACCGACCCGGCCTGCACCCGCCGCGCCCTACAGCTGGCAACGTCGTCTTCTCCGAGATCCTCCTCCTGCCCAACGGCATGTCCAAGGGCTGCGGGTCCGTCCACTCCTCGACCCTCCTTTCCCCCTTCGCTCGTGCCGCAAACCTCGTCCTGACGCCGCTCTCTCCCTCGGTCTCACAGCGTCGTCGAGTTCAGCCAGCCGGAAGAGGCGCAGCGCGCCATCCGCGAGCTGAACGACCAGCAGCTGCTCGGCCGCCCCGTCTTTGTCCGCGAGGTGCGCCCACCTCTCCCCCTCCCTCTTTCCCCCTCTCGGCCGGTCCCGACATAGCTACTGACGCTCGTCTCTCTCGCACAGGACCGCGAGGAGTCGGCCAAGTACGGCGCGGCGGCCATCTCGGGCCGCGCGGGCTACATGGGCCCGGGCGCGTTTGCCGGCGGCGCTCGTGGAGGGTTCGGCGGTGGCTTCGGCGGCCGGGGCGGGTTCGGCGGCGTTGCTCCTGGGTTCGGCGGGCCTGTTGCCGGTGGCGGATCGGGACGGCACCTTTTCGTCCAGGGCGTGCGTCGTCGCCCCTCTCTCTCTCTCTGTCCCTCCCTCCTCCTCGCTCGCCGAGGACCGCGCACTGACCTCGTTGGCCGTCCCACTCGCTCGCAGCTCCCCTTCACGGTTGGCTGGCAGGACCTCAAGGACCTGTTCCGCGCGGCGGGCAGCATCATCCGCGCCGACGTCAAGATGAACCCGGACGGCTCGCACTCGGGCACGGGCACCGTCATCTACGAGACGCAGCAGGACGCTCAAACGGCCATCGGTGCGTCCCCTCGTCCTCCTGTCCCTGGTGCTCTGCGCTCGTCCGGATGGGCGAGCGGGAGCTGCGTCCATGCACGAGCGCGAGCGACTCCTGACTCTGCCTTCTTCTGCGCGCAGACATGTACAACGGCTTCCCGCTCGACGTCGGCGGGCAGCAGTCGGTCCTCGAGGTCCGCCACGACCGCTTCCCGCTCGCGTTCGCCGGCGGTGCGCGCGGCGGCTTTGGCGGCGCCCGCGGTGGGTTCGGCGGCGGATTCGGCGGGCGCGGCGGGTTCGGCGGCGCGGCCCCGTTCGGCGGCGGCATGGCCCCGGGCTTTGGGGCGCCGGGAGTGTACGGCGCGTACGGTGCGGCGGCGGCGGGAGGTGGGTTTGGCGCCGGCGGGTTCGGCGCGCAGGGCATGGGCGGCGGGTTTGCGGGCTTGCCGACGGGCCCGGCGGCGGGCGTGGCCCACATGCTGCCGCCGTCGCACCAGCTCTTTGTCCGCAACGTGCGTCCCGACTTCCTCTCTCTCTCCATCGGCCTCGTCGCGATGAGCGTTTTCTGACGGCCGGCCTTCTGTCGCGCAGCTTCCCTGGTCGACCTCGAACGAGGACCTCGTCGAGCTGTTCGCGACGTGCGGCACGGTCACCAACGCCGAGGTCCTGTTCGAGCACGGGCGCAGCAAGGGCTCGGGCGTCGTCGAGCTCGGCAGCGTCGACGAGGCGACGACGGCCAAGGAGCGCTTCAACGGCTACCTGTACGGCGGGTGCGTCTCCTTCCCTCTCTCTCTCTCGCGTCCTTCTCGAGCCTGTCCTGATGTACCCTCTCCGCCTTGCCGCACAGCCGCCCGCTCGCCATCGACTACAACCAGCGCCCGCACGCCTTTGCGGCCGTCGTCGCCGCTCCCGTCGCCGACTACGGCGAGGCCGGCCTCGACGGCGTCGCGCCCGTCTGAGTCGCGGCGTACATGCCCCCGGATCTGCAACGAAGCGCGAGCGCTTCGGCACGCTTGAACGAGTTCTGCGTCGTGTGGGAGACGTCGGCGAGAGCGAGAGCGAGAGCGGCGAGGCGGCTTCTACCAGGCTGCCAGACCCAGTTATGACCGTCTCTGCGACCCACATCGTCTCTCGACAGCGCGAGAGCGGCGCAAAGCGAGTCCGCGGTCTTGCCGACTCCCCACCTTCAACCGCACAGCTGCTTTCGCGGCACTCACTCTCGCTCTCTCGGCTCTACGCTCTATCGCCTGCGCCCTTTACCTCGCCAGCACTCGACAGCACCCACCCACCAGCCGGCAAAACCGTCCACGATGGCGGTCGGAGTCGGCGGACCCGCAGTGGCCGAGCGGTCGCCCGACGCCGTCCTCTTCGACATGCGCAGCAAGTGAGTCCGCCTGGTTCTCTGTCGATATCGCTGGGACAGGCTGCACCCGTCGCGCGACCTGCAGAGCGAAGCGGGAGGAGCAACCCTCATCGCCCTTGGTCGTCGCCATCTCGAGACGACCCTGTGCGAGCGAGCAGCGCTGACAAGCTGCCGTGCACGCCGCGCAGATCCGAGGACATCCGCTTCCGTGCCGCCAACGAGCTCTCCCACTACGTGCGCCTCAGTCTCGCTTCTCTCCTCCTCGTCCCCGCCCGCCCGTCGGCTCACCGCCCTGAGCGCCCCTCGCACAACCCCCGCAGGTCCTCGCCAGCTCGCGCACCCTGTCGGCAGAAGCCTTCAACAAGGTCTATTCGGAGATCCACGCCCGATGCTTTGCCCTCGTCAACTCGGGCGACCTCCAGGACAAGCTCGCTGGCATCACCGCCATCGGTGCGTCCTCGGCGGCCTCTCCTCTGTCCCTGAGCGGGTCCCGAACTGACGAGTTGTGCCCTGCAGACAAGCTCGTGGACGTCCTCGGCAACGACATGTCGCGCGCGATCCGCCTCGCCGCCTCGGTCCAGCGCGCCTTCCCTTGTCCCGACCCGCTCGTCATGACCATGGCGGCCAAGGTCTTTGGTGAGTCCCTCGTTCTGTCCCGCGTGCGCCCAACAACGAGCGACTGACCGCGCGCAACCCGCAGCTCGACTGGCGGCGCAAGGAGGGTCGCAGATGGGCGAGCACGTCGACATCCAGGTCAAGAGCTGTATCGAGTGGCTGCAAGGTGCGCCGTCTCTTCCTCTTGCTCTCGACCCAAGTGACCCCACACTGACTGTCTGCCTTTCCGCAGGCGAGCGCATCGAGGCACGACGCTACGCCGCCGTCCTCGTCCTGCGCGAGTTGACCCGCTCGGCGCCGGGCCTCGTATACGAGAACGTGCCCGACCTGCTCGACAACCTGTGGACCGCGCTCCGCGACCCCAAGGTGCGTCGAGCGACCTCTTCCCTCGGCAAAGATGCAGCCTGCTCACGCGCACGCTCCCCTCCCCGCAGGTCGCCATCCGCGAGGCGGCGTCGGGCGCGCTCGCCGGGTGTCTCGTCATCGCCATGCAGCGCGACTCTCAGTACCGCAACGACATGTTCACCATGGTGCTCGAGCAGGCGCAGCGCGGCCTCAAGCTCAACACGCACGAGGCCATCCACGGCTCGCTCCTCGGTTCAAGGAGTTGTTCCTCCAGAGCAAGACGGTGCGCCCGCCTTTTCTCAGTCTCAGGCCCACTCGACGAGCCTGGTTCCTGACTCTCGTGACACCCGCAGTACATGAGCGACCGCTACGCCGAGACGTGCGACCAGATCCTGTCGTTCAAGGACCATCGCGACCCGCTCGTGCGGCGCGCCGTCGTCGAGCTCATTCCGACCCTCGCCTCGTTCAACACGCCGGCGTTCACGTCCCAGTACCTCCACAAGACGATGGTGTTCCTCCTCGGCCAGCTCAAGAACAACCGCGACCGCACGACGTCGTTCCAGGCGATCGGCCTCGTCGCCATGCAGGTCAAGGCGGCCATGGCGCCCTACCTCGACCCGATCCTCACGAGCGTCAAGGAGGGCCTCCTGCAGCGCGGCAAGAAGGGCGCGCCGTCCGAGGAGAGCATCTTTCAGTGCATCGGCATGCTCGCCCAGTCGGTAGGGCAGGCGCTCACCAAGCACATGCACGAGCTCCTCGACCTCATGTTCGCGTACGGCCTGTCGCCGGCGCTCGAGGTCGCCCTCACGCAGCTCGGCAAGGACATCCCGCCCCTGTTGCCCGAGATCCAAGGTGCGTCGGCCCAGTTTCGCCTTCGTCCGGCTCGGCGAACCGAGGACTGACTCTCGCTCGCCCCCCTCGCAGAGCGCATCCTCAACCTCGTGTCGCAGATCCTCGCCGGCGAGCCGTTCGTCCAGGCCGGCGCGCCCCGTCGTCAACAGCGCCTCGAGCGCGCCCTGCAGCTCCCGGCCGAGCAGCGCGACGAGGCCCAGATCATGCTCGCGCTCGAGGTCCTCGGCACGTTCAACTTCCGGGGCGTGTTCCAGATCCACCGCACGGCGCCGCCGTCCGAGGCCGACGACGAGCACAGCCTCGGCGAGTTTGTCCGGGACCACGTGGCGCGGTACGTCGACGACGACAACCCCGACATCCGCCGTGCGGCCGCCCTGTCGTGCTGCTCGATCCTCGCGCACGACCCGGTCGTTGGCCAGACGAGCAACAACGCCATCCGGCTCGTCAACGAGGTCCTCGAGAAGCTCCTCACGCTTGCCATCGCCGACCCGGGTCCGTCTCGACCCTTTTCTCTCTCTCGAGGGGATTCGTGACTGACTCGGCTCCTCTCCCCACAGACCCAACCATCCGCCAGGACACGATCTCGAACCTCGACGCCAAGTTTGACCGCCACCTCGCGCAAGCTGAATGCGTCCGGTCGCTGTTCATCGCGCTCAACGACGAGGTGTACGCGATCCGCGAGGTCGCCATCAAGATCATCGGTCGCCTCGCCGGCGTCAACCCGGCGTACGTCATGCCGTCGCTCCGCAAGACGCTCATCCAGCTCTTGACGGAGCTCGAGTACTCGACCTCGGCCCGGAGCAAGGAGGAGGCGTCGACCCTCCTCGGGCTCCTCGTCGGCGCGTCGCAGCGCCTCACGCGCCCCTACGTCGTCCCGATGCTCAACGTCCTCCTGCCCAAGTCGCGCGACGCGTCGCCCGCCGTCGCCTCGAGCATCATGACGACGCTCGGCGAGCTCGCGAGGGTCGGCGGCGAGGACCTCCTCGTCCAACTCGGGCCCCTCATGGCCCTCATCCTCGACACGCTCCACGACCAGGCGTCGACCGTCAAGCGCGAGGCGGCGCTGCACACGCTCGGCCAACTGAGCTCGTACGCCGGCTACGTGATCGACCCGTACCTCGACCACCCGAGCCTTCTCGGGCTCCTCATCGGGCTCCTCAAGACCGAGTCGGGGCAGCACACGCGGCGCGAGATCATCCGCGTCATGGGCACGCTCGGCGCGCTCGACCCGTACCGGCACACGGTCGTCGAGGGCATCTCGAACGACGCGTACGTCGAGGCGTTTAACCCGACCGACCCGACGCACCCGTCCAACATCGGGCCCCAGCACGACGAGTACTACCCGACGATCGCCTTCTCGGCGCTCCTCGTCGTCTTCAACGACCCGTCCCTGTCGGAGCACCACACGGCCGTCGTCGACGCCATCATGTACATCTTCAGGTCGTTGCGCCTCAAGGTCGTCACGTTCCTCCCTCAAGTCCTGCCGGCGTTCCTCAACGTCATGCGCAGCTGCCCCGTCGGCCTCCAGGAGTACTACTTCCAGAACCTCGGCCAGCTCATCTCGATGGTCAAGCAGCACGTCCGCAACCACCTGGCGCCCATCATGGCCACCATCCGCGAGTTCTGGACGACGACGACCAACCCGGGCCTGCAGGTCATCATCGTCGACGTGATCCAGTCGATCGCGCTCGCGCTCGACGCCGAGTTCAAGGCCTACCTGCCCAACCTCCTCCCGCTCATGCTCCAGGCGTTCGAGCAAAACCTCGGGTTCAAGGAGGCGCGCCGCCAGAACACGCTCATCCGGGTCCTGCACGCGTTCGGCATCTTTGGGTCGAGCCTCGAGGAGTACCTGCATCTCGTCATCCCGGCCATCGTCCGCACGTTCGAGCAACCCGACGTGCCCCTCATCCTCCGCAAGCAGGCGATGCAGACCATCACGCAGCTGTCGCGCAAGCTCAACTTTGCCGACCACGCGTCGAGCATCGTGCACCCGATCGCGCGCGTCCTGTCGTCGCCCATGTCGCCCGCCGAGCTGCGCACGCCCGCCATGGAGGCCCTGTGCGCCATCCTCCTTCAGATGGGCTCCGACTTTGTCCTGTTCGTCGGCATGATCAACAAGGTGCGCCCCGCTCTTTCTCTCTCTCTCTCGCTCGACGAGCGCCGCAACTGACTCGTCCTCGTCGTCGCGCGCAGGCCCTCGTCAAGAACCGCATCGTCCACACCCATTACGAGGGGCTCGTCGCTCGCCTCCTCAAGGGCGAGCCTCTGCCCCAGAACCTCACGTTCGGCGACCCGTGCGTCTCGCGCTTTCTCTCTGCCTCCCTCGCCGGCCCCGGCCTCGAGCGACCGAGACCTGACTCTCCTCGCCCGCCGCCACAGGATCATCCTCCCGAGCAACGAGGCGACCGTCGCTGCCGACGCCGGCGTCGGCAAGCTCCCCGTCAACCAGGTCATGCTCAAGGCGGCGTGGGAGCCGGCCGACCGCGCCAAGCCCGACGACTGGCGCGAGTGGCTCAAGCGCCTGAGCGTCCAGCTCCTCAAGTCGTCGCCGTCCCACACGCTCCGGGCGTGCGCCAACCTCGCCGAGGTGTACCCGCCACTCGCTCGCGACCTGTTCAACGCCGCGTTCGTCTCGTGCTGGACCGAGCTGTACGACCAGTACCAGGTGCGTCCCTCCTTTTTCTCTCCCCCTCTCTCTCGCGCAAGAGCCCGGCCCTGACGACGACCTCGACCTGCAGGAGGAGCTCGTGCGCGCCATCTCGACCGCGCTCGCCTCGCCGACGTTGCCGCCCGAGATCACCCAGACGCTCCTCAACCTCGCCGAGTTTATGGAGCACGACGACAAGGTCCTGCCGATCCCGATCGCGACGCTCGGCGCGTACGCCCTCAAGTGCCGCGCCTACGCCAAGGCGCTGCACTACAAGGAGCTCGAGGTCCTGTCGGACCCGTCGGTCCAGACGATCGAGGAGCTCATCCGCATCAACAACTCGCTCCAGCAACCCGACGTGTCGATCGGCATCCTCACGCACGCGCACCAGGTCCACAACCTCGAGCTCAAGGAGGAGTGGTACATCGAGCTCGAGCGGTGGGAGGACGCGCTCGCCGCGTTCGAGCGCCGCACGCAGGAGGCGCCCGGCGACACCGAGGCGACGCTCGGCCGCATGCGGTGCCTGCACGCGCTCGGCGAGTGGGAATCGCTCGCCATCCTCGCGCAGGAAAACTGGTCCAAGGCGCCGCACGACATGAAGCGCAAGATTGCGCCGCTCGCCGCCGCCGCGTCGTGGGGGCTCGCGCAGTGGGAGTCGATGGACGCCTACATCCAGGTCCTCAAGCACGACTCGGCCGACCGCGCCTGGTTCCGCTCCATCCTGTCGATCCACCGCGGCCAGTTCCACAAGGCGCAGAGCCACATCAACAAGGCGCGCGACCTGCTCGACACCGAGTTGACGACGCTCGTCGGCGAGAGCTACAACCGCGCCTACGACGCCGTCGTCCGCATCCAGATGCTGTCCGAGCTCGAGGAGATCATCACGTACAAGGAGGCGACCGCCCACGGCAACCAGGAGCGCCGCGCCGTCATCCAGAAGACGTGGATGAAGCGCCTCAAGGGCTGCAAGCGCGACGTCGACGTGTGGCAGCGCATCCTCAAGGTCCGCGCGCTCGTCGTCACGCCGCGCGAGAACACCGAGATGTGGGTCAAGTTCGCCAACCTGTGCCGCAAGTCGGGCCGGCTCGGCCTCGCCGAGAAGACGCTCAACTCGCTCCTCGGCGACGACCACGCGACCATGGGCGGGCCGGCCATGTCGGGCCCGCCCCAGGTCATCTACGCGCACCTCAAGTACCAGTGGGCGAGCGGCGCCCGCGAGGAGACGCTCGCGTTCCTGCGCGACTTTACCGCCAAGCTGTCGGCCGACCTCGGCATCCACCCGGACGGCGAGCAGGCGGCCAACGCCGAGGTCGTTAACTCGGGGCGCAAGGCCGAGTACACGCGCCTCCTCGCTCGCTGCCACTACAAGCTCGGCGAGTGGCAGAGCGCCATGCAGGAGGACTGGGGCTCGGTGCGTCCCCCCGTTTCCCTCTCCTCCTCCTCAACCTTCTCGCGACCTGAACTCACTCTTCGTCCCTCGCCCCGCCTCGCAGGACATCATCCCCGACATCCTGCGCTCGTACCTGCTCGCGACGAGCCTCGACCCGACGTGGTACAAGGCGTGGCACGCGTGGGCCCTCGCCAACTCGGAGGTCGTGTCGCACTTTGCCAAGAGCCAGGGCGAGCAGGACCCGAACAAGCCCCAGGCCTACTCGGTCCACCTCGTGCCCGCCGTCCAAGGTGCGTCCCACTCTCTCCCGCCGTCGTCGTGGTCGTCCGGAGAATGAGCCGCTCACTCGCTCTCGCCGCCCACAGCCTTCTTCCGCTCGATCGCCCTGTCGACCGACAGCTCGCTGCAGGACACGCTCCGCCTCCTGACGCTCTGGTTCAAGTACGGCCACGTCAACGAGGTCTCGACCGCCATCATGGAGGGCTTCCGCAGCGTCTCGATCGACACCTGGCTCGACGTCGTTCCGCAGGTGCGTCCCCTCCTTTTCCTCTTCCCCTCTCGGACTCTCTCCTCCTCGCGCCAGGCCAACTGACGCTCTCTGTCGTTCGTCGCGCAGCTCATCGCCCGCATCCACGCGCCCGACCCGGCCGTGCGCAAGCTCATTCAGCACGTCCTGACGGACGTCGGGCGGGCGCACCCGCAGGCGCTCGTCTACCCGCTCACGGTCGCGTCCAAGTACCCGAGCGAGACTCGCCGCCGTGCCGCCCTGTCGATCATGAACAAGATGCGCGACCACAGCGCGACGCTCGTCGAGCAGGCCGTCCTCGTCTCGCAAGAGCTCATCCGGGTCGCCATCCTGTGGCACGAGTTGTGGCACGAGGGCCTCGAGGAGGCGTCGCGGCTCTTCTACGGCGACCACAACGTCGACGCCATGTTTGCGACGCTCGAGCCGCTCCACGACATGCTCGAGAAGGTGCGTCGCCGCCGCCCTCCTCCTCCTCCCTCGCCTCTCTCGAGACCGTTTCTGACTCTCTCGCTCTCCTCGACACAGGGTCCCGAGACGCTGCGCGAGATCTCGTTCGCCCAGACGTTCGGCCGAGACCTCGCCGACGCGCGCGAGTCGTGCCGGCGGTACCGCCAGTACGGCGAGATCAACGACCTGAATCACGCGTGGGACCTCTACTACCAGGTCCGTCCCTGCCGTCCCTCGTCCTCGTGAACCCCTTACTGACCCTCTCTCACGGCCAGGTCTTCCGCAAGATCAACAAGAACCTGCCGACGCTCACGCTCCTCGAGCTGCAGTACGTCTCGCCCAAGCTCCTCAACGCCAAGGACCTCGAGCTCGCCATCCCGGGCACGTACCAGACGGGCAAGCGCATCGTGCGCATCGCGAGCTTTGGCGCCAACCTCGAGGTGTTCACGTCGAAGCAGCGCCCGCGCAAGCTTCGCGTCCATGGCAGCGACGGCGTCGAGTACAACTTCCTCCTCAAGGGTCCGTCCCCTCTTCCTCTCTCTGTCTCTCTTCCACCTCGCCTCACTCTGACCTTCTCTTCCCGTGCAGGCCACGAGGACCTGCGCCAAGACGAGCGCGTCATGCAGCTGTTCGGCCTCGTCAACACGCTCCTCGGCAAGGACCCCGAGACGTTCAAGCGGCACCTGACGATCGTCAAGTACCCCGTCATCCCGCTCTCGCCCAACTCGGGCCTGCTCGGGTGGGTCAACAACACCGACACGCTCCACGTCCTCATCAAGAACTACCGCGACAGCCGCAAGATCCTGCTCAACATCGAGCACCGCCTCATCCTCCAGGTGCGCCCTCGCTCTCTCTCTCTCTTTCTTTGTGTTCTCGAGGGCGACGACGGTCCTGACGCTCTCGTCCTCTCACAGATGGCGCCCGACTTTGACCACCTCATGCAGATCCAGAAGCTCGAGGTGTTCGAGTACGCCTTGGACAACACGACGGGCCAGGACTTTTACCGCGTCCTGTGGCTCAAGAGCCGCAACTCGGAGGCGTGGCTCGACCGCCGCAGCAACTACTGCCGCACGCTCGCCGTCATGTCCATGGTCGGCCACATCCTCGGCCTCGGCGACCGGCACCCGTCCAACCTCCTCATGGACCGCGTCAGCGGCAAGATCGTCCACGTCGACTTTGGCGACTGCTTCGAGGTGGCCATGCAGCGCGAGGTGCGTCCCCCTCTCTCCCCTCTTCAGAGTCCCCGAGTTGACCTTCTCAAACCGGCCTTCTCTCGCGCAGAAACACCCCGAGAAGGTCCCGTTCCGCCTCACGCGCATGCTCACCTCGGCCATGGAGGTGTCGGGCATCGAGGGCACGTTCAAGATCACGTGCCAGCACACGATGCGCGTGTTGCGCGAGAACAAGGAGTCGATCCTCGCCGTCCTCGAGGCGTTCGTCCACGACCCGCTCATCAACTGGAGGCTCGTCCAGGGCGGCAGGCAGGTGGGAGGGCAGCAGGCGCGAGGCGGGCCGGAGAACGGGGCGGCGGGTGCGACGAGGCGGCCTCGAGGCGACGAGACCAACATTCACGATGGTGCGTCCCCTCCTCTCTCTCTCTCTTCCTCCCCGCCTCCCTCGTCGCTCTCAAGTCGACGACGAGCATGCACTGACTGTCTTCCTCCACCCGCAGATGGAGCAGTGGGCGAGATCAACACGCGAGCTGTACAAGTCATCGAGCGCGTGCAACAGAAGCTCACCGGCCGCGATTTCAAGCCGACCCAGAGCCTCGCTGTCGATGCCCAAGTCGACCGGCTCATCGAGCAGGCGACCTCGCTGGCCAACCTCTCGCAAATGTTCATCGGCTGGTTCGTCCCTCCTCCTCCTCCTCCCCCTCCTCCTCCTCGTCCTCGTCGTCAGCCGAATCGTCACTTACGCACCCACTCTGTGCCCGTCGAAAATTTTTTAGGTGCCCGTTCTCTGGGTTTCATTCCCTCATCGTTTCGCCCGTCTTCTCACGACTAATACTCGTCCCACGACCGCAGGGTGACCGCCTCCTCCGCCGCCGACCCGACCTTCCCGCCCTTCGACCCACCTCCTCTCGCACCTCCTGCCGTCCTCGATACCCTCGTCGTCGTTCTCTATCCGTCCGCTGTAGCTGTAGACGTCCTGGAAGATACCTCTTTTCTCTCTCTCCTCCTCGTCTCCTCTCGAGCGGACCTCTCCCTCTCGACGAGCGCTCTCGCTCTGCAAGCAAGACAGTCTTATCTCTAACCGTCGAGGAACTGGAGAGCACGAGAGGCCAAGTCACCGTACAAGTTGCAGAACGAGAGAAAGAGAGGTCCTGCCGCTCGATCCTCGCCCTCGCGCCGACCCGCTCACCGCCTCAAGCTCCTCCTCGCCGCCACCGCTCGCTCACGCCCTCGCCGTGCTCGTCGTCGCCGCCGCCGCCGCCGCTGCCCGCTCGGCCTCGACGCGCTTGCACCTCGCCTCAAAGTGCGCCGACCGGCGACTCTCGCCGACGACGTACTCGTCGAACGAGCCCTCATAGACGAGCTCGGCGCCCTTGAGGCGGCACGCCGTCGCGAGGGCGCTCATGGCGTCGGCGACGGCTCTCGGGAGCATGACGTGCTGAGGGTCGAGGTCGGCGGCGATGTATAGGCTGACGAGGGCCGGAAAGATGTCGTGGAGGCGGTCTGCCAGGTCGTCGAGCTGCGAGGCGAGCTCGCCAGGCGAGTAGCAGTTGTTCATGCTGAACTGGTACACGCGGACGTATTGCACATCGACCTCGACGCGGCGGGCGCCGAGAAGATCGACCTCGGCCGGCAGAAAGTCGAACAAAGCTTTGTCGAGGGTCGCCTTGTCGAGGCCGAGGTTTGACCACGCGCCCGGCGCCCCGTCGGTACTCTGAAGCTCGAAGGCGAGAGTTGAAGTGCGACTAAAGAGATCCCGGTCGCCGAACTTGTGCGCGTCGTGTACCGCCTGGCCGATGAACAGGTGCTGCAGGACCGGCAGGCCGTTGCCGACAAGGCTTTGGCGGCCCGTGAGAGTGTTGAAGAACAGGTCGAGGGATGTGAGGCGCGAGAGGGCGAGAGGACGGCTGACGACGAGGTCAACTTGGGCGAAGACGAGTTCTCGGAGCTCTGCAGGGAGGAACGAGAGTCAATATCGGCGCCGAGGGCTCGAACGGACGCGACAGAGCTCACCTTGAAGCTGGTTGATGTCCTCGACGCGAACGCCGTGTACGCGCACGAGCCACAGACGCCGTAGGCCGCGGAAGCTCGAGAGGAACTGAGGCGCGCGCATGATGCCCTCCGTCACTCGCAGGCGGCCCATCGACAGCGCCCGCGCTCTTGCCACCGTCCCCCGCACGACGAGCTCGTCGCCGACTGCTGCGGCGTCCTCATCGCGGCCGATCGAGATGTGCACCGCCTTGAGGAGCTCGTCCTGCGCGACAGCCCGAACACGCTTGTTGACGAGCGACAGGGCACGAACCCCGTCGAGACGCGTCTTGTACAGCCTCGGGGCGAACTCGCCGAGGGCCTGGTCGACGACGAGGGCGAGGAGCTCGTCAGGGAGCGAGAGGAGCGATGAGGATGTGTCGCGGCGGGGGAGCGGCTCGGCGGTGCGCGTTGTGGGTGGCTCGGGGCTGTCGAGGTGCTGCATGCTGCCGTGCCAGTGGTTGCGTTCTGGCTCGAGGGCGAGCGAAGGAGCGAGGGAGCGTGGAGGCGAGCGAGGTGCGAGCGACGAGCCACAATGCCGACGAAACTCTCGCCGAGCTTTTTGGCCTGCTCCGAGTCGCGTCAGAACGCGTTTCTTGCCGAGTACGGTCCTCTCAGTAGCGAGCACAGCTGTGGCCGCCTCGTCCGCTCGCCTCGTCGTGCGCTTGGCCTCGCGCCTTGCTCTGCGGGTGACCGGTTCGAGCAGCGCATACAGTGTATCATTCGCATCCGGGGAGCGAGATCGAGCGGAATCTCCCCTCGACCCCGCACGGACGCCGGCGTGAGCCCGCTCACTGGGAGGAGGAGGAGAGCGTCCGTCCCTTGCTCTCGCTCCTCCTACTCTCCCACCTCACTTGAGCCATCGCAAGGCTCGAGGCGCACGACATGGGCCGCACGAGGTCCACCACGAGCTCTGCGCCCCTCAGCCGCACCCTCCCCAAGCGCGCTCGCCTCGTCACCGCTCGCTTCGACCCGAGCACCATCGCCGCCGAGCCCCAGCAACAGAGCGGGAGCCACAGAAGCACGTCCAAGCCCAGGGTCAAGGTCAAGCCCAAGCCCAAGCCCGTCGCGCGCCAGACCGTCAAGACGCAGGCCGGCCTCAGCCGCAAGTCGGGCGGGACGACGACGAGCGGCCAGCCGGCGTCGCTCCGGGCCAAGGTCCTCGCCGCTGTCGTGCGCCTGTCGCGCGAGAAGAAGCGGGGCAAGAAGGGCGTCGGGCACTCGAGCGTCAACACGTACCGTGCGTCCAACCTTCCTCTCGTTCCCCCTCTCCTCGATCGACGACGACGAGCTGAGTCCCCCCTCCCCCTGCAGTCGCCAAGCGTGCTCCTCCGCCCTCACCCTCCTCCATGGTCACCAGCTTCGCGACCCTCGTCCTCGAGGCCAAGCACCAGCTCGTCCAGGACGGCTTCCTGCGCTACGGCGAGGGCGCGGGCAACACGCTCGCGGTCGCTCCCGGCGTTCGCGAGGACGTCGAAATGCTCTGCGACATCTCGGTGAGTCGCTCCGAGTCTGTCTGGATACCCTAGAGAGCCGACACTGACTCGACGCCACCCGCAGAACCCGAACTCGAGCGACGACGAGCGCGCCTGCACCACGTTCCTCTCGAGCACTGCCGACAAGCGCCGTGCCGGCTCGTCCAAGCCCGCCATCAAGCTCCCAAGCTCCTCCTCGCGCCAGCCCGAGGTCGTCGTCAGCGTCCCGACCTCGTCGCCGCTGTCGTCGCGCCCGTCCTCGTCGGCCCCCAAGAAGCGCCGCGCGAGCACGGCCTCGAGCGACGCCCGCAGCGCCTCTGAGCTCGACACGCTCACCGAGTCGGACAACGTCGCGACGCCGAGCCGCTCGCGCAAGCTCAAGCCGTCGTCGGCGGGCCGCAGCGGGCGCCAGAAGAAGAAGGTCCGCATCGTCACGCCGAGCGAGCAGGGCTCGGACTCGGACGGCGACTCGACGACCGACGCGCAGGGCAGCTCGAACGTCGACGAGGACGCCGACGTCGACTCGGGCGGCGACGAGGACGACGACGGCGAGGCCGGCGCGACGGGCCGCAAGGCCAAGGCGCCCGTCGCCAAGTTCGACACGCGCGGCGGGCTCGGCCGGCTGACCAAGGTCCAGCTCGTCGCCATGATCGAGGAGCTGCGCGGCGCGGTCAAGGAACGCGACGACGAGCTCGGCGAGGCGCGTGAGCAGCTCGACGTGCTCGGCGAGGCGCGTGAGCAGCTCGACGTGCTCGGCGACAGCGCGCGCGAGTGGGAGGCGAGGGCGAGGGAGCTCGGGTGGCAGGACAAGCTGCTCGAGGGGGCGGCGGACGACGTCGAGGAGGGAGCGGCGGCTGGAGGAGGGGTCGACGAGAAGGTCGAGAAGGAGGCGGCGGGCGAGGAGGGCCTGAGCGAGGCCAAGGTCGAAGGTTCGGCGCCGTCGCAGGACGCTCATCCGGAGCCCGAGCCCGTCCCGGGCATCGACGGCGCCGCGATCGACGTCAACAAGGCCGCCGACGTCGACGTCGATGTCGTCGCGCAGCCCGAGCCGGACGCCAACGAGGTCGAGGTCCAGATCTCGTCGACCGCTGTCAAGACGCCCGTCAAACCCGCCACCGCCGACGACTACGACGCCTCGATCGACGCCGACCTCCTCATCGACGACGACGCGTTCGACGCCGAGCTGCGCCGCGCCGGCTGGCCCACCCCGACCGTGCCCTCGGCCGCCACCACGACCTCGACCGACTCGAGCTCGAACGAGCCGAGCCCGCCTGCCCCTCGCCCGTTCGCCGGCGCTCCGCTCCCCGTCGCCGTCCTCGAGCTGGCGGAGGCGGTAGCGCCCGAGCCTCGTCGCGGCGCGTCGGCCCCGCCGGCGCCGCGCTCGTCGCCCTCGGCGCGCGAGCAGGCCCGCCTTACGATGCAGAACGGCTGCATCACGACCGTCATGACGGTCCTCGTCGACTCGCCGGCGTCGCACACGCTCGGCGCCGCCGCGTCGGCTGCCGGCCGCACGTCGGTCGAGCCCGAGAAGGCGGCCGTTGTCCCGCGCCGCTCGAGCCTCCCGACCGACGCCGCGCTGCGCGGGTCGCCCTCGTCGTCGCCGCACAAGGCGCCGGCCGACATCTTTGCGCGCTTCGGTGGCGAGCGCGCGAGCAGCGTCGCGTCGGTCTCGTCGTCCTCGTCATCGTCGGCGGCGGCGCAGGTCCAGAAGGAGCTCGTCGGCGGCAAGCTCGGCGACCCGGCCTCGGCCGCTCGCATCGCCGAGCTCGAGGTGCAGCTCCACGAGTACCAGGAGAGGGAGAAGGAGCTCGAGGGCGAGCTCGAGAAGGCGAGGGCGGAGTGCTCGGCGCTCGAAGAGGACGTCGGCGGGATTTTGAGGTGCGCCTCGCTCTCCTTCTTTCTCTTCGCCATCGTGCAGCGACTCACTTTCGCTCCTCGCCCTACAGTCGCCACCACGACGCCACCATCGCGCTCTCGAAGGCGAACCTCGAGCTCAAGGCGGCCACCGACAAGCTCGTCCTCGAGCGCGACAACCTCAAGGCGGCCACGGCGCAGCACGAGTACGGGCGCGAGCAAGAGCTCAAGGCGCTGTCGACCCTCGAGTCGTACGTCGAGCGTTCTCCCACTATCGAGCGAGTTCAGCCCTTGACGAGCCTCTCACCTGCAGGGACCGCAACGAGATCCGCTCGCTCGTCCTTCGCCACGCGCTCCGCCACGCGCAGCAGGCCGGCAACCAGATCGCGTGGCCCGACTCGGCCAGCCTCTCGCACGAGCAGCTCGTCCCGCTCCTCGAGTCGCTCATGGTCCGCCTGCACGCGCGCGGCCAAGACGTCACGAGGCTCGAGCGCGAGCGCAGCTCGTGCGCCGGCCTCGTCGCCGGCCTCCTCCGCTCGCGCCAGGACGTCGGCGACGTCGTGCTCGCGACCTCGTCGACCCAGGTCGTCGGCGGCGTCGGGACCAACCTCGAGGCGGCGGTTCAGCTCGTCGGCCGTATCGTCGACCACCTCGTCGCCGAGCTCGGCACCAAGCAGAGCGCTCTCGAGGAGGCCTCGCAGCAGGTCAAGGACTACTCGAAGCTCGTCACGTCGTCGACCGAGGTCCTCGTCGGCGTCTTTGGCACCCTCGTCGCCAGCCTCGGCCCGCTCATGTCGTTCGACGGCACGGCGCCGCAGCACCTGCACGCCCTCGTCGAGAACCTCCCCGCCCTCGCGCTCTGCGTGTCGCGCCGTGTCGAGACGTCGCAGGGCCTCGTAACCCAGGCGCAGAACGGGCAGCGCACCGCCACCTCGGAGCTTGAGAAGGTCAAGTCGCAGCTCCAGGTCGAGACGAGGTGCGCTCCGATCTTTCCTCCTTCTTCTGCACGTGCATCTCACTGACTCGTGTCGCTCGGCCGCAGCCGCAACGCCGTCCTCGCCGCCGAAAAGGAGACGCTCTCGACTCGCGTCGTCAAGCTCGAGGGCATCCGCGACTCGTTCATGGCGAGCCTCGACAAGCTCGGCCTCCTCTCGCGCACCTGAGCGTCACGAGGGCACCACGACGAGGAGAGCTCGCAGGCCTAGCCGCGCCCCTTGTCATTCCCCCTCCCTCTCCCTCCCCTCCCCCCCTCTCTCTCTCGGTCCCGCTTGATGATTTAGTACCCTCCGTCTCGTTCTGTCAGTACCTGCCTGCACTGCACGCTTTGCTTTAGTCTCTCTTTCTCTCGGACGTTCTCTCTGTGAGAGCGAGAGAGAGCAAAGGAAGCGACGGCCGAGAGCGAGATGAGGGCGAACCGGAAGCGGACCTCGTTGCAGATCCGGGTGCGCCGAGAGATGCAGGGGAGGAGATGTACGACAAGATGGAGGAGGCTAGGGCAGTACAAGAGGGTGGTCAAGAAGGGGAAGAGGCCGAGGGAGGAGATCGCTCAGGTTCTCGTCGAACGCCCTGCGCAAAGAGAGAGGCACGTGAGCGATGTCTTCTCGAAAGTCGAGAGCGAGAGCGAGAGAGAGGACGCACCTGCTCCTGCTCCTCGTCTGCTGCGCGTCGTCGTGGGCCCCACACGAGCGGGTTGCACGTCTCGAACGCGTCAAGGTCGAGGCTCGCGACGGTCGGGTGCAAGTCGACGAGCGCCTCGTCGTACTCTGCCGCCTCGTGCAGCGTCGGCGCCGAGCCCGCGCCGTCGTGCTGCTGCTGTGTCGACGAGGCGTGCTGGATCGACGACGTGGTCGGCGACCGACCGAGGATGGGCGTGCTCGACTCGCGCCTGAGCGCGGCGACTTGCGGGAGCGAGAACGTGTCAAAGTCGGTCGTGCCCTGGAACGACGCCGAGAGCGTGCTGCTGCGCCCAGCCGTCGACAGCGAGTGCGCTGGGTCGAACTGGAGCGCGGGGAAGAGCCGCCCTGCGTCGCCGCGCCAGGTGCGCGGGTCGTCCGGCTGGACGGGGCCTGCGGCTCGCGCGGCCGCGTCGGGGAGGACGGCGCCGCCGCCGCCGCGCACGGGGCGCGAGACCGAGTTGGTCTCGAGCATGGCGGGCACCGGCGGCAGGTGGTCGTCGTCGTCGACGTCGCGCGCGCCTGAGCACCGCATGCGCTGCAGCGAGAAGAGGTCGGCGCCGCCGCCGCCGTTGCGCGAGCGCGACAGGGCCGAGTTGCTGCGCTTGGTGCGACTGCGGCTGCCCATGGTCGACGAGCGGGGCGTGACGGACGGCGGCGAGGGTCTCGAGACGAGCGAGAACATGACCGAGAAGATGGCGACGAGGGGCACGATGAGGAAGGTCCAGATGGACGTGAGGCGCGCGACGGCCGACCCGTCCTTGATCGCCTGTGTGAGGCTGCTCGCGAGGTAGGCGACGGCGAGCAGGCCCGACGACTCAACCCAAATCTTGGCGTAGGCGGCCGCGCGGTCGCGCACGGACCTGCAGGACGAGCGCGCGTCAGGTCGGTGCGTGTCGACGCTTGGGGAACGGGCAGTGCTCACAGGGTGTGCAGAGAGCGGCCGAGCAGGCTTCGTAGCTCCCGGAAGAGGACGGCGCTGACGAACGCCGAGCCGACGAAGAGCGACTGCGGGCGAAGAAGCGACGTGAGCGCCGTGACGACGAACGAGGGCCGATGCCGAAGGGAGAACTAGACGACTGACCCAGCTGCCAATGTTTGCCCAAGTTATAGGCGAGCCGATGACCAGTTTCGGGTTGGAATAGTCGACCTCCCACGCGAGGAGGAAGGCGGTCGCGGCGAGCCAGAGGAAGATGGCCGTCGACAGGATAAACGGGCTCTTGTTGAGCTGTGGCCCGGAAAGCAAGTCAGTGCGACGTACGAGAGAGAACGAGAGAGCGCGAAAACGGGCGACGCACCTCGTACATGCGCGAGATGAAGAACCCTCGGGCGATGATGCTCATGGCCGTCGCGCATACCTGGGCGAGGACCGTGATCGGCGAGCGGTCAAGGTGCGTGCTCGAGCGCTCGACGATGACGGTGACCGTTTGAAAGACGAGCGCGACCTGGGCAGCGATGCTGCCCGTCGCGAGGACCGAGAGGACGGGCACGACGACGCGGTAGACCCACCGGTCGCGAAAGTACCTGCTCGCGTAGGTGACGGCCAGCCGTAATGCCATGCCCTGCGGTGCGGGAGGAGAAGAGTTAGTGAGGACCACGAAAGGGAGGAAGAAGTAGAGAGAGAGGGGGACGGACGAAGATGATGCTCGAGGCCGGCACGAGGACGAGCAGCATGCGCACGTATCCGAAATGCGCTAGGCCGAGCTGAAGGACCTTTTCCTCGTCGACGAGTCGGTGCGTCGAAACGACGCGGTCCAGGTCGAGGGCCATGGTGTCGGTCGAGTGGGCTCGGGAGCGTGAGGAGGACGGGGAGGAAGGGCGACGAGGCTGCGGCGAGGTCGGGGCAGGGCTGGCGGCCTCGACGCAGCTGCACTCGACGCTTGTGGCGAGCTCGTCGGACCTGGAACTTGAGGGCGTGCGGCCCTGGCCGAACCGGCGGCGAGATGAAGAGGACGAGGCGAGGGGAGCTCTGGAGCGCCTCGCGCAGCTTGAGAGTCGCGCGCGGCAGCTGCCCGAGCGGCGTAGGCGCAGTGTGGCACAGCTGTGCGCCGTACCCAGGCGGTAGTGGGTGAGGAGCGAGGAGCCTGGGCGAACTCCCTCTCCGCGCGCTCTCGATCACCAAGTCTCAAGAATCGCCAACAAGAAGGTGCACAAAAGGTGGCCCGAGAATGCACGCAGAGACGCGGTCACCACCCAAACACGAGGTCGCTCACCTTGCCCAACACGCCCTTCTGCCCCTGCCCCTGCTGCTGCTGCTGCGCCAACACGGCCTGCTTGCTCTTCTCAGCAAACAGGCTCGCGTGCGGGTCCGCTCCTCCTCCTGCTGCGCCGCCGCCACCGCTCGTCGCCGCCGCACCTGGCGTCCCGCCGAGGCCGAGGAAGCCCTTGCGCGTCGGCGTCGGCTGCGCTTTGAACGCCGCCTGCGGGCCGAGCACGTTGGCGGGACGACCGACGCCCGACGACCCGCCAGGCGTCGCTCCTGCGCCGACCGGCGCCGACTGGGGCCGCGACGGCGCGCTGCTCGTCTCACCGCTCGCCTCGCCGCCGGCGAGCGCACGCTTGAGCCCGTCCTCGTCGACGGCCTTGACGCCGACCATGAGGACGCCGCCGAGCACGTCGCCGTTCTTGCGCGCCGCACGGGCGGCCGACCACGGCTGGGCGTACACGACCGTGACCCAGTTGCCGCCCTCGGTCGACGGCGACGACGACAGGACGTCGCCGAACTGGGCAAAGTGCTCGAGGATGAGCTCGAGCGCCGAGGCCGGGAAGCCAAAGACGTGGACGGCGTAGCCCTTGGACGACGACGAGGTGGACGAGCCGGGGTGGGCGAGGACGGAAGACGAGGCGAAAGGCGAGGCGGTAGGGTCGTTGGCGGGCGAGCGGCTCAAGCTGCGAGAAGGGGAGGAGGAGAAGGGTCAGGGCGCGCGACAGGGGCCTGAGAAGAGGATGCGAGTCGGCGCACCCGTTCATGCTCGAGTCGGTCTGCAGGCCCGACTGGTCCGCGCCGTCGTACTCGTTGAGCGAGGCGACCGGCGGCGCGTCCTCCTCGACCTCGTGCTTGTACGCGCTCGCTCGCGGAGGGGCCGTGTACGGCGCAAACTTGGGCGACTTGGACGGCGTGCTGCTGCTCGGGATCGACAGTCAGTACGCAGGGAGGTCGTCGAGAGGGCCGCGAGAGTGAGGACGCACCTGTCGCGACCGCCAAAGAGGCTCCCGCCGCCGAACCGGGTCACGGGCGAGCCCGAGACGGAGGTCCTCCTCGCGGGCGAGTCCCACGAGCGGTCGTCGGCTGCGGCTTGAGGAGGCGTCGACTCGGCCTGCTGCAGTGCACGGCGTGTTAATCCTTGCGCGGGACCGAGGAGAGCGAGAGAGCAAGAGGAAGGGGGAGAGCTCACCTGCGTGGCCGCTCCACCCGAGAGGTAACCCGGCAGGTAGTTGCGCTTGGCTCCAGGGGTGCCCGATCCGCCTCCTGTCGAGCTCTGCATCGCGCCCTGCCCGCCAAACGGGCTGCCGTAGCCCTGCCCTGCGCCGCCCGACCCTGCGCCCGGTGCCGCGCTCGCGCCAAACCCACCAAACCCGCCCGCTGCGCCGTGATTGCCGCCACCGAACTGCGGGCCGGCGAACGTGGTCTGCGACGCGGTCGAGCCGAACCCGTTGAAGGCCGCCGAGGAGCCGCCGCCGCCGCCGCCGTAGGGTTGAGCGAAGGGCTGGCCCTGCTGAGGGGTGCCGAAGCCGTTGGGGCGGTAGGGCGAGTTGGTGCTGCCCTGAGAGAACATGGCTGCAGGCTGGCAGCTAGCACACGAGCAGCGGAGAGATGTGGGCAGAGGGCGAGCCGCTCTCGTCCTCCTCCTCCTCGGAATCGCTCCGTCGCCAAGTCCGAAAACACGACCTCTCGCTCTCTCTCCTTCGAGCTGGCGACGAAAGAGAGGCAACGCTGTGACTGCATGACAAGTGTGCTCAAGTCCTCGGCCCCTTCTTCTTCAGGCTCGACTTGCTCTGCGTCGCGATCCTCTTCTTCTCCTTCCTCGCCCGCTCGAGCGCCCTCGGTTCCCTCCCCAAGATGGCCTCGGCGACGCCGCCGCCACTCTTCTTGGCCACGTTGGCCTGCTTGCGCTCGTAGCGCTCCGACAGCCGCTTCGACTCCTTCTTGGCCGCGCGCCGCGCGATGCGCTCGGCGTCCATCGACTTGATCTTCTTGCGCTCGTCGGTCGGCAGCTGCGCGAGCGCCTCGGCGAGCTGCTCCTGGTGCTTGGACCGCGGCGCCGAAGGGCCCGACCGCCCGTGCTTGGACAGGGTCGGGTCGCGCGGCGCGGCGAGCCGGACCGCCTTGGGCCGGCCGTCGGTCGCCGTGCCCTTCTTGCCGCCGCTCGCCCCTGCTGCTGCTGCGGCGGCGGCACCTGCGCGAGCCGGGAGCGACGCGACGGTGCGGGCCGACGCCTTGGCGCGCGCGGCAGCCGCCGTCGTCTTGCACCGCTCGAGGCGCACCTTGCGCTTCGAGATCTTGAGGTTCTTGCCCGGCGGGAGCGCGAGCAGCTCGTCGACGCACGATTCGTCCTGTACGACGGCGACGAGGAGGCGGGGGAGGGAGAGGGAGAGGGAGAGGAAGGCAGGGAGGAAGAGAGGGTCAGACTCGAGGATTTGGCGGCGGCGGCGGACGAGGAGGGAGAGAGAGAGGAGGGCGCACCTGGAGGAGCACGTAACAGAATCCCTTGCCGAGGCCGGTGCTAGGGTCACGCACGATGCGCACGCTCTCGACGAACCGGCCCTCGACAGGCTCGCCGCGCTCGCGCACGAGGACGGCCTCGGTCGCCGACCGGACGCTCTCCTCGTTCTCGGCAAAGTCGAGGCCGCCGATGAACAAGGTGCGGCGCGCCTCGAGCGCCGACACGGTGTGGGCGTCCTGGTTGCGCGGCACGTCGGTGAGGTCCATGTTGGGCTTGGCGGCCATCTGGGCGGCGGCGACGAGCGCGGCGGCCGACCGAGGGCGCACGGCGTCGGCGTGGAGCGTGAAGCCCTCGAACACGCTGTTGTTGGTCGCGCTGACGAGCGCCTTGACGACGGCGACCGGGTCGACGCCGTCCGGCAGGGCCGCGATGACGAGGTAGGCGTTGCACGCCTTCTTGCCCTCGTTGAGCTCGCCGCGGATGAGGGCGACCCGGCGCTTCTGCCCGTCGGTCAACGGCTGCGAGTTGGCGCCCGTCGTCGGCGCCTGCTTCTTGCTCTCGCGCTCCTTGTACCCGCCCTTGACGCCGCGCAGGTCGCTGTCCTCGTTCTCGCGCCACTCGCGCGCGCGCTTGCGCCCGCGCCCGCCGGCGTTCTCGTCGTCGTCGCCCGTCGCGCCCGCGTGCACCTTGCGGCCAAACACCTTGGACGCGAACGCGAGCGAGCGGAACCGGATCGCGTCCATCTTGAGCGGCGGGCAGCCCGAGGGCAGGGTCGACGCGAGGGCCGGGTTCTGCAGGACGTGGCGCACGAGCGACTTCTTGAGCGACTGCGGGCCGGGCTTGGGGGGTCAGTCTCGAGGGAGGGAGGGCGGGCGCAGAAGAGAGAGGGACGCACACGAGACGTCGAGCACTCGGCGGGCACGTTGCCGAGGAAGATGGTCCTCGCGTCGCGCGCCTCGGGCGTCTCCTGCTGGCGCTGCACGAGCTTGGCGCTCTTCTTGCCGCCCTTGTCGGCCTTCTTGCCCTTCTTGTCGCCCGGCGTGGAACCCGACAGGGCGCCCGAGATCAGGTCGTTGATGTCGAGCGGGCCGTCGTCGTTGTCGTCCTGCTCGTCGTCGTCGTCGTCGTCGCTGTCGACCTCGACCGGGCTGTCGTCGCCATCGTCCTCGTCCGACACGTCCTCGTCGGCCGGCTGCTCGGCCTTGCGCTTCTTGCCCTTGCCCTGCTGCTGAGCTGCGGCGGCGGCGGCGAGCTGGCGCTGCTTGAACGCGGCGGCCGCGAGCTTGGCGGCGTACTCCTCCTCGAGCGCGTCCTCATCGTCGTCGTCGAGGTCGCTCAGTTCTGCGCCCGACTCGAGCTCCGACAAGTCGGCGTCGGCGGCGGCGGCGGCGGTGCCCTCGTTGGCGGCCTTGTTGGCGGCGGCGGCGGCGGGAGCGGGTGCCGGGCGGGGCTGCTCCTTCTTGGGCTCAAAGGCGCGCGACGGGCCCTTCTGCAGACGTGCGGCGAGTGAGCTCGAGCGAGTAGAGAGGAGTGGGAGGGTTGTCTGTGTGGGACGCACCGACGTGGCAAAGATGTCCTCGAGAGCCGCGTCCTTCGAGTCGGCTTGTGCGAGGAGGAACGACGAGAGGGCCGCGGCGGGAGGGGCAGTGGCGGAGGCGGGGGCGTCCTTGGACGATCCCTTGGACTTGGATTTGCCCATGTCGAGCTCTGTGCGAGGGCTTGAGCTGGTGGTGGTGGTTGAGCGAGGAGCGCTGGCCGCCCTCGAGCTCGACCGCGACGGACGAGCACCGCCTCGCTCGCTCTCACTCCTCACGGCCGTTCGAGCTGCGCAGTCGCGTGGCTGCGTTACTGTGCTGCCTGAGCTCCCTGCTCTGCACCCGCCGGCGTCCCGCTGCGCCGCTCGCTTCCTCGCCGCCACGAACCTCGCTCGCTCGACCTGTCTCATCTCTCGCTACCCTCGCAACCTGTGCGAGTCGAGGGCGTGCGGTGGGACACGCCCGTCAAGCTGTCACAAGCTCGCGTGCGCTCAAGTGCGAGCAGCGCTGCGCTGCGACCAGCTTCCCCTCGTCCCCCACTCGGCGTCTCCACCTCCGCCCTCCCCGCCTCTCTCCCTCTCTCTCTCTCAGCCGCACGAGCGAGTACGCCATGGACACCAAGCCGCCAACACGCAGGGTCACCGTCTTCAGCGCCCACGTCGACCCAGCCACAGCCTCGACCCACACGCTCCCCATCCGCCTCGCCTTTTCTCCCTTCAACTCGGGCGACTGGCGCATCACGTACGCTCCGCCGCCAACCAAAAACGGCCGCTTCGAGCCCGCCGCTGTCAAGCTACGCTGGGACCGCGTTGACGTCGAACCCGACCTGTGCAACGCCCGACTCGCCGTCGAGGCGGACGGCGAGGTGCACTCGGTCGAGATGCCCCTCGCGAGCCAGCGCGCCTGCGAGTGGATCGTCCTCGTCGGGAGGCCGACGACCAAGCTGCGCGTCGTGCTCGAGGTCGACAAGCCGCACGAGGAGCCGGCCGCCGTCGACCGCGTCATGGGTCCGTCCTCGTCTCTCTGTCCTCGTCCTCCTCCATGAGCTGACTCTCGCGCCCGCCCGCAACAGCCATGATCGACCAGCCGCAGGTCATCGACGTCTGCCTGACCTTCCCGGGCGACCGCCGCACCCTCTTTGCGTCGTCGGCGCTCCTCGCCACCGCGTCGCCCTGGTGGGCAGAGTGCCTCTCGGCGCGCGGGTTCAGGGAGGAGACCATGTCGATGGCGCACACGCCTGCCGAGCCAGGTTGGCCCGACTCGGACTGCTCCGACGACGACGACGACGACGAGGTGTCGTCGCGAGGTCGTCGCACGCCTGCGCTCGGCAGGAAGGTCGTCGCCGACCTCGCCCAGCTCTCGATCCCGGCCAGCCCACCTCCCTCGCCGCCGACTCGCTCTCGACCCCTCATTCCTCCCCACATGCGCGTCGTGCCCATCGTCGGTACGGCATACCGCACCTACCGCGCCTACCTCGCCTGGCTCTACACCGGCACCGTCGCCTTTGCCCCTCTCTCCTCGTCCTTCCAGTACCCCTCGTCTCCTCCCTCGTCCTCGTCCTCTCTCCCCTCTCGCACCTCGCCCTCGTCCGCCTCGACGCAGCGCCGCGCCGCCCTCGCCCCCTTGCGCACCCTGCACCCCTCGCGCCCGCACCCGGTCTCGCCAAAGTCGCTGTACCGCCTCGCCCACTTCCTCGACACGCCCTCGCTCGCGGCACAGTGCCTCGCCGCGCTCGCCGACGCCCTCACGGTCGACAACGTCGCGCACGAGCTGCTCGCGCCGCCGGCCATGGGCGAGGTGTACGACGACGTGTGGAACGTCGAGGTTGGCTTTGCCGAGGAGGCGTGGGACGACGTGAGGGGGAGCGAGGCCATGAGGAACGCGGCCGAGCGGATGAAGGGCGAGGGAGGAGCGGGACCGCACGAGCTCGCGACGCTGCTCAGGTTGAGCGGGATCAAGACGTGACGCGCTCGGACCTCTCTTCCCCTTTCTCTCCGTTGCACGACCGCACATGTACTTTCCACCTCGAGTCTACTGCCCCATCGTCCCTCTCGTCGCGCACGCTCCGTCGCCGAGAGAGAGAGAGAACGCGAGAGCCCCTCGCCGCGAGATCCTCCTTCCACCGAGAGAGCCCCGCCCGCGCGCAAGCAAGCCCCGCCACCGACTCTACTCACAGTGCACCTCGCCGTCGCCGTGCGTGTGGCACGACCCCGCCGCCGTAGCCGTCGCCGACGCCTCGCCGACCGTCACCTCGGCCGGCACGGTCGCGGTCGCGCTCGCGCTCGACGACGCCGACGAGCTCGCCGCTCCGTGCGAGTGCGCGTCGTCGTCGTCGGTCGGGAGGTGCGCCGAGGCGCCGACGCAGCCGTTGGGCGGGAACGCGACGTCGCGGGCGTAGGCGTCGAGCGCGCTGCGGGCCGCGAGAGGAGGGAAGGGAGGGGGGGTCAGTGCGTCGCTCGTCGAGAGCTCGAGAGAGAGAGAGAGGAGAGTGACAGGACGCACTAGCGCTGGAAGGTCGCCTGGTTGTAGACGGTGAGCGAGCTGTTTGAGGCGGCGAGGGCGAGGACGTCCGGGTACGAGTCGGCTGCGGGAACGGCTCGGGGTCAACTCTCGAGGTGGCGGAGCGAAGGGGAGGCAGGGCGCACCGGCGTGCTCGACGTGGTGGTAGACGATCGACGGGATGTGCATCATGCGGTGGACTGCGAGAGGAGACGTCAGGTCGGGAGGCTCGTGCGAGAGAGGAGGGAGGCCCGGGCGCACGCAGGTCGGCTCCGAGCCAGTGCGACGCCGGCGCGACGCCGATCTCGTTGCCGTCCCAGCAGAGCGACGACAGGTGCCATCGGTCCGTGTCTGCGGGGGAAAGAACGTCAGGGGAGCCGCAGAGAGCGGACAAAGTGGACGGACAGGTGCGGTCGCAAATAACGGTCTCCTCGGTGGCATTCGAGCCGCGATAGTGACCCGCCCACTTGCCCTCGGCGGTGGACTGATCGCAGTTGCCGTCCGGGTTGTCGCAGCGCAGCAGAACGCCGGGCTGTGGACGAGCGAGAGGCGCAGAAAGTCAGAGCGAGTCCTCGAGGACGCCGGCGGACTCTGGGCCGATGGCGACGCCGCCGACGTGCGCCACGGTGCGACGTGATGTCGAGTGTGAAAAGCTGAAAGGTAGGGTAGGCAGCAGGGGAGGCGGAGAGAGGAGGATGAGGAGGGAGGAGGAGGAGAGGCGTTTTGGGAAGGTTGCGGCGACGCACCTTGTTGCCCCAGACGATCTGCGCGTAGAGGCCGCTCGCCGCGGCACTCGACGCGTTGCCAAAGTACTCTGCGACGAGACGAGTCAGTAAAGGCCCTGCAGGAGGAACAGGGACCGAGAGAGGGACGCACTGACGTAGAGCGGGTCGGTCTCGCCGAGGGTGAGGATGCGGTCGTGCGCGTGCTCGGCGAGCGCCTTCATCTCGTTGAGGCCGTTGCGGAGGTACACCGTCTGGCTGGCGTTGCACGACTCGTGGATCTGGACGTCGGCGACGTGGCCTTCCCAAGTTTTGGTCTCGGCGCGCTTTGCGAGCACCTTGGGCGCCGACGAGACCGAGAAGAAGGGAGCGGCATGGGCGGCCGATGCGGCGAGTAGCGAGACAAGAAGCGTCGGGGCGAGCATGGCGTGCTGCTGGGGCGAGGGCGTGGAAGAGAGGAAGAGGAAGATCGACCGTCAGGTTTGTCGTCGATTTTGTCGAACTCGCGCCGACATTCTCCTCCTCGTGCCAAGCGAGTGCACCGCCGTGCACCTTGGCAAAGTCGGCGCTCGATCACGCAGAACCGGATCGTTAACCGGTCGAAGCCAAGGAGGGTTGAGGACCTTCCCGGCTCCAGTCGCGGTCGGGACGAGGGGAACGAGGGGGACGAGTGCGCACCTGTGAGACGATAGACTCGGCGACGACGAATACGACGAAGACGAGCGGTGTCAAGGTCGTGGGAGAGCGGCAGGAGATGGACGAGGCCGAGCGACACTGAGGAGGAGAGGATTCAGTTCGAGTCGGCGACAACGAGGAGGAAGAGGACGCACCGAGGGTGTCACTGAGCCTCAGCCGTGCCGAAGCAAGAAGCTGAGCACCGAGAAAGCGAGGCGAGAGGAAAGGAGAGCGAGAAGAGATGCGCCGACGCCAGCCTCTCGCGCGCTCAGGCGCGGCCCTCGAGAGGTCCAACCGCGTCTCGATAGTCACCGTCGCTCTAGTCGTCTAGGAACTCGCTCCCTCTCCTGCTCCACTCGGGCATCTCGGCCGGCCCCTGCGCCGCCTCGACCCCTCGCACGGTCCCCCTCACTCGCGGCGGCCGCCCCTCGCCGTCCATCCACTCCGAGTCCCACACGTCGCGCACCGTTGCGCGCTTGGCCGGGTCGCGCACGAGGAGCCGACCGACGAGGACCTGCACGGCGGGCGTGACGAAGCGCGTCGAGGGCGTCGGCGGTGCCGAGAGCGGGTCGTCGAAGGTCGAGGACGGGTGCAGGCCCGGCTCGGAGGCGGACGCGCCGTGCGCGAGGTGCGAGGGTCGTGCGGGTGTCGAGGCCGAGAGGGACGGTGCGCGAGAGAGCGACAGGGCGCCGGGCCAGCGGTAGTCGGCCTTGGCGATTTTGAGAAGGTAGGCCTTGCGCCCTCGAGGGCCGGCGTCGGTCGCCTCGACGAACGGCATGACGCCCGTGATGATGGCGAACAGGACGACGCCGAGCGCCCAGGCGTCCGTTTGTCGGCCGTCGTACTTCTTGCCCATGATGAGCTCCGGCGCGGCGTACTCCTCCGAGCCGCACCGGGTCGCGAGGAGCGGCGACGCCGGATTGATGAACCGCGACAGGCCAAAGTCGGTGAGCTTGACGAATGGAGTCGGCAAGGACGACAGGAGGGTCGAGGGCGAGGCGCAGGGAAAGGGCCGGCACGTGAGGAGGATGTCTGCGGGCGACGGCAAAGAGGACAGGTGAGCGACGGCTCGTCGACGACGACGACAACGATGAGTGCGAGCGGGACGCACTCTCGAGCTTGATGTCGCGGTGCACGAGTCCGACCTCGTGCATCCACCCGACGGCCGAGCACAGCTCGCCGAACATGCGCCGGGCGAGACCCTCCGACACCTGCTGGTGCCAATCGCCGAGAAAGTCGAACAGCTCGCCGCCCGGGCAGTAGTCGAGGACGAGGGCCGTGTAGACGGGCGTCGAGAACGAGCTCGAGAGCGACACGAGCGACGGGTGCTGGATGTTCTGCGGGCGCGAGGAGGGCCAGTCAGTGCTCCTCCCTGAAGGCTCGAGAGTGAGGGAGGGGGGCACACCTTGAGGACCTCGACCTCGCGCATGACACTGATGCGCATGCGCTCGTTCGCCTCGCACGTCTTCTTGAGCAACAGCTTGAGCGCGACGAGGCCCGGCTCGACGCTCGAGCCGCTCGTGCCCGTCGGCGTCGCCGCTCCTCGACTCGACGACTCGCGCTCGCGGCTCTTGCCCTTGGCGAGACGAGCGAGGGCGACGCGCGAAAACGAGCCCGTGCCGAGGACGCGCTCGACGACGTAGTCGCCAACGCGGTCGCCGCGCTGGAGCGGGGCGCCCTCGTCTTCTCGCGGCGACGAGATGGGCGGCCCGGCCGCGACGGCTACGGCGGCTGCGACGTCGAGGTCGCGTGCGGGTCGACGGGATGCAGGGAGCCCGGCAGGCGTGGTGGCGCCGGACGAGGCGGGCGAGGGTGCGTCGTCGAGCGCGACAAAGTTGTTGAGGAAGGCGGACGGCGAGGGCGAGTTGGTGCGCGAGCCGAGCGAGCCGAGGTCGAGGAAGCGTGACCGAGGGCCCGGCTCGACGGCACTCGGGAGGGACGACAGGGGCTTGTGCGGGAGCGAATGAGGGCTGGGCGATGCGAAGCCGGACGAGGGCGAGGGCGACGACGTGTTGAGGGCGGCGAGGCGAGGTCGCAGGTCGTGCAGCGGCGACGCCTCGTCGCCGTCGAGAAAGCTGCCAAGCGGCCTCGACGGCGACACTCGCCTCGGCGTGAGCGCGCCCGACGGCGCCTGCCACCCTCCCGCGTCGGTGCTCGCGACGCTGCCGATGCTCCCTCCTCGGCCGCGCATCCAGCTGTTCGACCCGCCCGCCGCCTCGTCGAGCCAGCTCCCGCCGCTGCTCGACGCGATCGACGACCGCAGCGGGTCGTGCGTCGCCTTTTCCCAGCCGGGTGAGGGCGGCAGGGGCGCCGCCAGGCCCGCCGTCGACGAGGAAGACGGTCGCGGCCCGTTGGTGCTGCGGTGGTTGAGCGAGTTATTGCGCGACGGCGGGTTGAGCGGCGGCGACAGAGCGCGCGACATCTCGTCGTCGAAGAACGAGAGCGTCTTGCTGCGCGCGGGCTCTCGGCGCCCGTCGGCGTCGGCGTCGGCGCTGGAGGCGGCGAACGACGAGCCGTTCTTGACGGGCGACGTGCTCGGGAAGGCGCCAAACTCGTCGACGGCGCCGGCGCCGTGGTGGTTGCTCGCGGCGCTCACCCAGCTGTCGGTGCGCGCGCTCGCGCCCGGAACCGACGGGCGCCCAACGCTGCGCCCAAAGTCGAGCGACGGGTCGCGAAACTCCTCAAACACGCTGCTCGCCCTCGAACGCCCGCCGCCCGTCCCGACGCTCGCCGCGTTCCACCCGCTCTGCCAGTTGCCGCCGCCGGGCGCGCCTCCTGCGTCGCTCCCGCCGCCGTTGCGCGCCTCGCCGCCAAAAAAGCCCCACTCGCGCCCTTCGAGGGGCGAGGGGAGCGGCGCCATGCGCTGGTCGCCGTACGCCGACAGCGTGTGGTACGTCTCGCTCGTGGCCGAGCCCCACGAGCCGACGCGGCGCGCGAACGAGCCGGCCTGCGACGTCGACGGGGTCGGTGACGCGCTCCCGGGCGCGACCGAGAGGTGCAGGGCGGGCTTGCGCTGCAGGTTGGCCATCGTGCAGGATGCCGTCGGAGTTTCCGAGAGATGTGGCGGCGGCGGCGATCGCGTCGAGGGAGGGGGAGAGTCGGGTCGGGTGTGGGGAGGTCGAGGGGATGGCGACGGCGACAGGGTGAGGCCGCAACCTCGGGTCGTGGACGTGTCGTGAGAAGCTTGTTGCGGCGGGGCGCACAGGGCTCTGGCGGGACGAGGCGGAAGAGGGAAGAAGGGGGAGGAGGTGGGCGAAGGCGGAAGCGCAAGGGCAAGGTGTACTCGGCTTCTGCGGGAGGGTGAATTGTCAGTGCTGCGTCCTTGCCGAGCCCTGCAGAGCCTGCACCGTGTACGAGCCCGTCCTCGTGGTCTTCTCGGCGCGAGATAATGTGCTTGGCCCGCCTCGCTCGTCCAACGAAACGATGAATGAGGACATGGGGCGCACCTGGTTCAGTCGGTCGCGTAGCTTGGCGGCCTCCTCGTAGTCGTGCGCCTGCTGGGCGTGGTGGTGCGGTCGACGAGGGGCAGGTTGAGCGAGTGGGCCGACGGGGCGGGCAGCGGACCGCACGGGTCGCGAGCGGGTGCGCAGGTGTGCGCTGAGGGTCGCTGGTCGTGTAGAGCCCTTGCCCCTGGCTAGCAAGCAGGCGTGCGTGTGGGCTGAGCGGGTGAGGAAGAGGAGCGCAGTTGTCAGGCACGGTCGCTTCCAGGCTCGCCAACGTGCCCTGTCCTCCGCAAAACACACCCTCCGATAGCGCGCAGAGCGAGCAGGCAGCCGGCGACTGAGTGCATCACGACCCACGAGCCGGCCCACGCTCGCTCTCGAACGAGCTCTCGCCTCGAGCACGCTCTGACCTCGACTCGACGTCGCGCAACAGAGGACTGCACGAGTGACAATACAGGGACGAGGGACAGACATAGGTAAGAGCTACACAGACCGAGAGACGGTCCCGCGAGAGGACCGAGAAGAACGAGAGGAGGCGGGCGAAGGAGGAAAGAGTTGGGAGGTGGAAGGAGGAAGGGAACGACGAGGGAAGAGGCGCTGCCTGACGACCGCCGACGGACGACGACGACGACGACGACAAGGTCTAGAAGTAGAGGACGCCGCTGTCGAATGTGACGACGGCGTCGTCCTGGGCGGCGAGCACCTCGAGGAGCTCCTCGACCTCGGCGCGGCCAAAGAGCTGGGCAATCTCGAGGCCGCCGTTGAGCGGCTCGATGATCATGTCGAGCGTGAGCTCGTCCGTGTCCTTGAACGCGTCGCTCTTGCGCACGGCAGCGAGCCGGGTCTGGAACAGCTTGAACCGCGCCGGGTCGACGCCCTCTTGAGGTGTCGGCGCCTGCTCGACCTGCGCCGCCTGGACGACGGCCGCCGGCGGCGGCGACGGCAGGCCGCCGTCCTCGGCCTCGCGCATGGCCGCCTCCTCGTCGTCGTCGGCGTCCTGCTCGCCCTGCTCGACCAGCATGTAGTCGTCCTCGCCCTCGACCGAAAACGCCGCTGGGCTGCTCGCCGCCGCCGCCGTGCTGCCGCGCGCGCTCGTGCCCCGCGTCCCTCGCGCAGGCTGGGCGCGCGAGCCCGACCGAGGCGGCATGTCCATGCGCTTCGGGCCCCGGCCGTCCTCCTCGTCCTCGTCGTCGCTCGACTCGTCGCCGTCGTCGCTCGACTCGTCGCCCGAGCCCTTGTCGCCGCGCTTGGGCTTGTTGAGCTTGCGGCGCTTGGCCTTGTCGTCTTTCTTGGACGCCTTGACGACCTCCTTGTACAGCGCGTACCGCAGGATCTCCTCGGCGGCGATGGCGTCCTCCTCGAGGACGTGCTCCGACAGGCGCGCCTTGGCGTGGGCAGTCGAGAGACGGATGAGCGTCTCGAGCGCACGGACCGTCATTGGCGAGGTCTGCGGGCGGTGAGGGGGAAGGGGTCAGGGACGGTCGACGGCAGGAGAGCGCGAGAGACGAGGGAAAGAGGGGACGCACCCGCTTCTGGTTGGGCCCGGCGTCGTCGTTGCGCAGGTTGGTCCACGACTTGGTGATGATCTCGGACGCCTCGGGCGTGAGGACGGGCTGAATCGACTGCTTGGCGTACTGGATGTACTTCTTGACGAACGCGATCGTGAGGACCTCGGGCACCTTGGCCTTCTTCTTGCCGCCGCGCTTGACGATCTGGGGGACGACGCCGCCGTGCAGGAGCGGGTTGAACTTCTCGAACGGCGACGCGTTGGCCTCGATCGAGTTGGCCGCCGGCTGCTCGGTACCGACGCTCAAGTGCTGCTCGAGCGTGTCGAGCGCCGGCGCGCCCGGCTCGAGTCCAGGCTGGACGTAGCGGTGCATGCGCAGGACGTGCTCCGAGATCTGGCGGTCGCGCTGCTCGTCGGCCTCGTCGGTGACGATGAACAGGAGGTCGAAGCGCGACAGGAGCGAATCGGGGAGCGCAATGTTCTTGTGCGGGTCCTTGTGCACGTCGTACTGGCCGTAGATCGGGTTGGCGGCGGCGACGACCGAGCACCGGGCGTTGAGCGACGTGTGGATGCCCGCCTTGGCGATCGTGACCGTCTGCTGCTCCATGACCTCGTGGATGGCGACGCGGTCGACCTCGCTCATTTTGTCAAACTCGTCGATGCAGACGACGCCGCGGTCGGCGAGGACCATGGCGCCGGCCTCGAGGCGGCGCTCGCCCGTCTCCTTGTCGGTCGTGACGGCGGCCGTCAGACCGACGCCGGACGAGCCTCGGCCCGTCGTCGCGATGGCGAGCGGCGCCGTGTTGAGGACGAACCGGAGCATCTGCGACTTGGCCGTACTCGGGTCGCCGACCATGAGGACGTTGATGTCGCCGCGCAGGTGGGTGCCGTTGGGCAGGTTCTTCTCGACGCCGCCGAGCAGGAGGAGGAGGATGGCCTGCTTGATGTAGTCCGAGCCGTAGATGGACGGCGCAAGCGACTTCCACAGGAGCTCGTACGCGTCCTTGCGCTTCGACACCTTGCGGATGTCGCGCACGTCGTGCTCGGACAGCGTCATCTGGGCGATGCCGGCGCCCGACTTGGCCGACAGGAGGACGATGTGGTTGGCGATGATGAGCGTCCTGCGCGGCACGAGGAGGAACGAGTCAGTGCCTGCGGGAGAAGGAGAGAGGGGTGGGACGCACTTGAAGTGAGCCGACCCGCCGTTGCCACCGCCGAGGCTGCGGTACACGCCGACGATTTGCAGCCGGTCGCCCGGCTTGCACTTGTCGACGAGGTCGTCCTCGAGCACAACCTCGACGCTGCGCGGGAGCTGGCCCGCCGGCGCGCGCTCGGGCATCTCCTGGATCGAGATCATCTGGTGGTCCATGAAAGTCGACAGGCCGTGCTCGATCTCGAGCGGGTTGTTGTCGGCGTCCGTCTGCGGGTAGGCCGACGACGAGACGGGTGCGCCCGACGCTGCGGCCGACGACAGGCGGTCGGTGTACAGGCGCGTGTGAAAGTTGGACGTGGTCGGGCAGTAGTGGACCGACTGCTGCATCTTTGGGCGGACGAGGTTGCCTGCAGGGATAACGGCTTAGTCAGTTTGGCGGTCGAGAGGGACAGGCAGAACGAGGAGGACGAGGACGAGGACGCACAGCGCGTGACGATTCCCTCGAGGCACACCATCTTGCCGAGCTTCTCGCTCTTGAGCGTTCGAGGCGTCGTGTGGTTCTCGCCAAACGAGCCCTTGTACCCGACATAGAACGTGTCCTGCTGGAGCGCCTCGGCCATGCGCTCGCTCGCGACGTTGACCGCCGTCGCCTTGAGCGCCGCATCTGCCGCGGGTAGCCACGAGGCCGGCTCCTTCAGGAGGCTGTATAGGGACGAGTGGCACGATCATCAGGCCATGCTCCTTGCTAAAGAAATGCGAAGAGAGTGAGGACGCACCCGTCGCAGAACTCGCGGTCAAAGTCGCGCAGGTCGTCGAGGTTGATGATGAGGCGGCGCTCCTGCGCCTCGCACATCTTGCGCACAGCAGTCTTGTACGGCATGCTCATGCGCTGTGTGGGGTACCGAGTGTCAGTGACGGTCCGGCTCACGCTCGCGGCGAGCGGGCGACTGACGGCGAGGACGAGGACCATGGCGAGAGATAGGGAGACGGGGGACGCACACGAGCCTGCGCCGAGCCCGGGTCGAGGTCGAGAAACTCGGTGAAGCTGTGTGCGGCGCGTCGGGTCAGTCCTGCGCCGTGCTGTCGTCGGGCTGATGAAGGTGGGCACGCACCGACGAGTGCGGGCCTGCAGCTGGTCATCCTGGAGGACGGGGAGGTCGGCCATGGTGGTCGGGGTCGCGAGCTGGTCCTTGTGCGTGCGAGGACGGGGTCGCGAGAGCCGTAGAGAGTAGCCGTGAGATGAGCGGAGGAGGAGGAGGAGGAACCACTCAAACGCGATGCGACGCGTTCCCCGAGTCGCTCGTTTTCGGCCACGAAAGCGCCAGACCGGTCTCCCACTGTGCAGCGGAACAGAGTGTATACGCTCGAGCGAGAGAAAACGCGACCGCCCGGAGCCGAGCTCTCTCCCTCCCTCCTCGACTCAATCCTCGTCCACTCGCAAGCGTGATGCAGCGATTTCTCGAGAGCTGGACAAAGCTACAGATGCGCAGACGGTCTCTATAACAGCGAGGGAAACGACAGAGAATATGGATATCGGCGGGCGCAAAGCCGTGACGACCAAGTGCCCGCGCTCTGACCTCCTCGTGCTCCTCCTCCTCCTGCTCGTCGACGCCCTCGCCCTCACGGCGACGGCACGACGCTCGCGAGCCGGTCGCGCACCTTGTCGAACTCGCCCATCTCGGCCTCTCCCCACTTGCGCCGGCGCTCGGTCGTGTACCCGGCGAGGACGTAGCCCGTCTCGGTCGACTCGGCGACTGGGAGCAAGATCCCGCTCGCGAACCCGCCGGCGCCTGTGGCCTGCGCGCCTTCGCCCGCCGCCGTCGCCGTCGGCGATCGGTACAGGAGGCCGCCCTCGGGCGCGCGCAGGGCGCGCAGGTGCAGCGCCGGGTCGAACGACGCGTTCGAGTCCGACGGCAGGTTGTGCGCCGCGACGAGGGTGAGGGCCGGTTGGCCAACGATCGAGGGCGCCGGGGCGCACGACGCGAGGTCGAGAGAGACGACGTAGACGAGCGACAGGTCGAGCGACTGGGCGAGCGAGGTGCACGCCGTGGCGAACACGGACGACGAGGACGTGTCGGCGACTGGGGAAGCGTGCGCGCCTGCACCGGTGGATGGTGGAGGTGTGGGTAGAGGCGCAGTTGGCGCCGGCGCCGCTGGCCCTCCCTCGCGCTCCGAGCCCGACGTGGACCCGCGACGCCCGTCCCAGCTGACGTGGCCTCCCTCGCCCGCGCGCTCGACGCCCGACCCGCCCGACGCCGCCTTCCTCGCCCGCTCGCGAGTCGCCGTGCGCGCCGTCGTCTGCGACACCGCGCTGTTGCCGCCGCCGCCGCCAGCACCGAGCGCCGACGCGCTCGCGACCGTCGACGAGACGGACGTGCGGCGCGCAAACCGGTGCTGCTCACGCTCGCGCAGGAAGCGGTCGATCTCGTGCGTGACCTGGCTCGCCAGCGAGCGGCTGCGGGCATCGTCGGGCGAGTGAGCTCGTGCTGCCCAGGGGAGACGATCGACGAGAAGGGGAAGGAGAACAGGGACGCACAGGTTGGCGCGGTCGGACGAGCCGAACTTGCTCGTGCGGGGCCAGTCGTCGAGAAGCGACACGGTGCCGATCGCGATGCGCCCGCCGGCCTCCTCCTCGAACCCGGCGAGCGAGGGCAGCGACGGCGCAAAGATGGGCACGCCTGCGGCACAGGATCGACGAGGGGTCAGTCTCGCTGCTCGACGAGCGCGAAAGGGAGGGAACGCAAGGGACGCACCGGCAAAGAAGCGGATCCCGAGCCCGCTCGGCGACGCGCCGAACGTGCCGCTCATCGGGTTGCTCGGGCTCTTGCACACGACCTCGTTGCCGCGGAAGCGCCAGTCGCGCTCCGTGTCGGGGACGACGAGCCCTCGCTCGCCGGCGAGGAGGACGTGCGCGTCGAGGGCGTGCGAGACGGGGAGCGTCGTCGTCCGGGTCGGGAGGCCGACCGACGCGAGGATCGTGACGTGCGACGACGCCGCCGTCGGGAACAGGGTGATGATGGCGGCTTTCGGCACAGGCTTGAACAGGGCCTGCGAGCCGAGAGGGGCGTACAGGGCGCGGCGGAGGAGGGTGAGGAGCGCTGGGTGGTTGCGCAACGTCATGGCCGAGATGGCGTCGACCGGCGGCGCGTGCGACAGGTGCTGCCCGTACGGCTGCGCGTTGACCATCATGGCGGGCGACGACGGCGGCGGCGCGTACGACGACGACGGGAAGACGGCGCCGCCTTTGGTCGCCGGCGACGGGCCCGAGTGCGTCGTCGACGGCGCCGTCGACGCGTTCGACGCCCTGCGCCCCGCCGCCGCGTGCACCGACTGGACGAGCGAGTCGCGACGGCCGCTCGTGACGCTCGACCCTGCCGAGGGAAGCGACGGGACCGGGCTGCCGGTGGTGGTCGACACGTGGAGCGGGACGGCCGACGCGCTCGGGAGCAAGTAGGTCTCGCCGAGGAGGTCGAGCTGGGCGAGGAGGCGCTCGCGGGTCGGCGTGACGGGCGAGAGGTGCAGCGGGGCGGGAAAGTGCGCCGCCTCGTATGGCGACAGGCTGGCGGCCCCTGCTCGGTGCGGCGCCGCCGCCGAGGGGAAGGTCGCAGAGATGCTCAAGAGCGCGCCGAGTGGCGGGAACGGCGGGTCCTCGAGGTCGAGCTGGCCCTGCGAGTCGACAAGCCGAGTCAGTTCTGCATGCGAGAGGAGACGAGAGACGAGAGGAGGAAGAGCCCGACGCACCGCCGCGTACGCCGCCGTGTACTCGTCCCACGTCTTGGGCACAAACTCGACCGCGGTCGTGCTGTCGATCCGGCCCGCCCCTCTCCTCGAGTCCCTGCTCCCCCTCGACCGGTTCAAGTCGAGCGACTCGAACGCCTTCGTCGGCACGCCCGCGTCGTCGTCTCGCGCCGTCCCGCCCGCCAGGTCCTCGGCCCTGCGTCCCGCCGTCCCGCCCCCGCCGCCCGACAGGTAGCTGACGCTGCCGCTGAGCAGGCGCCTCGCCTTGCCCGCGAGGCGCTTGTCCTCCCTCGCGCGCCGTGCCCGCTCGGCGGCGAGCAACTCGTCGCGGTACGCCTGGGCGTCGCTCCTCGCGAGCGTCGACGCGCGGCTGCTGACGCTGCTCAGGCTCGTGCGGGACGCGGGTGCAGGCGGCGGCGGGGTCGTGAGGAGGAGGATCTGGACGTCGAGCGGGATCGGCGGCTCGTAGCTGATGCGGGCCGAGCGAGGGGCGGCCATGCTGGGGACTCCCGAGCGAGGGAAGGGCTGGACAGGGCGGGTCGAGGGAGGGGCGACGGTGCGGAATGGTCCGGTGGGCGAGTAGGACGCGAGGCCCGGCGACGCGAAAGGGGGAGGTTGAGGCGAGTGGGCGAGGCCCGGCGGGAGGGCGTACGGGCGAGGCGCTGGGAGGACGCCGCTCGGCTGCTGTGGAGGAGGTGCGGCGATGCCGATCGACGACGAGTAGGACGAGTGCGAGCTCGTGCGGTGCTCGAGCCGAGGGCGGACGGTGCGACTTGCGAGCGGGAGGCGGTGGTCGACGTCGAGCTTGAGCGACGGGGTGCGGCCGAACGTGTAGGGCACGAGGACCTCGTCGACGGCCGTTGTCGTCTCGTCGCGCTCGTCGTCCATGCGCGCCGCAGCGTCGGCGTCACCGGCCGCAGCTCGGGGAAGAGCAGCGACCTCGTCACGCGCCTCGTCGTCGTCGTGCGCCGGCTGGGGCGGCACAGGGCCCGCCGCAGTGTCCATGCAGAGTAGCAGAGCTCGTGCGTGGGCTTACGCTGTAGCGAGAGCGAGCGGGTGTGGAGGGAGTCCAGGGACGACCTTGGCTCGAGAGAGCTTCCAGGTTCCTCGGCACGTGGGAAGCCGAGACACCTCCTTTCGAGCGGGGGACCGCGACATCTGTCGGGCTGACTAGCGCGTCTTAAGGACTGCGGGATTCGGCGAAGAAGCAGCCGGCGTTCGCGACGAGGAGCTCGAGGAGGACGGGGACGAGGCCGGTTGGTGAGGACGCCGACAGAATCGCTCGTTACAGAGACAGTCTGTGCACAGCTACAAAAGACGAGCATCACCCGGCTCGGCGCGAACAAGCGCACACGCACGGCGTCGACGCGCGGACCCCTTCGCCTCCTGGCGTCCGGAACACCGCCGCTAGCTCGCCTCGATGACCCGCCACGTCCTGCCGGCGAGCTCGACCTCGGTCGTACCATCGCGCGGCACGTCAAAGTCGGCGAGCGACGGCAGCTCGGCGCCCGCGCCGGCCTCGAACGTCGTCTCCCACCGCCCGTCGTCGCGCCTCCTCTCGCGCCGCACGGCTCCGAACCCGCCCTCGCCGCCGTCCACCAGGCCGAGCTCCCACTCGCCGACGCGCCCGACGTATGCGCGCTCGGACCGGCCACCCGGGCTCGCGACGAGCTCGAGGAAGACGACGCGCGCGTCGGGCTTGACGGCGAGGCGGCGCCAGACCTCCTCGTACGGGGCGACGAGGCCCGTCTCGGGTCGGAGCATAAAACCCCTTTCGAGTACATCGCCATTTGAGAGGGGCTCGAACGAGCCCTCGTCGGGGGCAGAGTCGTCTTCGTTGTCGGGAGAGGGGGAGGAGGAGGAGGAGGGGCGGCGCGAGTCGAGGAGGGCGGTGAAGCGCGCGCGTGGGTGCTCTGTGGTCGTCGAGGAAAAGCGTAAGCTGGCTCGTACGAGGACTGGGCTGCAGGACAGAGAGGGAGGGCTCACCTTGGCCCGGCTCGAGAGGCAAGAGCTCTTTGCGGCCTGCGGTCGCCCAGCTGATGCGCGGGTCGGCTCTGCTCGGGTTCTTGCGCGGCGTGGGCGAGGGCGAGCGGCTGCAGGCGGCCTTGTCGATGCGCAGGTCGAGGTAGAAGCCAGACCTGCCACTGATGACGAGGACGTCCTCCGGCTCGCTGTGCGGCTCTGGCGGCCAGCAGATGGAGACGCGGATGGAAGCGAGCGGGTCCATGGTGTAGCGGGTACGCAGCCGGCCTTGGGCCACAGAGGGTGAGAGCGAGAGACCGATTGGCACCGCCTCGTCTTCATCTCTCCCTTCCTCCCACCCCCTCTACGCAACCTCGATCTGCTCGAGAGATGGCTGCAGACCACGCAGAAGCGCACATCCACCTCGCAGTCGCGCATGGCGGCCGCACCGTCCCCTTTGCCCTCCCCACCACCTCCGACCTCGCTCACCTCAGCCACACCCTCTCGACCTCGTTCAACCTCTCGCCCGCATCCCTCAAGCTCGTCGTCAAGGGCAAGAAGCTCGCCCTAGGGGACCTCGGCGACGACACGGCGCACAACGAGCTCGGCGCCGCCCTCGAGGACTTGCTCGGGCACGACCCGGTCGCAGCGGCGACGACGACGACGACGACGAGCGGCAGCGTTAGTCCCGCGAGTGGCGACGACGTCAAACCCGTCAAGGCCCTCCTGATCGGCACCCCGTCGAGCGCGCTCGACACCCTCCACGCCAACGAGGACCTGCGCGCCCGCAAGCACGCCGCCTTCGTCCACCACGCCCAGCGCGCCTCTCTCGCCCGTCCAACGCCCTCCTCGCGCATCCGCACCCTCACCGACTCGACCTCGGCCGCGTCGCGCTTCACCTTCCACGCCCTCGAGCCCTTCCCCTCGTCGGTCCCCGAGTTTGTGCGCCGGCGCGCCATGCTCGAGCGCCTCGCGGCCGACCCAGCCGTGCGCGACGTCATGCTGCGGCACGAGTTTGCCGTCGGCGTCTTGACCGAGTTGCACCCGGTCCTGCAGCCGACCCTGCTCGGGCTCAACACCAACTACGGCCAGAAGGTGTCGCTCCGGCTCCTCACGGACCGCCTCGACGGCACGAGGGCGTACGGCGAGGTGCGCAAGGTGCTCCTTCACGAGCTCGCGCACAACGTCCACGGCAACCAGTGCGTCCACCGCTTTCCGCCTCCAACCTCGTCCCCGGACCGGCGACTCACCCTCTCCCTCTCTCTCTCGCAGCGACACCGGTTTCAAAGAGCTCAACTCGCAGCTCAACAAAGAAGTCGCCGCCTTCGAGTCGTCGCCCTACTTTGAGCCGTGGGACCCCTCTTCCTCTTCCTCGTCGTCGTCCGGCACCTCGCCCGAGGACGCGCACCGCCTCAACGAGGCCGAGGCCGAGCGCGTGTGGGACACGTTCGCGTTCGGGCACGAGGACGAGGTCGAGCTGAGGAGGGACAGGGTCGGACGCGCGGCGGAGGAGAGGGCGAGGAGGGCGAGGGCGGGCGGGGCGCAGGAGGAGGAGACAGGGAGCGCGAGGTGAGCGGGTTCGCGGCCGCTCGGGCCTCGCGCCTCGCCCCGGCACGTGCACGGTCGTCGTACACGAGCCTGGCGCCACGCACGACGCCGAGCGCTCGGCCTGGCGCCGCGCCGCGCCGCGCCCGTCCTTGCGCCTCACCGCCATCGACCGGTCCGCGCGCGCCGTCGCGCGCAGCTCGACACTCGCCGAGCGCGCGCCCACACGCCTTGCCACTGTGCGTGGCCCGACCGAGGGCGGGACGCTGTGCAGGCAGGCCCCCTCTCTCTCGCTCGGCGCACGTTCCCCTTCCTCTCGTCGGCCTCCTCGACTTCTCTTTCTTCGAGCTTTGCGTAGATGGTCGTAGACGTTCCTGCATCTAGATCGTCCATCGTCTCTCTGTATCCACGAGAGCAGCGCACAGACTGAAAGTACAGGGCTCGGCAAGCTGAGGACAGACACAAAAAGCTACACAAGCGCCATCGCCGCCGCTGCCGCACCTCCCTCGCTCCCTCTCACGCCTCGCCCTCGACCCCTCCCCCTCCCCCTCCCCCGCCAGGGTCCTGCGCCTCCCTGCTCGTGAGCGGGACGTACCTGACGCCGTACAGCCTCGTCCGTGTCACGTCGCCTCGCGCGTCCTTGTCGACCTGCCAGACGGCCTGCTGCTCGCCCGGTCCCGAGGACCCGAGCGGGATGAACATGCGGCCTGGGGAGGCGAGCTGCGAGAGGAGCGAGGGGGGGAGGGAGGGCGAGGCGGCACCGACGTGGATGGCCTGCGGACGGACGGGAGAGAGAGGGAGGGAGAGGGGGTCAGTGCGGCTGTGAGGGAGAGGGGGAGGGGCGAGATGGGGCAGGATTGATGAGAGGGCAGAGAGGTCGAGAGAGGAGAGCGGCTGAGGATGTCGAAGGGAAAAGGCTTGGAGAGAGGAGGAAAAGCAGCCGACGCACCTGCCACCCTCCCTCGGGCACCAACCCCCTCGGTGCGCCCTCCCTCCCATCCGCCACGACGCACCTCACCCTCCCACTCCCCTCCTCGCCCTCGCCCTCGCGCACAACCACGCCCCGCACCGCCGGGTCCGCGTCGAGGTTCTCGTGCGCTTGCTTGACGAGCGCCGGGATGTGCTCGATGCCGAGGACGGTGCCACCGGGGCTGACGAGGGCGTGAAAGATGCCGAGGAGGTAGCCAGAGCCGGAGCCTGGGAGGGGTGCGAGAGGTGAGGGGAGCTCGGCGAGGAGAGGGGACAGAGGGTGGGACGCACCGACGTCGAGGACGTTGCTGCCCGGCTGGAGGAACGGCTCGAGGTTCTCGATGGCGCTGCGAGAGACAGACGCGGTGTGAGCGCAGGTTCACTGGAAGGACGCCGAGGCTGGCGCGCTGCGGCGACAGCCTCGGCGAACGAGGGGAGCGGCCGGCTCACTTGGCGTGCATGTGCGGCGCACTGATCGTTGCGCCGTGGCTGCGAACATGGCGCGCTCAGTTGAAAGTCGAGCGAGGGCGGCATGCGTGGGCGGCGCTCGTCGACGAGGAGCGAGGACGAGGGACGCACGTGAGGTAGGCGGGCGAGTCGACGTAGGCGTCCGAGAGGTGCGGGACGTAGTAGCGCCTGTCGACCTGCTTGAAGGCGTCGATGACCCTGCGACCGACGCACAAGAGTGAGCTCGAACTCGCCGGAGGAGGAGGAGGAGGGAGGGGGCGCACCTCGGGGTCGAGAGGAGGCCGGCGCGGGCGAGGTTGTCGACGAGCTCGGTGTTGTTGGCGCCGGTGCACTGCCAGGCCATGGTGGACGAGTGCGCTCGGGCGACGAGTCGGGCGAGGAGACGCTGCACGTCGACGAGCCGAGGTGGGGCGGTGAGGGGAGGGAGGTGGAGGACGAGGGAGGGGTCGCGAGCAATGGCGAGTGGCGTGCTGCGAGTCTGCAGGGGTTGCGCGAGTAGGTGCGAGCTCAAGCTGAGCGCATCGAGTGCGTGGTGGTCGGAGGTCGAGCACCAACTGATGAAGGTCGACCTCGTCCTCCTCGAATCTCCCGGCTCTCGCTCTCGACAACGACAGATGGCAGCCAGAGCCACCGCCAAGCTTGCTCTCAGGGCACCAGCACCTGCCCGCATCGCCCCCTTGGCCCGGCCGCGCCTCGCTCCCTCATCGCTCCCCGTCAACCGCCGCCTCGCGTCCTACTACCCTACCCTCGAGCGCAAGCCTCAACGCGGCATCAAGGTCGGACACCTCTTTGCCGGTCTCGCCCTCCTCGGTGCGCCCCCCACCCCGTCCTCTGGTCCCTCCGTCCCTCACGAGCTCACACACCTTCGCAACACCCTCAGGCATCGGCGCCACCTCGTACGGCCTGTTCCAGTTCTACCAGTCGTTCACCGCCTACCCCGACACCGCCTCGCACCCGATCCGCTCAAAGCTCCGCGCCGCACTCCGCGCCCAGTCGGCCGGCGAGCACGCCCGCTCGTCCACCTTCTTCGCCTCGGCGTACGACCTCGCCCTCGACCTGTACGCCCGGGGCGAACTCGCCCCGACGACCGACGAGGCCATAGAGCGCCTGACGGGCATCGCCATTCGCTGGGGCGCCATGTGGGAGTCGGTCGCCGACACACAGCGCGCCATCGAGGCGTACGACACCGGCTTCCAGCCCGTCGCGGCCCGCGTCGAGGCCCACCAGCTCGCCACCTCGTCGTCGTCGTCGGTGACGAGCACGCCGCCGTCGCCCGTCGAGGTGCGCCGAGGCGCCGCCATCGCCGTCAAGCTCGGCGACCTGTGGCTCAAGCAGGGCGGCGGCGGCGGCGGCGCCGCGGTGCGAGCGGGCGAGGCCGACAGCGAGGCCGAGCGGTACTACACGTGGGCCGTCCAGGAGCTCATGCGCCTCAGTCTTACGGACGAGCAGAAGGCCAAGGTGCGCGCCCAGCTCGTCGCGCAGGACGCACCGGCGGCGGCGGCGGCGGGCGAGGCGCCGACGGACAAGAAGGCCCGCAAGGAGGACGACAAGGACCTCGAGGTGCCTGGGTGGGTCGGCGAGGTCGAGCTCGTCGCCGCCATGGAGCGCCTCGGCGAGCTGTACTCGCGCCTCGGCCGCATCGAGTGCGTCGCACGGTCCTCTCACCCTGTCCTCCCTCGCTCTTGACGAGAGGTTGACCTGGTTGTCGGGTTCACTCTTGTCGCGCACAGACTCGCCCAGCCGTTGCTGCAGCAGGCCATCACGATCCTGTTCCCGCCGCCGCCCAAGGAGGGTCCGAAACCGCCCTTGCCGCCCATCCCGCAGCGCTGCCACGCCGCAACCCTCGTGCGTCCCCCTTCTGTCGCGCTTTCTCTCTCTCGCACACCCCGACTGACCGCGCACCTCGCTCGGCACCGTGCGACGCAGATGAACAACCTCTCGTCGGCCCTCGTCTCGTCGGCGTCGCCGAGCGCGGCCCAGATCCAGTCGTCGGCCGGGTGGTCCCGCCAGGCGCTCGTCGTCTCGAACGGGTGCCGCTCCGAGGCGGCCAAGCAGCGCAAGAAGCGCGGCGACGGGCCCGTCGAGGTGCCGCTCGCCGAGAGGGAGGAGAGGGAGTGCGAGTTGACGGCGATCGTCGCGAGCTACAACCTCGGCAAGCTGAGCGAGGTGCGTCCCGACCGGTCCTCTCTCTCTCTCTCGACGACGGCGTCCATCCTTTCTCGACGCCCGTCATGCGCCTCTCCTCGCCGCACCAAGCCAACTGACCCTCGTCCCCCCTCCCCCTTCCCTCCTCCTCTCCCGGCCCGTCCTCGCCCGCCCGCCCGCCTCGCAGATGTCCAAAGACCCCGACTCGGCCGAGCAGTGGTTCGTCCAGTCGGGCACGCACGCGACCAAGCTCGGCCTGCACGACGCGGCGAGGCAGAGCAACGAGGCGATCCGCCGGCTCAAGAGCGCGACGAGGGCCAGGGCCGCCGCCGCTGCGAGCGGGGCGTAGTAGAGCGCGAGGGAGCGAGCGTGTAGATAGAGGGGGTGGGGAAAGCAGGTTTGAGCTGGTTCTGCGGCTGCGAGCGAGCGAGCGAGGAGGAGGGGCCTGAACTTGGGAAGTTGGGCGCGGCGACGTCGAGCATTTTCCTCGGCGGGGGTGCTGTGTCCACGAGTGCATGGTACCGAGAGCTGTCCCGTCAAGCTACTCCTCAGAGCGAAAGCCAGCAAGGCGAAAGCGCCAGGCGCCTCGTCGAGCATCCTCGTCGTCCACTCCCCCTCTCGCTCCCTCACGCCTCTCAACGCTATCAACTGTGAGTCTGCCGTGTCTCGCCCCCTCTCGGCGTGCCGCAGCCTCGGCGCACACGCGCGCACTGGCACTGCCGAGCGCGGAGGAGGACCGGCGGGCGGGCGATGAGAGGACGGGTCGTGCGCCGCCTCGCTCGCCTCTCGGGCGTCCAGACGGGTGCGAGGTGCAGCCAGAGGAGCTCGGACATGCCGTGCGGGTCTCTGCGTGCGCACTGCGGGGCCGCCTGGGTGGTGAGGCGGCCTGCGGTGCTGACACGACGAGGCTCTCCTCCCAGCCGGCGCCACCACCCGTCCTCCCCCGCCAGGCGAGGGTTCAAGCAGCGCCTGTGCCCCACCAGCACCACGCACTGACACCTTGCCCGCCCACGCAGAAACGCAATGGCCCTCAAGCGCATCAACAGTGCGTCGCGCTCGTCCTCCCTCGTCCCGCGGGCCGTCTCTCTGCCCGTGGGTGTGCTCGCGGCACCGCGCTGACCACGTCGGTCGCACGTCCGCAGAGGAGCTCCTCGATCTCGGCCGCGACCCGCCGTCGTCGTGCTCGGCGGGCCCGACCGGCGACAACCTGTTCAGCTGGCAGGCGACCATCATGGGGCCGGTGCGTCTCCCCCTCTCGCCTGCCTCGGTGCGGCACCCAGAACTGACCCGTCCTCGTTTGCGCGCCATCTGCAGAGCGACTCGCCCTACTCGGGCGGCGTCTTCTTCCTCACGATCACGTTCCCGACCGACTACCCGTTCAAGCCGCCCAAGGTCGCCTTCACGACCAAGATCTACCACCCGAAGTGCGTCCCCTTGCTCTTTGTACCCCTCTCGTGACCAGGGCACATAGCTGACCGAGTGCTTGCGCCCGCAGTATCAACGCCAACGGCTCGATCTGCCTCGACATCCTCCGCGAGCAGTGGTCGCCCGCGCTCACCATCTCGAAGGGTGCGCCCTCGTCTCTCTGCTCCATTCTCTCTAGCCAAGCACTCGCTGACTCTCTACCCCGCCCCGCAGTCCTCCTCTCGATCTGCTCGCTCCTGACCGACCCGAACCCGGACGACCCCCTCGTGCCCGAGATTGCCAACCTGTACAAGACGGACCGCGCGCGGTACGAGTCGACGGCGCGGGAGTGGACGAGGAAGTACGGTGCGTCGGTGGTCCTCTCCCCTCTGTGCTCGCCGTGCGGGTCCTGCCCAACGCAGGTCCGCGGCGTGCCCACGGCTTCTTCGACTCTGACGCTCACGCTCGTCCACAGCCACCTAAACGCTCGACTCGAACGGTGCCGAGGCGACGGACGGCGTGGAGGAGTGGCAGGTTCTCTTCGAGGGCGACCGCGGGCGACCAGTTGCCGGGGCGTGAGGAGGCGAGACGGGGCGGCGGGTTCCTCGGACCTCGTCGCTCGCTCTCGCTCTCTCTCTCTCTCGCTCTCGGTGCTGCCGCTTCGCTGGCGGTCCCTCGTGCGCTTTGTCGTATCTGTGTCTCCCGAATCCAGTACCTTTTCTCTCTTCCTCTTCCTCGTCGAGCTCGAGAGGGTGCGAGCGCGAGCGTCTGGGGCTCTCTCGCTCGCTTCCGCTTCTTGCCCCTTTCGCCTCGGTGGCTCGCGCTCGTCGACCGCCGCTGTGCTCCAGGTCCTGTGCGCGCCGGCCGCAGGCGCGCTCCCCTCGAGCGCGAGCCGGTCCGGCTCGGCTCGCGACGGATACTCGCCGTTCCTCCGCCTCTCTGCCTCTCTGCGCCGGCGCGCTCTCTCTCTCTCTCTCGTGGGTCCAGGATAAGCTTTTCGGGGCTCAATCTGGCCCTCGTTCGGCGGGCGCACGGGCTTCGGCGTTGCTGCGGGCGAGCCTTGCGCTCTCGGGCCTCGTCGCCCAGGGGCCAGCTGAGAGGGACGAGAGTGAGGATCGTCCGGAAGGCATTTGCGGGGACAGAGAGCTCGCATCTGCGGCGCGAGATTGTGCAAAGGGCCCGGGGCGCGGCGGGCTGAGGACGAGCGAGCGAGGGAGCGGATTCCGGAAGCAAGGACGGACAGTCGGAAGCGCGCCCGCACGAGGGAGGTCACGCTGCGGCTCCTTGAGGCTGGAACCCTTGGAGATCTGAGCGTGTGCAGTCCGAGGAGGGAGCGCTCGGAGAGGAAGGGCGACTGTCCGAGCAACGTGAAGGGGTCCGACCGGCGACGCAGTGCGAGCGCGTGCGCACCTGGCGAATGGGCGCAGCGAGGGCGCTCGTCGACGTGCGGTCGTAGAGCAGGCGACGAGTGAGCTGGCGTGTGCGAAGGAGGAGGAGCACGTTCAAGGAGAGAGAGAGGGAGGTACGGTAACGGAAGCTTGCAGCTTGAAGGCGATCGAGGAGGCGAACTTGAAGTGATCGCGCCGAGACTTCGCGTGCGTCGTCCCAAGGGCCGCGACCCGCCAGCATGCTCTCCCCGCCTCCGAGGCCAGCTTCCCTGGCTTCCCCTCGCTCCACCCTCGACTGAGGCGCCGCTCCCTTTGACGAGCCGCCCCGCCAGCCCGCCTGCTCCTCCACCAGCTCGCCCTCGCGAGCGTCCACCACTCGTTCACCCAGCTCCGAGCGGGAACCCTCGCCGGCCGCACCTGCGCCCCTCCCGTAACCGCGGCCTCGCTCGAACAAGGTCGGCCGCCGGTCCTCGTCACCTACCCACCTCGTCGCGCCCGTCCTTCCTCTCGTCAGGTGCGCCCGCTCGCCCGCCGCCCAGGACCGGCCCTCGTCCGGAACTCCGCCCCGTTCTTCGCGACTGACGCCAGGTCCCCCTTGCACAACAGCTTCAGCAGCCCCGCCACGCGTGCCATGGCCGACCATCACGAGCTCTTCCAGCAGCTCTTTGGTTCGTCGAGCGGCTCGTCGCTCCTGTCCGACCCGTCCCTCCTCGACCTGTACGCCCTCTCGACTGGCGGCGGCGACGGCAACGGCAACGGCGCACACGACATCTCGGTCGACTCGCACGCCGACGACCTGTACGCGACCCACACGCGCGAGGGCTCGTCCTCGTCGACCTCGTCCGGCGACGACGCCGACCGTCGCCGCTCGTCCTCGTCCCACGCCGCCGCCGCCGGTAGCGCCAACGCCGCACAGCCAGGCGTCAGCTCCGACCTCGCCCGCTCGGCAACGTCGTCGTCGCGCACGAGCATCCCGATGCGCCCGTCCATGTCGCGCGACAAGAGCTCGACCTCGACCTCGACCTCGACCACGACGACGGTCGGCGCCGGCAAGAAGCAGAAGAAGGCGGCCGAGCAGCAGGACGACGAGGGCGGCGACGCCGGGTCGACGGGCAAGAAGGCCAAGAAGACGCGCAACCGCAAGCCCAGCTCGTGCGCCCAGTGCAGGTGCGTCCCTGCCCTCTCTCTCTCTCTCTCTCGACGTCGCTCTCTCGATCGAGAGGCTCACGCTCTCGCCCCCTCGACCGCCACAGGAAGAAGAAGCTGCGCTGCAACCGCGCCGACCCGTGCGCGCCGTGCGTCTCTCGCGGCGAGGGCCACCTCTGCTCGTGGGAGGGCGCCGAGCCGCTGTACAAGGCGCGCGACGAGGCGGACACGCAGGACCTGCGCGACCAGGTCGCCCGCCTCGAGTCGCTCGTGCGGTACCTCACGTCGCAGCGGCCCGACGACTCGTCGGGCGACTTTGGCGCCGGCCTCGACGGCTCGTGCTCGCCCGAGCCGAGCGCCGTCGACAACTTCCCGTCCAAGGCGCGCGGCTTTGACCCGGCCTCGCGGCAGCCGTTCCACCATGGCCACGGCGGCGACGGCTCGGGCGGGAGCGGGTCCAACAGCGGCAACCCGTCGCGCGGCAGCTCGTTCGGCGCGCACGACGCGCCGGCCATGCAGCACCCGACGCCCAAGAGCGCCCTCGCGATCGACATGCGCGCCAACGACCTCGCAGAAGGGCTCGCCCAGCTCGCCATCAAGGAGTTTGTCGTGCTCGAGAACTCGGGCCTCGACGCGTGGGCGCCGGGCAACGCTCGCGGCCTCGAGTTTCTCTCCGAGGCCAAGGAGTTTGTCGAGACGATGCCGCAGCACTTTGGCGTGTCGCAAAAGCCCGCGTTCGCGCTCCCGGCCGACCTGACGCCGAGGTCGACGGGCACCTCGCCGGCGCAGCAGCTCCCGAGCTTTGCGGCGCGCATGTCGTCGGGCCTGCCGGCCATGTCGGCGCACAGCGGCGCGTCGGCCGCGAGCGAGGCGGCGTCGTCGCCCGCGCCGAGCTCGTACGCCGCGCCGTCGCCGCTCAGCCCGGGCGGGCTCAGCACGGCCGCCTTCACCAAGGACGCGCCGCCGCTGTCCGAGGCCATCAAGTACCTCCCGACGTACAAGCAGGCCATGTCGGCGTACCGCTACTTCTCCGGGTACGTCAGCTGGTACGCCCACCCGGTCCACCTCGCCACGTTCGAGCAGCAGTGGGCCGACCTGCGCGCCGCGCTCGAGATCGACAACGAGGACGACCGTGACCGCGCCATCGACCCGTTCTTCATCGCCACCTTCCTCGGCGTCCTCGCGACCGGCCTCGCCATGATGCCCGTCAAGCGCGCCATCCGCGACGGCTTCGGCACCGACAAGGACAAGATCGTCGACTCGTGGCTCGAGGGCGCCATGGTCGCCCTCACGTGCGGCCGGTTCCTCGACAACCCGTCGGTCGAGGCGGTCCGAGCGACCGTGGTTCTCGGGACCTTTTTCGTCTTTGTCGCGACGGGCGAGCGCAGCGGCGCCGGCATGGGTCTCCTGTCGCTCGTCGTCCAGATAGCCCTCTCGCTCGGCCTACACCGCGACCCGGACCGCTCGCCGGGCAAGTTCACCTTCTTCGAGTGCGTCCTCGCCCCCTGCCTCTCCCTCCTCCCTCGCGAGTCGGACACTGACCTTCGCTGTCGAACGTGCAGGGCCGAGGAGCGCCGTCGCCTGTTCTGGAACCTGTTCATGCTCTGCATCCTGTCGTCGGCGAGCCTGAGCCGGACCTGGGCCGTGTTCGACCTCAACGGCGTCGACACCAAGCTCCCGCTCGACTGCACCGACGACGAGATCCTCGACGAGGCGGCCGCCATGGCCGGCCTTGAGAAGCGCAAGATGCGATTCGAGGAAACGCCCATGACGTCGCTCATCGTCAAGATGAAGCTCGCCGTCCTCGCCCGCAAGATGGTGCGTCCCCCTCCTCCTTCCTCTTCTCGTCGAGCCCTCGACTGACAGCTCCTCGACGCGCCTGCAGAACGACCGAGCGTTCGGTATCCACCCGGTGCAGTACGAGGAGATCCTCGCGCTTGACGCCGAGCTGCGCGAGTTCGAGGACGCCATCCCGTCGCGGTACCAGCTCCGCCTCGACCCGTCGGGCGCCCTGTCTCGCCCCACGGCACACGTCACCGTCACCGAGATGCGGGCCTGGTGCGTCTCCTCGTCCTCCCTCGTCGAGCGAGAGTCGGACGAGCTGCGACTGACTCGTCCTTTCCCCCCTCTTTTCTCGTGCAGCATGGTCCAGATCTCTCTCGCCGGCGAGTTCCTCCGCGTCCACCGTCCTTGGAGTGCGTACAGCGCGTCTTTCTCTTCCCTCAACCGCGGCAACTCGGTCTGACTCTTGCTCGCCTCCCAGTGCTCCTCGCCGGGTCCGACAAGCGGTACCAGTACAGCCGCAACCAGGCGATCAAGTACGCCAAGCTGCTCCTCGCCGTGTACCGCTCGCCGTCGTGCAACGGACAGAAGTGGGGCGGGCTCAGCTACAAGGTGCGCATCGTCTCCCTCCTCGTCGAGCGGGCGACCTTCCTAAACCCTCCTCGTCCCACTCGCAGGCGACCAACGCGGCCATCGTGCTCGCCGTCGATATCCTTGCGCACCCGGACGGCTCTGAGGTCAGCCAGCTTCGCTCGATGGTGCGCGCCGTCTGCAAGCAGATGGAGGTCCAAGCGTCGGTCTCGGTCCGTCCTCTTTCCTCGCCCTCTCTCTCTCTCGTGCAGAGCTGACCTCACTCGTGACCCACAGTCTCTCTGCCGCAAGGGCGTGCGTGTCCTCAAGTTCCTGCTCGACAAGGAGGCGCTCCTCTCGAGCCAACGCGACCAGCGTCGGCTCAACAAGCGCGTGCGCACCGACGAGGCAGCCGGCGTCTCGTTCCCGTCCCGCCAGCTCCGCACGGCCCTCGACCCGACGTTCGCCGCCGCGTCGCCCCTCCAGTTCATGCACGACCGCGACGACGACCAGGCGCTCCTGCACAAGAGCACGCACGGCGCGTCGCCGACCGAGTACTTTGCCGCCTCGGCGCCGCCGAACGCGCACGCGTTCCGCCCACCACCGCTCCCGCTCCCTCGCCAGCCTCGTGCGGCCCCTCCTCCTCCACCTGGCCCGGCGCCGCCGCCGTCCTCGGTCGCGATCGACGCGCCCTCGTTCGTCGACCTCGGCACCTCGTTCGAGTTCGACTTCCAGCTCCCGCCGCCGCCGCCCTCGCTGTCGTACGCCTCGCCGGCCTCGACCGTCTACTCGTACCCGTCGCCGTACCCGCACCCGCACCTGCCGCACTATGGCCAGGCGGCGCACCCGCCCGTCTACACGTCGCAGCCGCCGACGCCGGCGCTCTCGACGGCGCACAACGGCGCGGCGGCGTACGCTTCGGCACCGCTCGACTACAAGGCGAGCAGCTATGCGAGCCCCGAGTCGTTCGCGCCGTCGGCGACGTACGTCCTGCCGCGCTACTGAAACCCGCTCGGTCCCCCTCCTCCTCCTCCCTCCTAGCTCTCTCCTCGTTCTCTCGATGTGCCCCTCTGTGTAGACACTCTGTTTTGTCGTGCTCTCGGAATGTGGATGTCAGGTTCGTGCAGCGTGCCTCGAGGCGGCCAGGAGGAGGTCTCGCACGAGCAGAAAGCCGCTCTCGCTCTCGACCGGGTCACTCTTGGCGGCGAGAGGGACGACGTGTCGCGCAGGTAGTACAGTACAGGGCGAGGCTCTAATCTAGTTGCCTCCCAGGTCCCGTTCCTCGTCCTCCTCGCTCCTCCTCCTCCATGCTCGCCCTCCTGCTCAACAGCCTCTCTCGCTCGTCCTCGCCCTCTCCCACGGCGTCCTCCTCCTCCTCCTCCTCCTCAGCAACCGCGACGCTCGCGCCCTCCTCGAGCTCTTCCGTCTCGCGCTCGGCCTCCCTCAAGTCGAGCACGCCGTTTGCGACAAACGACCCGAGGACGAGTGCGGCGCCGACGAGCGACGCGAGCGACGTTGGCTCGCCCGAGCGCCGAAACAGGACGTCGCCCGCGAGTGCGAGCGGGATCGTGAGCGACAGGCCGAGCGTGACGGCGAGGGGCGAGGTGAGGAGCATGGCGCGCAGGTACAGCGCGTCCGAGACCTGCGAGGCGGGGGTGCAACGGCGTCAGTTCCGCCTCTCGTACTGCGTCGCACGCACACGCAGAGAGAGAGAGAGAGAGGACGCACGAAGGTGATGGCGGCGTTGACGAGCAGGCTGGCCCACAGGAGCTTGCCGTGGGGCATCTCGAACGTCTCGACGCCGAGGAGGTGCAGGAGGACGCCGACGGGCCAGATGAGGAGGATGTTGAACAGGCCGACAAAGCCAAAGAAGAGGGTCATGGACACGCGCTGCTCGTTGCGGATGCGGACCTTGAGGAGGAGGACGTAGGCGGCGTAGGCGAGGGCCGACAGGAGGGCGAGCGCGTCGCCGAGGAGCGGGTTGGACGACGCCGGCTTCCCGTTGGACGCCGTGGGGCTGATGCTGGTGGCCGTAGAGGCGAAAGGCGACGACGGGTCGACCTCGACGGGGCGGGCGGGCAGCTTCGAGTCGCTGAGCGAGACGATCGTGACGCCAGTGATGCTGCGAGCGAGAGAAGATGCCCGACGTGTCAGTGACCGCTTGCTGTGCATGTCGACGAGTCCGACAAGGAGAGAGAGGGGGGGAGAGAGAGGCGCACCTGAGGGCGACGCTGACGAGCTTGCCGACCGAGAAGCTCTCGACGCCGGCGCACGCGCCCGCCGCGAGCGTGAAGAAGCCGCTCATCGAGCTGAGGATCGTCGTGCTGCTGACGCTCGTGAACCCGAGCGCGGCGTTCATGGCCCAGTTGGCGGCGAACCACAGGCCGCAGAACAACAGGCTCAGGAGGGCCGTCTCGCGCGTCGTGAGCGGCGGGTCGACGGCGACGACGGGCACGGCGGGCAGGTATCGGCCCATGTCGTTGCGCGAGGGACGGACACGCGACAGGGAGCGGTTCGTGTCGCGGCGGCCGCGCAAGTGCGGGCGGGCGAGGCTGTGGGACGAGGAGCGAGGAGTCAGTGCTCGTGCTCGCAGGCGCGGACGCGAGAGGAGAGAGAAAGAGTGAGGACGCACGCTTCGCTGACGCTGTCCTTGGACGCGACGCGGTCGAGCGCCGGCGGAAGGTGGACGGTCGCCTTGCCATGCGGCAGGCGGTGCGTGCGCCAGTACCGCCACCCTGGGCGGACGAGGTACAGCGAGAACGAGGCCGTGCACAGCCACGTGACGAGGAACGGCTTGTCGTAGGCCATGTCGGTAAAGACGACTGTGGGCGAGGGGAGAAGGTCAGGTCGGGAATTCTGGGAGGGGGTGACGCTGGGACTCGACGACGAGGGGGCGGTCGACGGGCCCGCATGGCGTCCGAGCATAGCTCTGATGCTACCGTCGAGGAAGGCGAACCCGTGCGACCTGCGCCGACCGCGCCAACCCGTGCCGCCCGACGCAGTGCACCAGCTCAGGAGATCTCGCGCCCGACCCTCGCACGGCCGCCGCCCGCCTGGCCAATCTCGAGGATACCGTACGACGGGGATGATGGTGCGACTCACTGTTCATGAGGAAGCTGGCCTGCAGACGAGCGAGGGAGAGGTTAGCGCCGCAGGAGGGAGAGGAAAGGGTGAGCGAGGACGGGGCAGAGGAAAGGCGCGCGACTCACTGCGACCCAGAGGAGGACGACGAGGACGAGGAGCGCGGTGCCGAGCATGTACTGGCTCTTTGACGCGACGTCGAGGCGTTGCGAGAGGTCGGCCGGTTCGAGGACGAGGGGTGCCGGGTCGCCGTGGCTCGAGGCGGCGCGAGAGCGAGCCATGGTGGCGTGATGAGCGCTTCTGCGGCGGACTGGGCCCTTTGCAGCTGTGCTTGAGCTGGCGAGAGGGCGAGGCGGTGATCACAGAGGCAGCCTGCTCTCCTCGAGCTGGTGGTCTCTCACGCTCTCCTCGCATTGCTCGAGGCTGAGCCATGGCGCGCCTGCCGCAGCACACACAGACGCGCAAGCACACCTGTCCTCGTCCCGCTCTCGCGCGTGCTCTCCTCGCCCGGCGCACCTCGCCCTCGCGCGGTCGCCATTTCCCACGCTCGTCGGCACTCGCCCGCGCGCTCGGCTTGCCTAGCAGGTGCGTTACTACGACGTACCGAGCGAGCTACGCACGTGCGACGAGCGCCGCGAGGACGAGGCGCTGCGCTGCTCCGAGCCCGGACGCGCACTCTGCGAGCGCTCTTTCCACCCTCCACAGCTTGTGCGCGCTCGTTCTGCTTCGTGCAGCCTGCCTCGGCCGGACACGAGCTCGGTCTGCTGCGCTCAGAAAGACGCAAGGACGATGTGCGAACGATGCGCCGCCGCCGAGGCGAGGCTCAAGCTGGAGAGCACTCTCTCGTTGCGAGCCCTCGTCTTTGCCAAGTTTCGCTTCGTGCAGGCCTCGCGATAGCTGTCCTCGAGCCCTCGACGAAAGAAAAGCGAGCATCGAGAGGTGTCGCCGCGCGGAAAGGGTCGCCGAGCGGGAAATCCAGCGGGAACGAGGAGGAGGCGTCCACCTCGCGTCGTGTTCGGGTCAGGAAAAGGGCGAGGACGGCCAGGCGAGACTGTGCGCTCGAGTTGAGCACTGGCGAGACTGTCCAGAGAGGCTGCAGCTCGCCGAGAGAGCGGCGCTGCTCTCATCACCAACCCGCTCGCGACTCTCCCCTTGCTCCTGCCACCACCCGCCTCGCTCTCTCGACTGCATCCTGCGCAGTCGGACAGTGACGAGCAGCACCCCAGGTCCCGCCCCATCCAGCTCGTCGACCCCCCGAGTCGCTCAGAGCCCAGCTTCGCCCACCTCCGCCCCCCTCCCCATCTCCTCCTCCCCCCCGTTCCCACCACACACCGTCCCCCGCGCGAGATGCCCCGTGTAGCCACTCGCGGGGTCAAGGACTCGACAAAGGGCCCGCTCGTCTTTCACGGGCAGCCCCTGAGGCCCAACGGTGAGCCCCTCCCCGCCTTCATCTCCTGCTCCATCTCGCCCGACTCGCCCTCGCCCTCTCGGCACCCCTGCTGACTCGGTGTGGCCCCCTCTGCAGACCACGTGTACGTCTCGGCACCCTGGGACGACCGCGAGGGCGAGCCCTACATTGTCGCGCGCGTCGTCGAGATCCTCCAGCCTCAGCCAGCCAAGGCCCCCTCTTCCACCGCGACCACCACCACCACCGCGGCTCCCGACACCGTCGCCGCCGCCACCGCCAAGCGCAACCACCACTCGCCCGCTCCCGCGTCGCACACCGGGTCGGTCGCCTCGACCGAGCTCCGGGTCCGCGTCGCCTACTACTTCCGCACGCGCGACATCACCAACCGCTACGTCGCCGACCACCGCCTCATCGTCGCCACCATGCACGCCGACACGGTCCCGGCGAGCTACATCCGCGGCCTGTGCACCGTCAAGCACCGCGACCACATCGAGGAGCTCGAGACGTTCAAGCGCCAGGACGACTCGTTCTACTGGCACCAGGTCCGTCCCTCGCCCCCCTCTCTCTCTCTCCCGGTACAGTGGCTGACCCTTCCATCCCGTCGTCCACAGCTGTACGACCGCTACCTGCACCGCTACTTCGACGCCGTCCCGACCTACAAGGTCTCGAACGCACCTCGTGCGTCCCCTCCTCTCCGCCTCTCGCCTCGAGTCGCCTACTTCCCGTGCTGACCCTCGTGCCCGCAGCCGAGGTCGTGCGCCACCTGAACGACAACTTCGAGTTCGTCCTGTGCGAGGTCGGCACCGCCGCCGAGCTGTGCGACGCTCAGCGAGGGTGCTGCGTCTGTCGCAAGTGGGCCGCCAAGTGCGTCCTCCTCTCTCTCTTACACCAATCTTCTCCCGAGCCCTGAGACTGACGCCCACGCCCCGTCCGGCAGGCCCGAGTCGGTCGCGTGCGCGCGCTGCGCCCGCGTCTTCCACCTGACGTGCGTCGACCCGCCGCTCGCGGCCAAGCCCAAGGCGGGCTACGGCTGGTCGTGCGCGCCATGCAGCAAGGCGCATGACGAGGAGGTCGAGGGCTACGCCGAGCAGGGCTACGGCCCGCCGCCGGTGCGCAAGGCGGCCGGCGTCGTCGTCGGCGAGAGCGGCGCGGTCGTCGCTGCTGCTGCGGCGGCGGCGGCGACGGGAGCGCCGGGACCGAGGGGCGTCGGGAGCCAGATGCTGCACGCGAACAAGAAGGGCAAGGCGCGGCAAGGTGCGTCGTGCCCTCTCTCCCTCTTGGCCCCCCTCGACGTCCGTCCTCGCCGCGCCGGACTGACCTCGCCTCTTGCTCGCAGTCGACGCCAACTCGCGTCCGGACCCGCACGACTGGCGCATGACGCACGGTTGGCCGTTCCGCTACTTCGGTGCGCCCTGCACTGCCCCTTTCTCTGTCTCTCTCGTCGAGGCCTGCGTGACTGACTCGCCCACCTCGTCTGCTCGCAGGCATGCACGTGAGCGCGTACAACGTCCTCGACCCGCATGACTCGCTGTACCCTCGCGCTTCGACTGTGCGTCCCTCTCGCACCTCCCTCGTCGCTCGTCACCGTCGAGCGAGCTGCTCACCTCCCGATCCCTCGCCCGCAGCGTCTCGGCAACAAGTTCCAGTGCGTCGTGCCGGCGTGGGACCCGGTCACGGGCAAGCAGGAGGCGGCGCCCGAGCAGCGCACCTACTTCCAGCCCAAGCGCAGCCGTGGCAGCACGCCGCAGGGCAAGCCCGAGAAGGCCGAGAAGGAGCGCGCGCGCCGGGCCAAGGCGGCCGAGGCGCCCCCTCGCGGCGAGGACGGCGCCGTCACCGTCATCTGGCGCCCGACCGACAAGTACAGCGACGAGGTGCTCGACGAGCTGTTTGCGCGCGTCAAGAAGATCTCGACCTACTCGACGGCCGGCGTCGACCTCCTCAACCGGGCCGTCGTCATCCTCCAGAACAAGGACGGCAACGTCGGCGACACGATCGCGTCGCTGCGCAAGATTGCGCTCCAGAGCCTCGGGCACGCCGTGTGGACCGACGACGAGAAGCGCAAGCTCGCCGACGGCGCCGCCCAGCACCACAACGACATTGACGAGATCCACAAGGCGCTCCCCAACAAGAAGATGAGCGACGTCGTCAAGCGCTACTACATCAACGTCGGCCACACGCTCCAGGAGGACGAGCCGCAGCAGCCCGAGGAAAAGGCGGCCGTCGTCGCGACCCGCTCGGGCCGCAAGACGGGCCGCGGCCACCGCTCGTCGCACGCCGCCGCCGACGACGACGGGCGCCACGCCATGTCGGACGGCGACGACAGCGACCACGGCTCGGTGTGCGCGCCGGCGCGCACGCCCGCCCAGCGCCGCAACCGGTTCTGCGCCGTGTGCGAGACGACCGAGTCGCCCAAGTGGTGGTTCTGCCCCGAGAACGTGTGCGAGCTCGAGGTCAAGCCCAACCCGGTCGTCATGTGCGACTCGTGCGGGATCCGGTGGCGGCACTGTGCGTCTCCCTTTCTCTCTCCCTTGGCCTCGACCGGTCGGCGAGGCAGCACCTGACCCTCCCTTCCTTGTCCTGCCTCAGACGGCGCGCAGTACCCGCCGGCGGGAGAAGAGCTCAAGCCGGCGCCTGTCGTCGACAACAAGAAGAAGAAGGACAAGCAGCTCGACGAGAAAGAGCGCGCCATCGACGAGGAGGTGCGTCGGCGCCGGTCCTCCTTCCCCCTCGCCCTCGCCCACTCGTTCCTGACGCTCGTCCTCCTCCTCTGCGTGCAGCTCGCCGTCATCGCCAAGCCCAAGGAGCCGACGCCGCCGCCGGTCAAGCCCATCATCCCGATCAAGCCGTGCCTCCTCTGCAAGCGGTTCGAGCCCAAGACGGCCCTGTTCCAGTGCGACCGCTGCACGATCTCGTACCACGCCGGTGCGTCGCCTCGCTCTCGCTCTGTATCTCTCCCGCCTCGTCCTCGACCCTGACACGCCGTGCGTCCACAGCGTGCTACGGCATCGACCTCGACTGGGAGTGGCCGCACGACGAGTGGCTGTGCAACCTGTGCGAGCGCGACGAGACGCGCACCCGGCTCGACCTGCACCCGCACTGCATCCTGTGCCCGCCACCGCCGAGCGACTTCAAGGTCAAGTCGCCGCTCACGGCCCTCGACTGCCTCAAGCCGACCGAGCTCCAGAAGTGCGTCCCTTCTCGCCTCGTCATCTTTCGACTCGCCCTGACACGCCGAGAACGTCCTGCGCGCAGCTACGTGCACCACCTGTGCGCCATCTGGCACCGCGAGCTGCAGGTCGGGCACCCGCCGACGGTCCAGCCCGTCGAGTCGTTCGCCAACTTGCCCCTCGAGCGCCGCAACAACGTGCGTCCCCTCTCTCCCTTTTCTCTCTCTCTCGGGCTCTCTGTGTGACGGTCCCTGACCCAATCCGCCCTACAGAAGTGCTCGCTGTGCCACGTCAAGGGCGTCGGCGCCACGATCAAGTGCGAGGACTGCCCCAAGCACTTCCACGTCTCGTGCGCGTGGATCAAGGGCTGCAAGTTCGCGTTCGAGGTGCAGCACGTGCGCAACAAGAAGCGGCCGCCCAAGGACGCCGTCATCATCAAGTTCAAGGACGAGGAAGGTGCGTCGACGATTCGCTTCCCTCTGCCTCGTTTCGTCGAGCCTTGAGCCGAGGCCGTGTACTGACCGACCCTCCTCCTCGCGCACTCGCACTCGCAGGCGTCCTCCAGCCGTGCGTCTGGTGCACCGACCACCACTTTACGCACCACGAGCGCAAGACGTACGACCTCGGCGCTCGCGACCAGGCCAGCAAGCTCGTGCGTCCCTCCTTCTCCTTCCACCTCAGATACACGGCCCTGACTCTCTCGGCCCGTACTACAGACGGCGCTGCAGATGTACGTGCGCAGCAACAAGGTGCCCAAGTTCGCCGACGCGCCCCTCCTGCTCCGCCAAGGTCGTCGCCTCGACTTCTTCATCACGCCGGTCCTCACGCCCAGGCTGCCGACGCCGCCGCCGCCGCCGCCGCCGGTCAAGCAGCACGTCCTCCTGTCGGCCATCATCGAGGACGAGCAGCCGATCCCGACGCCGCCTCGCCCGCACAAGAAGCGTCGCACGACGTCGATGACGCCCCAGGTCGTCGACCCGCCCGTCCACGAGCACCTCGCGCCGCCCGCCAAGTACACGATCGAGCACATCGAGTCGGCCGAGCTCGTCGACGACAAGATGGAGGACGTGACGCCGCCGCCGGGCGTCGCGCGCGACGACGTGACGGTCGACGGCAACGACGACTCGCTCCCGGCCAAGCGCAGGCGCAAGCCCAAGCCGCCTCGTGAGCTGCCGTCGCCGCTCAAGTCGAGCAGGACCAAGTCGGCTGGCGCGACGCCGACGACCAAGGGCAAGGCGGCCGGTGCGCCCCGTCGCCGCAAGACGCAGTCGTTCGCCCCGCTCGAGGACATCCTCGTCGACCACAACCAGCTGTCGTACCCGCCGGCGCCGTCGTCGCAGCAGCCCGAGTTCGACCTCGCCCAGTCGCTCGCCAACCTGCCCGCACTGCCCGACCTGAGCAGCCTCGCCGCGTCCTTCTCGACGGGCATGCAGCTCCCGCCGCTGCCGAGCTTCAGCGCCATGAGCGGCAGCCACGGCCTGCCCGCCCTCCCGTCGCTCCCGTCGCTCGACGGCTCGTCGTCGTACCACTTCTCGCCGGCGACGTCGGCGCCCCACCTCCTCAACACGGTCGTGTACGCCGCGCACGTCCCTGCGCCGACCCTGCCTCCCCTCCCCTACCCTGCGCCGGCACGCGCACCTGCTCCTGCACCTCCCGTTGAGCAAGTCCCCGACCTCGCCGCCGACGACGACGACGACGCCCCGCCGCCGCCCGCCGACGACGAGCGGCCGTCGATCGACCCGGCGCTCGAGGCCCTGTCGCAGGTCGCAGCAGCCGAGGCGGCCTCTCGCGACGCCGAGCAGCAGCAGCAGCAGCAGCAGGCGGCCGCCGCCAACGGGCAGCAGTACCACGAGCAGGGCGGCCTCGCCGTCGACGAGGACCACTCGCAGCAGCAGGACGCGCTCTCGCACCCGGACGTCATCGCCGCACTCGAAGCCGCCGCCGCGCCGCGCCCTCGGGCCAACAACGGCGACGCGCCGCCCGAGGACGAGGAGGAGCCGATCCCGGACGAGCCGCTCGAGGGCGAGGACGAGGACGACGACGTGCCCGACGGCGAGGCGAACGGCGACGACTCGGTCCTCGAGCGCGAGGGCTCGGTCGGTGCGGGCGACGGCGACGACGGGACCGAGGCGGGTGTGTCGTCGTCGGGACGGCCCAAGCGCAAGACTCGGGCGCCCGTCAAGCCGTACGACGTCCCGACGCCGTCGACGAGCCGCTCTCGGTTCGCCCACCACCAGTCGGTGCCCGCCCGGCCCTACTCGCCGCACCAGTTCGACGGCATGGCGAGCAACCCGATGCTCAACTACGTGCGCGCGCATGAGTCGGCCCAGGGCCTGCACCGCATCGACACGCCCGACGACTCGGACGCGACGAGCGAGCGCGGCATCGGCAGCCCGGGCCCGTCGCAGGCCATGCTCCACTCGCACGCCCTGTTCGGCAACCTGCCGCCGCTCGACGGCGGCGACTCGACTTTCGGCGGCGGCTTTGACGGCGGCCTCCCCGCCCTGCCGTCGCCGAGCACGACGACGCGCCCGGCGCGCAAGCGCAAGTCGAACCCGAAGGGGCCGTCGGCGCCCGCCGTGTGCAGCAACTGCGGCACGTCCGACTCGCCCTTGTTCCGCCGCGACGCCGAGGGTCGCCAGCTCTGCAACTCGTGCGGGTGCGTCCTCGCCTTTCTCTTCTCTCCCCCTCTCTCCCCCTCTCTCCCCCTCTCTCCCCCTCTCTCTCCCCCCCCTCTCTCTCTCTCTTTCGCGCCGCAGAACCCGCAGACTTACACTGTCCCTCGTCGTTGCCCCTGCAGCCTATACTTCAAGACGCACGGCCACGACCGCCCGCAAAAGGTCATCGCGCGCGCCATCGGCGCCGCTCGCGTGCAGAAGCGCAAGCAGCAGGCCGAGGCCGGCGAGCTCCCGCTGCAGTCGATCAAGCGACCCAAGGCGACGGCCCTCGCCGGCGCCCTGTCGGGCTCGAGCTCGTTCGCGCCGATCCAGCCCTCGCCGCTGCAGCCCATGCCGGCCTTCTCGTACAGCGAGCTCCAAGGCGGCGCCGTCGCCGGCCCGTCGGGCTCGAACGGCCACGCCGTCGACCACCAGCAGCAGCAGGGCGGCAGCGGCGCCGGTCCGTCGCGGTCGTCGTCGTCCGGCACGACGAGCGGGCTCAACGGCACGCTCGGCGGCATCGCGACCGGGTACGAGAGCCCGTACGGCCCGGGCTACGCGACGCCGGCGTACCCGAGCGGTCCGTCGAGCAGCGCCCAGACGTCGTCGGCGCAGCAGCAGGCGACGACGACGGCGTCGTACCCGCCGCCGTACGCCGGCGCGCCCGCCGCGACGCCCGCGTCGTACCCGGCCCACGCGGGCTACTACGGCCCGCGCACGGGCTCGTCGGGCTTCTACGACCCGTTCAGCGTCTCGGCGCCGTCCGGCGGGCACGGCACGCGCAGCGCGGCAGCTGCCGCCGCCGCCACGTCATCGTCGTCGTCCTCGGCGTCGTTGGCCGGTCCCGCCGCAGCGCCTGCGGCGGCCGCCGTGCCCGAGGTCGACCACGCCGCAGCGCTGCAGCGCCAGGCGCTCGAGTCGCTCGCGGCGCAGGCGCTGAGCTTCAACGTCGGGCAGGCGGTGCACGGTACGCCCGGCGCAGGGACGGCGCCGGCCCTCGCGCCCGAGCCCGAGCCCGAATCGGCTGCTCCCGCCGCCGCCGCCGTCGAGGCGAGCACGAGCGAGCGCGCGACGTCGGTCGCTGGCGGCGCGGGAGGCGAGGGCCCGGCGGCCCAGCAGCAGCAGCAGCAGGCCCGAGCGTCGAGCGCGCCGACGAGCGCGCCGCCGCCGCCGCCGCCGCCTGCGGCCGCCGTGCCGGTCGCCGTCGAGCAGCGACACGTCGGGGCTGAGGACGAGGTGGACCAGCTCATGGAGGAGGACGAGGGCAAGTAAGTGGGGCGCGAGGCCGAGGGAACGAGGAGGAGGGGTTCTTTCTTTGCGCAGTCGCGCGCTTTTGTGCAGTGCATCCTTTTCGCTCTCTCTCTCTCTGTGTGTGCGTCTGTCTCTCGTGCGGCGAGGGGAGGAGGGACACGACGAAAGCGGGTTTTGCACGGAGAGGGTCGTCGTCGAGACAAAAGACGAGCAAGCGGCGAGAAGGGGGACTACGAGAGGCGCGAGAGGGGTACGGGTGCGACGGCAAATCGAGGCGCACGATACGAGAGGAAGAAGACGAGGGAGAGAGAGAGAGGCTCGAGCGGCCGCTCAGTACTCGTGCGACTCAGACTCGGCGGCCTTGGACTTGGACTTGTGGGTGCCGCTCTTGGGGTGCTTGTCCTTCTTGGGCAGCAGGTTCGAGTGGATGTTGGGGAGGACCTGGAGGTGGGTACGGAGAGGGGTCAGGGCTGGTCGGGCGAGGGGAAGGAAGGAAGGAAGGTCGACTTGCTCCACCTGCGGGCACGACGAGGAGCGAGTTTCAGTCGCTGCCGCAACGAGAGGGGGAGAGCGAGCGAGAGACGGACCCTGCGTGATGAGGACGTGGCCGAGGAGGCGGTCGAGCTCGTCGTCGTTGCGGATGGCGAGCTGGAGGTGGCGCGGGATGATGCGCGACTTCTTGTTGTCGCGCGCCGCGTTGCCGGCGAGCTCGAGGATCTCGGCCGTCAGGTACTCGAGGACGGCGGCGAGGTAGACTGTGGGCGCGGGGGGCGAGAGCCGAGGTCAGCTCGCGCCCGGGGAAGGAGAGGGAGGAAAGGGAGGGGACGGACCGGGCGCGCCGGCGCCGATGCGCTTGGCGTACTGGCCCTTGCGCAGGAAGCGGTGGATGCGGCCGACCGGGAACGTGAGGCCGGCCTTGGCTGCGCGCGACGCGGGGGGCGAGTCAGGGTCAGGGCGGGAGAAGGAGGGGGAGGAGGGAGGGGAACGGGGCGAGCGCACAGGAACGCGACGACGCCTTTTGCGAGTCGCCGCTGCTCTTGCCGCCCGAGGTCGATTTGCCGCCGGCCATTGCTGTCGTTGAGGAGGAGAAGGTGTGGATGGGGGCGAGGTGGGAGGAGCTGTGGGAGGGCGAGCGGGCGCGCTCAGGTTCAGTGGCAGTGCTCCAGAGGTGACGCCGGGCACGCAGAGAGGCGCGACGCACCTTGAAGAGCGACTCGAGGTCGAGACCAGTGAGGCGAAGGAAGGAAAGAGAGGGGGGAGAGAGCGAGGACGCGGCTTGTGCCCGACTCGGGTTCGCCGCGGACCCGGGCGAGGGCCCGAGCGGCACAGGGGGCCAAAACGGACAGGAGACTCGCCGACAAGGTTTGCCCCTCGTCGGCCCTCGTCGTACACCCACGCAGCGAGCGCGGCTCGTCCTCGTTCGAGCGCTCACAGCGGCGCACCGCGGCGACGAGAATCGAGCGAGCGAGGGGCGGCGACAAGGTCGAGCGACGAGGGCGCGAGCGCTCGACAGCCGGGCACGCTGCGTGACTCTCACCGCGGCACGGGAGAGAGAGAGGGAAGGAGGAGCGTTGCAGCTCGGCGCCGTCTACCTGCACCTGCGCCGCGTCTTCTCGAGCCCAACCCGCCGCGCTCGCCGCTCGCCCCGCTCCTCCCTCAACCGAAGATGTCGTCAATCTCGTCCCCTCCCTTCCGCTTGACCTTCTTCTTCTTCTTGACGACCGCGACCTCGCCGCTCGAGCCTCGGGCCGGCGCCACCGCCTCGCCCGACCGTACACGCTTGAGCGGCTGAGCGCGCTCGGGCGGTCGAGCCGCTGGAGGTGGCGGGCGGGCGTCGTCGAGTGGGAAGGGGAAGAGGGGCGAGGGAGAGGGCGCGGCGGCGGTGGCGGCGGGTGGAGGAACGCGGTCGAGGTCGGCGCCGGCGGGCCTGGCCTTCTTCTTCTTCTTCTTGAGCGGCGGTGCGACAGGCTCTGACGGGCTCGCCTCGCGCGAACGGCTCGACGGCTCGTCCGGACGCGCGAGCGCAGGAGCGGGCGACTCGCGGGGCGCTGCCGGCGCCGAGGACGGCGGGCCTGGAGGTACTCGTCGAGGTGCAGCGGGTTTGGCGCCCGGCGCTCGGCGCTCGACAGCGGCGCCGATGTCGTCAAGCCCGTTTAGGGGCGCCGGTGCGGGCGAGGCGGCGTGCGGGGTCGCAGAGAGTGAGGGCGCGAGGGAGGAAGGACCCGCCGAGGCGGGCTGGTCGAGGCTGAGGAAGCGGCGCAGGGTGCGCGGCAGGGCCTTGATCTTGGGCGACACGACGGGCAGGAGCTGTGAACGTGCACGTTGGGTGAGCTCGAGGCCATAGGGCCTGGTGAAAGGAGAGGGAGCGCACGGACCTGGTTGTTCTCGATGAGCCGGAGGAGGGTCGCGGCGGTGCGGGTGCACTCGTCGAGGAGGGCGGCAAAGAGGGCGTGTAGCCTCGCCGTCAGGGCGACGATGACGACGGCGAGGGCGAGGAACGCGCGCGAGTCGACGAGCTGGTCGAGGGTGCTGCGGAACGAAGGTCGTCAGTCGCTCGACGTCGGAGGGCGAGTCGGCGCAGGGGCTCACCTCGCCGTATTGAGGAGGACCTCGAGGTTCTGCGCAAGCGTAGAGAGAGTCAGTTCTGCATGGGAGAGGGCGAGAGAGGTAGAGGAGGGCGCACCTTTTCGACCATGAGCATGACCCTCGGGAGGCGGAGGAGCGCAGCGCAGACGACCTCGCGCGTGAGTGACCCGACCTCGTCCTTGCCCGTACTGTAAGGGAGAGTGGATCAGTCGAGTCTGACGTGCAGAAGGAGAGCGACAGGGCGCACCTCGAGGTGAAGGGAGCGAGCCAGGCGTCGAGTTCGGCGAGGGCACGAGCGGCTGCGCGGTCGACGTGGACGACGCGGCGCCACCAGCCGGTGCCCTTGTGCTGGTTCTTGTGCTTGTAGGTGAACCTGCTCAAGAGGGAGTGCTCGTCTGCGAGCTGGATGGCGATGCGCTTGAGGGGCCGAATGGACGACACGAGGCCGGGAAAGGCTGGCGTCGGTGCGGCTGGGTCGAGAGCGAGCTCGAGCTGGGCAGCAGGGAGGTGCCTGTGGAGCATTTGGTGCACAAGGAGCGACGCTGAGGTGAGCAGCGAGCCTCGTCGTCGTCTCGGCGCTCGTCGCATCCTCGGCTCAGTTTCCGTCCCATCCCTCTCGCTCCAGGCCAGGCCCGACTACTCGCCCGAGCACTAAAGAGCACCTCTCGAGACTCGCCCACCCTCGACTCGCTCAAACCAGTGCGTCGCCGTCGTCCCTCTGTCCACCTGAGCTCGCTCGCTCATCTCATCTCGCACCGCCACAGCCTGTCGACCACCGCAACCATGAGCGCTGGTGTCGCCTACGTCGGTCCCTCGGGACAGACTGCCTACGTCCTGTGCGCAGGTGCGGCCCCCGGCTTCGCCCCTCCTCACCTCTCCTCGACCATGAGCTGACCTCGCCCTGCCGAACAGACTGCGGCACGCCCATCGAGCCCAACGGCGCCAACCTCTGCGTCAACTGCCTGCGCAACTCGTGCGTCCCCGCCTCTTCCCCTCCTCGACCACACGCCCTCGATCCAGTCCCGCTGACCCTGCACCGCCTTCGCACCTCGCCAGCGTCGACATCACCGACGGCATCCCCAAGCAGACGACCATCTCGTTCTGCCGCGGCTGCGAGCGCTGGCTGTCGCCCCCGGCGACCTGGACCCGCGCCGAGCTCGAGTCGCGCGAGCTCCTCGCCGTCTGCCTGCGCAAGCTCAAGGGCCTCGCAAAGGTCCGCCTCATCGACGCCGGCTTCATCTGGACCGAGCCTCATAGCAAGCGCCTCCGCGTCAAGCTCACGATCCAGAAGGAGGTGCGTCCTCGCTCTCTTTCTCTCTCCCACTCCTTTCCCTCGCGCGCCGACCTGACCCGGCTCCATCCTCTCCCCCGCGCGCGCCGCAGGTCTTCTCGTCGACGATTCTGCAGCAGATCTTCGAGGTCGAGTACGTCGTGACGGGCGCCCAGTGCCAGGAGTGCACCCGCCTCGCGGCCAAGAACACGTGGCGCGCCATGGTCCAGGTCCGCCAAAAGGTCGACCACAAGCGCACGTTCCTGTACCTCGAGCAGCTCATCCTCAAGCACGGCGTCGACCGCGACACCATCTCGGTCGCCGAGGTCAAGGACGGCCTCAACTTTTTCTACTCGAGCAAGCAGCACGCGCTCAAGATGGTCGACTTCCTCAACTCGGTCGCGCCCGTCCGGTCCGTCCTCGCGCCCCCCTCTCCTTTGTTCGCCCAGACTCGATGAACTGACTCGTGCCGCCCTGCAGCACCAAGATGTCGGAGCAGCTCATCTCGCTCGACACGCAAAACGCGACGACCAACAAGAAGGAGTCGTACTCGGTCGAGATCGTGCCCATCTGCAAGGACGACCTCGTGTGCCTGCCGCAAAAGAGCGCGCGCGCCATGTCCAACATTGCGCAGCTGTGCGTGTGCCACCGCGTCGGCAACCAGGTGTACCTCATCGACCCGCTCACGCTCAACCTGGCGGCCCTGTCGAGCAACGACTACTGGCGCACGCCGTTCCCGCCGCTCGCGTCGGTCCCGCAGGCGATCGAGTTCATCGTGCTCGACATTGAGCCGACGGCGCACCCGCCCAAGACGGCAAAGGGCGGCCGGTTCCTCCTCGCCGACGCCCAGGTGTCGCCGCTCGGCGGCACCATGTCGAGCGACGTCATCTTCCACACCCGGACCCACCTCGGCGCCGTCCTGAAACCGGGCGACACGGTCCTCGGGTACCTGCTCGCCAACAGCAACTACAACAACGAGGCGTTCGAGACGCTCAAGCAGGACCGCATCCCGTCGGCCGTCCTCGTGCGCAAGACGTTCCCGAACCGCCGCAAGCAGAAGAAGCCCCGCAACTGGAAGCTGCGCTCCATGGTCAAGCACGTCGGCGGCGAGAACATCGAGGGCGCAGACGTCATCGGCCTTGGCCGCGAAAAGGCAGAGGTCAAGAGCAAGCGTGCCGGTGCTGTGCGTCCCCCTCCCTCTCTTTCTCTCTCTTGCCCCTCTCTCGTCGACGGACACCTGACTCTCTCTCTCTCTCTCGCACCCGTCCACAGTCGGACCAGGCCAAGGCCGAGGCCGACTACGAGCGCTTCCTGCAGGACCTCGAGGAGGACGAGGAGCTGCGCCAGACGGTCCAGCTCTTCAAGGACCCGAACGCGGCCCAGGCCCAGACCGACACGATGCACGACGACGGCGACACGGACCTCGACGGCGGCGACGACGACGACGACGAGGACGACTTCCCCGAGATCCGGGTCGACGACTTGCTCGACGAGATGGACGCGCTCGCGATCGCCGAGGACGAGGACGGCGATGCGCAGATCCAGGAGTGAGTGGGGGCGGCGGTGGACGGCGAGAGGGCATGGCAATGCGACGGCGTGTTGTACGACCTGCCTCGAGAGCGTTCGACCGAGAGCCAAGAGAAGCGACCCGGTCCCGTCTCTCGCGATCTCGCCCGCGTCGCCAGTAGCTGTACGAGCGTGTATCACGCACGCTGCACGTATCCTGGAGAGCGAACGAGCGAGAGGGAGAGACGTTCGCCCTCGGCTGCGTGGACCTCGCCCAGGGCTTGGGCGAGCTCTCCCCACCGACCGCCTCGTGCCTCTCGCTGCTGCGTCCACGCCACGCGCATGGCCGACCCGCACACTGTGCCGCTCCCAGCCTCGCGCGGCTCGCTCGACCAGCCCCGCCCCGACTTCCATCACCCGCACCACTCGACCCTCGCCGACGTCGACGAGGGCGACTCGAGCGCCGATGCCGCCTGGTTCGACGACGGCACTGCACCACCAGACGACGACGAGCCTTCTGCCGCACCGCCAGACGAGCCTGAGCACGACGACGACGCTCGACCACGGCCACCACCCGCGGGCGAGAGTGGGGTCGTCGGCGACAGCGAGCCGGCCGCCGACGACGAGGAGCAGGGGCACGCCGCAGGGGCAGCGGTCGATGGGCAGGACGGCGAGCGGATACAGCTCCTCGAGGACGAGCTGGACCGCACGCGGCAGGACCGCGATGCGTGGGAGGCCCAGTACCAGGGCTTGCTCGCCAAGTTGACGGCCATGCGCAACACGCTCGGCGACAAGCTCAAGCAGGACGCCGTGCGTCCCCTCGTTCTCACTCCGACTCCTCTACCCGGCCGCGACCTGACCCAGCTGCCCGCCTCGCAGGACGAGCTCGACCGCCGCGAGCAGGAGATTGCCGACCTGCGCGCCGCCAACGACGACCTCGCGTCGACGCTCGACACGCTCAAGGGCGAGCTCATCCAGTCGCACGCCGATGCCGACGCGCTCCACACCGAGGTCGAGCAGCTGCGCGCGCGCGCGTTCGACTCGGAGCGCGCCTCGTCCGACGAGGCCCAGGAGCGCGAGGTCGCCCTCCGCGAGGCGCAGGAGGACCTCGAGCGCGTGCGCATCGAGCGCGACGAGTGGGAAGGCGAGGCGATGCGCGAGCGCGTCCGGCGCGAGGACCAGGGCGCGCGGCTCGGCGTCGTCGAGATGGAGCTCGCCCAGGCGAAAGCCGACCGCGAGGTCTTGCGCGAGGAGCGTGACCGCGAGATGGAGAGCGCGGCCAACTTGCATGCCGTCCTCGAGGAGTTCCAGGCCGGTGCGTCCCTCCCTCTCGTCGCCCTCGTCGAGACCGCGCACTGACCCCGTCCTCCCTCCGCTCCGCCCGCAGCCAAGGACCGCGAGCTTCAAGCGCTCCTCGGCGACCTCGAGACGCAGCTGCGCGAGACGCAGACCGAGCTCGACACGTACCGACAACGCGCCTCGCGGGCCGAGGCGCAGCTCGACGCCGCGCACGACGACTCGGAGAAGGTCCTCGTCCTGTCGCGCGAGGTCAAGGAGAAGAACCTCCTCATCGGCAAGCTGCGGCACGAGGGTGCTTCGCTGCCGTTCCCGCTCCTCTCTTTCTCGCACGCTCGACGTGCGCGGAAACTGATGCTGTCCCGGTCGCGCGCAGCCGTCATCCTGAACGAGCACCTCACCGAGGCGCTGCGGCGGCTCAAGAAGGACTCGGGCGAGAACAGCGTCGACCGACGACTCGTGTCCAACGTGCTCATCACGTTCCTCAACACGCCCCGGGGCGACGCCAAGCGGTTCGAGATGCTGCAGCTCATCTCGTCGATCCTGAGCTGGACCGACGACCAGCGCGAGAAGGTCGGCCTGCAGCGCTCGAGCGGCTCGCTGTCGTCGGCGAGCGTCATCTCGAGTGGGCGAGGGGGAGCGGGCAAGGGCCATGCGCGGAGCGGGACGGGCAAGGCGGTCGACGAGGGCGTCGAGAACGAGGTGCGTCCCCTCCTCATTCTTCTCTCCCCTCCCCTCCTTGTCTGTCACACGTACTCACGCTCCCTCGTCTGTCGCTACAGTCTTTCTCGAACCTGTGGATCGAGTTCCTCCTCAAGGAATCGGCGCAGGCCGCCCCGTCCGCCTCGTCGCCTCCCGCCTCGGCCAAAGGCGGCTCGACACGGTCGCCGACGTCGCCCCGAGCCGACCCGTTCGACCTGCCGCCGCTCGGCTCGCCGCCACTTTCGTCTACGACATCTACGCCGCGACGCAGCCTGTCGTCGTTCTTCTCGTCGTCGAACGGCGGGTCGGCGTCGCCGGCGGCGTCGGCTCCTTCGAGCACGGCGCCGCCCAGCATACCCGAGGACGACGGCAAGTGAGCGTGAGTGCGCACGGCGCGGCCTCGGTCCTCGAGCCCACTCCCGCGGGTCCTCCCCCTCCTCGTTGTCTCGTACTTCCCCCTCGTTCGTCCTCGCCCTCGTACCTCTGTGTTGGTAGCATCGTCGTCGCTCGTGGCTCGTTCTGTCTGCCTTCCCCTTTGCATCATCAAGCCGTGCCTCGTCTCGTCTGCAAGAGCTTGGCCACGAGAGGGACGAAGCTCTCGGCGTCGCTCTCTCTCTCTCCTTCCTCTCACTCTCGCTTCTCGCTTCGCCTCGCCCGCGAATCTTCCCCCAGCAACATGGTCATCGTCACGCAGGGCGGCAAGGGCAAGAGCAGCGGCGTCAACACGCACACGGGCGCCTGTGCGTCTCCCCCCTTCCTCGTCTCCCTCTCCTTCTCGCCCCGGCACCATCGTCCCGGGTCCTGTGCCGCCCCGCGACCTCACAAGGGTAGCACACTGACTCTGCCCTGCCGCACAGTCAAGGCCGGCATCGTGGTGCGTCGCCCGCTCCCCTCCCCCGCCCCGTCCTTGGCCCCTGTCCGCTCGGATCCTCCGCGGAACCGCATTGACGCGCCCTCTCGCGGCCACAGTTCTCCCCCAGCCGCGTACGCCGCTTCCTCAAGAAGGGCCGCTACGCACCGCGCATCGGCAAGACGGCGGCAGGTGCGCTTTGACCCCCCCCCCCCCCCTTCCCCGCTTTCCCTTCGCGCCCTCCCTCGCAGCGAGGCTCACTCTCTCGCGAGCGCTCGCAGTCTACCTGGCCGCCGTCCTCGAGTACCTCGTCGCCGAGGTTGGCGAGATCTCGGGCACCGCTGCGCAGTGCGTCGACTCCCGTCCTCTCTCCCCTTTTTTTTCCTCGCGAACCGACCCCTGACCTTGCTCGGTCTCCCTCGCCTCCCGCTCGCAGCCAGCACAAGAGGCGCACCATCTCGTCGCGCTTCATCCAGCTCGCCATCTCGAACGACGAGGAGATCCACAGCCTGTGCGCCAACGTCATCATCAAGGACGGTCCGTCTCGGCTTTCTTCCTCTCTCTCTCTCTCTGTCCTCGTCAGGAACGCGCGCACTGAAAAGCGCCTCTTTCGCTCGCAGGAGGCGTCAAGCCTCACATCGAGCCCGAGCTCCTGCCCAAACCGCACAAGCCGCGCAAGCGCAAGCGCAAGAGCGTCAAGTCCGCCAACTCGACCGCCGACGACTACTAGAGGCCCGGCAGCGCCTCTTTGTCCAACCTACCCCATTCCTCCTCCCTTGTCTCGTCACCGTCGTAGCTTGTCGTACCCCTTCCTGCGTCGTCGCTTGTCTTTGTAGCTCTCTGTCTCGCAGTGCAACTCCTCCGCTTGGACCTCTCTCTCTCTCTTGTTCCCTCTCGTACGCTCGCACCGGTCACTGCGCTCGACGAGGGCAAGAGAAAAGCGTCGAAAGCACCGGCGAAAGAGAGCGAAGAATAATGGTGTTGCAGCGATAGCTCTATCGGCCGTCACGTCTGCGCTCGAGCCTCTTCACCACCCAGACCCGCTCCTCCCGCCGCCCCCGCCCGTGCCCCAATAAGCCGCCGCAGCTTCAGCGTCCGTCATCCCGACCGTCTGCTGCCCTGTCGCCGCCGCCCCCGAGTCCCACGACGGCTGCCCCATCGCAAAGCTCTCTAGCGCGCCCATGCCGCCAGCTCCACCGCCGCCCAGCATACCGCCGCCGCCTCCGCCGTCGCCGAGCCCGCCACCACCGCCAACCTCGAGGTCCATGCCGGGGTCGCCGCCGAGCCCAAGCCCGAACGGGTCGCCGCTCGCGAACCCGAACGCGCCGAGCCCAAAGTCGAGCCCGTCGGCCGCGTCAAACGCGCTGCTGAACCCTCCCGCTCCCCCACCCGCACCACCGGCGCCGCCGCCACCGACCATGCCGCCGACGCCGGCGCCGTCGCCCGGGGCCGAAAAGGGCCACGACGAGTCGGGCGTGAGCGACGACGGGACGGGAGCGAGCGCCGAGGCGGCGGGCGCGAGCGACGTCAGGCCCATGCTCGAGTCTGGTGCCGAGTAGGCGCCGTCGAGCGGGCCGCCGCCGCTCGTGCCGCCGCCGCCGCCGCCGCCGCCGAGCGGCGCGGCGAGGACCGGGACGGCGAGGTCCGTCGGGCCTGCGCCCGCGCCGCCGAGGAGCGAGGCCGCGCCGCTCGTCGCACCGCCGGCGCCGCCCATAGCGAGGTACGACGCCGGCATGCCGGCCGTCGCGAGCGAGGCCGAGGCCGCGCCGCCAGCCTTCTTGGACGAGGGGAGGTTCCTCGTCGGGGGCGGCGTGCCGCGGTGCGGCGCCGAGTCGGCGTCGAGGCTGCGCGCGATGCGGTGCAGCACGTCGGCGAACGTGCCCTGGTCGTCGGCCGCGTCGTCGAGCGCAGCGTCGGCGTCGTGCGGGTCGTGCCCGGCCGCGCCCGCCGCGGCGCGCATGAGCGCCTTTGCCGCCCGGGCCTGCCGGCGACGTTCCTCCTCGCGAAAGAGGCCCGACAGGATCTTGTGCGCCTGCTGGACCGTGTGCGACAGGGCGGCCGACGACGGCTTGGACGTAAAGATCTCGAGCGCGAGCTGGAGCGTCTCGACCTTCGAGTCGATCTCGGTCGCCGAGCCGTCGTGGTCGATGGCCTGGAAGAGGCTGCGGAGTGGGACGAGCGAGGTGAGCCTCGAGTTGATGTAGAGAGAGTGAGAGGGAGGCGCGACGCACTCGTTGAAGAGGACGAGGGCGGCGCCAAAGACGTGCGAGTAGGTGTAAGGGACGTCGGCGACGGCTTCTCGTATGCTGCGGGCGACGGCGACGAGGTCAGTATCACGTTCTGGAGACACGTCGACAGAATAGAGAGAGGGCGACACGCACTTGTGGGTCGAGACGACGACGGCGCGAGCCGACTTGAGGCAGGCCTCCTGCGAGAAGGGGGTCCGAGCGGGTCAGTGACGCGCTCGAGATGGCTCGAGAAAAGAGAGGACGAGGGACGCACAGCCGAGAACTTGTACTTGGGGTTCTTGTGAGCCTTGCTGAGGAGGGGCCGGTGCAGGCGAAAGATGCGGTTGTGGAGGCCCTCGAGGACAAAGTGGCGCTGGAACCGGAGCATGGGGTCCTCCTGCTCGTCGGCGGCGAGCGTCCAGCGCTCGGGGAGCTCGGCGAGGATGGTGCGGAAGCCGCTGTCGAGGTCGAGCACCGTGTCGTAGCCCCAGTCGCGCGCGAGGACGACCCGGTCGAAGACGGCGCGCACTTGGCGCGCCATGGCGATGCGGACGCGGTCGGCCGACGAGTCGGTGAGGACGGACGACGGGGCAGGAGCGAGGGCGGTTGTCGAGGGCGACAGGTCCGTGTCGTTGACGTTGAGCGGGTCGTCCGTGTCGCAGTGGGCGGGCGAGATGAGGTAGCACCGGTTCTTCGAGTTGGCGGCGAGCCACTGCGGTACACGGTCGACGAGTCAGTCGGGTGCGACGTGGAGTAGAGAGACGACGAGCGACGCACGTCCTGGTACACGAGCACAGCCCACAGCCGCTTGGCCATCTCGCGCTTGAGCGAGTTCTTGCCCGGCGGGAACGCGGGGTCCTCGGGCGGCATCCTGTTCGGCTTGGAGAGTCAGTCGACGCTCTCGCCAAGAACAGACGCGAGAGAGAGAGAGAGGGACGCACGTTTCCGGGTTCGAGCCAAGGAGGTGCAAGTTGAGGACCTGGGCGAGCCGGATCGCGCCGGCGAGCCACACGAGCTGGGACGGCTGACCTCGTGCGGCCGACGACAGCTGGAGGTACTGCGTGTACAGGACGATGGTCTGTGTGGCGAGGCGTCAGGACCGGACCCCAGGGCGAGGGCGCAGAGAGAGCGAAACCGGGGGCGACGCACCTGGATCGACCGGATGCGGGGCGCCTTCTCCCACTCTGCGAGCTTGAGCGCGCGCACGCTCGCGGCGTGCCACCGCTCGGGCAGCGCCTTGAGCTGCTCCTCGCTGTACTGCTCGAGCGGCGTCCCCTCGCCGACGAGCTTGCCCTTGTGGCCCTTGTCGTCGCCGCTCGAGCCCGTGCCCGACGACGATGACGCACCGGCGCCGGCGCCGACGCCGGCGGAAGGCGTAGACGAAGAAGTAGACGACGAGAGGGCGAGGGGCGAGCGCGAGTAGTGCATGCTGTCGAGGGCGAGGCAGAGGACCATGAGGAGGAGGGCGAGCCAGGTGAGGTCGACGTCGTCGGCGCGAGAGGCGTCGCACAAGGCTTGGAAGGCGTCGAGCTCGGCGCGGAACCTGTACGTCGTCGGCCGTAGACAAAGTCAGTCAGGGCGCGCTCGTTCCCCCTGACGACGCGACGAGCGAGAGGGGACGCACGATGGAGCATGAAGGTGGTGGAACAGCCAGTTGACGCTGCCAAAGTACCGCTCGACGAGGAACGCCGTCGCCTGTCGGCCGGGGAGCGTCCTCACGATGCGCTCGACCTCGGCCGTGCGCGCGTCGCGCACGTCGTCGAGCGTCGCGTCAAAGTCGACGAGGAGGTGCGCCTTGAGCGACGCCGAGGGCGCCGAGGCCGACGCCGACGAGACGATGCACGTGAGCGCCTTGGTGAGCTCGAGCGGCGGGGCGCCGAAGCGGACGTGCGAGCCGCGACGGGCGCGACCGCCGCCGGCACTCGCGCCGCCGCCGCCGCCGCCGTTGAGGCTGCTGCCCGGGCCCATCGAGGACGAGGCGTGCTGGAGGGGCGGACGAGGTGCGAGGAGGGAGGGTTTTGTTGAAGGGTTGGCCGCGTCGAGGCCGACGCGCGAGGCAAAGACGCCGTTCTCGAGCGAGACGGCCGCGTCCTCCGTCTGTGTCGCGCATACGAGGCAAAGGTCAGGGACGTCCTCACTCGAGAGAGTGAGAGAGGGACGTACGTCCGAGTAGCCGTCCTCGCCCTCTCGATCCGCCCTCGCGCCCTGACCCGCTCCCCTCCTGCCGGCCTGCACGACCTGTCCGCCTCCTTGACTGCCCGCGCCTCCCGCTGCTCCTCCCGCACTCACACCCGAGCCCGGCGCGATCGGGCGAAACAGGGCAAAGTTGGGCGGGAGCGTCTGGAGGTAGCGCTCGACGTGGGCGAGGCGGTGCGCGAGCGACTCGAGCTCCGAGGTGCGCGCGATCGAGGGCGGGAGGAAGGCGTCGTTGGCGGGCTGGAAGACGTCCCACGCGCACTCGGAGGGACGACCGCGCTCTGCGAGGGGACAGAGGGTGAGCTGGGTCGATGGAGAGAGGGGCGGACGAGGACGCACTGGTGCAGTTGCCGCACACGGGCATGACGCGGTCGCACTGTGGACGGTTCAGAGTCAGAGGGCGCTTCGTGGAGAGGTTGACAGATCGGGCGCACCTTGATCTTGCGCCGCTGCGATGCGAGGACGAGTTAGCGAGTGGGCTTGACGAAGAGAACGAGGAGGAGAGGGAGGGGGCGCACCTTGCACTCGGCGCACGACAGGGCGACGCTGTTCTCGCGGGCAGGATCGTGAGTACATTCGTCTTGGGTGGCTGGGCGAGAGGAGGAGGGACGCACCGGTTGCGCTTCTTCTTGGGCTTGCCGTCTGCGCCGAGCTGGCCGTCATCGTCCGAGTCGTCGTCCTGGTGGTGGGGTGCCGGGGCTTTGGCCTTGGCCTTGTGGTCGTGGACGGGAGCATCTGCGCCGACGCTCTTGCGCTTGTTGGTGGTCGCGGTCGAGGATGCGGGCGAAGGAGCTGCGGCGGGCGAGTGCGAGGGGTGACCGTACACGGCGCGCGGCCTGGCGGGTGGTGCGACGGGCGGAAAGTCGAGCGTGGCCGGGATGGTGCCCTCTAGCGGGCTGCCGTCCATGCTGTCGGCGTGGGTCAAGAGCGACACGAGCGACTCCTTCTCATCGCTCACTCGGCGGCGATCGAAGTCGGCTCGCCCTGGGAAAATCGGATGTACAGTGCAGGTTACTCGCTAGGCTGTACTGAGCAGCTTCGAGCAGCCAGTGTTGCTCTAGGGGCGAGAGACGGCGAGACGTTCTCATCTCGTCGATCAGCCTCGGCTTCGACGTCGCCAGCGCGTCTCTCGCTCCTCACGCACCCGCCATGGCCTCGCACGGCCAGAGCACGGCACGCTAGCTCGCACCAACACCGCCCGCCGCCGCTGCTCGTCCCGGCTCGTCCTCCTCGACTCGCCTCGGGTCGCGACCATGGGGCTCGCCGACACGCTCGGCTTTGGCAAGACGGCCTCGTTCCAGGCGACCATCACCGTACACGAGCTCCTCCAAGGTGCGCACACGCTCTCAAGAACTCGTCTCAGCCCCGCCCGCCGACGACAACTGACGCACACCTCCCACCACCTCATCTCTCGGCCTCGCCCTCGTCCTCGGCCGCAACAGTGCCCCTCCTCAACGCCAAGTTCCGCATCAAGTGGAAGTTCAAGGGCGCCACCCACGCCCTCGTCCACGCCGCCAGCGACGACGCCCTCGCCGGCTCCCACCACCCGCACCGCCACGGCTTTGCCGAGCGCTTCCTCCACCCGCGCACGGCCCTGTCGTCCTCGTCGTCCCACGCCACCCTCCCAACCACCCCTGTGCCCGCCGACCGCCCAGACCGCGACCGCACCCCGTCCGGCTCGCGCGCGCGCAGCAGGTCCCCCTACGCCGTCTACTCGTCCGAGGACGGCGACGACGTGCGCTCGCCGACCCAGTCGCCGCCCGTGTCGCCTGACGCGCGCCCGAACCGCGCCGGCACGTCGGCCTTTACCTTTCCCTCGACCTCGTCGAACGGCGGCGACACGCAGACGCTGTACGCGACGCCGTCGAACCGCACGGCCACGTACGACAGCGGGACGACGACCAACCTGTCGCCCGACGGCCTCGACGGCGGCGGCACCTCGTCGTCCAAGCGGCGCGGCGCGAGCGACCTGAGCGCGCTCGCGTCGTCGCAGAGCGGCTCGGGCCCCGGCGGCGGCGCGCACCCTGCCGCCGCGCACCGGCCCGAGCCCAAAGGCTCGACGACGTTCGTGCCGCTGCGCGCCCACACGGCCGTCTTTGCGCGCGAGATCACGTGCCCGGTCCAGGTCACGCTCCGGCACGTGCCCGGCTCGAGCAAGTACCAGCTGCAGCCGTGCCCGGTTCGGCTCGCCGTCCACCAGGAGGTGCCCGGCGAGGACGGCAAGCGCGAGGAGGAGCACCTCGGCGAGGTCATCCTCGACCTAAGCCAGTTTGCGGCTCACCCGCTCAAGGGCGGCGCGACCGCCGCCGAGGGCGTCAAGGACGACGTGCGCCCGAGGCGGTACCTCCTCCAGAACTGCAAGAGCAACGCTGTCCTACGCGTGTCGGTCAAGATGCAGTGGATCGACGGCGAGAAGCTCTTTGTCGCGTGCGTCCGCCTCTCTCTCCTCTCTCTCGGCCTCGAATACGGGCCCGACTGACCCTTTCTCGCCGGTCGACAGTCCCGCGTTCCGCACCGGTCAGCTGTCGACGGGCTCGGCGGCCGCAAAAGGGCTCGACAGCGGGCGCAACTCGCCCGCCAACCGTTCGTCCGCCTCGAGTGCGTCCCTCTTTCTCTTTCCCTCGTCGCGCTCTCCCGCACTGACTCTTTCCCTTGCAGTCACGCACAAGGGCAACGTCGCCTCGTCGACCCCGTCCCCGACTCGCCTGAGCGGCAGCAACTACGCCCGCAGCACGACGTCGACCGCGTCCGTCAATCGCTCCAACTCGACCTCGTCGATCGGGTCCCTCCCCGGCACGCCCTCGCCCCTCTCGGCCGCCTCGTCCATCGCCGCCGCTCGCGACCGCACGCCTGGGCCTCGCCACCGCGACCACCAAGCGCAGGGCGCTGGCGCCCGATCGCGCAAGCCCAAGAAGGTGTGGCACCCGAGCTCGACCCTGTCCGCCGCCGACACGGGCTTCAACTTTGGCGGCCCGCCGCCGCAGCTCTCGTCGACGCACATCGGCGGCGGCAGTACGTCGTCATTGGGCGGCGGCGGCGGCGACGGCGCAGGAGGCCGACGAGGTCGCATGCCCGTCCGCTCGGCGACCGACATCGTCGAGGACCTGTTCAACCGGCCGCTGCGCCGCACCGACACGGACGGGACCGTCACGCTCTCGGTCGTGTCGACGGCGGGCGGCGTCAGCACGCGCGACATGCACGGCGGGGCCGGTGGCGGGCTCGGCGAGCCGATCGAGCTGCGGCACGGCGGCGGCGGCGGGCTCAGCAGCGGGTGGAAGGCGCACAAGGCGCGCAGGTCGGCCGCCAAGTCGTCTGCTGCTGCTGCTGCTGCCGCTGCTGCCGACGCTCGGTCGTCCGGCGGCGAGGCGGCGCCGTCGTCGAGCAAGGCGTGGTCGATCCGCCCTCGCACTCGCGACAAGCACCGCGACCGCGCTCCCGCCGCGCCCGACGCGGGCCTGCCCGGCTTTGAGCGCAACCAGACGTCGGCGACCGAGCGCGTCGGGCGCACGCCGCAGGAGGACGTGCCGCAGCCGACGCCGGCAACGTACGCCAAAACCGAGGCGCCCGTCGAGGTGCACCGACAGCGCGAGCGCGCCCGGTGGCTCAAGGACGTCACGCACGACGAGCAGGGTCGGCGAGCGCCTCATCCGCACGCCCACGAGCAGGTCGACGTGCGCGTGCAGCCGCCGACGCCGCAGCTTTTGTCGTCGTCGCACGGCGCCGGCGGTCCGACGGTCGGCCGGCCCAATCTTGGGCCCACGCGCACGCCGTCGTCGACGAGTGTCGCCTCGTCGGTCGCCTCGTCGTCGACCAAGGCGCTGTCCGTGCGGTGGGGCGACCGGCCGCCGTCGACGTCGAGCACGCCCGCTTCGGCCATCTCGTCGTCGGCCAACTCGTCGTCCTCGACCGAGCTCGGCCCTCGCCATGGCGGCGGCAGCAGTGTAGCCGCGGCGGGTGCAGGAGGAGAGCGTCGCCTCGTGCCGTTGCGGTCGCAGCGCTCGTACGACGCGCTCGGCATCGCGAGGCCCGCCTCGAGCGCGAGCTTCAGCTCGCTCGTCACGCCGCCGTCGCCTGACCGACGCGACACGTCTCAGCGAGGGACGAGCGCGAGCGGGACGGCGCTGGGCCAGGAGCTCGGGCGAGCGCCGGCGAGGAGGGCTGGACCGGGCGAGCGAGCGCCAGGAGGAGCAGAGTGGGGGAGGAGCTGGGGCTAGGTGCCCCGAGCGCTGCGGCGTCGAGGAGGTCAGGTGGAGGACTCAGAGCAGCGCACGAGGCTTTCGCGCTCCCCTCGTTGTACAAGCGCACGAGCCCTCATACTCGAGCTCTCAGTTTCTTGTAGCATTCTCGAGTCCTGCATCTCGCTCGTTGCCCATCTCTCGCCGCGCCGTGCACGCGTAGAGAGACAGAAAGTGCATGCATGGCACAACAAGCAAGTGCGCGAGACCAAGTACAGAGTCGTCGAGACGATCCCAGAATCCCCCTCCTCGCTCGCCGGCACGCTCCTCCTCAGCCCGTCGCTCGCACGAGCGCGCTCTCCTCGCCACCGTCGTCGCCCCTGATGAGCATGACGGGCGGGTCGAACGCCGGCGAGACGACCCTGGCCCCGTCGCGCACGGCGGCGCTCGGCTCGAGGTACTGCGCCTGCTGGAGGCGGTTGCGCAGCTGCTGGTCCTGCTGCGGCGCCTTGATGCGCTTGTCGAACTCTGCGCGAGGAGGAAGAGAGTCAGGGAGAGGGAGGATGATGGAGAAGAGGGCTGTGAAGGCGCACCCTCGGACTTGAGCTCCTTGCGGCGCTGCAAGAGAGCCTCCTCGAACGTAGTCTTGACGACGAGAATCTTGAGAAAGACGGGCTTGGTCTGTCTGTTAGGCGTGAGAGAGCGAGGGGTTAGTCAAGGTCGTACGAGGCGGGCGAGTCGTACGAGGCGGGCGAGAGGGGCGAGGACAAGCCGACGCACCCGAGACGGTGCGCTCGTTTCGACGCTTGGACCTCGAGGTCGGGCTTCCACACGGGCTCGAGGAAGATCATCCTCGTCGCCGCCGTGAGCGTGATGCCGCGTCCACCGAGCTTGGCGTCGACGAGGATGGCCTGACACTCGGACGCCGACGTCTGGTTGAAGCGCTGCGCGATCGCGCCTCGGTCGCCGTTGCGGGCGTGGCCCGACGCAAAGATGGTGTGCGAGATGCCGACGAGGTCGAGCGTCTCGGACAGGTTCGAGAACAGGAGGTCGACGTTCGACGACGAGAAGATGATGAACTGCGGGAGGAGCTGGTCGTCAAGTTCGGGCTTCTCGAGAGCTCGAGCGAGAGAGAGAGCGGGGCGCACCTTCTCGCTCGGGTACTTGCGCAGCTCGGACACGATGAAGTTGATCTTGGAGCTTGTCGTGCGCACGAGTTGAACGCGGCGGAAGATCGAGTCGTCCGGGAGCGGCACGAGCGGCGTCGAATCCTTCTTGGTGCGCTTCTTGAACAACGGCTCCTCGTCCGGGTCGGCCTCGTAGTTCTTGGGCCGCGCGTCGATCCGCTTACGCTTCTCCTCGAACGTGATGAGCTCCTCGACGAGCTCCTCGTCGTCGTCCCACGCCTTGACGTCCTCGCGCTGCAACTCCTTGAGGTCGACGCGCAGGCGCACGAGCTCGTTCTGCGACACGAGCGCACGGCCGCGCGGGTTGCGCGAGCCGCTCAGGCCGACAAAGGTGCGCACGAGCTCGTCGTCGAGGTGGGCGACCTCCATGGCGACGGCCGGCGTCGCCGCCGTGAGCGCGACCTCGGGGTCGTCGAGGGCCTCCTGGAACACCTCGACGACTTTGCGGAGCTTGATGCGCTCGGCGTCGCTCCAGCCGGCGCTGCGCTTGCCGGCGAGGCACTCCTCGCCAAACTTGCGGGCCTCGACGAGGTACTGGTAGTACTCGGACGAGCCGAAGAAGGTCGTCGCGGTGGCGAGGTTGCCGCACAGGACGTCGAGCTCGGCGCGCTTCGACTTGTGGAACAGGTAGTCGACGTCGACCCGCTGCGACGTGATCGAGTTGGACACGAAGAAGCCGACGAGCGTGTTGTACACGAGGCGCTCGGCCTCCTCCATCTCGACCTCGACGATGCTCGTCTGCATCGGCGGCAGCCGGATGTACGAGCTGACGACGTCCGAGTTGTGGCGGATGATGGCCCGGTTGAAGACCGTCTCGAGCCGTGCGGCGCGCTCGCCGCCGCCGAGGACGTGACCCTGGACGAGCTTGCGGAGCGAGTCGGGTCGAGCGAACGCCGGGTGCTTGACGAACCGCGCAAACAGGTTGCCGAGGCGGTCGAGGTCGGTGCGGTCGCCGCCGGTCGCACTGTTGCTCGCGAACAGGGCGCTCGTCTCGCCCGTGTCGCCGCCGCGCAGGTTGGTCGACGGCGTGCCCGACACGGCCCAGCGCGACTCGGCGCGCAGCTCCTCGGCGAGCTTGCGCGTCAGGTTGGCGTGCGCGAGGACGTGGCCCTCGTCGATGACGATGCGGCGCCAGTGTACGCCGCGCAGGCTCATGTCGCCCGCCTCGGCGGCGTCCGAGAAGCGCGCGACCGACATGAGGATGACGTCGAACGTCGCCATCTCGTCGACCGAGCGGAACTTGTCCTTGGACGTGCGCAGGACGAGGACCCGGAGCGCCTTGGGCTGGACGTGCTTGTCGATCTCGCCGGCCCACTGCCGCACGAGCTCGGTCGGGACGATGATGAGGGTCGTGGGCGCGACGACGATCTTGACCGGCTTGCTGTCGTCTCGCCTGCGCGCCTCGCGCTGAGTCAAGCTCGGGAAGAGGCGGTAGAACGGCGGCGTCTTCTGGAGGAGGTCGAACAGCGGCTGCGGCAGCGGGTGCTCGCCGTCGACCTCGTCGAAGTGCGGGTACCGACAGGCGAGAGGCGACGTCTTGACCTTGTGGACCATGAGGGAGCGCAGGGAAGGCAAGGGCAGGTGCGGCGTGTCGGCGTCCTCGGCGGCTTGACGGGCGAGGGCGGCCTCGCGCTCGGACAGCTCGCGGTTGTACAGCTCGACGCCGACGAGAGGTGCCGTGACACGGGGCTTGAGCTTCTTGGCGTCCTCCCTGTGTGCGTGCGCGAGAGAGAGAGTCAGTCGGGTCGAGGGAGTCGAGTAGAAAGACGAGGCTGACGCACATCTCGAACGGGAACGGAAAGTCGACCGAGACGTCGGTGAGGAGGACCGACGGCGGCGGTGACGGCGAGCCGTCGAGGAACGTCGAGGTGCCCTCGAGCTTGGGCAGCTCGCTGAGCGTCGACATGACGAGCGCGAGCACGATGACCGTCTTGCCGACGCCCATGTCCTCGGCGAGGATGCCGCCCTTGGGCTCGCGCACCGTGAGTGGCGCGAGTCGGATGCCGCCGTCGAGCGAGACGAAGACCGTCTCCTCCTTGCGACCGTCGGGCCAGGACCCGCCGAGGCCGACGACGCGGGTCGAGCGGCGCAGGAACGCCGGGCTCGGGATCTCCTGCGGCGCGAGCTCGCGCGCGAGCATCTTGGCGAGCGTCGCGTGCTGGTACGGGAACAGGTCGCTCTCGACACCGGCGGGCTTGTGGTCGAGCGCCGACGACAGGCGCTGCTTGACGTCGTCGGGCGCGTCGAGGCTGTCGACGAACGAGGCGTCGGCGCTTGGCGACGTGATGTCGCGGTAGACCTCGAGGAGCGATCGACCGTCCTGCAGAGAGGCGAAGCGAGTCAGGGTCTGGTCGAGGAAGGGAGGGGAGGAGAGCTCGACGCACAATCTCGGCCATGAAGCCAGGCAGGTCCCCGCTCTGCACCTCGCCGTCCCACTCGCCCGCATGCACCCTGACCGCGCTCAACAGCCCGAGAACGACGCTGCCGGGCGGCCTCGTCCTCGCCCTGACCGCGCCGGGCCCGCGCAGCTCGGGCAGGTCCTGCGGCACGAGGTAGACGCGCACGAGCGCCACCGCCGCCTCACCCTCGCCGACTTGGCGCACCGTCGCGCGCAGGACGTGTGCGGCCGCGAGCGTCAAGAGCGCGTCGAGGTGCGGGTGCGCCGAGTACTTGACCTTTTTCGACGACGACGGGCCGGCGGCGGATGACGCGCGGCGCTTCTTGCTCCTCGAAGACGACGGGCCCGTCTTGGCGGACGACGACGTGCGAGGTGCCGCCGGACGAGGCGGGACGGGCGCCTGCTCGACGACGACGGGAGGGTCGACGGCGGGATCGGGGATGGGCTCGAGCGTGTCCTTGAGGAGGCTGTACCAGCCGTCCTCGGTCTGCTGATGTTGGACGTCGGCGGCGAGTCGATGCTGCTGAAGCACGATCGTGCCGATGGGGAGGAGGCGGTCGAGCGGAGCGACAGGTCGACTCGGCTGACGAGAAGGGCCGGCGGCGGCGGCGGTGGGCGACAACGGGGCGCCAGGGCTCGGCGGCGAAGCTCGTGAGGGCGGTGGAGGGCGAGCAGGACGAGCGGCCGGGGATGGCGGGGCGTGGTACGGCGTGTCGGTGGCGCCGAAGCGAGGGGTGAGGGCAGGTGTGGGAAACGGGACGCCGTCGAGGACCTCGCTCGCGGTCGGCGTCACGAACGCGGCCTTCTTGATCTGCAGATGAGAGATAGGTGAGCGACCTGAAAGCGCGGAACGCGCACACAGGGAAATATGGGCGTACCTCGTCCGGTTCGCCCTCGAAGGCGCGCCATTTGCCCTTGTCCTCCGTCGACGGGCACTCGCCCCTGGCCTCGATCCAGTCCCGCAGCTCGAGCTCGTCGCTGTCGATCGTCGGGTCGTCCGTCTTGAGGGCGACGACTGCTGCTGCTCGCGGGACGAGGCTCGGCAGCGGCGGCAGGTTGGACAGCGGCAGCTCGAGCTTTGGCGCAAAGAGCGGCGCCTGCCCGTTGCTGTGGCTCATGTTGGCGCACGAGCTGCCGACGCTCGTTGCCCTGCGACGACGCCTGGTTGCAGTCGAGGTGGGGCGGAGCTGGGGAGGTGAGGGCGACGAGGGACGGCTTGCGGGAGCTCGCGCGGCAGCAGGTGCACTGGTGGGTGGATCTCGAGCACGGCCGATTCGTGCTGAGCTTGCTCGTGGTGGCAGAGCGTGGTGGAGAGGGTGGAAAGCTTGTGAGCCGCGAGAGCGAGGCGGTGTTGAGTTGTCGCTCTCGCTCTGAGGTGGCTGCAGCGAGTTGAGCCTCTAGATGAAGGTATCTAGGGTACCCTCACCCGGCTCGTTGAGCACCTCGAGGGGCGAGGGAGATGCCGACTCGGACTCTGGCCCTCGTCCTCGTCGTCCTCACCCGCCCTTCCGTCCTCCTCTACACCTCGCACGATGATCCCGACAGCACCACGCATGGCAAGTCTCGTCTCGCAACGACCCCAAGCCCCCGCGCGCTTCGTGCGAGCCCGCGCTGACTCTCCTCTCCTCCTCCCTCCCTCCCCCCGCGCCATCTCCTCTCGACGCTCCCCTCTCGCGCAAAACAGGGCGGCGGTGCGCAGTACCCGTACCCCAAGGTACGTCCTCGGCCCTGCCCTCTCTTTTCGACCCCCACCGTCTCGCGTCGCCAAGCTCACCTCGCCGCTTCTCATCGCGCAGGAGGTCTGGTCCCCCGCCGGCGGCTGGTGGTCCCGCCCGGCCAACTGGAAGTCGTCGACCGGCCTCGTCTTCCTCGGCGTCGGCCTCGCGACCTACGGCGTCTGGAGCTACTCGGCTCGCAAGGAGGTGCGTCGCGCTCTCTCCCCTCTCGGCGGTTGGCCGGACCTGGCGTGCCCGAGTGGGCGCACCACGTTGCGCCCGCGCGGGCTCGTCCCACGTCCACCAGGTGCTTACACCTTCCGAGCGCGCAGTGGCGGCATACCGAGCCGACTCGCCCTATCCCCTCGATGATGGTACGTCCCCTCTCGCTCTCTCTCCCTTCCGCCCGCCTCTCCACGCCTCGGTCGACCTCGCCCTGACTCGTTCCTTGCTCTACAGTGGGCCCGGCAGTTCAAGACGGGCGAGCTCGGCGTCAAGGACGAGAGCAGCCTCCGGGGCGAGCCTGTCTCGCACCACTGAGCGTCGGCCAGGCAGGGTCCTGAGTAGCTGGTGTCCGGGTCGACGTGCAAGGAGGATGTGTTCTGTGCTCCCTGTCGAGCGATGAGAGACTGGTCCGCGTTGCTGCGAGAGCTCGTCGCCGTCTTGAGACCCTCGTCTCGCAAGCGCGAGCAGCGGCGGCGCCGACAGCTCGTCCGACGCGGGCTCGACCAGCTTTTCGCTCGCGAGTGGGCTACTTCGTCGTCCTGTCGAGCGTTCTGAGCAAAGCGAGGCGAGCCGAGCGTCAAGCGGGCTCAGCTTCTCCTGCTCCTCCTCGTCGAGCCACATCTCGGCGCAGCTCTAGCTCACTCACGTCGCCGACTTCCTGCTATGCCAGCTGCACAGTCGCTCTCGAATCGAGCACCGAACGCGCCCATGCCTTTGCGCTCTCCTCTTGCTCGCGCTTTGACCCTCTCCTCGCTCTCGCTCTCGCTCTCGCGCTCTCTGCGACGGACCGAGGCCATGCGGAAGACTGACTTGGGTGTTCGTTCATTCCAGTTCAACTGCTCAAGCGATGGTTCGACAGACAGGCCGGGACAAGGGCGGAAAGGCTGCAGACAGAGAGGGGAAGAGAGACCTTGAGAGACGGCGAGCGCTTGCCTGCTCAGAGAGGGTTGGGCGCCGAGAGGTTGACGTGCACTGCCTTGGTCTGGCAGTACTGCTGGATCGCCTCGGCGGACAGCTCGCGGCCGATACCCGAGCTCTTGTAGCCACCGAACGGCACCTGAGGGAGGGAGGGAAGAGAGCGTCAGTGACGGCGCCGACGATGACGGCAGAGGGGAATGCGAGAGCTTACGCCGTTCTCGAGCGTGTTGTCTATTGGGGCGAGAGGCTGAGTCAGGACGCGCCCGGGCGAAAGAGTGGGTGGAAGAGGACGCACAGCAGTTGATCCAGACGGTGCCGGCCTTGATCTCCTTGGCGATGCGCAGGGCGCGCGAGACGTCGCGCGAGAAGACGGCAGCAGCGAGACCGTACATCGTGTCGTTGGCCTGCACGTGCACGAAGGAGGGGAGGCGACCGAGGGAAAAGGGGGGCGAGGGAGGGAAGGGCAAGGTCAGCGCCTGCTGCGGGCGTGCCGGCAGCACACGGACAGTGAGAGGGGGCGCACCTTGACGACGAGGTCCTTCTCGTCCTTGAACTTCTGGACGACGATGACGGGCTGCGAGGCGAGAGAGGAACGAGAGGGTCAGTCAACTTGAGAAGGTCGCCCTCGCCACCGCCGACGAGATGCTGCCCGAGAGAGAGGAAGGAGGACGCACGCCAAAGATCTCCTCCTGCGCGATCTTCATCGACGGCTGGACGTCGGTGAAGATGGTCGGCTGGATGAAGTAGCCCTCGGTGCCGTGGCGCTCGCCGCCGAGGTGGACCGTCGCGCCCTCGTCCTTGCCGGCCTGGATGTGGGCCGACACGCGGTCGTACTGGAGCTTGGACGTGAGCGGGCCCTGGAACGAGTCGGCCTCGAACGGTCCGCCGACCTTGATCGACTTGATCTTGGCCGTGAGCTTCTCGAGGAACTGGTCGTAGATCGACTCCTGGATGAAGATGCGCGAGCCGGCGCAGCAGCACTGGCCACTGTAGACGAGGCGCGAGGTACATCAGTGACTGTGTGCGGGGAGGACGAGGGCAGACGAGGGAAGACGAGCGCCGGTGACTCGGCTTGAGGTGGGGAGGAGGAACGGGGAGGGGCGTCGCCGGCGCGCACGAGAGAGAGAAAGAGGGACGCACGCGTTGAAGAAGAGGCCAAAGGCGCCCCACGAGGCGGCCTGCTCGAGGTCGGCGTCGTCAAAGACGACGTTGGGCGACTTGCCGCCGAGCTCGAGCGTGACGGGCTTGAGGTTCGACATGGCGGCGGCCTTCATGATCTGGCGACCGACGAGCGTCGAGCCGGTGAAGGCGACCTTCATGATGCGCATGTGCGACGAGATGGCGGCGCCGACGACGTTGCCGTAGCCGGTGAGGACGTTGACGACGCCCGGCGGGAAGACCTTGGCGATGAGCTGGCACGCGTAGAACGCCGACAGCGGGGTCGTCTCGGCGACCTTCATGACGATGGTGCAGCCGGCGGCGAGCGCGGGCGCGATCTTCCACGCAAACATGAGGATGGGGAAGTTCCAGGGGATGATCTGGCCGACGACGCCGATGGGCTCCTGGCGGGTAAACGCGAACTTGGACTCGTTGACCTCGATCGTCTTGCCGTCGTTCTTGCCGGCGAGACCGCCGTAGAAGCGCAGGCAGCCGGCGGCGGCCATCACGTCAAAGCCCTTGGCGATGCCGAACGCCTTGCCGTTGTCGAGCGCCTCGATCGACGCGAGCGTGTCGGCGTGCTCCTCGAACAGGTCGGCGAGCTTCATGAGCATGCGGCCTCGCTCAGAGCCCGGGGTGTGCTCGCCCCAGACCGTCTCGAACGCCTTCTCGGCGGCGTCGCTGTGAGGGGGGGAGAGGACGAGTCAGGCCGTGCGCTCGTCGGCTGGACGGCTCGAGAGAGTTCGGGACGCACACTGCGCGGTCGACATCGTTGGCGGTGGCCTCGGCAACGTTGGCGATGACCTTGTCGTACGCCGGCGCGCGAACCTCGATCGTCTTGCCCTCCTCGCCGGCGGACCACTCGTTGTTGATGAAGACGCCGACAGGGAGGTCGACGTTCTTGAGCGAGTGGCCCTCGGGGAACGTGAGCGACGCGGTCGGAGCAGACATGGTTGAAGCTAGAAGGAGGTGTGGAGGTGGGGACGAGGTGAGCGGCCGCGCGCGAGAGAAGGCGAGCGACAGGGGAGGTACGGGCGCACCTTGTTTGTGCGGGTAAGGTGTGTAGAGTTGTGCGAGGTGCGCTCGACTTTGCAGAGTGTGCAGAGAGGGAAGAGCGAGGTAGGTGGGAGGAGGAGGGGGAGGGGGGAAGCGCGGGCAGCGGCGTCCCCGAGGCGAGGGCGACAAAAAAGCGGGGCGTGGGGCAAACGTCTCCCCACTCCGCAAGCAACCGGCACGGCCTCTCCGCGGAAAGCTTAGGGCCAGAACGTCCGCCTCTCTCGGGCGACAGCTGAGCACATGCATGCGACGCGCTCGCTTCCTCGCTTGTGCCGAGCCGCTTTGTCCTCGTCCCCTTGCGAGTCCCGCACCAGCTCGCGCTTCCCGCCCTGCGCCCTTCCCGCTCTCCCCTTCTCACCGGACGGTTCCGACGCTCACCAGCGCACGTGCCTCTCCCTTCCCCGCTATCTCTTCGCTCGCTCGCCTTGCGGTGACACGAGCAGCTGGCTCGTGGGATCTGCGCTTCGGCGTTCTGGCCGCACCGGGCTGTCCGCGCCGAGAGAAGAGAGAGAGCGAGAGCTTCTCGCGCCTGAACGCAGTCGACACAGGAAGCGGCAAGCCGACGCCACCGACGCAGCTGCGTACGCGCACGCTCGTTCGGCAACGAGAGCAGCGTTCCCTTCGCCGAGGCGCAGCTCGTCGTCCATGTCCGAGTCCGAGTGACAATGAGCAAAGGGCGCAAAGCTCCAGGGCCCAAGCCAAGTTCGGACATCTGCACGAGACCCGGTCGGAGAGCAAGGCTCGCTTTCATCCGGCGCCAGCGCCGAGAGCAGATCGTCCCCTGAGAACCTCCACTTGAGAAGGTCGACCGCTCGGACCTGCTTTAGTCCGGTGAGCGCTCGCTCATCGTAAAAGCATTTCTCAGTTGCTCGTGAAGCAAGCTCCGCATACAGAACCCGAGGCGTACGACGTGGGCTTCAGAGGAAACGCGCGAGCGAGTCTCGAGAAGAAAGCTGCGGAAAGTGCGCGGCTTCTCTCTTGTCGCGAGTTCCTCTCGCGAGCCGAGTCGAGAACAAGTAACGAAGAGATCCTGCGTGACATTGCGAAAGTTGCGACACCCCTCGGCGCTCGGGCCCTCGCTCCCTCCCCCTCTCGACCTTCCCAACTCCCGCCCTCACTCGCTCACGCCCTCATGCCGTTGCGCAAGTTCTCCCACCTGCTGCCCGTGTACGCGAGCCAGTTGTGCCTCTTGTCCATGCCCTCGCGCGTGCGCTCGATGCGCTCGCGCACGACGCGGACGAGCGACGCGCCCGACGCGGCCGGGCGGTCGCCCGACAGCTCCCAGTACATGGCGCCGCCGAGGCCGTTGACGCTGATGAACTCGGCTGTCGAACCGTGGGAAAGGTGTCAGTCGGGCGGACGTCGATCGTGAGGGCAAGGGAGAGGGAGGAAGGGTCGGACGCACCTTTGGCTCGCGCGCTCTCGACCGAGTCGTACGAGACCCACTCGCGCTTGGCCGGGTCGTAGCAGCTGGCGGCGACGAGCTTGGGGTCGAACGACTCGTGCGAGCCGGCGAGAGGCAACGCCTTGTAGTCGTACGAGCCTGCGAGAGGGCGAGAGGGGAAGGGTGCGAGGACGTCAGGACGAGGCGCCGGTGCGACGACGAGGTGGATACAGAGAGGGGACGCACCTGCTTCCCATGAGCCAGCGCCGATGCCCTGGAAAGGCGTGCCCGGGCCGTCGGTGTCGGTGAACGAGCGGCCGTAGAGCGGGATGCCTGCGCGAGGACCGTGCGTGAGTCGCGCCGCTCTAAGCTCAAGATCTCCTTGCGCGCCCAGTACGAGCGGCCGCACGAAGAGCGAGTCAGAGAACGAGGCCGACGCACCGAGGACGAGCTTGTCGGGCCTGACGCCGCCCTTGGCCGGGTCGGTGAAGAACCGGATCGCGCGGTCGGTCGAGAGGGCGTGGGGCGTCGCGCCAAAGATGGACGCCTGGTGGCCGGCGACCGAGTCCCACGAGCCTGTGACGGGTGACGAGAGAGGGAGGAGGGAACGGGTTCGAGTCAGTAAGGGGACGAGGGAAATAGGGAAGGCTCGACGAGCGAGGAGGGACGCCACACCGGCGTAGTCGTAGCTGTGGGACGCCAACAGGCGTCAGGGCTGATCACGAGCGCGAGAGAGAGGAGGAGGAAGAACCGAGGGGACGCACGCCATGAGGTTCCAGAACGAGAGGTACTGGTTCATCTCGCGCACGCGCAGCTTCTCAAAGTTGCTCGGTCCACAGGGCTGTGTTGCGAGAGACTCGTGAGTCAGTGTCGTCACGAGGCCGACAACCTACGCGATACGGGAGCGACGCCGCCGCTTGCGGACTCTAGGACGCAGGGAAAGAGGCCGACGCACCGCTGCGACCGTGAGCTCGAACCCGTGCGGCGGCGCCATGCCGAGGCGGTGCTGCAGCTCGTCGAGGCCGTGCCTCAAGCCCCTCAGGAGCTCGACATAGTCGCGCGCCTGGGCGTCGTCCTGCGGGTACTCAAAGTCGACGTCGAGGCCGTCGAGGCCGTAGTCGCCGACGAGCGCGACGGCCGTCTCGACAAAGCGGGCGCGACCTGCCGGGGTCGAGATTGGGCGCGCGAACCGGCCGTGTTCCGAGTAGGTCCAGCCGCCGATCGAGAGGAGGACCTTGAGCGAGCGGTGGCGCTGCTTGAGGAGGTACAGCTGCTTGAGGTTGCCGTACAGGTTGGGCCCGCCCGGGTCGTTCCACGAGTCGGAGCCGTAGTGGATCTGCAGGGTCGAGACGAGTGTCAGTCGCTGGAGGTGCGCGAGGGGGCGAGAGTCGGAGGTTCCGCCGGTGAGTGAGAGAGAGGTCGAGGCGCACCTGCTCGTCGGACCAGGCGTCGGTGAGCTTGACCTCACCGTCCTCCTTGACCTCGGCGAACGCTGTGGGTGGGGCGCACGTGAGCTCGCAGGCGAGAGGGGGGAGGAGAAAGGAGAGAAGACGGACAGTAGAGGATGTGGGTGAGGTCGTCGACGGGGATGTGCTCGGGCTTGAAGGCGCGCGCATAGATGCCCCAGTTGACAAAGTAGCCGACTCTGGGAACGTGGAGCAAGGTGCGGGTCAGTGTCGTCGAGTGCGAGGGCGCGTTGAAGGACGCCGAGGTGGGGGGCGCACGAGACTTTGCCGGCAGGGCGAGGGACAGAGGTGGTGGACATGGTTTGTGCCATTGGCGAGTGTGGTGCGCGGCTCGACTGGCGGAACAGGCTCAGGGGCGGGTCGAGGGCGAGGAGGACGGCGGTGATGAGCGAGACGACGAGGAGCGGGAGGGCGCAGGTGCGCTTTGGGTGGGTCGAGTGGTGCGGGTATCGGGTGTGGTGGTGCTGTGATTCCTGCGCTGGCATGCACTGGCGAACGTGCGACCGACGAGAGGCTCGGAGCGAGGAACGAGGCGGTGCTGCACTCGAGGCTCTCTTCGTCAGCTCCTCCTCACCGCCTCGCCCCGGCCACAGCTGCCAGCCAGGCCAAGCGCATCAGCTCCAGCGAGCTCTAGCACCCCCTCGCCACTCGCCGGCTGCCCTCCAAGAGGCTTGCCGCCGCTCGACGCCGCTCGCTCGCCAACGCACCTCCGCCGTCAACCTCGACTCGGCCCACGAACGACCTGCGCGGCCTGCTGTGCACTGCCACACAGGTGCGTCTCGCAATCCCTCTCTTCTGCAGTCAGCCAGGCATCCCTGTCGGCGAGCCGCTCCTCCCGGGTCCTCATCTTGCTGCGACGCAGTGGGGCCCGTTCGACCGCATCGACAGCTCGCCAGGCATCCCTACCGCACCTCGACTGACACACTCGACGCTCACACAGACCACCTCTTCGTCAGCCCCGCTGTCGCTCCCGGCTAGCCAGCGACAAGCCGCCATGAACCAGTGCGCAGACGACCTCACCCAGGTCGACGTCGAGCACGCCCTCCAGCAGGGCACCCTCGCCTCGACTGCCTCGTCCACCTCGCAGTCGCTGTTCCCCTGGATCGACTTTGCCCACTCGAGCGCGCTCAACGTCGACAACGCCGGCGACCCAGACCACCTCCGCCGCGTCCTGCGCCCACTCGACTCGCGCGACACCGTCCTCGACAACGACGAGATCGTCGGCACCACCCAGGAGGGGCACCAGGGCCAGGTGTGGTCTGCTGGCTGCCTGGACACGCAGGATGGCGACGACGAGCTCTTGATCCATGTCCGCTTCTTGGAACTCGTCCGCATCAAGTGCGTCCCTCTCTCTCTTCCTTCCACCGCGTCAGAGCTAAGTTCCCTCCCCCTCGACAGGTCCATCCTCATCGGCACCGGCGGCGGCCGCCTCCCGACCTCGCCTCGGCTGTGTCGCGCCTGGGTCAATCGCGGCCCTTCCGGCATCACCTTTGACGAGGCGTCGTCCGCCGCCCCGCAGCCGGCGCAAGAGTTCGAGCTTCTCGAGAGCGAGGGCGGCGCGAGGGGCGCGGTCGAGTACCCGACCCGGATCGCGCGCTTTGCCAACGTGAGCGACGTGTCGCTCTACTTCGTGCGTCCCTCGCTCTCTCTCTCAGTTGTCGCACTGCGTCGAGGCGGGACTGACTCGGGTCGCACGAGCGCGCAGGCCAATGCTCGGGCGGACCAGTCGAGGCTGTACTTCCTCGGGTTCCTCGGCGAGAGCCGCCAGCTCAAGAAGGAGCCGGGCGAGCCCATGACGAGTGCGTCCCGCTCTCTCTCTCTCTTCCACTTGCGCGCAAGAGACTCACGCTGTCCTCCCTCGTCGTGCAGTCGGAGCAGAGAACGCTGCGCCGTCGATGGTGGACGGGATCAAGGAGAAGCAGGCGGGCTCGAGCACGACGACGGCGCGGTGACCTCTTCTTCCCTCCCTCTCAGTTGTGCCCCCCTCTTGTCGTCGTCTGTCGAGTCCCGTGTTGTATTCTCACTCGCTCGTCGCAGCTGTGAGCACGCGCCCGGGCGAGTTGGCTCGAGCCGCTGCAGGTCTCGGCGAGCTCGCTCGCGCCTCTTCCTTCCCCGCATTCTTCCGCCTCGTCCGTTCTCTCTCTCCCTCTCGCGCGCCTCTCGCTCTCCCCCTCTCTCGACACGCAAACCTCGCCGGCACCACCTTCGATGCCGTTCCACGCCCCGCTCGCCTCGCAAGACCGCGCCGTCCTCGCTCGCGCGCACCCACCCCCGCCGAGCGCCCGCTCCCCGCCCACCGCCGCCGCACCCTCCCCCTCGACCTCATCGGCACCGCCTCCCGGCCCGCGCACCACCGCGACGCTGCGCCTCCCTGCGCCACCGCCGCCGCCCAAGCCGCTGTACCTCTCGACGCGGCGCGGGCGCACTCGGCCGGCGGGACTCGGCGCTGCGGGCGACGACGATGACGGGGCGGGCGAGGGCGGGATCCGCGAGCGAGGGTACGAGGGGCCGGCGACGAGGAGCAGCAGGGGGCAGAGAGGGGCGCTGCCGAGGTGGAGCGTCGCAGAGGAGGAGCCGGCGGCGGTTGGTCAGCGCGACGAGCGGGAGGAGGACGACGGCGAGGACGAGGCGGGCACGGTCAAGGGTGGCGCGCAGGTCTCGGGACAGGAGGACCAGGGCGAGCGCATGGAGAAGCGCGAGGCGCGCGCCGCCCTCGAGGCGCTCTTCGCGCCGGCGCCGACTGCACCTTCCGCTCCCTCGCCGACTCGCCTCGACCCGCCCGCCGCAGCGCGCGAGCCCTCATCGGCCTCAACAGCCTCGTCGACGTTCAGCGACGCATACCGCACGCCCGTCGGGACGCTCAAGGCGCGAGGCGCGGCGTCGACGCTCCGGTTCCGCGGCCGCTCGCCCGGTCGCGTCAGCATCTACTTTGACACGGCGCAGGAGAACCCGTTCGCCCGGCCGCCGTCACCGCCATCGCCTCCAGCACTCGAGGGCGCCCCGGGCGACGCAGCCGCAGCGCCGCTCCTCGAGCTCCCGCTCGGACCCGCGCAGCCCGCCCTCGCGCTGCACGCCTTCGCGGGCGAGACGGCGTTCGGCGAGCTGTCGTTCGCGCAGGGTGCGGTGCTGCGCATCGAGGTCGAGGACGTCGGCGGCGGGTGGAGCTTGGGGTGGCGGGAGGAGGAGGGCGACGAGGGGAGAGGGTTGGTGCCGAGGGGTTGGTACGCGGTGCGTCGCGCTCGATTCCCTCTTTCGGTGTGCGCTCTCCTTGGGCGAGCTGGCACTGATTTTGTCCTTCTTGACGTCGCAGTACGTCGACGGCGAGCAGCCGGCGTCCCCACCTGGACCCGCCGAGCGCTCGGTCCCCTCGCTCGACGAGAACTCGGCCTCGTCGAGCGCCGCCGTCACCTCGCCTCTCGCCGACCGTCCCGTTCTCGACGTCGACGTCGCACCTCCCGCCGTCGTCGACAGCGCCGACCAGCCTTCCTCACCCTCGTCCGCCCTCGCCGACCTCACCCTCTCCTCGCTCTCGTCGCCCGCTTCGCCATCTCCCCTAACGTCACCTGTCGCCATCGCGTCATCCCCAGCATCGCCGTCCTCGCCCACGCCGTCCTCGTTCGCCCGCTCCGCCGCGCCCTCGCCCACGACGCCCGCACGGCCCGCCGACGCGCACTCGAGCTCGCGAGCTCGCTCGTCGAGCAGCCCGTCGCGCTCCCCGACGAGCCCTACGTCGGCCACGGCACGCACGCCGTACGCGACGCGCTCGATCGGGCGGCACCTCGTCGTCAGCGGGACCGAGTTCGAGCCGACCTGGGGCGAGGGGGCGGCGGCGCTCGCGGCGGCCGAGGGGGCGACAGCAGGAGACGAGCAGCGACGAGAAGGGTCGGGCGGCGGCGTTACTGGGGCGGCGGCGGCGGCGGACGAGGCGCAAGGGCACGGCGAGAACGCGCTCGAGCCGCTCGAGTCGGTCGAGGAGAGCCCTCGCTCAGCGCTGGACGCCGAGCCGGCTCTCGTCGCCTCGTCGCCGAGCGTTGATGACGAGGGCCTCGAGCGGTCCGAGCCGGCAGCGCCGGCCGCCACGGTCGAGTCGAGCGCCCTTTCGCCTGGCCGCCCCGTCTCGCCCATCCCCCTCTCTCGCCCACCTCCTCCCACCGGCTCCTTCCTCTTCCGCCTCGGCCTCGTCCCCGCCGCCACCGCCGCAACCAGCAGCGCCATCTCGCTCTTCCTCCCCGCGCTCGGCCGCACCCCGATCCCGGGCGCGTCCATCCTCGCCGCGACCGCCGCCACGCCCTCGCCCGAGCACGCGCGCCGCGTCCCGCTCCCTCGCCTGACGAGCACGCGCCGTGCGACGGCCCCGTCGGCCGCAGAGGGTAAGGCGCTCCTCCTGCGCTGGGTCGACGAGGGCGACGCGCTCGACGACGACGGGCTCGACGCGGCGACGCAGCGGTGGGACGTCGAGAGCGGGCCAGCGTGGCGGTCCAGCCCGCACGAGTCGTACGGCGTCACGTTGCGCGAGGCGCGCAAGGTGAGCCCGCTCGGCGAGGCGGCGTACGTCGTGTTCGAGGTCGAGACGATGTTCCCGTCGGCGGCGGCGACGGCGAGCGGCGACGAGGGCGAGCCGGGCTCGCTCGCCGGCTCGAACACGACGCTCGTCGTGCATCGGCGATACTCGCACTTCCTCGCGCTGCACACGCTCCTCTCGGCGCGGTACTGCGCGCCGCTCGTCGTCGTGCCGAGCCTGCCGCCCGGTGCGCCGCTCGCGTACGGCGCGGCGAGGTTCGACCCGGCGTTGGTCGAGACGAGGAGGAGGGAGCTCGAGGCGTGGCTGCGGCGGTGCGGGCGGCATGCGGTGCTCGGGACGTGCGAGGAGATGAGGGGGTTTCTCGCTCTCGAGGGGGACAAGGTGCGCTCTCTTTCTCTCGACCCTTCTCCCCCGTCGACTCGACCTGACTCAGAGACCTGCAGGAGCTCGCGCAGCACCTTCTGCTCTCGCCGACGTCGCCACCCACACCTCCCCTCCCTCTCTTCCCAGCCCGCGTCTTCCACCCGCCGTTCAACCTCGACCTGGGCGACGCCGCCGAGCTCGTCGACCGCTTCGAGGCGCATTGTCGGGCTGTCGAGACTGGGGGCGGCTGGCGAGCGGTTGAGGAGGCGGTAAGGAAAGGGAGGGAGGGCGAGCGAGGTGCGTCGGATTGACCTTCTCAAGTCGACTTTCGCCGGCCGCGAGTCGGCATACCCGCCTCTCGTCGCCTACTCGAGCTCCGTCTACGTCAGATCCGGACTCACAGATTGCTCCCCTGCAGGAGCCGCCAACGACTTGCAGCGCCTCGCCGACTCTCTCGTTCGCCTCGCGGCCGGCATCGCCCTTCCGCCCACCTCGCTCGACAAGCTCCTCCCAGCAGCGCACTCGCCCATCTACGACGAGGGCATGACCGATGTCCAGCAGCAGCAGCAGCGAGCGCGAGCTTGGGGCGTCCAGAACGAGGTCGGCGCGTTGAGCTGGCGCGAGGACGACGACGGTGCGCCAGAGCGGTTCTCTCCGTCTTCGAGCCGTCCGTCCAGCCGGTTCCTGACGTGCATAGCCACCTCGACGCGTGCAGGTGCACTCGGTATGTCAAAAGCTGTGCAGACGGCGGCCGAGGCCATCGACAACGTGGCCGACGGACTCGACTTGACGGTGCGCTCCCCTTCTCTTTCTATCCTTTTCCCTCTCTCTGTTCGTGGCGGTCACCTGACATCTTTCGCCTCTCGAACAGGTTCGCGAAGAGCTGCTCGAGGTCGAGGCGCTCCTGCATGACGAGGTCAACCCGCTCTCGCAATACTCGGTCCGTCCCTGCTCCCCCTTTCACTCCTTGAGGACCCACACTTACCGTCCCACATCCTCGCAGGCCCTCATCGACCTTCACCGCACCCTCCTGTCGCAGTACACGCGCCTGTCCCGCCTCTCGACCTCGGACCCCGATCACGCGCTCGAGCCGCTCGGGCGGTGCGAGACGCTGCTCAACATCACGAGCGCCGAGATGGCCCGCATCGCCGACGAGCGGACCGAGGTCCTCACCGACGCGGTCAAGAGCTGGCTCGAGGCGCAGGCCAGGCAGCACGAGCAGGTGCGTCGGTCGGCTTCCACTGTCTCTCGCGGCGACGGCGAGCCCTCGCGTTCGCCGGCGCTGCTCATGTCAGCACGCGTGGCACTGACTCTACTTTCCACGCGTTGCAGGCTCTCGCGCACCTGTCCTACGCCGCCTCGCACTTCTTGCCCGAGTCGCTCGCCGACCTCGCCCTCACCGGTCCTCGGCTTCGCTCAAGGCTCGAGGCGCGCGCTACGCCCCGCAAATACTCGCCGCTCCTTGTCGCCGGCGTCTATGGTCAAGCGGGCACGAGCGCAGGGTGAGAGTCGGGCGAGCTGGGGAAGGGCGGACTCGGACGGGACGAGCGATGCAGAGAAGACGCGCAAGGGTGGCTCTCGTGCAATGGCAGGCCTGTCTTACCTCGTTCTCTTGCGCAGAGGCTCGCTCTGACGCTTGTGACGCCGCTCGCGAGCGTGAAAGTGAGCAGGAGAGTCGGCAACTCGCTTTCGAGAGGGAGAAGTCAGCCTTCTCGAACCGCAAAGCCTCGCAGGACGCCTCGACCATCGACAGCGAGAGCTTCTCTGAACGTCGAGAGCGTCATTAGGGACAGTCAGAGTCTGTAGCGAGGCGGCAAGCTCGGAAGGAAAGCGGTAAGGCACTGCGAGAGACGGCTTGAGGGAAAGGAGAAGCGGCTCGTTCGCCTCGCCGCCTCGGTGCACCGCCGAGCGCGCGCTCACACGCGTCGAGCGTACTGCTCGAGGAGACACCGAGGCAGGCTTTGCGGGTACCGAGGCGTGAGAGAGAGCGAGCAGGGAAGCAAGGCGGCGGCGGTCGAGCCTCTCCTTCTTGCCGGGCTCAGGATCGCTCGTGTCGCCTCGTTCTGCCGAGCGCGTCTCCTGGGACTCGCGGTAGGGCTTGACGATCGTCGAGAGGCGACGCACGCAGCGAGAGAGCTTGCAGGCGAGCAGCGCGACAGCCCGAGGCGCGTTCTCCTCGCCGGCGCTTTTCTGGCTCTCGGACGACGAGCTCGTCGCGACCGCGCTTCGGTAGACTCTCGAGAAGGAGACAGACGCTCGCTAGGAGGATAGGGAAGAAAGGGCGCATTGCAGCCTGGGATAGAAAGGGGCACAACAAGGGACGGAAAATCGAACACCGCGCACAACCACCGCCACCTCCGACGCTCGAGCAGCGACTTTACAAGTCCTGGCTCGCCTTGCCACCCTTGGTGACGGCGGTCTTGGAGGGCAGGAGCTCCGAGTGGATGTTGGGGAGGACACCGCCTGTGCGCGAGAGAGGAGGGGGAGGACGAGAGTCAGTTCCTTGTTCTCGACCTCGAAAGCGCACTCGAGAAGGAGGGGACGCACCCTGCGAGATGACGACGTGTCCGAGGAGGCGGTTGAGCTCCTCGTCGTTGCGGATGGCGAGCTGGAGGTGACGCGGGATGATGCGCGACTTCTTGTTGTCGCGAGCGGCGTTGCCGGCAAGCTCGAGGATCTCGGCCGCGAGGTACTCGAGGACGGCGGCGAGGTAGACTGTGGCGAGGCAGAGAGAGAGGGTCAGTCTCGAGGACGGGAGGCGAGGGGAGAGGAGGGAGAGAGGAGGGCGCACCGGGAGCACCAGCACCAACGCGCTGGGCGTAGTTGCCGCGGCGGAGCAGACGGTGGATACGACCAACCGGGAACTGGAGACCGGCCTTGGCCGAGCGCGACTGGGCCTTGGACGACGCGTCGCCGCCAGCCTTGCCGCCAGACTTGCCGCCAGAAGACATGATGAAGTGAGGGTGGAGTGGGTGGGGTGGGGGTTGGTGGGTGTGGTGGAGCGAGGTGCTTGAAGGCGTGTGAGGAGAGGAGGAGAGGGGCGAGTTGTGTGCAGAGAGAGGTGGTCGAGGGAAGCGGAGTGTTTGTGACGGCGAGAACGAGAGCGAGGCGCGGTAGATGTGGACGTACGCATTGCCACGAGGCCATGTGGACGTCCGCATTCTGCGAGGCCGGCCGTGTTTGCCCTCTGCGGCGCGCGCGGCCTCGTCCTCCTCCTCCCCCGCCTCGCTGCTCTCCCTCTCTCTCTCAAGCTCAAGCTACTCTACACGCTCTCCCCTCCACCACCACCACCCACCACACCACCCCCAACTAGCAACAATGGCCCCCAAGTCTGGCGTCGCCGAGGTACGCTCCCTCCCTCCACCCCGCCCTCTCGAGACGACGCGCCGCCGTCACACCGCAGCCTCGAGCAGCGCGCTGACTCTTTTCTCGTCCCCTCGTCTGCAGAAGAAGCCTGCCTCCACCGCTGGCAAGGCCCCCGCCTCCAAGGCTCCGGCTGGCAAGGCCCCGGCCAAGAAGGCCGTCAAGAAGGCGCCCGCCACCGGTGACGACAAGAAGCGCAAGCGCAAGACCCGCAAGGAGACCTAGTGCGTCCCGTTTCTCGTGTGCACTCAGCCGAGCTCGTCGTCCTGACCTCGCCTCCCCCCTCCAGCTCGTCGTACATCTACAAGGTCCTCAAGCAGGTCCACCCCGACACGGGTATCTCGAACAAGGCGATGCTCATCCTCAACTCGTTTGTCAACGACATCTTCGAGCGCATCGCGTCCGAGGCGTCCAAGCTCGCGTCGTACAACAAGAAGAGCACCATCTCGTCGCGCGAGATCCAGACCTCGGTCCGCCTCATCCTCCCCGGCGAGCTCTCGAAGCACGCCATCTCGGAGGGCACCAAGGCCGTCACCAAGTTCTCGGCCCAGAAGGCGTAGAGGAGCCCCTCCCCTCTTCCCCTCTTGCTCGTCGTCGCCCCCCTCGTCGTCTTTCGATTTTCCCACCCCCTCCCCACGTGTTGTTACTTCAGTCCTTTCGCTGCAACCTTGCGCGCTTTACTTCTTTCCTGCGTCGTCTTGTTCGTCGAGAGTGCGAGCCGAGCGAGAGCGAGAGAGCATGGCTGCCGCGGTCGAACCTGGCCGAGCAGGATCGTGCCTCTCCCTCGCTCTTTCGCGTGCGCCCTTTACAGCATCGAGCGAGCGTCGAGCCGAGCGTGTACGTGAGACGTCGCCGCGTGAGAGACCGCGAGCGGCGGACTGGCGCGGGGCCGAGAGCAGCGCCGCGAGAGCCGGAAGAGTGCGAACCGCTCTCGAGGCCCGAGCAACGAACGTTGACAAACCCGTCCCGCACGTCTGCTCCAGCAATGCCATGTCGCGTTCGGAGGACGGAGAAGCTCAGACGAGCGAGATCCCGTGGTGCGTGCGAGCGCGAGAGGAACCGGCTCGTGCGCACAAGCAGAGGGCTGCTCGCCTTGCCCTCGCAGTAGCGGGCTCGGTAGTCTGGCAAGCGTCGGCAGCCGAGCAAGAGCTGGGTGCACGCTGTAGTCTGCCGCAAGCGCCGCTGTCGTGGGAGACGAGAACATCTCCCGCTCGCGCGTTGAGAAGGCCGCTGGGCGTCGTCTTGGACGTGGCTCGTCTCCTATCGTACGCTCTTTCCGAGAGGCGCGATCGTCTCTCTCGACTTGCGAAAGGCTCCCTTCTCGCGGTAGCCAGGAGAAAGTCGACCGACGAGCGGAAGGACGCAAGCTTACAGGTCGAAAGCAGCGTCCGCAGCTCGGCTCGTGCGGCGCCTCGGTCCCCACGGGCTGCGTCCAGAGCGCTGCTCGTTCAGCGACGACAGACGACGTCGAGCGAGGACAGTCGCTCGAGGGAGTATGCGTCGTCCGGAAGGAGCGGCTCGTGCGCGTACGACGATGCGGCCGACGCGTTCTCTCGCCGGCTCCTGAGAAGCGCAGGTCAAGCGGCGCGCACTCGGGGGCATCTGGTCGATCGTAGAGTGACGGCCGAGACGAGCAGGATGTGCGAGAAGAGACTGGGGCGACGAGAAAGGAGAGAGCGGAATTTTGGCGTTGCCAATCTGCTTTTGCCGTTGTGTAAGCTGATTTGCTGCAGCTCGTCAAGCAAGTCCTCGATGGTCTAGTGGTTATGATTCGGCTCTCTCACAGCCGCGAGCGGGGTTCGATTCCCCGTCGGGGAAAATCAACAGCGCTTCGGCGCTTCTCTCTTTTGCTGCGTCGGGCGGTCAGACTCTTCTGCAATTGCAAGTGCAGCGCCCCGGAGCCTTTTTGCAGGCCGGCGAGAAGCGCGAGTCGTCACCAGCCGCGACGAGTAGTCGGCCCCACCTCGTCCTCCTCGCCTCTCGCTCATCCTCCTCGTCCGGCCGTCGCTGCTATGGCCTTTTCCGCCTTCCGGTCACCTCTGGTCGATCTCGGCGACTTCCTGCGGTCACTCGCAGTGCCCCGCACCGCCTACGGCACCAGCGCCCCAAGTCGCGAGCAGGAGGAGTGGGAGGTCTTCCGGGCTCGACAGGGCGGCACCAAGCGCCTCGACTACTTCGGCGGCGATGTCGTGGGTCCAGCAGGAGCCGTCCTCGTCCTGCGCTCGATGGAGAAGTCGCCCGGCGTGACCGACATCGTCCTGTGCGTCCCCCTCCCTCCTCTCTTTCCTCTCGTGCTCGCCGGGAACCGCTGACACTCGATTCCTGCAGGTCCCAGAACCAGCTCGGCGACGATGGCATGCGGGAGCTACTCGTGGGCATGAAGCGGCTACGCTCGCGCGACATCGGAGCTCACCTCGAGGTGAGGCCAGACCTCTCCCTTTCTGCGACTCGAGCTGCGTGAACCGGCACTGACATTGCCTCGTGCAGAGCCTCAACCTGTCGAACTGCGCCCTGAGCGACGTCTCGCTGCACCTCATCGCCCTGCAGTGCGTCCCCTCGTCTCCTCCTCGTCCTCGAGAGCGACCCGCCTGACCTCTCGAGCCGCGCAGTCTGCTCCAGCCTTCGCCGCACCCACCCTCACTCCGCTCCCTTTACCTCAACTACAACGGCATCTCTCTCGGCTCGCGCTCGACCCTGTCGACCCTCCCAGAGTTCCTCGGCGGCGTCCTCTCCTCCCCTTCCTGCTCCCTGCGCTGCCTCGACCTCACGAGCAACCGAGGCGTCACGACGCCGGGCTTTACCGCCCTCCTGTCGTCCCTCAAGCTCGCCGCCGGCCCGTCGCACCTCGCCGAGCTCCGGCTGTCGGTGACGGGCCTCACGCCCGACTGCGCCGAGCCGCTCGCCGAGTGGCTCGAGGACCCGAGCGGCGGCGGCCGGCTCCTCGTCCTCACGCTCAACGCGTGTGCCCTCGGTCCCGCCGGCGTGCGGCGGCTGAACCGCAGCGTGACGAGCGGGCGAGCGCCGAGCCTGCTGCACCTCGAGGCGCTCGCGAACGGCGACGCCGGCGACGAGCAGTGGGGCGCTGTCAACGCTGCTCTGGCGGCAGGAGAAGAGGAGGAGCTGGGCGACGAGGCGGCCGAGAAGGCGAGGGTGCAGGAGGCGCTCAAGCGGAACCAGCGCGTGTACCGCGAGACGAGGTTCGCCGCCCTGCGCCTCGCCGCTCCCGCCCGCATCCTCTTTGGCGGCAACGCGCGCGAGCTCGAGGAGGGCAAGAGCGACGACGGCTCGTTCCCCTTCCTCCGCCTCCCGATCGAGCTGCAGGTGCACGTCCTGCGCTGCCTCGTCCTCCTCTCCCCCTCTCGCGCCGCGCACCTGTACCCGACCCTCTCTCGCCCTCTCTCGACCTCGTTCCACTCGTCCGACACTCTCTCCTCGCCCCTCACCGAGCCCCAGTTCCTGCGCCTCCTCGCACACTGCGCCTCGCGCCCGACTCTCCTCACCGAGCGCCGCATCGCCGCCGCTCACGCCGCCGGCGAGGCGCCGTCGCTCAACGCCGCGAGCGGCAGCAAGACGTGGACGAAGCCGTCGGACGATGCGCAGGACCCGCAGGGAGGGTGGGAGGAATGGTTCTTGAGGTCGACCGGGTGCGACCGCTTCGAGCGGGCGGCGCCGTTGTAGCGAGATAGATAGCGCTCTCGCAACTCGACGAATCGACTCTCCTCGTGCACGCTCGCCTCTCGAGAGTACATGCACCGCGACTGCTTGATTCTTCTCGTTGCAGAGGCTCGTCGACGCTCGATGACGCTCAGGCCTTGACCGAGCGGCGAGCAAACTCGACGAGGGTACGGACGGGCCTGTAGACAGAGGTGCAAGCGAGTCAGTCACGTCTAAGAAAGGAGAGAGGAGGAGAAGAGGGAGAGAGAGAGAAAGAGAGAGAGATAGAGAGAGAGGAACGTACCGCCCAGTCATGCCGGCGAGGTTGTACCCGCCGTCGCCCGACGCGAGGTCCATCGTGCCGGCAATGTCGAGGTGGGCCCACCGGATGAGGCCGTCCTGGTTCTCGTTGTCCGAGCCGTCGACGATGAGGCCGTCGACGAAGCGCTTGAGGAAGATGGCGGCCGTGCACGCGCCGCCGAGGCGCCCGCCCGTGTTGCACAGGTCCATGCCCGTGCCCGAGATCTGCTTCATGTAGCCCTCGTCGAGCGGCATGCGCCACACGCGGTCGCGCTCGGCGGCGCCGGCGGCGTCGAGCTCGGCCCAGAGCGAGTCGCTGTTGGTAAAGACGCCCGTGAACTGGTTGCCGAGCGCGATCATCATGGCGCCCGTCAGGGTCGCGACGTCGACGACCGTGTGCGGCTTGAACTGCGACGTGGCGTAGTACAGGGCGTCGGCGAGCGCGAGGCGGCCCTCGGCGTCCGTGTTGTCGACCTCGATCGTGACGCCGTTCGAGGCGACGACGATGTCGCCCGGCTTGGTCGCCTTGCCTGTGCGACGCGAGGGACACTTTCAGTAAGTCGTATTCTTCTTTGACGAGGCGCTCGAGGAAAGAGAGAGAGAGAGAGAGAGAGAGAGAGGCGCACCCGAGGGCATGTTCTCGGTGAGCGGGATGCAGAGGACGAGGTTGACCGGGATGTGGAGCTTGGCGATGGCCCACGCCGAGGCGAGCGTCGTCGCGGCGCCGCCCATGTCGGCGCGCATCTCCTTCATGGCCGCGCCGGGCTTGAGCGAGATCCCGCCCGAGTCGAACGTGATCTGGCAGGGCGAGACGAGGTCAGTGCGGGCTCTTTGTCGGTGGGTCGACTGGCCGTCGACAGGGCAGGTCGAGATCGACGAGAAAGAGTGAAAGAGAGAGCTGTGGACGCACACCCTTGCCGACAAACGCCAACGGCTGCTCGTCCTTGTTGGCGGCGCCGTGGTAGTGCAGCTCGAGGAAGCGCAGGGGCTCGTCCGAGCCGCGCGAGACCGAGATGAACGAGCCCATCTTCTTGTCCTCGGCCCAGGCGAGGTCGTGCGCCTTGATGGTGACGTTGGCGAGGCCCTTGAACTTGGCCTCGGCCGTCTCGCAGAAGATGGTGGGCGTCATGCGGTTGGCCGGGAGCTCCATGAGGACGCGCGCAAAGTTCTGCGCCTCGCCGTACACCTTGCCCGTCTCAAAGTCGAGCTGGATGCGGCCGTCCTTGGCCTGCTCGCTGTCGAGCGTCGGCTTGACGGCGTCGCCGAGGAGGCCGATCTCGACGGGCTCGAGTTTGGCCTTGGCGTCCGACGTCGTCTTGAGGTTCCACACGTGGCTGGCGAGCGTCGCGCCGACGGCGGCCGAGTGGGCCGAGTGGAGCGGGTCGACCTGGAAGCGCTTGCTGCCGGACGCCTTGAGGGCGTGAGTCGCGACGGCGGCCTGTTGCGAGGGGGGTGGCGCGGGTCAGCTCTGACCCCGTACAGGGCCTGGCAAGACGCAGAGAGAGAGAACGAGACTCACGGTGCGCCGGGTCTGCTCCTTGAGAGCGTTCTCCTCGCCCTCGCCGCCCTTGCGGTCCTTGGGCTTGCCGACGCCGACTGCGACGACGGTCCTGTCGCCGTCGACGGCGTAGAAGGTGCGAGTCTCGCCGGCCTTGTCCTGGGCGCGCGAGGCCTTCCACAGCTGCGGGATCGAGGACGAGGCGGCGGAGGGCGATGAGGACGACGAGGCGGCGAGGGAGCCGTCGGCCGTGACGGCGACGTAGTAGTCGGGCTGCGAGGACATGGTGCGAGTGCGGGTGCTGCTGCCGAGGTGGATCGAGGTAGCGCGAGAGAGAGAGCGGAGCATGCGGGACCACAACCAAGCGGGCGCACCACGCGGCTCGTCCGGCTTCCCCTCTCGCAGAAAACGTTCTCTCACACGGGCCGTCGGATCCACTTGACACGGAGCTGGTTGCACTCGTGCGAGGGGAGGGCACGCAGAGAAAAGAACGAGAGATGCAAAAAGAACCACGGACCCCCTGCCCCGAGCCTCGAGTCTATCAGCTCCTCCTCCTCCTCCTCCTCGACACAGCGTCGCAGCGCCGTCGAACCCCACCCAACCCCTCGCCCACGCCGAGGCGGGCGAGCCCACCGCCGCTCGACCACGGCCGCCTAGCGCTTGTCGCTCGGGCCCGTCGCCGCACTCGCCGCAGCGGCCGCGCGCGCCGACTTCTCGGCCAGCTCGACCTTGGCGTACCCTGCAGGACGACGAGAGAGTCAGGGCGGCTCACCCGAGGGCAGAGTCGGCGAGAGCGAGGACGTACAGGCACCGCCAAACAGGGTGAGCGAGATGCCAAGCAGGTTGGTCGGGTTGAGGACGACGTTGAAGATGATGACGGCGAGCACGATCGTCAGGACCTGCTTGACGTTGGGTGGAGGGAGGAACAAGGGGGCATGTCAGGCTGTGCTCGTGCGGGTGCGGGAGGGAGACGAGGGGCGAGAGTGGACGAGAGGAACGAGGAGAGAGAGGACCCATCTGCGACCGTCATCGTGAGCGCGCTCGTCTTCTTGTTGGCCGTGAAAGACACAACGTTCAAGCCAAAGGCGATGGCGCCGTTCATGGCGAGCGCGATGGCCTTGTTCTGCGTCATGTCGGTCGCGGCGTAGGCGCGCACGCGGTCGAGCTCGCCGCTCCACCACCCAAAGAAGACGCACTGCATGAAGGCGAGCGGGCTCATGCGCACGAGGAGGTCCAGCGGGTGCAGCTTGAGGCGGCCGACCTGGACCCGGTTCGTGATGATCGTCTTGAGCGCCGCGAGGAAGGTGCCGATCAAGGTGAGGATGAAGCCCCACGGCGTGAACGAGTAGTCGCCGTAGGTCGCAAACACGACGCCGGCGACGACGGGCACGAGGGCGAGGAACGTCTGCCGCGAGTACCGCTTGCGGAACAGGACGATCGACATGAAGATGGTGAACAGGGGCGTCATGGCGCGCACGACCTGGTGGAACTGTGGGCCGGTGCGCACGAGTCAGGGTCGTGCACGTGAAGGGGAGAGGGAGAGAGAGAGACAGGCGGACGCACCGGGACCGAGACGAGGTGCAGGCTGAGGTTGCTGACGGCGATGTTGATCGTGTACAGGCCCGAGAACATGAGCATGATGCCGTTCTCCTTGTTGGTCAGGCGCGCCTGGGTGAACAGACCTCGTTGGAGGGCGATCTGGGTCCCGATCGTGCCGCTGAGCATCTGGATCGCCGTCAAGGTCCACGGGAACGGGAACCCTTGCAGGACGAGCTTGTTGTAGAGGGTGAGGCCGAGGTTGAACGCAAAGTACAGGACGAGCCACGCCTGGGGCGTGTCGAACCGTTGCGCGAGGCTCGGCGGGCCCGTCAACTGGCGCGACGACAGGAGCGAGTGCGACGCGCCGCCGACGAGGTGGCCCAGCTCGTGCGCGCCGGCGCGCCCGCCCTTGGGCGTGTAGTTGGGCGACGACGCGCGCGTGATGCCGTGCAGCGACGAGCTCGCGTAGCCGCTGCCGTCGCCGGCCATCGGGATCGACGAGTGCAGGTTCTGCGGCTGCGACGAGTCGAGGACGGGCGGCAACTGATGCATGGCGGCGATGCTCGGGCTGTCGGCGTACGCCGGGTGGATCTGGGACGGGCTCAGGGGCGCCATGGCCGGCGAGCCGACCGTGAGCGAGTCGTTGCGGATGCCGTTGGCGGCGCGACCCTCGAACGGCCACGCCGAGCCGTTGCCGGCGCCCGACGACGACGACGAGGGATTGGGCGAGTCGTCCATCGGCACGTACAGGCTCGAGGGTCGAGGTGCGCGGGCGGACGTGGAAGGCGAGTCGGCGTGGGCGGCAAAGGACGAGGCCGACGGGTTCTTGAGCGGGTCTTGAGCTGCCGAGGACGACGGCGGCGAGGAGGAGGGGAGTGGGGCGAACGGGTCGTAGGTGCGGGTCAGGCGTGGCGAGGTGTTGACGTCGGACGTGTCGTGGGACTGGTCACGCGTGGCCATGCGGGCGGTGCGGGGGCAGGACGAGGTCGGGTAGGACGGTCGAGGGAAGGCGGGAGGCGATGAGGGCGAAGCCGCACGGCGGTGTGGACGGCGCGTGCGAGGCACCTTGGTGTGCGACTTTGAGCGTGCTGGTCGAGTCGCGCTGGCTGCTCGAGCTGATGGCGAGGTGGACGAGAGGGCGCGTGTTGTCGATGGGAAGACGTGGGAGCTGCGACCGCGACGAGCTCGTCAGTGGGGCGGCCAGAGGGGACGTGGGATGCACTCGAGCGAGTAGACGCACCTGTGCGACTGTGCACTGCAGCTCTGGCGCCTGGTGCTTCGAGAACAACGGGCGACGAGCTCGAGGTGATCGAGGAAGGGAGGCGAGATGGGAGCGACCGGTGGGTCGACGCTGGCGTCGGGCGGGGTGCGACAGGTGCTGATCGGACAGGGCTGGTGGTTGTGAAGCTCACCGGGAGCAGCTCGCGGGCGGCAGAGGGTCGAGAGAAAGAAGGCTCTCTCGCAAGTCGACGCGCCCACCTCGGAAGCGCGAGCGCGAGTTCCCTTCAGAGTTCTCTGCCCCAGGCCAGCTCCTCGATCGAGATTGCCGCAGCCCCTCTCCAAGGAGCAAGGCGCCAGTCGGTCGGCGCGCTCCGCCGACCCTCTGGAACTCGCCGCCTCCCTCTCGCACCCTCTGCACGTTCGTCGCGAGGAGCTCGACACGCTTTGTATTGCACCCGCACCCGCACCGGTATGCCGTCTCGCTCCTCGTCATGTCGTCGCGACGTGGTGCGCGCAGTAGAAGGCGAGCTGCCGAGCTCGAAGAGCGGAACGGCGGCGGCGGATCGAGGTCAGTGCTGCTGCTGCCGAGGTTGGACGCCTGCTTGAGCGATAAGTTGGCGCTCTCGACGCTCTTATGCGCCGGGTCGAGCAGCCGGCGGACGAGAGCGCCCGCTGTCGCCAGAGCTGCCACGGACGAGGCTCGAGCACCGCTGGCTGCGACGAGGCTGCATGTCGCGGTGACGGCGGCATCGACGACGTCAGGCATGCCCGACGCGCGCAGTTTGGCGAGGCGGTCGGCGAGGGTGGCGGTCGGGAACGAGGGCGACTTGTGCGGGCTCGGGCGTGAGCTCGAGGCGTCGGCGCGAGGGCTGTCGGGGCGACGACGAGTCAGTCGACGAGCCTCGGGGGAGGGGAGGGAGAACGGAGGACGAGCGGGACGAACCCGATGAGGGGATTCGAGTCGGCCTTGGTGGCGGTCGACGGGTCGGACATGGTGGCCTCGCGCTGCTCGAGCCAGGCGACGACCTGGTCCTGGGACGCCTTGGCGCCGGTGACGAGCTGCGGGGGAGGGAGTGACAGGGAGGGTCAGTGTGTTTCGCTCGTCGAGATTGACAAGGGCGCGAGGGAGGAGGGGTACGAGAGGGAGGAAGGGAGGAAGGGAGGAGAGAGAAAGCGAGAGGGACGGACCTCTTTGAGGCGGGCGACGGCAAAGTAGTCGTCGCTGCGGGCGGCGACGACGTCCTTGTACTGCGGGTGCTTCATGATGATCTGGAGGATGCTGTGGGCGCACGCAAAGGAGTCAGTGGGCGTCCCGTCGAGGTGGTGAGCCATGCCGCCGCCCCGCCCCCGGCTTGGCCCCAAGCTGCGCACCGAACCAGGCCGCAGACGGTCGCATGGCGAGGCTCGTCGACGACCCAGTGCGCGCGAGAGAGAGAGAGGGAGGGAGCTGCCCCACTCACCCGGCTGCGCGCTTGTACTCGAGAAAGGCCGACGCGACCTGGTGGTGGTCGTTGTTGGTGCGGCCTCGATGCCAGGCTTGGTCGGCATGGTCGAACGCGGTCTGGGCTGCGCGGCTCCACGCGCGGACCGAGAACTGGGCCGGCTGGAGCGAGGCGAGCGTGTCGTGGGCCTTGGAGCGCAGGTCGGCGAGGGCGGGCGGTGGTGGTGGTGGCGGCGGACGCTGCGACGAGGCGGTCATGCTCGCGCGGTGCGTGGGTGCGGCTCTGTCGCAGTCGCGAGCGGCTTCGAGGTCGACGCGAGATGACGATGAGGACGAGAGCCGGCTGCGAGTGTGTCCCTCTCCCTCTCGCACCTCGCTTCGCTTGCAGGCAGCTGGACCTTGTCGACAGCTGTCGACTGCTTGCAGCCCCGCTGGCACGCGCGGGTCCCTCGAGCGAGCGACCTCTCGCCTCGCCCCTCCTCCTCCTCCTCCCACCGTCGGCGGCGACCATGGCTGGCGTCGCGCCGAGGGTGCACGCATGCTCCTCGCTCGCAAGAGGACACGAGCGCTGGGTACTGTCGCTCCCTGCTCTCACGGGGCTCTCTCTTTCTATCTCTCGACGCTCGAGGGCGCGCTGCGAGGGCAGACCACGCTCGGCCTCGCTTCCTCCTGCGCCGAGCACTTGCGCTCATTCGAGCTTCTCAGTCTCCCGCTGCGTATGGGTCACTCTTCGACGACGACGACGCGGCCCCGGGTGGGCGGTGTCGGTGTGCCTGCGGCGACGAGGCTTGGACGGCGCGCACAGCTGTCGCGCGCTCCGCGGTACGCTCGAGGCCAGCGACTCGAGGTGTCGCTCGCTGGACTCTCTACCGACGTCGTGGGAGAGAGAGAGAGCAGGCCTCGCGAGGCTCGGCAGGACAGAGAGCGCGCGAGTCTGGTGGGAGGGAACCGTGCGCCGCAGCGAGCGCTCTCGTCTCGAGTCGACCTTGCCCGCCGACCTGCTCACGCCTGGACGGTTGAGAGTTCTCGACTGGAAGCGGGACCGGGAACGACGCGTCGAAAGGGCAGGCTCGCTGTGGTCGAGGCGGGGCGGGCACCAGTCGACCGGCGGCACCGTCTCAGGTGCGAGGCTCTGACCGTTGCGGCTTGTGAGAGGGACAGTACACGGCTTGTTGCGTCGTCGGGGCACGACCAGCCAGCGGTCTTGAGAGCGTCGCACGAGAGTTCAGAACTACATTTTGAACGTGGGTACTTGTGCAGCCTCTGACCTCCGAGGTACATCAAAGCGTCGGATGGCGCAGTTATCAAGTTCTCTTAGCTCAGGGGCAGAGCGGGCGACTCCAGTTTAAATCGGAATTATATCGTCAGGTCGGCGGTTCAATTCCGTCAGGGGACTTCTCTTTTTGCGGGTCGTTCTTTTGTTCCTCGAGCCCACCGACGGTCCCGGCGCAGCGCCGACATCGAGAGGGACCCGCTGCACCTTTTTGCAAGCCAACGAGGCTTTCCCCGCCGAGCCGCACAATGTGCCCGACCGCATCCTCCCCCTTGCTCTCTTCCACCTCTGGCCGCACACTCCTTCTCGACGCCGGCCAACATCTGCATTCCTCTACGATGCCTCTCTCGACCCGGCTGTCCTCTCGCAAGTCGCTCTCGCCGCTCTTTCGCCCGCGCTCGAGCCCCTCTTCGCGACCTTCCCAAGTCGCCACCTCTCCTCGCTCGTCGCCTTCTCGCCACCTCTGCGCGCCCCTGCCGCCTCTCGAGCCCGCCCACGCTCGCTTGCTCGTCAGCTTGACCGCTCTCGCATGGTCCTGCAGCTTCTCGGCCGTCCCTCTCGAGCGTGCCCCTCTCTGTCCAGCTCAAAGGCGCGCTTTCGACCTCGTTCGTTCCCGTCGCTCTCACTCTTTCCTTGTCGCTCGGCCCGCACTCTTCTCTTCGTGTCTATCGCTCTCCCCTCTCGGGACGAGCAACGCAACAGAGAGCGCACAGAAAGTCGTACAAGGCCTCGGATTCCAAGATCGTCGCTCGCTCGCCCTGCTACTCGCTCGAAACGCCGTCGCCCTCGTCGTCCTCGTCCGTCTCCTCGTCGCTCGTGTCCTCGTCTCGAGGGATCATGCCGAGGCTGACGACGAAGTGGTGGTGCGTGACAGGAGGTCGCACAAGAGACCGACGCTTAGCTTTTCCTCGTGGAACCACGGCCTCTTTTCTTTATCCGCCGAGAGGGGAAGTAGACGTTCGCGAGCGAGTCGAATATGTGCGAGTCGAGGAAGCGCACGCATTCACGCTCGACGAGGATGCCGAGGAAAGTCGACTTGAGAAGGTGCCGAGAGCCCGGCCGTTGCTCGCTTAGCTTTTTGTATTCGGCAATAGCCTTGGCTTGGGCGTCCGGAAAACTCAAGATCGCGCTAGTCCCGCATTGCTCTCGGCTCGCTCGAGGGAGGAACTCTCGAGGGTCCGTGCGGCATCGTCGCCCTCGCCTCAGCGGTGCGGTCACTCGGCAAGCGACTCGCTGCGGGGACGCAAAAGCTGAGACTCTCTCCTGAGCGCTCGTACCCCCCGCACGTGCTGTACCGGCCCGCGCAGCATCGACGGTCCCTCCCCGCTCCTCCTCTCCTCGCTTCCCTCCCTCTCGTCGTCCTTCAGCCTGCTTGCCGACAAGCACTGCTCCATCATGCCCGCCGACAGCCACATCGGCCAGCCCGCCCTCGAGCCTGCCGCCTCGCCCGTCGCCGTCGCCGCCGACGCCGAGCTCGTCTCGCCGCCCACGGTCCAGTCGAGCGGGTGGAGCCGCCTTCCTCGCGAGTTGAGGGAGACGGTCGTCGACGACGTCGGGCGCATCATCGAGGACGAGGGCCGCCAGAGCGAGATCTACTCGCTCGAGCCTGTCGCCGTCGGGTTCTTCGAAACCGAGGCCGCTCGTCGCGACGATGTGCGCCGTCTTTCCCTTGCGGTTCCTCCTCGTTTCGGGCCAGCTGACACTCGTCCCTCTACAGCTGCACCAAGCCCGAGTCGAGAAGCGCCGCGCCCTCGAGCGCCTGAGTGCCGTCAACCGGGACTTTCACTCGCTCTCCGTGCCGCACTTTTGGCGGGTGCGTCACGACCTTCCACCTCTTTCAACGTCACGCACTGACTCAATGTCCCTCCATCTACAGAGCATCGCGCTCGTCCACGAGAACATGTGCATCGAGCGGCGCCTCTTGGACATCTTGCCCGCGCGAGCGATGCACGTTCGCTTGTTCACGGGCAAAGTCGGCTGCGTCTCGTTGGGCACGTTGGGCGAGGAGGATCGGATCGAGGAGCACGAGATCGCGATGCGGGCTCTGCGTTCGTGCAAGAACGTCCGCCTCGTCGACCTCGACTTCGAGTACTGCGACTTTCCCGACTTCGAGATGCCCGCCGTCGAGTACTTGGCGCTCCGGGGCTTCACGTACATCATCACGTTCGACCTGTACCCGGGTTTTGCCAACTTGACGTCGCTCAAGCTCGCGGACAACGAGGACGGTTCTCACGGGAGCGACTTCCTCGGCCACGTCGTCCTTCTGTCGTCGCTCAAGCACCTGTTCATCGACACGCACATCGGCGACTCGTTCTTCGAGGAGGCCCTCGACCTGAGCGCAGACGGCCATGCGGTGGCGCGTCTCGAGTCGCTCGAGCTGCAAAGCTCGGGAACGACTATCTCGTACGATCCGCTCCACGCGTTCGTCACCAAGTTCTCCTCGTCCCTCGCCTGCCTACGCCTCGACTTCCCGCCAGAGCCGCGCCCGACAGTCGGACGTGCGCCATGGAGCATTACCCCCGACCAGGCGTTCCACCTCCCGCACCTCCACTCCCTGTCCCTGGCCACGGCCTTCTCGCCCCACCTCTTCCACCAGTTCACCTCGCAGCACATCCCTCTCCGCCTCCTCGTCGTCGGCGACTGCCCCTTCCTGTTCGAACGACGTCGAAGACCTCGTCACCCTCCTTCACGCCCACCCGGCGACGCTCGAGCGGGTCCACATCGCGTCCGCGACGTCGCTGTCGGACTACGACGACCTGTCGTTCGCCTGTCCGGCCCTTGGCGTCGACCACTGGATCAAGGACCCCGAGGAATGAGTCGTCGGCGACGAGCGCACTTGGGCTCCGCCGTCGAGGTACGGCGACGACTCGGAGATGGGGCACGGCGAGTGGGTCGAGGACATGGACGACGAGGAGATGAACGACGGCGGCGAGGGACGGCAGCGTCTCGAGTGAGTAGCAGGGCGAGCGAGCAACGAGTTTGGTTCGAGCGAGCAACGAGTTTGGTCCGAGCGAGCGAGCGACGAGCTTGGAATCCGAGGCCTTGTACGACTTTCTGTGCGCTCTCTGTTGCGTCGCTCGTCGCGAGAGGAGGAGCGAGAGACGAATGGAGGAGAGTCTAGGCCGAGCGACAACGAAAGGGTGAGAGCGACGGGAACGAGCGAGGTCGAAAGCGCGCCTTTGAGCTGGACCGAGAAGGGCACGCTTCTGTAGAGCGGCCGAGAAGCTGCAGGACCACGCGAGAGCGGTCAATCTGACGAGCAAGCGAGCGTGGGCGGGCTCGAGAGGCGGCAGGGGCGCGCAGAGGTGGCGAGAAGGCGGCGAGCGAGGAGGTACGGCGACTTGGGAAGGTCGCAAAGAGGGGCTCGAGCGCGGGCGAAGAGCGGCGAGAGCGGCGAGAGCGACTTGCGAGAGGACAGCCGGGTCGAGAGAGGCATCGTAGAGGAATGCAGATGTTGGCCGGCGTCGAGAAGGAGTGTGCGGCCAGAGGTGGAAGAGAGCAAGGGGGAGGATGCGGTCGGGCACATTGTGCGGCTCGGCGGGGAAAGCCTCGTTGGCTTGCAAAAAGGTGCAGCGGGTCCCTCTCGATGTCGGCGCTGCGCCGGGACCGTCGGTGGGCTCGAGGAACAAAAGAACGACCCGCAAAAAGAGAAGTCCCCTGACGGAATTGAACCGCCGACCTGACGATATAATTCCGATTTAAACTGGAGTCGCCCGCTCTGCCCCTGAGCTAAGAGAACTTGATAACTGCGCCATCCGACGCTTTGATGTACCTCGGAGGTCAGAGGCTGCACAAGTACCCACGTTCAAAATGTAGTTCTGAACTCTCGTGCGACGCTCTCAAGACCGCTGGCTGGTCGTGCCCCGACGACGCAACAAGCCGTGTACTGTCCCTCTCACAAGCCGCAACGGTCAGAGCCTCGCACCTGAGACGGTGCCGCCGGTCGACTGGTGCCCGCCCCGCCTCGACCACAGCGAGCCTGCCCTTTCGACGCGTCGTTCCCGGTCCCGCTTCCAGTCGAGAACTCTCAACCGTCCAGGCGTGAGCAGGTCGGCGGGCAAGGTCGACTCGAGACGAGAGCGCTCGCTGCGGCGCACGGTTCCCTCCCACCAGACTCGCGCGCTCTCTGTCCTGCCGAGCCTCGCGAGGCCTGCTCTCTCTCTCTCCCACGACGTCGGTAGAGAGTCCAGCGAGCGACACCTCGAGTCGCTGGCCTCGAGCGTACCGCGGAGCGCGCGACAGCTGTGCGCGCCGTCCAAGCCTCGTCGCCGCAGGCACACCGACACCGCCCACCCGGGGCCGCGTCGTCGTCGTCGAAGAGTGACCCATACGCAGCGGGAGACTGAGAAGCTCGAATGAGCGCAAGTGCTCGGCGCAGGAGGAAGCGAGGCCGAGCGTGGTCTGCCCTCGCAGCGCGCCCTCGAGCGTCGAGAGATAGAAAGAGAGAGCCCCGTGAGAGCAGGGAGCGACAGTACCCAGCGCTCGTGTCCTCTTGCGAGCGAGGAGCATGCGTGCACCCTCGGCGCGACGCCAGCCATGGTCGCCGCCGACGGTGGGAGGAGGAGGAGGAGGGGCGAGGCGAGAGGTCGCTCGCTCGAGGGACCCGCGCGTGCCAGCGGGGCTGCAAGCAGTCGACAGCTGTCGACAAGGTCCAGCTGCCTGCAAGCGAAGCGAGGTGCGAGAGGGAGAGGGACACACTCGCAGCCGGCTCTCGTCCTCATCGTCATCTCGCGTCGACCTCGAAGCCGCTCGCGACTGCGACAGAGCCGCACCCACGCACCGCGCGAGCATGACCGCCTCGTCGCAGCGTCCGCCGCCACCACCACCACCGCCCGCCCTCGCCGACCTGCGCTCCAAGGCCCACGACACGCTCGCCTCGCTCCAGCCGGCCCAGTTCTCGGTCCGCGCGTGGAGCCGCGCAGCCCAGACCGCGTTCGACCATGCCGACCAAGCCTGGCATCGAGGCCGCACCAACAACGACCACCACCAGGTCGCGTCGGCCTTTCTCGAGTACAAGCGCGCAGCCGGGTGAGTGGGGCAGCTCCCTCCCTCTCTCTCTCTCGCGCGCACTGGGTCGTCGACGAGCCTCGCCATGCGACCGTCTGCGGCCTGGTTCGGTGCGCAGCTTGGGGCCAAGCCGGGGGCGGGGCGGCGGCATGGCTCACCACCTCGACGGGACGCCCACTGACTCCTTTGCGTGCGCCCACAGCATCCTCCAGATCATCATGAAGCACCCGCAGTACAAGGACGTCGTCGCCGCCCGCAGCGACGACTACTTTGCCGTCGCCCGCCTCAAAGAGGTCCGTCCCTCTCGCTTTCTCTCTCCTCCCTTCCTCCCTCTCGTACCCCTCCTCCCTCGCGCCCTTGTCAATCTCGACGAGCGAAACACACTGACCCTCCCTGTCACTCCCTCCCCCGCAGCTCGTCACCGGCGCCAAGGCGTCCCAGGACCAGGTCGTCGCCTGGCTCGAGCAGCGCGAGGCCACCATGTCCGACCCGTCGACCGCCACCAAGGCCGACTCGAATCCCCTCATCGGGTTCGTCCCGCTCGTCCTCCGTTCTCCCTCCCCTCCCCCGAGGCTCGTCGACTGACTCGTCGTCGCCCCGACAGCCCTCGCGCCGACGCCTCGAGCTCACGCCCGAGCCCGCACAAGTCGCCCTCGTTCCCGACCGCCACCCTCGCCGACCGCCTCGCCAAACTGCGCGCGTCGGGCATGCCTGACGCTACGACCTCGAGGCCGTCGTCGTCGCCGCCGCCGTCGCCCAAACCCGCGTTCGGCTCCGCCCACTCGCCCCGCCAATCCACCATCCCGCTCTCTCCTGTCGCTCCCACGCCCCGAGCACCTCGGTCGGGCGACGCCGTCGCCGACAATGCCGGCGAGCGGTCGGGCAGTGCTCCTCCCGTCCTCCCGCCGTCGCAGGTGCAGGAGCCGGCGACGGTGTGGGAGGGCTCGGCCCTGCAGTTCCGCCACGAGGGCGGTACGCCAATAGCCGGGCGTCAGAAGGGCGTCGTCGATCGAGGGCCAGCAGGCGGTGTCGGCGTCGCGCCCGATCACGGCGAGCCTCCTTCCCCGTCCGCATCGCACTTTGCGACCTCGTTCCCGAGCCTCGACGACTTCGAGCGCGACATCGCCCCGTCCGACGCTCCCTCGCCGTACTCGCTCCCGTCCGTCCCCTCCTTCGACCCCGGCGCGACGCCGGGCAGGCCGCCTCGACCACCTCCGCCGCATCCTCCGAAACCTCGACACCTCGATGAGCGCGCTTTCGCCCGCGAGCAGACCGAGCGGGTCGAGGCGATGTCGCGCGTGGCCGAGAGTCGCCGGTCGAACGGCCATCCGCCGCCGACGCCGCCGCCAAATCGAGCGAGCCTGCCGGCCGCGCTCGTCCCGGGCGGCGGCAAGGCCCTCGGCGGCGCGCTGCCGTCGGCCTCGCCCTCCCGTCGTTCTTCTGCCGCGGCGCAGCCCCTTCCGCCGCCAACATCTGCGCATCGGGCGCTCAAGATCCCGTTCGCCAACGACGTCCGGCCTGCCGAGCTCTGGCAGTACCTGCAGACGAGCAAGGCCGAGACGGGCGAGGGTCCTCGCGTCCTGCTCCTCGACCTGCGCACGCGCGAGGAGTACGAGCACGGGCGCATCAAGGCCGAGACGGTCTGCCTCGAGCCCATCATCTTGCGCGACGGGTGCGTCCCCGGCCCGCATCTCTCTGCCCCCCTCGCCGACTCGCACTGACTACAGCCTCGGCGCCTGCAGGATCCGGAGCGTCGACATCGAGAACGCGCTCAGCCTGTCGCCGCCGCACGAGGCGGCGCTGTTCGCGGCGCGCCACCACTTCGACATGATCGTCGTGTGCGACCGCTCGTCGTCGTCCTTGCCGAGCTCGCCGCCGACCTCGACCTCGTCCGAGGCGCAGCGTGTCCTGTGGAACCTGTTGAGCGCCATCTACGAGCGCGAGTTCGTCAAGGGCCTGCCGCGACAGCCCCTCCTCCTCGTCGGCGGGTGGGAGGCGTGGGAGAAGAAGGTCGGCGCGCAGGGCATCGTCGGCACCGGCGCCTCGCCGAGGGTGCAGCAGGACGAGATGGATCGGGCAGAGACGAAGAAGGCGCATCGTCGGGCAGCAGTGCTGCCGCCGTCGAACGGCGAGATGGGCGGGACGATGCTGCGGAACGGCTCGAGAGTGCGTCCCAGACTCTCTCTTCACTCCATCTCTCCCTTGCACTCGCGCACTAACTCACGATATCGCTCCACAGGATCAGCAGTCGAACGGCGGCTACTTTCCCTCGGCCTCGTCGTCGTCCTACGCCTCGCCGTCGGCGTCGAGCAGCCCTGCCGCCGGGCTCGTCTCGCCCCGGCTCGCCATGCCTCCTGTCGCCGCACAACGCTCGGGACCTGCGCCGTCGTACGACCCGTTCGCCTCCTCGCCGCACGCCCGGCAGAGCTACGCCCAGCCTCGAGCAGACGGCTACCACCACGCGGTCGCCCCGCCGTCGTCCTCGCCCGGTTCGAGGTCCCGCAGCGGCACGCTCGACCAGTACGGCGCCGCACCGCCACCGTCGTCGACCTACATACCCGGCAGCGGCGAGTACCAGCATCAGCGCTCCTCGTTCGACTACGCCCGCCCCTCGATCGACTACCCGCAGCTCCAGCACCGCGCTCCTCCGGCCCTCAGCCACCCGACTCGACCGGCTCCTCCTCCTCCAGCATCTTCTACCGCCTACTCGGCCGTTCCTCCCGTACCTCTCGCCCGACCGCCGCCGGCCAAGCCCGCGCCGATGCGCTCCAACTCGTCCTTCTCGAGCATGCAGCCGGCGCAGTACTCGGCGGCACACTCGCGGTTCCCGACCGGGCTCCTGAGCTTTGAGGAGGGCGTCATCGGCATCAGCGGCCTCAAGAACCTCGGCAACACGTGCTACATGAACTCAACGATCCAGTGCCTGAGCGCTGCCGTCCCTTTTGCCCGCTACTTCACCGGTGCGTCCTGCCCTCTCCCTCTCCCTCTCCTTCCCTCGAGTCGTCGCCTGACTAGCTCTCGAACGTTGGCGGCTCGTGCGCTCGCAGGTGGCACCTACCGCAAGGATATCAACGTCTACAACCCGCTCGGGACCAAGGGCGCGCTCGCCAACGCCGTCGCCGAGCTCATTCGCGCCCTGTGGGCGCAGCAGTACCACTTCCTGTCGCCCGTCACGTTCCGCGAGAACATATGCCGCGTCGCGCCCCAGTTCCGAGGGTCCGAGCAACACGACGCGCAAGAGTTCCTCGGTTTCCTCCTCGATGGCCTGCACGAGGACTGCAACTACGTCGTCAAGAAGCCGCCGCCGGTCGAGATGACGCCTGAGCGCGAGCACGACCTCGAGACGCTGCCGCCGCAGGTCATGAGTGACCGCGAGTGGCAGATCTACAAGATGCGCAACGACTCGTTCATCGTCCAGTGCTTCCAGGGCCAGTTCCGCAACCAGCTGCGGTGCCTGACGTGCCAGAAGGTGCGTCCTCGTCTCTCTCCCTCTCTTGCCCGAGGGCCTCGCACCCCTCGCACCCCTCGTCGTCGTTCGTCGAGTCGAACTCACGCCTCTTCCCCTCGGCGCGCAGACCTCGACGACGTATAACACGTTCATGCCGCTCTCAGTGCCTATTCCTGGCGGTCGAGGCGTCGGCAGGGTGTCGCTCTTGGCCTGTCTCGAGCAGTTTGTCAAGGACGAGGTGCTCGACGGCGACGACGCCTGGTACGTCCTCTCTCTCGCCTCTCGCACGGCGTCCACACCTGACGCCTCGCCCCTGCAGGCACTGTCCTCGCTGCAAGAAGAACCGTCGGGCCGTCAAGAAGCTGTCCTTGTCCAAGCTGCCGCCGATCCTCGTCATCCACCTCAAGCGCTTCTCGTTCCACGGCCCTTTCAGCGACAAGGTACGCCCCTCTCGTCTCTCTCTCTCTCTCTCTGCGCCTGTACCGATACTGACATCACACCGTGCGCTCGCAGATCGAGACGCAGGTGCAGTACCCGCTCGCCGGCCTCGACCTCACCCACTTCGTCCCGCCGCCCATGATGGACCAGTCGGGCGCCTCGTCGAGCCCGCCCAAGGGCTACAGCTACGACCTGTTCGGCGTCACGAACCACTACGGCAACCTCAGCAGCGGCCACTAGTGCGTCTCGGGTTCTCTCTCCCTCGCAAGCAGACGAGCGCGCACTGACCTCTCGGGCCCCTCCTCTCTCCTCCCTCGTCGCAGCACGGCCTTTGTCCGCAGCGGCCGAGACTGGTTCAACATTGGCGACTCGAAGGTGACGCCCGCCGACCCAGCTCACGTCCAGTCGGTGCGTCGTCGCCTTCTCGCCTTCCCTCGCGCCCTCGCCCTCGTGAACTGACCCTGAACTCGTCGCGCAGGCCAAGTCCGCCTATATCCTCTACTACACGCTCCGCACCTGAACATACCCATCCCCTGCCCACCTCGCCCATACCGCTCTCCTTGGCCGTATCATTGCCGCCGTCGTCGTCGTCCACCGTCGTCTCTTTCTCTCTCTTCTGTCTCGCCGTGCCTCGTTGTCTCTCCCTCGCACTTAGTTCCTTGCAGCGACTCTTGACCTGTCTATGTGAGCGTCGAGGGAGCCAAGGGTGCGCGTTGCAGTGCGAGAGAGGGGGGAATAAAACTGAGGAGACGAACGAGAGCGAGAGGGGGTATCGGCAGAGAGAGAGGGTCGACGCAAGCGAGAGAGGGGGTACACCGAGAAAGGTAAAGACGGGCAAGAGGAGAGAGAGGGCTAGACAAGAGGCTGGAAGCCCGTCACCTCGTCGTACATCCTGCGCTTGAGGTCCTCGCGCGAGAGCTTCTCGAGGTCAAAGTCGAAGAATCCGGGGTCGAGAGGCGGCGCGACGGGCTCGTCTGCCGGCGAGGACGTGCTTTAGTACGTCGTCGAGCGAGAGAGAGAGAGAGAGAGAGAGAGAGAAAGAGGCGCGAGCTCACCGTCCGGGTCGTGGTACTGGGCGAGGTAGGCTGCGCGAAAAGACAAAGGCTCGAGGTCAATGCTCACTTCTCAAGCCATGAGGCAGAGGGAGACTGTCGACGCACGATGTTCGAGGCACTGCTCGGCCGTGAGCCGCTTGGTCGGGTCGAACGTGAGCGTCTTTGCGAGAAAGTCGCACGCCTGCTCCGAGGCGGCCGGGAACAGCTCGGCAAAGTTGCGGCGCTTCTGGAACGGGAGCGCGCGCAGGTAGTCGCGCGAGCGGCGCGAGTTGATGCGGTAGAACCTGCGTGGGAGGAGCGGGGCCGGGTCAGGCTCGGTCGGGGAAGCAGAGGGGAGAGGCCCGAGCGGGGAGGACGCACTCGTCAATGGTGGGCGTGCCGGTGACGCTGAGGATCAGGGTGAGCTGGTGGTGGTCTGTGGATGCGGACAGTCAGGACGTGCGACTGAGAGAGGGAGAGAGAGAGAGCTGGACGCACAGTCGCGACCAGGGAAGAGCGGCCGGCCGCTCAGCATCTCGGCGCAGATGCACCCGACGGACCCTGCGGAAAGTGCCAGTGTCAGGGACGGCATAGGTCTATGAACCGAAACAGTCGACGCACAGATGTCGATCGCCTTGGTGTACTGCTTGAACCTGTCGAGGGCGAAAGGGGATTGAGAAGGTCAGTGTCGCGCTCGAGCCTCGGCCGAGGAGTTGAGGACGCACGTGAGCATGATCTCGGGCGCGCGGTACCACCTCGTCGCGACATACTCGGTCATGAAGCCCGTCTCGCCGCCGTTGGGCTCGGCCGTGAGGACGCTGCGCGCGAGGCCAAAGTCGCAGACCTTGAGGTCGCAGTTGGCGTTGAGGAGCAGGTTGGACGGCTTGAGGTCGCGGTGGATGATGTTGGCCGAGTGCATGGCCTTGAGCGCCCGCAGAGTCCTGCGAGAGAGAGACAGCGTCAGGCTTGGACGAGGTAAAGCGGCGACGAAGAAAAAGGGGAATGGCGAGGACGCACTGGTAGACGAAGTACTGGACGCTGCGCACGGCAAGGGGTCAGGGTCGGCCTCGCAGAGAGACAGTGAGAGGGACGCACTGGTCGTCGGAGAGCGGCTGGGTCCGGATGACGCGGTACAGGTCCGTCTCCATGAGCTCCTGGATGAGGTAGACCTGCGCACGCTCGTGACAACGTCAATGAGTGCCTCTCGACAGGCACAAGAGGACCGACGGGACGCACCTCCTGGAACGAGTCGTACGAGAGCGGCTTGATGAGGTCGATGACCGTGATGAGATTCTCCGACACCTGGTGCTCGGCAAAGAAGCGCAGGAGCTTGAGCTCGCGCAGGGTGCGCAGCGCGAACATCGAGTGGTCGAACGGCATGACCTTCTTGATGGCGACCTGTGGGTCTCGAGCGTCAGGGGCGGTCGTGGAGGAGAGGGAAGGGAGGGGAGGACGACGCACTCGCTGACCGGTCGCCTTGTGGATGGCCGAGCACACGACGCCGTACGCTCCCTCGCCGATGACGTCCTGGACCTGTACATGTCAAAGAGCCTCAGTCGACTGTACTCGGGCACAGAGAGAGGCTCGAGGAGGAGAGGAAGGCGAGGCGCACCTGGTACTTCTGCCCGACCGAGAACCGGATCTTCCTCGGCTCCTTCTTGTCGTCCTTCTTGCTCGACGGCTTGTCCCTCGCGAGCTGCCCCTGCTCCTCCTGCGCCGGCGGCTTCCCCTGCCCCGGCTCACCGAGCTTGCCCCCGCTCGCGCCGACGCCACCCTGCTCGCTCGACGGGCCCGCCGCCGGCTGATCGTGCGGTGCCGACTGCCCCGGTACTGGGTCCTGCTCCATGCTCGTCGAGGGTCCTGGTGCGCTTGCGGCGTGGGCGGGAGGTGCGGGCGCCGCCGAGGTGGATGCGTGCGCGGGTTGAGCGGCGGCGGTGGAGCTGGCGGGGTGGGCGTGCATGTGGGGGGCGGATGCTGCTGGGTAGGCGAACGGGTGCACGGTGGCCATGCGCTCGGGGTGGGCGAGAGCTCGGCGGACGAGGAGGCGAGAGGGAAGGGAGGATCGAGTCGGGAGCCGGGCGAGAGGTGCGAGCTGGGTGTCGCTCGAGCTGCTGCTGCGGGTGCGCGAACGAGGCGAGAGTGCAGGAGAGAGAGCAAGAGGGAGCACAGGGGGCGCTGGCTCGAACGCTCGTTCTTCCTCGTCGACAAGGGCCGCCGAGCGGAGCCGGGAGGGAGCGTGCGTCCGGGGCGACAAAACGCGGGGCCACAACGCCGTCGCCTCGTCCCTTTGTGCGCTCACGCTTGCCGTGCACAGAGATGCGCTTTGCACTCTCGTCGAAAGCTGACAAAGGTATGTGGGCGCCGCGAGAGCGGCGCGTGAACGAGGACCGAGCGAGCACCTCGACTCGAACGACCTTCTCAAACAGCTTTCGACGACGACGACGACGCACAGTGGCTCGACTCGAACAGAAAGCGCGTTGCAGGCTCGTCGCTCACAGACTGTTCTCAATCTTGAGAATCTCCTGCAGGTCGGCGACGACCTTGTCGCCCTTGCCCTCGCCCGCGTCGAACGGCAAGATTGGCCGCCTCGGCACGCCGCCGTACCCGCGCACCTGGCTCAGCGCGTACTTGGTGCCCGAGATGCCGCCCTTGACGAGCACCCAGTCGGCGCGCGACACGACGCCCTGCAGCTCGGCCGCGGCGGCCGGGTCGACCTTGCCCGACAGCGACGCGACCGTGTCGCGGTACAGCTTGAGGCAGGTTTTCTGCGGACGCGCCGAGGGGGTCAGACGAGGTCGCGTGGGCGACTCGAGAGAGAGAGAGAGGAGGACGCACGGGCGCAATGTTGGCGAGGCCCGTGATGCCGCCCGCCGCGCCGATAAAGACCGAGGGCGCGAGGAAGTCGACAAACCCGCCCAGGACGGCAAAGTCGTCGCGCAGGGTCGTCAAGCGAGAGAGCCTGCGAGGTGAGAGGTGTCAGGACGGAGGAGAAAGGCCGGGAGAGCGAGACGAGGCGACGCACTTGCCGACGCTGCCGCAGGTCAACTTGGTGCCGACGATGTTCTTGGACGCGGCGGCGACTGCGGGAAGACATGCATAAGTCTCGAGAAGTCGTCGAGATGCAGCGAGAGGGACGCACTCTCCGTCATGAGGTCCGAGTCGATGTCGATGCCGGACGCAGCTCCCGGGTCTGCGAGGACGAGTCATCAGATGGGGGTCGACGAGAGAACGAGAACCGAGGGCGCACAGTTGTACACGATGATCTGCAGGTCGTCGAGAGAATGTGAGCGTGGCCCCTGAACGAGAGAGAGCGAGGGGGAGACGCACAGGGATGGGGCTCGCCTCGGCGACGTCGACGAAGAACTGCTTGAGCGCCGGCTTGCCGAGCGCGCCGGCAAAGTAGCCTGCGACCGAGAGCGTCGTCAGTCTCGTCGCGAGCTCGAGAGGGACGAGCTGGACGCACCAGGAGCAATGACCATGGCGTAATTGGCGCCCCTCTCGGCCGCCTCCTTGGTGAGCTCGATCGTCTCCCTCGTCGAGCACGCGCCCGTGCCGACGATGAGCGGGATGTCGGCGAGCGCAGGGTCGGCGTCGAGAGCCTCGCGAGCGGCGGTCACGACGGCGTTGCGCTCAGAGTGCGACAGGTGGACGGCTGTCGAGGAGGGAAGGTCAGTTCGCTCGCTCGCTCGTAGCGGTCGTCGGACCGCGAGACGCACCTTCACCCATGGAGCCGAGCGCAACGAGACCGACTGCGATCGTGTGGACGCAAGAGATCAGCCTGGGTGCCTGGGCTCGCGCGAGTGAGGGGAGCGAGGGAGGCGAGAGAGGGAGACGCACCTCCAGCGCTCGCGACGTAGTGGGCGTGCTTCTTGAACGTGTCGAGGTCGAGCGACTCGTCGTCGTGGAAGAAGGTGTTGATCGGGGCGTACACGCCGCGCGGAAGGAAGCGTCCGAACTTGGCTGCGCGCGGTGGGGGAGATGGTGAGCGGGGGCGACGCGGGGGAGGGTGGTGGGGGGACTCACTGGCAGTCATGGTCGAGGTGGTGCGCGTGTGGGTAGGGGTGTGCTGAGCGAGCAAGGAGCGTGTGAGAGGGAGGAGAGAGGGGCGAAGCGAAGCAAGCGGGGCGCCGGCCGACGCGACGCTCAGAGCGGCCAGCGGCTCGTCTCCCTCCAAGCGGCTCGCCAGCGAGCGCGCGGCCGAGTGCCTTCAGTACTGCACGTGCCCAACCGGCACCGAGAGAGCCGCTGTCGAGGGACGAGGTTGAGAAATCCGCGGACTTCGGCCGCCAGCCAGATGAAGCTCGACTCTCTCGCTCTCCTCCCTCTGCACCAGCCCGCCGCCCGACCATGGCGGACGCACCGGGCACCTCGAGGCTCGGCACCTGCCAGACCTGCGCCGCCCAACCGGCGCGCTACAAGTGCCCCGCCTGCTCGTTCCCCTCGTGCTCCCTCGCCTGCTCGACCGCACACAAGCAGGCCGCGCCCTGCTCCGGCGTCGCCCCACCCGTCTGGAGTCGGCCCCTGCAGGCCAACGAGATGACCTGGGGGTCCCTCATGCGCGACCAGAGCTACATCGCCGGCGTCAACCGCGCCGTCGAGGACGTCGGCCGCCAGCTCGTCGCCGACAAGGTCCTCCCGCAAGGGCGCGGCTTCGGCCGACCGGGCGACGACACCGAGTCGGTCCGGCTCGACGAGCGCAACGACCGCGAGGAGCGCATCGTGCGCGAGGCGCAGCGCGACGGCGTCGAGCTGGTCCTCCTCCCCAAGGGCATGAGCAAGCGCCTCAAGAATGGCACGCACTGGAACCACAAGTGCGCCCACTCCCTCTTCTCTCTCTCCCCGCAGAAGCACCCGCTGACCATGCTCCCATCTCGCAGGCAGAACCGCCTCGAGTGGACCGTCGAGGTCGCGTTCCAGCCCCGACCCTCGTCCGACCCTTCCTCGACCCCTCCTTCCCCTGTCGTCATCACCACCGTCCCTCAGCCCGCCACGTCGACCCTCTACGCCGTCCTGACGTCGGCGCTCGGCTCGCGCGACAAGAAGGGCAAGGGCAAGGCGCGCGACCCGGACGACGACGCGTGGATCCTCGCCGAGAAGGCCTGGGTCGACTCGTTCAAGCCGAGCACGACCGCGGCGACGCAGGAGCGTGTCGAGAAGGACGGTGCGGCCGAGGCGGGAGCAGACGAGCGCGAGGGAGTCGAGAGCGAGGTCGTCGCGGACGAGGGAGCACCGGCCGAGGCGGCCGAGACTGCGCCGGCGGACGCAGCAGCGGCCGAAGCGGACGTCGCGCCGCTCTCGACGAGCACTGCGCCGACGGAAGAACCCGCACCCGCCGCGCCCGACGACTCGCCTTTCGTCCTCCTCCTCGCCTTTTACGTCCGCCTTGCGCCCTCGCTCGACGACGGCTACGCCAACGCCACTTCTTCCTCCTCCTCCAGCAAAGCCTCCCGTCCACCCGCTCGCCAAGTCCACCTCGTGACGCCGACGGCGTCGCTCACGCTGCGCCAAGCGCTCGCCGGCGCGACGGTCCTCGAGACGCCGTTGTTCGAGGTGTGGCCGCGCGAGACGTTCTTGCGGCAGCAGCTCCTCGGCCGCCTCAAGGTCGTCGAGCAGCCGAGCGCGGCGGACGTTGCTGCGCGTCGAGGAGAGGCGGCGGGAGGGTGGGACCGCGGTCGTGGGCGAGGGAGAGGGCGAGGACGAGGGGAGGGGCGCGGTCGAGGAGGAGGAGCAGGTGGGTCGAGCGGTCGGGGCGCTCACCATGGCGGGGCGGGCGGCGGCGACGAGCAGCAGTGGGGCGGGCCGCAGGACAGCGGCTGGGGCAGCAAGCGGGGCGGTGCAGCGGTCGAGGGCGGCGACGAGAAGCGGGCTCGAGTCGACGACGGCGCCAGGTTGCCTGCGCGGCCAGAGGGAGCGTAGCCTCGTCGAGCAACGATGCCCGTGTCGCTCTCTGTGCAAGGAGAGCTGCTCGATCGAGTGGATGCTGCCGCGGTCGAGCCGAGCGGGAAGCGGTCCGTTCGGCGCGGTCGTCGTTGCTCCGCTGCCCGACTCGTCGCTCCCCACGCCTTCTCCGAGCGATCTGCAGCGTCGCTGCTCGTCTTCCTCCTCCTGCTCTACACACGCGCGCGCACGCCCACCATGCCCGCCATCACGAGCTTCGACATCGAGGACCTGCGGTTCCCGACCTCGCTCGACGAGGCCGGCTCGGACGCCATGAACAAGGACGGCGACTACTCGGCGGCGTACTGCACCTTGCGCACCGACGACGGCCAGGTCGGGTGAGCTCCCTGTCGTTCCTCCCAGCCTCGGGGGACGGGTGCGGGGAACCTCGAGCGGAGAGCTGACCTCGTTTGCTCCTCACCCTGTCCTCGACATGCAGGTACGGCCTCACCTTCACCATCGGGCGCGGTAACGACAGTGCGTCCCTCCCCCTCGAGCAGTCGCACCGAGCGAGGCACTCACGAGCTAATCGCGCCCGCAGTCGTCTGCTCGGCCGTCGAGCAAGTCGCGTCTCGCCTGGTCGGCTGGACGACCGACGAGCTCTTCTCGGCAGCAGGGATGGGTCGCATGTGGGACTACCTCCTCGCCGACTCGCAGCTGCGGTGGATCGTGCGTCCTCGCTCTCCTCCCCCACTCGGTCCAGCAGAACGGCGGACTGACCTCGCTCTCTGCGCGCAACAGGGACCCGAAAAGGGCGTCATTCGTGCGTCGAGCTTGTCCCCTTCTTCTGGCGCGACGAGGAGCCGGGCGACTGACTCTCGAGCCCGCAGACATCGCGACCGCCGCCGTCGTCAACGCTGCTTGGGACATGTGCGCCCAGCCTGTCCACTCTGCCCCTGCGACTCTCGACTGACGGTCCCTCTGCAGGTACGCTCGCCACGAGAAGAAGCCGCTGTGGCAGCTCGTCGCCGACTTCACGCCCGAGGAGTTTGTCGCCGCAACCACTTTCCGCTGTGCGTCCCTTCTCGTCCTGTCCCTCTCTCCTTTGTCCCTCACACTGACCCGTGCCACCTCTCACAGACATTACCGACGCCATCACGCCCGACGAGGCGCTCGCGCTGCTCAAGGAGAAGGAGGCGGGCAAGAAGGAACGGTTGGCCAAGCTGAAGGCGGAGGGTTACCCGGCGTACACCACCTCGGTCGGCTGGTACGTCCCTCTCTCCCTCTCGTCTTGTCAATTTGAAGGCGTACGAGAGACCTGACGCATCCTCGTGCCCACCAGGTTTGGCTACTCGGACGAGAAGGTTGCCAAGTTGACGCGCGAGGCCATCTCGCAGGGCTTCAACCACTTCAAGGTGCGCCCTCTCTTTCCCTCTCTCAGTGCCTGATCGACACTGTCGACATGACCTGACCTTCAGTCCCGCACACCCGCAGATGAAAGTCGGCGGCGGCGTCGAGAACGACAAGCGCCGGCTCGCGCTCATCCGCTCGATCATCGACGACCCCAAGGAGTGCGCCGGGCGGCCCGAGCCGTCGCCTGGGAGCCTCGAGGGCAAGCAGGCGGGCCCGACCGGCTCGTGCCTCATGATCGACAGCAACCAGGTGTGGGACGTCCAGGAGGCGGTCGACTACGTCAAGCAGCTCGCCGAGGCGCGCCCATGGTTCATCGAGGAGGTGAGCACCTCTCCTCCTGACCTTCTGGACACCATTCACAGAGAGTTGCGGACTGACACGCCTCTCCATCCTCGCAGCCGACCGCACCTGTGCGTCGCTCGCCTTTTCCTTCCTCTTCTCGTGCTCTGCCAGTCGAGGACATCACACTCACTTGTGTACATGCGCAGGACGATATCCTCGGTCACGCTGAGATTCGCAAGCAGCTCAAGCCGTACAACATCGGCGTCGGTACGTCGTCCTCTCTCCCCCGGCCTCTCTTCCTCGTCCTCCTTTCCTCGTCCTCCTTTCCTCGTCCTCCCTCCCTCGTTCTTCCCCCTCGGGCGACCTGCGCCCCTTGTCCACTCCCCTTACCCACACTCGCGAGCGCCGCCCTCGCCCTCTCGCCTTGTCTTAGACGTCCCGCCACCGACGAGCTTCACCTTTGCAGCGACGGGCGAGCACGGCCACAACCGCATGCTCTTCAAGCAGCTTCTCGCCGCCGAGGCGATCGACGTCTGCCAGATCGACTCGTGCCGGCTGGCCGGCATCAACGAGATCCTCGCCGTCCTCCTCATGGCGGCGAAGAAGGGCGTGCCCGTGTGTCCGCACGCAGGAGGCGTCGGCTTGACCAACTACGTCGTGCACTGTGCGTCGCCCTTTCTCTGTATCCCTCCCTCTTTCTCCCTCGTTCTCGCCTCGTGACGATGGCGTCGCACCGGCTCTCCTTCCCGCGCTCTCGGCGGCCTTCTTAAGTCGGCAAACGACGACGACGACGCGAACTGACGCCTCTGGCTCCTCACAGTGTCCATCATCGACTACCTTTGCGTCTCGGGCACCAAGGAGCGCAACGTCCTCGAGTGCGTCGGCCTCTCTCCCTCGTCGTTGCCGTCTCGACGACCTCGACTGACCCTCTCTCGTGTCCTCGCGCTCAGATACGTCTCGCACCTGCACGAGCACTTTGAGCACCCGCCGACGATCAACGCGCGCGGCTTCTACAACGTGCGTCCCCCTTCTCTCTCTCGCCCTCTTGCCCGACTCCGGTCCTGACGCCGCACGGACCCCTCGCCCTCTCGCGCAGGTCCCGCTCGACCCGAACGAGGGCTACTCGATCGGCATGCACGACGAGAGCAAGGCGACGTACGTGTACCCGCACGGCAAGTACTGGAGCACGGCCGGCCAGGCCAAGGTCAGGGCCAACGCGACGTCGTAGACGAGCTCTCGAACGGCGAGACGAAGGACAGAAGTATTGCAGTGCAGGTGTATCGTGCTACAAACAGATCCAGGGTGCGCATAACGAGAGACTGAGAGAGACAAAGCAAGAGAGAGAGAGGGCGAGGAGGGCGAGTCTAGCCGATGCGGCTGTGCGACGCCGTGTCGAGCCCGGGCAGCTTGGCGTGATCGGCCGGGTTGGCCTGCGCCTCGTAGACGGTGATGATCGGGTCTCGCTGCGTGAATCGAAGGTGCAGCTCGTCAGTGAGGGGGCCCGTCTGCGCGAGAGGAAGCAGAGCGCACCGTCAGGGCCGAGTACTCGCCCTTGAAGCCGACAAACGAGACGCGCGTCGTGTCCTCGCCGTGGTTCGAGGGAAAGAAGAGGGTGAGGGACCGGACTGAGGGGAACTTGGCAGGTCTGCGGGACGGTCGAGGTGAGCGAGAGTCCGACGAGCCGAGGGACAGAGAGTGGGAGGGAGCGCACCGGACGGCGTACTCGACGACCTCCTTCGTGACGGCGACGTCGAACGACTGCGTCACGTCTTGCGACGTCGCCTCGTCAAAGTCGAGGAGCTGGTTGGCGAACTGCGCGCGAGGTCGACGAGAGTTAGCGAGGCTCGAGGAACAGGATGGGTGACGAGGCGACGCACGACGAGCATCTTGTCCGGGGTGTAGCCGGCTGGCCCTGTCTTGATGAGGATGGACCGCACTGCGAGGCAGGGCGTCAGGGAGGGCGGGAGGGCGAGACAAGGGAGAGGGGACGCACGCTTGACGGAGCCGGTAAAGGGGATGTGGAGGATGAGCTGCTCGTCGGCGTCCGACTCGAGCCATTCGTCTGTAGGGTGCCATCGAGACAGTCAGTCCTTGCCACCTTCTTCTACATGCTCGACCGCCCTCAGCTCGTCGGCAAGTGGGGCGAGAGCGGAGAGAGGGAGACGGACCGTCTTGGTTGCGCTGGTCCCAGGGGCGAATGACGACCTTGGCGTGTTCTGGGTCGTCGCAGTTGAGGGCAACGACCTGGTCGCGGTCGACGTGCTGGTACAGAAAGTTCAAGGTGCCATCGAGGAGGACGTGGGCGTCCTCGTCGCCGCACTGGCAGCCTGCCGGGTGCTGAGGTGCCATGTCGAGTGCTCTTTGTTCGCTCACGCTGGTCCAGCAGGCGGGCAGAGCGAGAGCGGGAGTGTGAGAGGGGCAAACGCGAAGCGACGAGATGAAGTCGCTCCTCGCTCGACCACCTCCCGCTCTCTGCACAGCTCGAGCGTGCTTCTCGCAGCTCACAGTCCAGTCAAGGAGCCGCATCAACCCGTCCATCTCGGCGCAAGCCAGCCCCTCGCCGTCGCCGTCTCGCCCACCTCGCCTCCCTCCATCTCCCCCGGACTCTTCATCTTTCTCCTTGGCCACAGCACCAGTGAGTCCACTCGCGCACTCGAGCGACGCTAGCAGGACTCTACTGACCGATCCGCCTGTCGCGACAGCCGCTCAAGCCGTTGCACCTCGTCACCTCGTTCTCTTCCTCCTCGTCTTCCCCTCCTCCCCCCTCACCCGCTCGTCAGCCCACCATGCTCAGCGGCAAATCCTCCAACTCGATGCGCGACAACTATGGGACCCACGGCGTCGACAACTACTACCGCATGGTGCAAGAGTCGTGTGCGTCGGCCGCGCGTCCCTCCTCGTCCTGCCGACCTGACCTTCTCTCCCTCCGTCTGCAGACCGCAACCCGCACTACCTCGGCCTTCGACGCGTCCTCACGACCTTCATGGACCAGTACGTCGCGCAAGAGAAGCCCGAGCGCATCAGGGTGCTCGACCTGGCGGCGGGCTCTGGCGAGGCGACAGAGGTGCGCACTCTCCCTTTCCTCGACGCGAGCCGGCAGACCGATCCTGACTCGCGCGTCGACCGCAGATTCTGCTCCAGTGGAAGAGCGCTCGATGGCCATCAGCAGCACCTGCCGCATCTACTGCTGCGCCGGACGTCGTCGCCGCCGCCGCTCCACCCTCCGCACCCGCACCTACACCCGCTCTCCCACCTTCCGCATCACCAGCTCCTCCCGCATCGTCTCGCCCTCCCTTTATCCCTCCCGCCCGCCAGTTCCCTCAGCGCGCCGTCGCTCGACCAACCCGTCCCTCAGCACAGCCCTCCCTACCCGCACCCGAGCTCTCGATCGTCGCGACCGACCCGTTCACGGCGCCCGCGTACCGCTCACGCACCGGCCTTCCCTGCTCCGAGCTGTCCTTCGCCAACGTCGCGGCCGGGCAGCTCCCGCCGCCGCCGCCAAGCTCGGGCTCGAGCGAGCCGACCAGCGCAGAGGGCGACGATGCGCCGGTCGAGCCGTACGACCTCGTCATCATCTCGTTCGCGCTGCACCTCGTCGAGTCGTCGTCCGAGCTGTGGGCGCTCCTCGACGAGCTGAGCAAGCGCGCGAGGTGGCTGTGCGTCACGGGTCCGCACAAGAAGCCAGATGTGCGTCTCGTCCTTTCGCCTCTCTCTCTCTCTCTCGCGTGCTTTCACTGACCCTGCCTCCCTGCAGGTCAAGGACTCGTGGGGCTGGAGGCGGTGGGACCCGTCTGGGGCGTGGAAGGCGACGGACGGCAGCGAGCGGGTCGGGGGCGAGTCGGGTGACGGGGCCGAGATTGTGCTCGAGCGGGTGCGGTTGCGGCTGTGGCGCAGTGAGCACAACTGGGAGGCGTAGTCCTTGCGTGCATCGTCGGCCTGGACGTTGTCGAGAGAGCGAGCGAGAATTACCTTGTTCCCCCTTTGGCCGCTTCCCCGCTCGCTCAGGCCGCGCCGCTTCTTTTCCTCTCGCCCTTGCTCTCTCGCTCGCCGCTCGCCCGCCAGGCTCGCACTGCTGCGACCCAGGGCCATGTCTGCGCTGTCCAAGGTCCCGCCCATGCCGCAACCCGCCCGCTGCCTCGTCCTCGTCGATGGCAACGCCGTCCTTGTCCGTCCTTCATCTCCCTCCTCCCCCCTCTCCATCCACGCCGTGGGAGAGGCACTGACTGATTTGCCACACAGCCTGAGCGCAGCAATCTGCTCCGAGGCTCGCAAGGCGGCGGCCTCGCGTCGTACAGCATGCACGAGAACCTCCGCCGCGCCATCTCGCAGCAGGTCGGGCGCGACTGTCAGGGCCTCGTCGCCGTCTTTGCGTGCGTCCAGCCTCTCCTCCTCCTCACAGAACCGAGCGGGAACTGACTAGGGACTGCCACAGCGACATCCCGCAGCTCGCGACCGCCCTGCGCATCCCGCACGAGGTCCTCGTCCAGTTCTCGAGGGGCTTCAGCTCGACTGCGGCGCCTTCTGCTTTCGTCAACGTCATGCACGGCAGCACCCTCAGCACGATGAACGGTGCGCCCCCTCGCTCGCCGTCCTCTGCCCGACGAGCGCCACTGACCTCGTCTCGTCGCAGCTCATCTCGTCTTCCACGCGCCCGCCGTCGACTATGTCGTTCTCGTCGGCTGGACGACTGACATGCACGCCCACTGGCTGTCGAACCTCGTCCCGACCACTTTCCGCACCCTGTCCAACTTCTACCGCGTCGAGACGGCCGCCCAACCCTACGCCGCCTCGCTCGTCAAGCTCGTCCCAAAGCAGGTCCGCTTCCAGGGCCTCATGGACGCCGTGTCGGTCAGCCCGATGCGCGACATCACCGACCCGCCGAGCGACCACGAGGAGGGCGTCGGCATCGACCACGACGAGCTCGGCGCGAGTCCGCCAGCGCCGACGGTCAAAAAGGCGACCAATGGAACGAGCGGTACGCGAGCTTTCCCTCTCTCTTCTTCTCTCTACGCCTCGAGACTGACTCTCTGGACCCGTAGCTACTGCCGCCCTCGCGACCTCGGCCCGCCAGTTCACCTCGGCGCTCCTCGCCCGCAGCGGCCTGACGCCGACGCCCTCGTCCTCAGCCACGCCAACTGCCGCCCGCACCTCGTTCGCCTTCCGCTCGGCGCTCGCACCCTCGACGAGCGCGCCGCCGCTCTCGCGCCACGACACGACGTCGTCCTCGGGCCACAGCGCCGCGACCGTCTCGGCCGGTGCGTCCCCGTCCTCTTGCGCTCGAGCCTAGACGACCTGACGTCCTTCTCCCACAGTCGCGACGCCTCAACCTGTCTCGTCGACGCCTACGCAGATCCTGGGCAGCTCGCCGTCCGTCGAGAGCTCGTCGTCGGCGTCCATGGCTAGCTCGCCCGAGAGCATGCTGCGCCACATTCCTGGCGTGCGTCTCTCTTTCTCTTCTCTCTATCACCCAGAACGCGACTAACTCACACTCTCACATGCACAGGCTCTCCCGGCGTCGCCGCCTCGCGCCGCCGACCCTTCCCCTCCTCCGCCTGCTCCCGTCGCGCTCGAGCCCCCTCCGACCGCCGCTCCAGCGCCTCCTCCAGCCGCCTCGATCGCCCTCCCTCGCCCGCCAACCGTCCCGCAAAAGTACCGTCCGCTCCTGCGCATCCTCCTCGCCCTGCAGCCCACCGGTGCCGTTCCACCGCCGCTCTGGTCGGCCGTCGGGACGCACCTGCAGCGCGAGGGCGCGCTCCCGCAGGGCAAGGGCAAGCTCGCGTCGCTGCTCGCACAGGCGCAGAAGGACGGGTGGGTCAACTTGGGCCGCGGCGAGAGCGCTGGGAGCGAGTGGGTCAAGATTAGCGCGAGGGGGAGGAGGGCCATGGCCAAGGCCTGAGCGGGCCGTCGTCGTCGTCGTAGCTTTGCAATCGCGAGTCTGTGCTTCTCTGTGTCACTCTCGTTCTCGCTGCGGGGCCCGAGAGAAAGTCGAGGAGGACCAGCCAGCTGAGATTCCACAAGGACGAGGGACGAGGGGAGGCAAACAAGGGTGGGGCAGGTGCGGCGGCAAAGACAAGCTCGAGGGAGGAATGATGACATGCGGCGAGTGCGTAAGGTGGAGGAGAGAGAGGGAGAGGGGGGGGGTATGGCCAAGAACGAGAACGAGGTCGAGGTCGAGAGGCAAACAGGGCGGAAGCAGGGTTCGAGGAGGATGCGGCGGGACGTGAACAATGCGTGCGGGAACCGAGACAGGGCGATGAGGGGAGTGTCTGAGGAGAGGGATTGAGCGCTCTCACGAGTGCTGGGGCGGCGGGGAGGTGATCTCGTCGTAGATGAGGCCTGTGTCGACGAGGAGAGGGAGGGGTCAGTGCACGGTGACGGACGAGAGCGAGAGCGAAGACGCACGCTTGAGCTGCTCGCGGTCGAGCTGCTGCTGGTCGAAAGAGAAAAAGGCAGGCGCTGTGGGCGAGGGCAGGGCGGGTCAGGGCCGACCGGCGAGAGAGAGAGAGAGGACGGCGAGGACGACTCACGGAGGACCGGCGCCGTCGGCTCGTCCGTCTCGTCGTGGTACGGGTCGAGGTAGGCTGCAGGACGAGTAAGTCGAGTCAATCACCACACACAACGAGAGAAGAGAGAGAGAGAGCGCTCAGGACGCACGGTGGCTGAGGGCGTCGACGACGCTCATGCGCTTCTTCGGGTTGAATGTCAAGCAGCGCTCGAGGAGGTCGATCGCGAGCGGGTTGGCGTTCGGGTACAGGGTCTGGAACGGCTTCTTCTTCTGGAACGGGAGCGCGCGCAGGTAGTCGCGGCTGCGCTGCGAGCCGATGGCGTAAAAGTCGTCGAGCGAGGGCGTGCCGAGGACGCCGAGGATGAGGGTGAGCTGGTGGTGGTCTGTGTGACGGTAGGCAGGTAAGTGAGAGGCCCGATAGAAGAGGAGGAAGGGGCGTCGGGCGCACAGTCGCGACCGGGGAAGAGCGGTTTGCCGTTGAGCATCTCGGCGAGGATGCAGCCGACGGACCCTGCGAGCGAGAGCACAGTCAGTCTCTCGTTCGACCAATAGGGCGCAAGGGAAAAAGGCGACGCACAGACGTCGATGGCGAACGTGTACTCCTTGAACCTGCGAGGGCGACGAGGAGTCAGTGAGGGACGCAGACGAATGTCGGCGAGGCGACGCACGTGAGCATGATCTCGGGCGCACGGTACCACCTCGTCGCGACGTATCTGCGTCGTAGCGAGCGGTCAGGACGGGACAGGCGACGCAGGAAATGGAAAGAAGTGGGACGCACTCGGTCATGAACCCGACGGCCTCGGTCTCGCTCGACATGGCGGAGCGCGCCAGGCTGTATACGCAGAAGGTCAGTCTACACTCAGGCTAGTCGCGAGAGAGAGCTGGACGGACCCAAAGTCGCAGATCTTGAGGTCGCAGTTGGCGTTGAGCAGGAGGTTGGACGGCTTGAGGTCGCGGTGGAGGACACTGTGTCAGGATGTGCGTGAGCGGGACGTCTATCGCAGACAGGCAGTGAGAGAGTCACGCACGCCGCCGAGTGCAAGGCCTTGAGGCCGCGCAGGGTCTGGCTGCGAGCGCAAAAGGAGAGGGTCAATTCGAGGCCCTTGTTGCTGAGGCGGCGGGACGACGCACTAAAGGAAGTACTGGCAGCTGTGAATGAGGAGTATCGTCAGTTAGGCGTCGTGATAGAGGCCGAGAGAGAGAGCGGGAGCGCACTGGTCGTCCGAAAGCTCCTGGCTGCGAATCACGCGGTGCAAGTCCGTCTCCATGAGCTCCTGTGGGGGCGAGGTATGCGTCAGGAGGGGCGCTCGGTCAAGGAGAAGAGCGAGGGGGCGCACCTGGATGAGATAGACCTCGGAGAAGCCCTCGTAGGTCGAGGGTTTGATGATGTCGAGGATCGAGATGATGTTCTCGTGTGCGAACCAGCGCAGGAGCTTGATCTCGCGCAGGGTGCGCAGGCAGAACATCGAGTGGTCGAACGGCTGGATGCGCTTGACGGCGACCTTGCTCTGGGTCGGGAGATGCACCGCCGAGCTGCGCGTGCGAGACGTTGGTGAGCGGACGGTGGACGCGACTGAGTGGGGGGCAGGGAGAGAGGGCGCACCTGACGAGGCCGTACGCGCCTTCACCGACGACGTCCATGCTGCGCGCGTCGTCCAGGACAGGTCAGTTCTCGCTGCACGGCTGGCCGTCGCTCGCCTCGTCGACCCCGCGCAGCATGCAGCCGCAGCGAGCTCGGCTCGACCCGTCGCGCGTTGTGAGAGGGTGAGAGTGGGGACATACACCTTGTAGTCGTCACCAATGTCGAACTTGCGGTCCATGCTGCACTGGATCGAGGAGGGGACGAGGTTGAACCGAGGCGAGGTCGGGGAGGGAGATGAAGAGCGACGAGGCGGATTCCTCGACGACGACAACACGTGGGAGCTCTGTTGGTAGCGGATTGGGCGAGTCGAACAGTGTGCTACCTGAGCAACTGGAGAGCAAGCGGTCCTGGAGCGAGTGAGGACGGTCGACGCGGTCAAAGGGGAAGCCGCCCCTCGTCGTGTCTCTCTTGGCCTCTGTCCAACCACCGCGACCACGCTTGCGAGGTGCGCAGCATGTCGAGCAGGGACATGTGAGCTTTGCTCTCCCCGCTCAGCCCGTCCTCGTCACGCCTTGCTCACTCGCTCTCTCCTCGTCCTCCTCGCTCTCGTCGCGTCGCAGCAAGGACTCGTTCAAGGTCGGCTCTCGCACCGTCGTCGTCGCAGACTGCGACCTCCGAGGCGACATCACCATCGGCTCTGGTGAGCACCCTCCTCTGGTCTGCGTCACCGTGTCGCCGGCCTCGCACTGACGCCGCTCGGCCACTCGCGCGCAGGAACGGTCCTTCATCCACGCTGCACCATCCTCGCAGTCGGCGGGCCCATCATCCTCGGCTCGAACAACATCGTCGAGGAGAACGCCGTCATCGTCAACCGCCTCAAGCAGCCCATGGTCGTCGGCGACAACAACCTGTTCGAGGTCGGCTGTCGTACGTCCTCCTTTTCGCCCTTCTTCGATCGATAGAGCCTCTCTGACACGCTCTGCCCGGTCTCGCAGGTATCGAGTCACCCTCGGTCGGCGACTGGAACACGTTCGGGATCCGCTCGCGCGTGTCGCCGTTCGTCGAGGTCGGCTCCAACTGCGTCGTCGGCGCAGGCTGCATCGTCCTCCCCTCGCCCTTCCCCGACGGGTCCCCTTTCGCCGCGCCCTCACCCGATCCCGCTGTCAAGACCGCGCCGACCCTCGAGGTCCCCTCGTCGTCCGACACGCCCATGGCCTCGCTCGCACCCTCCCCGAGCGACAGTCCGGGTCCCGCTTCGCCCAGCCTGTCCTCGACCGCGCCCTCGCCAGCACCTCCAGCAACGCGATCAACACCGAGTGACGGCCTCGCCGACTACACGCACGTCTTTGGCTCGGAGAACCGGCGCCGGACGGCGAGCGTCGAGGGGAGTGGGCAGGCCAAAGCGCTCTTCGTCAAGCACTGGGAATACTTGCGCGAGACGCTGCCCAAGCACCACAAGCTCAAGATGTTCTAGCTCTCCTCTCCATTGTCGTCATACCCTCGTCGCCGTCGCTCTCGATACCCCCTCGTTCGCAATGCCAGTCCCTCTCTCTCTCTCTCAGCCTCTGCGTCTCGGTCGCGATCTTTGAGAACGAGATAACGAAAGGGAAACGTTGCGAGTACAAGTACAACAAGGTGCGCACCGCCGCCGAGCATCGTCGAGCGAGGAGCGCGCGCACGACCCCCTCACTCCTTGTACTCGGCCTCGTCGGCGTCGGCCGCGCGCTCGCCTGCGCCCGGTTCCGGCTCGTCGATGCCCTCCGAGCCCGCATCGTCCATCTCCTCGTCGACCGCCCCCTCGTCCTCCTCGACGTACAGCTCGATGCCCTCGGCCTCGTCTGCGCCGTCGTCCGCTCCGGCCGCCGCTCCCTCGCCATCGTCCCCCTCGGGCACAGCTCCGACACCTGCCGCAGCGGCGAGCACGGCGTCACCGTCGTCGTCGTTCTCGGCGTCGCTGCCCTCGGCGGCCGCCTTCTTGCCCTTGGGCACCGCCCGACCCTGCTTCTTGGCCTCGTTGTTGGCGCGGAAAGCTGTGGCCGTGCAACTCGGTCAGCTTCTGCTCGTGCCGCGACGCGCGCAGAGAGAGGGGCGAGAATGAGGGACGAGCGACGCACCGGCGAGCTCCTTCTTGAGCATCTTCTGCAGCGCGCCGCCGTCGTCCCACGCGAGCTGCTTGCTCGCCTCGAGCACGTGCGACGCCGCGATCGTCTTGTGGTTCTTCTCGGTCGCCGTGTCGTGCGCTCTGCAACGGTAGACGCGGTGAGCTTGCGAGGGAGGTGGACGAGGAGAGAGGGAGGGAGGGACGCACAGCGCGGCGAGGTACGCGATGAAGACGGTCGAGCCCTTGACCATGGCGAGCGGCACCTCCTTCTGGAGCTTGACATCGGGAGGGAGCTGTTGCGCGTACAGGTAGGCTGGTCAGTGGAACCGTCGAACAAGAGGGCTCGCGACGAGCGGCCGGAGGACGAGGGGGGCGACCACGCACCGAGCTCTTGACGAGGCGCGCGACTGTGGGAGCGAAGAGTCAGTGCACCGTCCCAGTGGGTATCCTAGACGCGCCGCGAGCCTCTGTGCCGCGAGAGGGCTCGCGTCGCCTCGAGCGATGAGGGTGCGGGGGAGAGGGGGAGCTCACCGACGCTCTTCTGCAGCTCAAACGCCTCGATGCCGCCGTCTTCTTCAGCAGCGAGGTCGGCTGCGGCAGGCGCGGGCTTCTTGCGGGGCATGGCGGCGAGTTGTGGAGGAGAGCTGCCGACAGCTCTCGCGTCGCGACAACTCGTCCTCGCTTGGGTCCCTGGAGCTGCGTTCTTCTCTCGTCGGCCGCAGGGACAGCAAGGGGGAGCGCACACGAACCGAGACTGGAGAAAGAAGGCGCGAGCGAACGAGGTAGTGAAATGCAGCGTCGGCGAGACGACGAGGGGAACGAGTACAAGGTGGTACAGCGGGCTCTAAGGGGAACAAGTACATCGACAAGGGCACCAGCTCCGTCACCGCTTGATGGCCTTGCCGCGCTTCTTGGCCGCCTCTGCCGCCTCGGCCTCGTCCTTGCGCCGTTTGTCCTCGAGGAACTCGTCGTACGTGCCCTTGCCCTGCGCCTCCTTCTGCGCCCACAGCCGTGCGTTGACGCTGTCGAAGTCGTGCTTGTCGTCGTCGACCCGCTCGAAGTCGCCCTTCTCGAGCGACTCGTTGTACTGCTCGAGGATGACGGTCGCCATGTCCTCGCAGTTGTTGAGCGCCTCGTGCAGCGCGTCGACGGCCGACTTGCCGTCTGCGGAGGGCATGTGCCGGGTCAGTGCGAGGTCCTCGAGCTCATGACGGGGACGGGGACCGAGGACGCACCGTACATCTGCACGCGCAGGTGGATCTTGGCCTCGGACGGGTGTGGTGCGCTGCGCGAGAGACCTGGGTCAGCTCTTCCTGCGGCGCGTGCTGCGCCAAACTCGAGAGAGGACGGACCTGTAGCCGCAGAACTCGACCGCCGGGCTGCAGGGCAAGTGACGGCGTCAGTCCGTGATCAGCTCGAGAGGGAGGAGAGGAAGACAAGAGTGCTCACTTCTTCATGAGCATCCACCGCAGGAGGTTGCCGAGGGTGTGGTCCTCCTCGATGATGCAGAACGTGGCCTGCGTGAAGCCGTCGGTCGCGCCAGGGAGCTGTGTTGCGGCGGAACGAGACCAAGTCCCGAGGTCAGCTCGGGTCTGCGGGGGAGGAGAGGGACGCTCAAGGACGGGTGGGAGGGGGACGCACGATCTGGACCTTGTCGCCGAAGACGGGAGCGATCTCGTGGCGGTTTGCCTGCGCCATGGTCGAGCCGGGGATGCGAGGACGAGGTCAAGCCAACTCGGCTCGAGTTGGCGGCTCTCGGGCTCTCGCAACCGCTCCCATCTCGTCAGGGTGGCCTGCTTCACCGCCAGTGCTGTGTCCCAAAGCTGCAAAGGTCGAGCCGAACAAGCGCTGCCTTTGCCCCATTCGATGCGGCGGCGCCCTTGCCGCTCTCCTTTGTCCCCTTGTCGAGGGAAGGCGCACTCGCGCCATTCACGCCCGCGCTGTGCGTCAGTCGACAGACAAGGCCGCTCTATCGCTCGTAACGCTGCGGCCTCCCCGCCCTCGAGCACTAGGGGGCCGAGGGCGGGCCCGCATTGTGCTCCCTTCCTCCTCGCCTCTTGTTCTCGCTTCCGGCCTCTTTGTCCAGCGCGAGGACGCTGCTCCCCCCTCGAGCACCTTGTTTTCGTCGCACGCAAAAGAAGGCGCCGTGGCTGGCTTGCTCTCTCGGTCGGCTTCTCGTCCTCGTCCGCGCACACTCCGCTTGCTCGCCGAGATCCCGGCAGCTCGGTCTTCGTCCGCCTCTCTCCCTTTACCACTCCAGTCACGATGGCCACCAAGTGTGCGTCCTCCTTTCGCCGTCAGCGTCCAGCGCAAGACTGACCCTGTCGCCCTCTGCAGTCGAGCGTGCCTCCTTCCCGACGCCTTCTCCCTCTCCTCCGAGCCGAGCCGTCGTACCGCCCACTACCTCGACCAGGCGCAACCGCCACGAGGACCAGCTCGCCCGCATCGCCCACGCCGCCGAGCACGCTCGCCTCGCGCACCTCGCCAAGGCCGTCCACGCCGCCGCGCCGACCGCGTCGACGACCGGCGCCGGCGTCAAGATGCTGCGGTACTCATTCCACGTCGAGCACGACGAGCGAGGGCACAAGGTCCTCAAGCGCGTCACGGTCATCGTGCCCGAGGTGGTCGGCGGCAAGGCGGCCAAGGGCGAGTCGGACGACGCAAGGACCGCGCTGCGCCAGGTGCGCACCCGTTCTCTCGCCGGTCCACCCCTCGCCCGAGCCTCACTGACTCGTTCGCATTACTCTGCAGCGTCCCGTCTCGTCGTTCCTGTTCATCCCGCCTCAGCAAACCGCCACCGCAGCCCGCCCTCGAGCGCGTGTCGCCCCTCCCGCCCGTCGACTCTCGGCCCCTCGCCTGTCCAACCTCTCGCTCATCCCGCCAGCACCACCTGTCCCCCAGTTCCAGTCCACAGCGTCGAGCCGACGGAGCGTTGTGCCCGCGCCGAGCGAGGCGACGATACAGCAGCGGCGCGACGCCGTCGCCGAGCAAGAGCCGGTGGTCGACCCGCTCTGCCCGGGGCACGGCGACGGCGTCGAGCGGGTTCCGAGCGGCGCAGGGCTGGACAGGGTCGCGGCATGGGCGCGGGACCAGCGCGAGAGGGTGCGGCGCAAGCGCGGCGGACAGGGCGTCGCGGAGCCGAGCGAGGAGGACGAAGCGACGGCGCCGGCGAGGACGAGGGCGGCCAAGAGGCAACGCAGGGACGACAGTCTGGGAGAGAGGAGGGGCAAGATGGTAGAGCCGCTGCGCCTCGTGTAAAGGAACGAGCCGTCGACCAGGATTTGACGAAAGAAGCTGCGGCGGAGCGAGGAGGAGGAGAGGGTGTCGACACCTCCCTTGAGAGCAGTCGCCAGCTGGTGCACAGCCGTACGATACACTGAAAGCGGAGCTGCCGGGCAGTAAACAGCCGAGCAGCGAGGTTTGGCCAAGTCGTTGTCGTCGTCGACGTTGGAGGAGCTGGCCAGCCCTCCCTCTTCTCTCTCTTCCACACCACTCCCACAGCTCACGACGCTGCGAGGACCTCACCACTCGCCACCATGGACCGCAACAACGCCACTGCGGGTCCCTCCACGGCCGCCCTCGCCGTGCCCGCCCTCCATCAACTTCACTCAACGACCGCCCTCCTCTCGTCGGCAGTCCAGCTCGCCCACGATTCGTTTCAGGACCACCTGGACGACTATGCCGATGCGCATCGCTGGATCGACTCGTTCTTCGACAAGATTGATGGCCACAGCAAGGGCCCGGTGCCGCACGGCCAGCCCAGGTGCGTCCACCCTCTCCCCCCGCGCCTTGTTTGTCGTACCCTCTCTCTCGACCCGCAGCACTGACTCGGTGAGGGACATGTGCATGCTCGCAGGGCTGGCGTGTTCGAGCTCATGAAGACGCCCGGCCGCAAGCGCATCGCCGCCGCCACGAGCACCAACACGACCCGCCTCGGCTCGACCACGACCGCCGCCGCCAAGGACCCGCTCGCGACCCTCCTCTTCCCGACCGGCCCTGCACCACGCTCGCCCGCCCATGCCGACAAGGAGAACGGCCTCGCGTCGCCCCAGCCTCAGCGGGCCTCGCCTCGCAAGCTGCTGTCGCCTCTCGGACCAGCCGCCGCCGCCGGCAGGCGCTCGCCCATGCGCGCCGTCTCGCCCGCCGCGCCCAAACAGCCGCAGCAGCAGGTCGCCGCTCCTCCCGTCGTCGTCAAGCCTGTCGCGCCCGAGACCGCCGTCAAGGTGCTCGACTTTGCCGCCGCGCCGTCGCCGCCCGCCGAGCAGGTCGAGGAGGACGACGAGCCGGCCGACATGCCCGTCCACGAGCTGTCGAACGTCCTCGAGGAGGACGAGGTCGAGGACGAGCCCGTCGTCGACAACGAGTCGGCGGCCGCCGCCATCGCCGACGAGGACAAGGGCGACCTGTCCATCATCGGCGAGGAGGAAGAGCAGGAGCAGGAGCCGAGCTCGACGGACGTCTCGCTCGTCACGGCGCCATCCGGCACTTCGAGCATGGTCGCATCGGCCGTGCTCGTCCCTCGCCCGGTCGTCGCCGAGGCTCCCCAGCCGGCGCCCCTCCCTCCTGTCGCCGCACCCCTTCCGGCTCCCATCGCCGCGCCGGCGGCTCTCCCTCTCTCGCCGCCCAAGCAGCGCACCGTCTCGAGCGCGTCGTCCGTCGCTCCCGAGGCGGACGACGCCGAGGACTCGTCGGTCCCGCTCAACGACGCGCCGTCGGTCCTGCGCTCGACCTCGACCTCGGACGCCCTGCGCTCGTCCCTGTCGGCGTCGACCTCGACCTCGTCGGTCCGCACCCCGGGCGGCACGACCTCACGCTTCGGCACCAGTGCGCTGTACTCGGCCGCCAAGCTCGGCCTCGGCTCGAGCCCGCCGCCGACCGCGACCTCGAGCGCCGGCGCCTCGTCGTCGACCGTCCTCGCGTCGGCGTCGCGCACGAGCACTGGCGGCGGTGGCGCCCGCCAAATCAACTTCGTCGGCCTGTCGAAGAAGAAGAGCCTCGGGCTCGGGCTCGGCCTCGGCCGCAACTGGGCGGCGTCGATGGGCTCGAGCGCGGCCAACGACAGCCAGAGCTCGATCCAGAGCGGGCCCGCGTCGACGCAGGCGACGAGCACCTCGAGTGCGCACGCGACGCTGCCGCTCGAGCTCGCGCAAGGCGGCCTCACGACGGCGTCGGGCGCGACCAAGCGCAAGTCGCTCGCCGACCCGGACTCGGCGCACAAGGCGCACAAGACCGACTCGGCCGCGCCGGCGCCGACCTCGCAGGAGCAGGAGGACGAGGAGGACCGCAAGCGCCGCCAGATGCTCGCCAATCGCCTCCAGGACCTCAACAACAAGGCGCGCCAGAGCACGCTCGGCGGGCGGCAGAGCAACGCCGCCGGCCCGGGCGCGTACCCGTCGAGCTTGTACGGCGCGAGCAGGCCGCACACCGTGCCCGGCTCGTCGTCGCTGTACCACCCGACGTCGATGGCGGCTGCGACCAAGCCGCTCCTCGTCTCGACGTCGTCATCGTCGTCGGCGACCCTCCCGACCGCGTCGTCGCACCTGAACTTGACGTCGACCGCCTCGACCGCCCCTATCGCCGAGCCCGTCTCGACGGCGGCTGCCGTGCGCCGCCCGTCCGTCATGGAGCGCGTCAAGTCGTTCGAGCACAACACGACCGGCCAGGAGCACCTCAACCCGCCGTCGCCGAGCAAGATCCCGTCGTCGCTCTACTCGACCCTCTCGACCGGCCCTCACTCGCCTCGCGCCATGTCGCCCCAGCCATTCCAGAGCTCGAGCGCTCTCTCGCCTCGCGCGATGCGCCTCGCCTCGCCGAGCGCACCCTCGTCGCCGCGTGCCCTCACGCGCTCGGCCACATCCGGCCTCCCGCTCGCCACGTTCGGCAGCCCCAGGCTCGGCGTCCCCGTCGCTCGGTCGCCGCCGACCATGACGACGTCAGCGAGCGCCGGCGCGCCGCTCAACATCGCCGCCGTCCTGTCGCCGCCGGTGCAGCCTGCCGTGCCCAAGCCGCAGCCGCAGCCGGTCGAGGCGCCCGCCGCTAAGACCGTGCGCTCGCCCGTCGAGGCCCTGCGCCGCGAGCCGCTCGCGCCTATCGTGCGCTCGACGACGCCCGGCGGCACGCCGCCGCGCTCGCCGCTCAAGATGGCGCCCGCCGCACCCGCCGCCAAGCCGGCGGAGCGCGTCGTCAAGACGTTCGTCCTCGAGGACGACGACGACGAGCTCGACCACGACGACGCGTCCGAGGAGGAGGAGGACGCGTTCTCGATCCGCGCTATCAACGCCTCGACGCCGGCGTCGGCCATCGTCGCCGCCGAGGCGGCCGCCGCTCGTCATCGCGAGCAGGCCGCTGCCGCCGAGCAGGCTGCGCGCGACCTCGAGGAGCAGGAGGCCGAGCGCGAGCGTGCCGCCATGCTCGCCAAGCGCCTGCCGTCGCTGCCCGAGGTGCGCTCGCCGGTCGACGACGAGGGCTCTGGCGACGAGAGCGACGGCGAGCGCTCGGTCGTGCGCACGGCGGTCAAGGAGGACTTGGGCCACAAGGCGAGCCCGAGCAAGGTGGTCCTGCACGGCACGGCGTCGGGCCCGGCGACGGTCGACAAGGGCAAGGGCAAGGAGGCGTCGTCTGCCCCGGCGAGCGACGACGAGGACGACGAGGACGAGGACATGGACGAGGACGACGAGGATGAGGACCGCACGGCCATGTCGATGCTGTCGACGGCGACGACGACGCTCAACCTCTCGCACCAGCCGTTCAAGGTGCGCCCTCTCTCTTTCTCTCCCTCTCTCTTTTCCTGCCCCGTGTCTGACGCATCTCGCTCGTCGCAGCCCATCACCAAGTCGGCGCAGCTGCCGAAGCAGACCGCCCCCGCCAAGTCGAGCCTCGCGTCGTCGGCCACGTCGACCTCTACGTTCGGCCTCACCCGCTCGACTGGCGCCTCGGCCTCGGGCATCAAGAAGCCCGTCGACACCAAGGTCAAGAGCATCCAGCGCGCCAACGCCGCCTCCAAGAAGGTGCGTCCCCTCACCGAGCCCGTCTACCCCTTCCGCCCGCACTGACCCATCTCGCCCGCGCCGCGCAGGAGAAGGAGGAGCTCGACCGCCGCAACGCCCTGCGGGAGCAGAAGCGTGCCGCCATCGCTCAGAAGAAGCTCGACGACGAGCGCAAGCTCAAAGCCGACGGCCTCGAGAAGAAGCGCAAGGAGCGCGAGGAGACGGCGACCAAGGTCAAGGCCGCGGCCGCCGCTCGTGGCGCCAAGCCCAAGGTGCGCCCCTCTCTCTCATTGCTCGGGCTGCGTGGATGAACGAGTGACTGACTTTGCGCTCTTTCGCAGCCTGTCGGCGACGACGAGCCGGCTAAGAAGCGCAAGATCGAGGTCGAGGTCAAGGTTCCTCGCCCCGAGCAGAAGAAGCTCGGCCAGCCCACCCGCCCCATCCCTTCTTCTTCGTCAACGTCGGCGTCTACGTCGTCGCTCGCCCAGTCGCAGGGCCGCACCGCGGGCGCCGGCATGGGCCCGCCCGCCCTCAACAAGTCGACGGGCGCGTCGAGCATGTTCGCCAAGCCCTCGGCCGGCCCGTCTGCGCCATCGTTCGGCAACTCGCTCAGCAAGTCGGCGGGCGCGAGCTCGATGGTCGGCCAGCCGTTCATGTCGGCCAAGATCCGCCTCCCCGAGTCGTCGACAGCGGCGCCAGCTCTCCCGCCGCGCCTCCTCGCGCCGACGGTCCCCAAGCCTTTCAGCTCGTCGATGCGCCCGCCTCAACCCCAGCAGCCGGCGCTCCCGCCGCGAGTCGTCGAGCCGCAGGAGCCGCTCCAGGAGTTGCCCGACATCGACTCGGAGTACTCGGACTCGGACGACGAGGCGCACGAGCGCAAGCGCAAGGCGCTGCCCGGGTGGGCCCAGTCGCCCGCAGTTGCGCAGGCGCTGTACAACCAGCAGCAGGTCAACCCGGACGAGATCTTTGGCCCCCTCCCCAAGCTCTCGATCGGAGGTGCGCCCCCCTCTCACTTCTCTCCTTCTCTCGTTCCCGGCCCCTGACGTCCCTTGCCGCCCCGCAGACTTCTTCCGCAACAGCGCGAGCGCTGCTCGCCTGCGTGCGCGCACGTCGTCGGCGCAGTGGGACGGCACGGACAGCCTCACGCAGACGGACCTCGCGCGGTACCAGCGCGCCATGGGCTACAAGTCGGCGCTCGCCGGCTCGTCGGCGCAGCGGTCGTCGGAGCACCGTGGCGGCGACGACGAGCAGCGTCGCTAGCCGTGCCCCTCTCTTGCCCCCTTCCTCTTCGCCTTTCATGCCCATCTCTCGCTCGTCGTCGACGTCGCCCTTTCGTCCTTATCGCGTCTCTCTCGTTGCATTTGCCCACGTTCCTGCCCCTCCCTGACTGTTCGAGTCCCACGAACGAGAGAGAGTTGAGAGAGAGAGACACGGGCCGGCGAGCCGAGAGCGACGACGCCGCGTGCGAAGCCGTTCGGCTCGAGAGAGGCTCTGGTCTGAAAGCTGACTCACCGCGTGCCCGCCTCGATGGGCATGGACAGGCTCTCGCTGCTTGCCAACGCCGTGACCCAGCCCGACCACGCCATGCACCACCCACTCGCCGGCGTCGGACACTACGTCCCGCCCTCATCGCACCTCGGCACCTCGGCTGCACCGCCGCACCACCAGCCGCCCCCGACCTCGTACGGCTACGCGCCAGGAGCGCTCACGAGCCAGTCGCCCGACTCGCCCGACTCGGCACCGACCCACGACCACGGCGGCGGGCGAGGACCCGCCGGCTTCACGGCCTCGAACGGCGGCAGCAAGAAGAAGGCGGCGCGGCAGATGAGCCTCGCGGGCGACGACGACGGCGACGGCAATGGCCGCGACGCAGACGGGCAGCCGCTCCGCAAGAGGAGCAAGCAGAGCCTGTCGTGCGGCGAGTGCAAGGTGCGCCGCATCTCTCGCTCTCTCTCCTCGTCATCTCGCAGCGCAGCGCTGACCTCGGTGCCTCCCCCTGCAGCGGCGCAAGATCAAGGTGCGTCCTACCGAGACGAGTCTCAATCGCTCGTACGGTCACTGACCTGTCGACCTGCGCGCAGTGCGATCGCAAGGTCCCGTGCACGGCATGCCTCAAGCGCGGCGACGCTGAAGCGTGCAACTGGGAGGTGCGCCCCACGTCTCGCCTACCAGTGCAGGGTCGTTACTGACGAGCTCGTGCGCCCGCAGGACGCCAAGATCGAGCCCGAGAAGCAGCCGTTCGCGCTCGCCGCCGAGACGGACGACCTGCGCGCGCGCCTATCGCTCGTCGAGCGCTTCATCAACACGCTTCCAGATCCGCTCAAGACGACGTTCAAGGAGCTCGGCATCTCGCAGATGGGCGACCTCCCTCGGCAAGAGCTGCGCAAGGCCGAGGTCGACTTTGGCGCCCAGTTCGGCAGCACCCGCCCGCTCCCGACCGACAAGCCCGTCGCGCCGCACGACTCGCTCGGCCTCATGGACAACCTCCTGTTCGCTGGCCCCAAGAGCCACGGCGTCGACGGCCTCCAGCAGCCCGACCACCTGGACCTGACGAGCATGTCGACGTCGATCGTCGCGCCTCGAGTCGTCTACACCAACCCGTCCGTGTCGACCAACCTCGGCCTCGACCCGTGCTTCAGCCAAGAAGAGCTTGACGCCGAGCGGCTGCGCGTCCTCGACAAGATCTACGCCCAGCTCCCGAACCGGCCCGACTGCAACGTCGCCGTCGACCGGTACTTCCTCCAGTTCGACTGGTTCTTCTCGATCCTGCATCACACGACGTGGAAAGCCGAGTACGCGAGGTTCTGGGAGATGCTCGGGTCGGGCCGCAAGTACGAGGTCGACCCGGCGTGGCTCGCCGTCCTTTACCTCGTGCGTCCCTCTTCCTCTCCCTCTTCTCCCTGCCCTCCTCGTGCGCCCTCGCTCACTCCCATTTCTCTCGCACGCAGCTTCTTGCCCTGTCGTCGGACGAGTCGATGCACCTCACGTGCCCGAGCACGCCCGAGGCGTCGTCGGCGTGGGAGGAGCAGAGCGCGAGGTACCACGCCTGCGCGCAGAAGCTCGTTCTCCTTGCCGATCCCTTCGGTCGACCACAAGCGCGCATGCTCCAGTGCGTCCCTTCTCACTGTCCTCGTCAACGACGCACGGACCCTGACGATGTGCTGCTCGCCCTGCAGGATCACAACTTTCCTCGCCTGCGTGCGTCTCACCATCCGCCTGCAGCAGGGCTTCTCTCGCATCACGTTCATGACTGACATTCTGTTGCCCTGTGCGCAGTGGACCTTGATCTCGGCGCACGGCGGCGAGTTCGGCCGATTCTCGTCATGGCTCGCGTGCGGTATTCGGACGGCGCAGGTGCGCCCTCGCCTTCCCTCTCCCACCAGCGAGAGTCAGTGACTCACAGCTTTTGTCGTCTGCAGAAGATGGGCCTGCACCAGCTCTCGGACGACCCCGAGGACATGCCGCCCGACGACCCTGCATGGCCGCCCGGCAAGAACGCCCTCAAGCGGTGCGTCTGCCGCCAACGCCTCTCAGACTCAAGGGATAGAGCTCACGAGTGCTTCCTTGTGCACGCAGAGAGACCGCGCTGCGGCTCTGGGGCTTCCTGAGCTTCTTCGACCACCTTTCTGCGTGAGCCGCCGCGCCTCCTCTTTCGTCCGAGTCCTTGTCTGACTCAGCCTCTCTCCTCCAGATCTGCTCGCTTCAAGGGTTACGTACGTCGGGCGTGTCCTCGTCAAGCCGTCCTCGAACCTTTCCTGACGAGCCGTCCTCCCTCAGATGATTCACCCGTCGCACACGACTACGCCGCCGCTCTCGAACGTCAACTGGCAAGAGCTCACGCCGCACGAGTGGAAGATCGCGCCGGCACCACGCTCAGTCCTCACGGTACGTCCTCTCTCTCTCTCTCGATCCTGCGTCGGCGAGGTACCGAGACTGACGAGCTCGAGGAACAGGACTCGTCTATGGAGTACCACAAGCTGCGGCTGTCCCAAGTGTACGTCCTCGTCCTCTCGAGCCGACCGTCGACGGGTACGGGCGACTGCAGCGACTGACTCGTCGTCGTCAAACAGGTCTCGCAAGACGTTCGACCTCCTCATCGCGACCGCCTCGAGCGACAGCTTCAGCTACGGCACCATTATCGAGCTCGACAAGGACTACCGCAACCTGCTCGACAGCCTGCCCGACGTCTGGCTCCACGAGTGCGCCGCGCTCGAGCACGCCGACCCGATCGTCCGCAACAAGCGCTACATCGCCATGCAGGGCACGCACGTGCGTCCACTCTCTCTCTCTCCCTCCTCTTCTTCCTTACGAGCGAGAACTGACAGGGCGCGCCACCTGCAGAACCGCCTCGTCCGCCTGCACCGCCCGTTCCTCGTCAAGGGCTGGGAGCCCAACTCGCGGTACTCCTACAGCTCGGACGCGTGCGTGCGCTCGGCCCGGGCGGTCGTCCTCAGCCACCACAACAACCTCGACTTCAACCGCAACCTGCGCATGATGTACTCGCACACGCTCTCGGCCGCCATCGTCCTCGCCGCCGACCTGTACCACGCCATCGACGGCGGTGCGCCCGACGCCGAGATCGAGAGCAAGAAGTACGTCCTCGTCTCTCGCACTCCTCGAGCAGCAGCAGATACTCGTTACTGACATGTTCGCCAACCTGCAGGTCCACCTTTGCCCTGTCGCTCGAGATCTTTGGCCGCGACATCCAGGACAAGGTCGCCTCGAGGCACCTGCGCGTCATCATCGAGGCGGGCCGTCGCGTCCTCACGGGCCTCTTCTCCGAGCAGGTCCAGCGGCGAGCGAGAATCGGCGCCCGTCGGGCAGCAGGCGACGACACGTCGAGCGAGCGCTCTTTCGCCGAGGTGCGCCCCCATCTCGCTCTCGAACCTCCTCTTCCTCTCCTCGTCCACCTTGCTCACGCTCTTTCCCGCCTCCGACCACAGATCCTGCAGAGCTTTGCGCGCGAGATGGACGTGGCGCCGACACCGCGCACGGTCCCCGAGGGCCTCATCTTGGCGTGCGACCAGGGCCACTACGAGATCCCGTCGCTCCCCTCTTCTTTCCCCTCGACTGGCGCTCCCGTCGCCGCATCTCGCCTGCCCGAGCCCGACCTCTCGGTGTGGAACCCGGGCCCGCCGTCGTCGTCCAACGCCGTCCCGCTGCCGAGCGACTTTGGCGGCACGTTCTCCGTCTCGATCCTTCAAGACCTCGGCATGATCAACACGGGCGGGCACACGTGGGACTACTGGACGCAGAACGGCGGCGACTCGAACAGTCTCGGCGGTGGGACGACGCACCCGGCGAGCGGCGGCGGCGGTGGCTCGGGAGGGGGAGGAGGGCCGAGCGGCGTCGCCTCGCACGACGGGTCCGGGCTCGACCTCTCGGCTTTCCTCGGCGGCGGCGCACCCGTCAACACGCAGGACGCGGCGCAGGTCCTTCTCAACCAGCTCACCGGCGGTTGGTGAGCGCGCTGCGGGCTTTCTTCTTTCCTTCCCTTCCTTGTAGCAGTTCCTCTCTCTTTCTCTCTCTCCTCGCCCGTCCTCCATAGAAGTCGCCGTTCCTTGCCCGTGTCGTCAATTGCAGTTGCAGACTCTCTCGGTACATCTCGCAAGCGCATCTGCAGGACAGTGGACGAGGGTGTCAGGTTATTGCAGCTCGAAAGAGCCGCCGAGGAGGAGGAGGAGGAGAGAGTGAGGCGCACCTCTGCCCGTCGTCGTCGGCCTTACCGCGGTGGAGGCGGCGGCGGTGCCCTTCTGACCGCAGTCGTGCCCGCGACGCCCCGCTTGAGCTCCTTGAGCTCGACGTCGCCCGCTCCGCCGCCGCTGCCCTTGGTCGCGCCGCGCACCTTGCGCCGCACGAGCCGGCCGACGCTGCTCTGCTCGAGGCGCTCGATGACCTTCTCGGCTGCGGCGTCGATCTGGGAACCGGTGTCGAGCCGCGTCGCCCCGTGCTTGCCACGGACGCCGTCATTGCTGCGAGGCGAGGGTGTGGGGCGCTGCTCCTTGAGGACCCACCTGCGGTAGGCCTTTTCGCCGACGAGGCACATGGCGAGGGCAAAGACCAAGGCGGCCGTGAGCCCGACGACCATGAGGAGCGACGAGAACAGGGCGCGGACGGTCGAGAGGAGCGGGGCGACGAGCGAGGGGAGGAAGAGGTAGGCGGGCAGGAGGAACAGGGCGAGGAGACCGGCGCCAACTGCTGCATCGCCGAGTGCTGAAGGCATCTTGTCGAGCTCTGGTCGCGGCGTGGACGAAACGGCGAGCGAGTCGGAGCTGCGTGGCAAGGTCGACGACGACGACGACGACGACGACATCTCCTCGCTGTGCAACGTGGAACCTCTGCAACGCTCAGTGATACTCTCAGAATCCCTCACGATGCAGACGATCCATTCTCGAGCGAGAGAGAGAGAGCGAAAGACTGCTCGACTTGCACCGCCTCTCGACCTCGCACCTTCGAGTGTCTGCTGCGTCGTCCTCTCCTCCTTAGATATGACACACCGTCGCGGCTAGGGGTATAGACAAGGTATGTGAGAGAGAAGGCAAGAGGGAGGGGGAGGGGTATCGGGGCGAGGAAGGACGGGAAGGGATCCGAGCGAGGGCGGCGCGACTCGGGCTCGTGCTGGCCTAATGCTGCCGCCGGCCGCAGCGCCGAGGACATCGTCACGATATGCAACAATCGTCCTTCTTGGCCTTACTGGTCTTGATGCCCTGCGGTCGAGAGAGGGGTCAGGGCGAGAACGAGGGAGAAGGGCGAGAGAGGCGGACGCACCATCTCGGCGAACGTGGCGGGCTTGTGCTGGTCGGCGAGCTGCTGCGAGACCTGGATCGTCTGCGGCCTCGACATCTGCTGCGGCGGGCGCTGCGTCGTCGGGAGCGAGGACGGCGGCGCGTCCGAGAGCTGGTAGCTCTGCGGCCGAGGAGGTCCGGGCGACGAGTACCGCTGATGCGGCTGCGGCTGCAGGTGCTGCTGCTGTGGCGGTGGGCGCATCGGGTTGGGCGTGCTCGGCGGTGGAGGAGCCATCTGGACGGCGGCCTCGACCTGCTTGATCGTGTTGCGCCGGTACGAGCTCGACGACGACGAGGCGACGGACCCGGCCGTGCTCTGGCGGTACGGCTGCTGGTACTGCGCCTGCGCGGCGGGCACGTTGATCTGCGGCGGACGAGGCCCGCTCGGACCCTGCGACGACGACAGCTTGGCGCCCGACAGGTTGGCGGCGAGCTGGTTGGCGGCGAGGCGGTCGCGCTGCGCGTCCGAGCGGACCTTGGCCTGGGTGCGCTTGCGCACGAGCTTGTTCTCGAGGTGGGCGTCGTGGTCGGTGCGGTTGAGCGCCGCCGGGTTCGACTGCTGGAGGGCCTCGAGCCGCTGCTTGGCGTCCTCGTTGCCGTGACCGGCCGCCTGCGAGAGTTCGAGGGGTCAGTGCGGCTCTCTTTTTCGAGATGAGAAGGGGCGGGACGCACCCTGCTGTACCACCTCCTCGCCTTGTCGAGGTCGATAGGGCCGGCGATGCCGACCTCGTGGTAGTACCCGAGCGCGAACTCGGCCGACGGGTGCTGTTTGGCGGCCGCCTTCTCGGCGAACGTGACGGCGAGCTTCTCGTTGGCCTCGAAGTGCCCCTCGGAGCCGCACAGGTACCATTTCGAGAGCGCTGCAGGAGGGAGACGAGGTCAGGTCGGGCAGGAGGCGAATGGGCAACGAGAGAGAGCGAGACGCACCCATGTCGGCCTCGACCTCGGAATTTTGCGATGCTGCAGGCCGAGAAGAGGGTCAGTAAACTCGCTCGTCGAGATCGAGATCGACGAGGAGAGGCGACGGACCGAGAGCGTAGTACTGGACGGACAGGAGCGGGTCGAACAGGCACCCGAGCGACGCGTACTCGTACGAGTAGCCCTGCGAGCGGCAACGCGGTCAGTCCCGCTCACCCTCGAGAGAGAAAGAGAACGAGCAGGGACGCACCATCTTGTACTGCGCCGGTCCGAAGCTCAGGTACGCCGAGCGCTCGATGCGCCACCTCGCCTCGTCCATGTCGAGCGGGATCTGGCTCTTGTCGAGCTGGACGCTCGGCGAGTCGAACTCGCCGCTCAGGAGCATGCCGAGGATGTATGGCGCTGCACGGGGAGAGAACGAGAGAGTCAGTGACGCGCTCGGGAACGACGGCGGCGGCTCGAGCGCTCGACCGAGGAGAGGTGGAGGAGGGCTCACGTTGCGGCGTGTCGAGGTCTGCCGAGTCGGCCGCCCTCCTGAGCAAGCCCAACGCCTTGGGGATGTCGCCCTGGACGCCGATCTGGCCGAGGAGGTAGGCCATGGCGAGGCGGTACGTGCTGCCGCAGTCGCCCTTCTCGACGCCCTTCTCGTAGGCGCCCACGGCCCGCCGAATGTCGCCAAAGTCCTCGTACGCGCGCCCGATGCGGAACCACGCCTTGACGTAGCCGGCGTTGGCGGCCGCCTCGAAATCGCGGAACGACGACTTGAGGTCCTTGGACCGGTACGACGGGAACGAGCCCGACGCCGACAAGTCGCCGCGCAGGTACAGGGCGAGCGGAACAGGGTTGGCGGACGAAGCCGACGCGAGGATGTGGTTGAGCGCCTCGTCGGTCCAGCGAACGAGCGTCGGGTCGCTGATGCGGGACGACTCGCCGGCCGAGGCCTGTACGTGCACGACGGCGGTCAGGTCCCCGCTCGCACATGCTCCTCGACTGAGATAGTGGGAGGAGACGCACCTGATGCCGCTCGATGAACTTGAGGACCTGCTTGGCCCAGGCCACCTTGCGCTGCGGGTCGCCGCCGTTGGCGAGCGCCGTGTCGCGCATGGACGCGAGCATAGGTTGCTGTTGCGCGAGGGAGCATGTCAGGGCTCGATCTCATCGTGCGCGAGAGGACAGGAGGACAGGGGACGCACATCAGGGTGCGTGACGGCGAGTTTGTGCGGCGGCCCGTCCTCCGGGTTGGCGTAGTAGTTCGGCCGGCCGGGCTGGCCCGGCAGGTACCCTCCCGGCGCTGCCCCTCCTCCTGCTGCCCCACCGCCGCCGCCGAGGCTCATGGCGTCGAACCCGCCGCTGAGCGCCGCAAAGTCGCTCGGCTGCATGCTCGCCGCCCTCGGCGGCCGCTGCACGAACCCGCTCCCGCCCTGCATCTGGCCCGGCGCCGATGGCGGAGGACCGCCCATCATCATCGACGGCGGCGCCGGCGTGAGGTAGCCCGCCTGCGGCTGCTGCTGCGGCGGCGGAAAGTAGCCGCCGGGCTGGACGGGCGGCTGGGGCGGCGGCGGCATGGCGCCGTACGGGCCCGACATGGGCGCAGCGTACGACGCCGGTCGGCCCTGCATCGGGTCGACGCCGCCGTACATGTTCTGCGGGACCGACTGGCCGACCGAGTAGCTCGCCGGTCGCGGGGCGAGGTAGTCGCCGCCCTGCGGCGGCGGTGGGCCGGGGCCGTACGGCTGGCTCGCGTAGTAGCCGCCGGGAGGAGGGTGAGGGGGCATGGGCGGTTGCGGTGCGGGTGCGTAGGCGGCGTTGAGCGACGTCATGCTGGGCGGCGGGGCGGGCGAGGCCGTCGAGCCTCTGGCCCAGGCGTCGGCCGTGTTGGCGAGGCGCTCCGAGGGGATGGCGCTCGGCGGGGGTTGGGGTCGCGGTGCGGTCAGAGGCGAGGGCTGGTTGAACGGCGACGTGATGGGCTGAGGAGGAGGGTAACCTGGAGGGGAGGACGAGGGCGCGTTAGCCAACACGGCGGCGAGTAGGGGGGGAGGGGAGGAACAGGGGGCGCGCCGTTCATGGTAGCTCGAGTGAGGCGCGGTTGAGCGCACGCCGGCTAGACCAACGGGCGAGGGTCGAACACGAACAGCGACGGCGGTCGGCGGTCGACAGATGAGGACGCAGACCGAGGCGGCGCAGCAAGGGCGCGGGCACAGCGGGTACGGCGCGTGCGGGTGCGGTGTCGAGGTCGACGTGGCTGTGTGGCTGTCGGCAAGCCTGTGTGCAGCCTGCTCGAGCGAGCGACGGAGGTCGAGGATCGGTGAGCCAAGCAGGCGCCCGTCTCTCGGACACAGCGGCAATTCAACTCGCGTCTCGCAAATACCGCTCCTCTCGACGCACTCGACGACAGGTGCATGGTGAAGCGCGTTGCACATAAAGCAGGGCCGAGCGACGACGTCCCTCACTCGCTCCCGTCAACATCCATCCGGTCGTCCTCGTCGGCGTCCACCTTGTCCTTCCTGCGCCTCCGACGCGCCTCGCCACCCTCCTTGAGCGCCGTCGTGCTCGTCCCCTCCTTCTCGCCAGCCCTGCCGGCAGCGCTCGCCGCCCTCGTGGCCGCCGGCGACACCTCGCGCATCTCGCCCTCGCGGTCCTCGTCCTCGTCCACCTCGCGCGGCTCGTCCGCCTTGTCGACGCCCCAGGGTCGAGTCGACGATAGGCTGAGTGGCGAAGGTGCCGCCTCGGACACGACGCGGCGGTGGCGGTGCGGGTCGCCCGCCGAGAGCGAGGCCGAGGCCGGGGCGCGGCGCGGCGGGTTGAAGTGGCCGCAGCGAGGACAGCGGTACTCTGCAGGCGAGGCGGGCTGGTCAGGCTTGCGGGAGCCGCAGAGGAGGGAGAGGTGGACGTACGGACAAAGTCGAACTCGTCCTTCTTAGCGAGGCCGTTGTGCGCGTAGCACTGGCCGCAGATCAGGGCGTAGCGGTTCATCGGGTTGGTGTCCTCGGGCGACACGCCGAGGAGGGCGTCGGCGACCTTGTCGAGGAGCGTGCGCGGCTGAGGCGAGGCGGGCGGGAACGGCGCAGGCGGGAAGGCGCCGGTCGGGGCGGCGCCGGGCGGGAAGGCGAGCTGCGCCGGGGTGCCGGGAGCGCTCGGGATGGCGGCCGAGGCGCGCTGCTGAGGCGTCATGGCGGCAGCGGCGGCGGGCGTGCCGGGACGGGCGGCGACGGCTTGAGGCGTGCTCGGCGAACCAGGGAAGGGAACGGGCGTAGGCTTTGCGCCAGGCTTGGCCTGCTGCTTGGCGGGCGTCGACGGCGCAGATGAAGGCTGCAGGTGACGACGACGGTCAGCTGGGGTCGAGGGGGGACGAGGGAGAGAGCCGGACGCACCCCTTTCCTCAACGCCTCGTCGTACTTCTCGAGCAGGTCCCGCGTGCTGTAGTAGCCCGTCTTCTTCTTGATCTCCTCGACCTTGTCCTGCTTCTGCTTGACGAGAACCTTGACCTGCGTCTCTGCGCGGGCGAAGAGGGAACATGGTCAGGGATCCGACTGGGTGCGAGCGGGCGAGGAGGGACAGGGCTCACCCTCCTTGTCCTGCTTGCGGTGGTAGAACCAGCGCGAGGCTCGTCGAGTGAAGATGATGCTGCACAAGTGAGGGGTCAGCTCGGTCGGGCGGCAGGACAGGCGAGAGGGCGACGAGGACGCACGCGACCGGACCCAGGACGACAGGCGCTGCTCCCGCCGCGGCTGCAGGGAGGCCCGCCACGGTACCGCGCACGCCGACGATGCCAAAGTACCACAGGACGGTGTAGAGGATCCAGGCGACGACGCCGTAGGTGATGAGGAGGGCGTTGAGGCGACGCTCGCGGACGCGGATCTGCTGCAGGCGGGCCTGGCGGGCGGCGATCTGGGTCTGGAGCTTGGCGAGGACGGTGTCGTAGTCGGCCTCCTTGGGCTGCTCGTGCGCGCGGTCGAGGGAGAGAGGCGGTGCAAGGGGGGGTAGGGGGAGGCGACGTCAGGGTCTGCGACGACGGCACGGGCCGAGGCGAGAGGTGCTGGGGCGCACTCGGCTGAACAAGGCACCCATGCTGAACTACAGCACTCTGTCCGGCTTGAGCGTCGAGTGGAGCGACGCGGCCAAGAGCGTCAGCGAACTTGCTCCGCCTCGTGCTCCTCTCTGCTCTCGTCCACGCCGCCACCAGCTGGACGTGGATGCTCTCGTTGCATTCCTGAAGACCTCTCGCCCAGTGTGCGCCGTCCTCGCGCCTCCCCGGGCCGCGCCGTCGTCGACCTCCCGCTCGCGCTCGCCGACAGCTCTCGGCCTCGCTCTCGCCGGGCGCCAAACGGCGCAAAGGACGAGTCGAGTCATACATTGCCGTGCGGCACATCTGCCCTCTGCCCTCTGCCTGGGCCCGCGCTGCAGGCGACAGGGTCACAGCTCGAGCCCCGTCGCCGGCGGCTTGCTCGCCTCGTGCCCTCCCGACGGCCCGTCAGGCGTGGCTGCAGCGGCCTGTGCCGCACTTGCGCGGCGAGCGGAGCGGCGAGACGGCTTCGTGGCCCGAGCGCTGCTCGAGGAGGGACGGCAGGCGGTGCCGCGCCGCAGCAACCTCCGGCGAGCGTCCGCAAGGCGCTTCTTCGCTATCGCCGCTTCCTGCTGCCCTTGGAGCGGCCGCTCTGCCGCTCCGATCCCTCGTCCTCCAGCGTTCGCTCTTCTGCGCGGGGACAGAGGCAGGGTCAGCTTCGTCCTCTCGCCCCGACCGGTCCTCGTCGCTCGAGCACAGCTGCGCCACGCACCCAGCTCGCGCCGCTCGCGCGTGAAGTACCATCGCAGCGCCAGCTTGACGACGCCCATGCTGCGCGTTTTCGAGGCCCGCTCGAGATCGTCAGCTTCCGGGCACGCCATAGCACGCTCGGGCCTGGAGGGAGAGGGTTCGAGGACTTACGCGCCGCCGACGTACAGCAGGAGCTGCTTTGCTGCGCCCTGCGTCTCCTTGGACCTCGACCTCGTCGTCGACGCCGCCCTGCTCGAGTAGTACTCGTCGTACGCCCACGCGGCGAGCGCGAGGAACAAGCCGATACGGACGAGCCAGGTCGAGGCGAGCTGCTCGCGGGTCTTGAGTTCTTTGAGCGCGCGCTTGAGCGCTTTGGGAGACGTCGCCGTAGAGGCCATGCGCGACGAGAGCGCGAGCGACGAGCAAGAGAACGAGAGATCTGGTTCCACGACCGCGAGAGCGCGATTTGACTTGTCCGGTCCGCGACTCCGCGGGCAGCTCCGCACCTCGACGCGTCTACCGAGATCGCTCGAGCCAATCTTGATGCGGCCCGAGCGGCGTCACCTTTTGATCGCAAAGGCTCGCTCTCCCCCGCTCCGGCGGCGCGGACCCTCTTTCGCTCTCCTCCCTCTCGGCCGCTTTTCTCGCCCCGGCCACCTTCGCAGCGCGCACCATGGCAGCCGACGCCTCTACATCCACCTCGAGCGCAACTGCCGACCCGGCGCGCCCGGCGACCGTCATCCTCTGGTCGCACCCGCGGTCGTGCTCGACCATGTTCGAGATGATGTTCCTCGGCAAGGGCGACTTCAACGTCCTGCACGAGCCCATGGGCGAGTCGTGGTACTACTCGAAGGAGCGCGTCCACCAGCGGTTCAGCCAGGAGACGTGCGAGAAGAGCGAGCACTGGAACTACACCTACGACAAGGTCCGCCGCCTCCTCTCCCTCTCTCTACGTGGTGGAGCCCGGCGACTTTGAGCTAACCCGAAGCCTTGTGCGCACCCAATGCAGGCCTGGAAGGACGTCTCGACGCCGCACCCGACCAAACGGACCTTCTCCAAGGACATGGCGTCCTACATCATCAACACGTCCCTTCCTCTCGGCACCGTCGCCCCGTCGTACGAGGGCACGCCGACGACGCCGACCAACCCGACGCTCATCCCGACGAGCGAGCTCCTCCAGCCGCACATCGTCCACACGTTCCTCATCCGGCATCCTCGCCGCGCCGTCCCCTCGTACGCCCGCCTGTGCTACCCGGGCGCCAAGACCGGCTTCGACTACTTCGACCCGTCCGAGATGGGCTACGCCGAGAGCCGGCGCCTGTTCGACTTTATCCGCGAGGCGACGGGCCAGGCGCCGCACATCGTCCAGGCTGAGACGCTCCTGCAGGAGCCCAAGAAGGTCGTGAGCGAGTACTGCAAGGCCGTCGGCGTCGACTTCAACGAGGACATGCTCGAGTGGAACAGCGCGACGAGGGACCACTTGTGCGTCGCCGCTCCTCCCTCTCCTTCTTCGTCGACCGGACGAGCGCCGCCCTCTCAGCTGCGCCGGTCCCTGACCTCTCTCTTTCTCTCTCGTACAGCGCCAAGTGGAAGGGCTGGCACGAGGACGCCGAGCAGAGCACGGGCGTCGGCCGTCGCTCGCCGTCTGTCGACAGCAACTCGGACAAGGCGGCGCCTGCGGCGCACAAGCCCAAGGAGGACAAGCCGCTGTCGGACGAGCTCCTCAAGACGATCGAGGCCAACCTCGAGGACTACGAGTACCTGCGCTCGTTCGCGAGCAAGGCCTAGCGCGGCGCTCGTCGGCGGCAAGCTCGTCGAGGAGCGAGGGAGGCGGTTGTTTAAAAGGGAGGGCGGCGAGGACGCGGCCCAGTGTTGTACTCTCTAGTCCAATGCGCATAACTCTCATGACCTTTCACTCTCTTTCGCGGCGAGAGCGCTCGAGCCCGGCCGAGAAAGACGAAGAACCGCGGTTAGGAAGGCTAGCTCGCAGCTCGCTCGCTCGAACGCTCTCGGCTCGCTCGGCCCGACGCGCAGAGTACTGCAACATGCGGCGATGCAGTCTCGAGTCTATGCCCATTTCCAGCCTCGGCCCAGGACGGCAAAGAGGAGCGCCGCAGCGACGCCGCCGAGCCAGTTCGGCACGACCGGCCGGACCCACGTCCTCCACGCCATGCGCCAGAACCCGCACAGCTCGTACTCGCCCGCACCCGTCCGCTGCACCTGCTCGACCCCACGCTTGCGCTCGGCGGCACGCCGCAGCGCCACCTGCCGCAGCGCCATCGTGTGCCACAGGACGTCGAGTCCCGGGCCCGCGACAGCGACCCACCCGAGCAGGACCCGCAGCCACCGCACGCCGTACAGCGAGTCGTACGCCGCTGCGCGAGCGGCGCTCGCCGGGACCGAGGGCGACAAAAGCGAGAGCGGGAGGAACGGGTCGGCGGCGGCGGGTCGGGCGAGGCCGGCGAGGTCGGCGGCTGGGGGCTGCTTGGACGAGGTCGACAGGGCGCGAGAGATGCCGGAGCGGGTGCGGAAGCCGCCGGTGAGGAGGATGAGGGGGATGGGCGAGGGCAGAGTCGAGGGAGAGAGGGTCGAGAGGAGCCAGCGCGCTCGTTGCGAGAACGAGTCGAAGAAGGCTTCTCTCGCGAATGTCGACGGTCGTTTTGGCGATGCGTCGGGCGTCATGAACTCTGCGGGAGGCAAGAGAGAGGGTCAGGTCGTGCGCAACGAAACGACCGCCAGCTCGAGCCGAGAGCGACGGCGCTCCCGCCCCGAGCGTGCCACCGTGATGCCGATCGTACGCACCAGGACTCTCGTACGACCCTCCACTGATCTCGAGAAAGTCGACGCCGCCGTGCTCGGCGATCCACTTGACGTTGTCGAGCGCGTCCTGCTCCTGCTCGAGGTGCGAAAGAGGTGGTCAGTGCGAGGTCTGCTTCCAGCCACGAGAGACAGAGAAAGGTGGACGCACTGTCAAGCCTCCTTTCTGCGCAAAGGTGACTCGAGAAAGAGTCAGCGACGTGCGGCGAGGCGAGACGGCCGACCAAGGGGAGGATGGCGTGGACGCACGACAAAGTCCGAGCAGTTGAGCTTGATGCCGACGCAGAAGCCGTCGCTCTGCGGGCACTCGGCCCGAATGCCGTCGATGATGCGGAACAGGAGCTTGAGGCGCTTGCGGGCCGTGCCACCGTAGCTGTCGGTGCGGCGGTTGACCTGCGAGCGTTGACAGGCACCGTCATGAGCTGACTGGGCTGTGCGACTCGGACAGTAGATAGATGCGAACATGTCCGGGCGCACCTTTGGGCTGAGGAACGACGCAAGGAGGTAGCCGTGGCTCGCGTGCAGCTGGACGCCGTCCCACCCGGCCTCGCGCACGACCCTCGCCGCGTTGACGAACTCGTCGACGACCTGGTCGATGTCGCCCTCGGTCATGGCTCTCGGCGTGCCCCACAAGAGGCGCCCGAGCGGCCCTGCGACCGAGAGCGGGACGGCGGACGGCGCGAGAGCTGGCGACGACGGGCTGCGGCCGCACAGGACGCGCATCGACTGTCGGCCCGGGTGGTTGAGCTGGACGACGGCGACAGGTCGGGGACGGGACGAGGTCGGCCGGGTCGAGCGTGCCCATCGGGCGAAGAAGGATAGGGAGGAAGGAGGGACGGGTCGAGGTGGGACGGCGAGGTCGAACGGGGTGCCGAGGTGCGCCGGCGAGACCTGGACGTTGCCTGCGTACGCCTCGCTGTGTCAGCTGGCGCACTTCGGTCTTGCAGGACCGGCTGCAGAGAGCGAGGGCGCACCGGTGATGAGCATCCCCCACCCGCCCTCGGCCCACACCTCGTACAGGGCCTCCTGCAGCTCAGTCGAGAGCATCTCCTCCATGGAGGCCTGTGGACAACATGGCAGGGACCTTCAGTCATGCGCGCTCGACGCGAACGCGACGGGGAGAAGGCTCGGAAGGTCGGACGCACCTTGACGAGCCGGTTCGGGAGGACACGGCCGCAGGGGAGCGTGGCGGGTTGCGCTATGCACGCGATGTTGTCCTGGTCGGTCGATCGAGCCATGGCGAGTCGCAGGCAGCAGGGGCGAGCGGTGTCGAGAGGAGCGAGAGCCGCGAGACGTGCACCGCCTCGTTCGACGAGTGTGAGCGGGCACGGCCACGTCGCACAGGCCGCTTCACAGCCTCGGTCGCTCGACAGCTCACGCTCTACGACTCACTCGCGAAACCAGACGACGAGCGCAAGAGATTGAGCGCGAGACGCAGCGCCTTTTCACCCTTCGCTCCTCCTCCTCCTCGACCGTCTACAGGTGGACCCGCACGCCCATGCGCTCAGCGACCTTGATAGCGTCGGCGACGACGCCCATGGCCGTCACGTCGGCGCCGGCGCCGGCGCCCTGGACGATGAGCGGGCGCTGCGAGTAGCGCGCCGTGTGGAACGCGACGATGTTGTCGCTGCCGCTCAGGGCCGACGCGAACGGGTGCGAGACCGGGTACCTGCGAGCGCGAGAGGGAAAGAAGACGGGAGGGAGGCGTGTCAGTGAAAGTGGTCGGCGGCGGCGAGGTAGAAGAGGCTCGAAAGAACGAGAGAGACAGCGAAACAGGGGACGCACTTCTCGAGGCCGCACTTGACGACGCCCGCCTCGCGGTCGATGACGCCGACGTACCGCAGCACCTTGCCCTCCTTCTCGGCCTCGGCGCGCAGCTGCTCAAACTCGGCGTCGTGGTCGGGCAGGCGCTGGACAAACTCGTCGCCCGTCTTGCAGTCGGCGAGCGCCGAGGGGATGAGCGTCTCGGTGTCGAGCGACGCGTAGCCGTCGGGAAGCGAGGGGAGCGCCGCGAGCGACGAGGGGTTGATCGACAGGAGGCGCGACAGGATGGTGAGCTTGCGGGCGACGTCCGAGCCCGACAGGTCGTCGGCAGGGTGCGGCTCCTGTTGGCGGGTACACCTCGAGGGTCAGTGTCTGCACTCATCGAGTCCGACAGGAGGGGTAGGGGGACGCACAGTGTAGCCGTTCTCCTTGGCGACCTTGACGACCTCGGAGAACTTGGGGGCCGGGCCGTCGGCGGGAGTCGCGGGCGAGAAGTTGTTGAAGATGTAGCTCATCGTGCCGCTGAAGACGCCCTCGATCTTGGTCACCTCGTCGCCCGTCTTGAGGAGGTCGCGCAGGGTCGAGATGATGGGCAGGCCGGCGCCGACGGTCGCCTCGAGGTAGACGAGGCCGGCGTTGGGCGCCGACTGGGCGTCGACGACCTGCTGGAACAGGTCGCTCGAGCTCGAGAAGCCCTTCTTGTTGGGCGTGACGACCGACAGGCCCGACGAGATGGCGGCCGGGTACAGCTCGGTGACGGCGAGGTCCGAGGTGCAGTCGATCAGGATCGTGTGCTGCTTGGACGCGCGCGCGTCGGCGGCGAGCTTCTTGACGAGCTCGGTCGGGCTCGCGGGCGAGTAGGACGCGGCCGGGTGCGCCGACTCGGTGGGGAGCGGCTGCGACGAGGCGGGCAGGAGCGACAGGAGCGTCTTGGCGTCGAGGGTCGGGGCCGAGGGCGACAGAGCGAGCGTGTGCTTGCTGTTGGTGAGGCTGACGATCTTGAACAGGCCGCTCAGGGCCGGGCTCGTGAGCTGCTGCACGACCTGCTTGCCGACGAGACCAACGCCGACGATGGCGACACAGCACGACGACACTGCGCGAGGGAGGCGGTCAGCGGGCCGATCTCTGACGATGAGCGTCTGTGGGTCTGTGACGCACTGTTTGACGCTGAAGGTGGTGAGGTGAGGGTGAGGGAGGAGCCGAGAGATGAAGCGGCTCTTCGACTCATCAGGAGCCGACGACTGCCACCTCGCCTCGCTCTCTTGCGCTCTGGAGAGCTCGTCGATCGCTTGAGCACAGTCTTGCAGTGCGAACGGCCGAACCACGAGACAGAAAGGGAGCGAGACGAGACCCTCTCGAACACGCTGCAGCGCCTTCTCGCCGCTCGACGAGCCGAATGCGGTGGGAAAGTGCGATGAGAGTACAAACACGACATGCTGTGGGCCCTCCTAGTCCTCCGTCTCCCGTGCCCTGCCGCCACCTGACACCGCCGCGCCCCCGATCTCGCGCGAGCGCGCACCTCGTCTCGCGACCGGCTCGCGTCGAGCGCGCCGCTCATGCCTTCTTGGCGCCGTCCTCGGCACGGAGCGTCTCGGCGAGCTGGAGGTAGTAATGGCCGTCGAAGCCGTTGGGCCCAAAGAGGCCGCCGCGCTTCGAGTCGAGCGTCGGCTTGGAGTCGGCCATGGGCCAGTTGCTCGCTCGCGGGTCGACCTTGACGGTCTTGGCGACGTAGGGCTTGAGCTGTGGCCGAGTGCGAGAGTGAGTCAGTCGTGCTTGAGAAGGCAAGGGTTGAGAGAGAGGGAGGGACGCACGCCGCAAGAGTTGAGGTTGTCGGGGACGACAAAGGTGCGCATGCGCTCCTGCATGAGGATGTAGGGCGCCTTGGACCCGGGCGAGTGGCGACCCTGACGCTTGGGGCCGAGGCCGGGGAACGAACCGGTACCTGTGTGCAGGCAGAGGAGAGTGAGCGGGCGAGGAGGGCGAGAGGGAGGAAAGGGGAGGCGGTGCGGCGACGGACCCTTGTAGAACTCCTTGTTGGCCTGCTTCGAGTTCAAGGGAGCGCGCGAGGCTTTGCTCAGGAGGGACAGGGTGGCGCGCATGGCGGGCTAGGCGGGTTGCTCGAGTGCGAGAGTCGGGTCGGCAGAGGGAGGAGGGAAGAGGGCGAGGTGGCTCGAGTCGAGTGTGCTGGTTGCGCGATTCTGTGGGTGCACCTGCAGGTCAGTCTGTGATGCTCACGGTGTGCGCCCGCATGCACCAGAGAGCTGTGCGGTGCGAGTGCGGGACGAGGGTGGTTTGAGACGAGCTGGGAGGACGAGGGAGGGACGGACCGAGACGGGAGTGGTGGCGCTGGTCGCGGCGATGGACGGTGTGTCGAGTGGGAGTGCAGTAGAGTGTGCTGGTGCAGCGAGAGTGCCACAGTCGGGCGAGCTGGAGGGTCGCTTCGCCCGTCGCCTCGTCGTCGCGGCCAGTGTCCTCATCTCGCTCTTGACCCTCGGCTCTGCCTAGGCCAGACGCGCCCTAGACCGACTCGCCAGCCTCGACTCGTCGACCCCGCCTTTGCACCGCGAGCCGCAGCTCTCTCGTCACCTCGCCGCACCCCCGGTCCACGTCCTCCCCCTCCTCCTCCCCCTCTCTCCGCCGACACCCGCCGACCGCCGCCCCGCCATGTCTGGCCAGCGCGCGTTCGACTTCGAGGACGTCGAGGACCGCGACGGCGTCCGCCTCTCGTGGAACGTCTGGGCTGGCAGCCGCATCGAGGCGACCCGCACCGTCGTCCCCATCGGTGCCGTGAGCCCCACTCTCGCTCTCTCTCTCTCTCTTGCTCCATGGGCCCACCCTGACCCTCTCGCCACACGCGCGCAGCTCTACACCCCGTTGAAGGAGCGCCCCGACCTCCCGCCCGTCCTGTACGAACCCGTCACCTGCAAGGCCCCCTGCCGCGCCATCCTCAACCCGTACTGCCAGATCGACGTCCGCGGCAAGCTGTGGATCTGCCCCTTCTGCCTGCAGCGCAACGCCTTCCCGCCCCACTACAAGGACATCTCGACCTCGAACCTGCCCGCCGAGCTCCTTCCCAAGTACACGACGATCGAATACACCCTCTCGCGCCCGGCCCAGATCCCGCCCGTCTTCCTGTTCGTCGTCGACACGTGCCTCGAGGACGACGACCTCAAGGCCCTCAAGGAGACCATCATCGTCTCGCTCAGCCTCCTCCCGCCTCATGCCCTCGTCGGCCTCATCACCTACGGCACCATGGTCCGCTCCCCTCTCCCTCGCCTTTCTCTCGCAGAGACCGGCGTACTGACCCCAAAGCCCCCGCAGACGCAAGTGCACGAGCTCGGCTACACCGAGTGCCCCAAGTCGTTCGTGTTCCGCGGCACCAAGGAGTACACGACCAAGTCGATCATGGAGATGCTCGGCCTCGCGCCGCCGACGCGCCAGGGCGGCCCGGGCGCACCGCCGGCCAACGCGCCGCCACCGGCCCTGTCGGGCGCCGCGCGGTTCCTCCTCCCCGTGTCGCAGTGCGAGTTCAGCCTCACGTCGGTCCTCGAGGGCCTGCAGCGCGACCCGTGGCCCGTCGCGAGCGACCGCCGCGCGCAGCGCTGCACGGGCGTCGCCATGAGCGTCGCCGTCGGCCTCCTCGAGACGACGTTCCCCAACACGGGCGCGCGCATCATGCTCTTTGCCGGCGGCCCGGCGACCGAGGGTCCGGGCATGGTCGTCGGCGTCGAGCTGCGCGAGCCGATCCGGTCGCACCACGACATCGAGCGCGACAACGTCAAGTACTTCAAGCGCGCGACCAAGTTCTACGAGCAGCTCGCGAGGCGCGCGGCGCAGAACGGCCACGCCATCGACCTTTTCATGGGCTGCCTCGACCAGGTCGGCCTGCACGAGATGAAGTCGCTCGCCAACTGCACCAACGGCTACATGATCCTCGCCGACTCTTTCAACATGTCGCTCTTCAAGCAGTCGTTCCACCGCGTCTTTGTCAAGGACGACCAGGGCCACCTCCAGATGGGCTTCAACGCCACGTTCGACGTCCAGGTTCGTCCTCCCTCCCTCTCTCTCTCCTTCTCGTCGCCATCTTCGTCGTCGTCGTTCGTCCTCGCCGTCGCCGTCGCCGTCGAGTCGTCACTGACCCACCCCTCCTCGCGACACAGACGACCAAGGAGCTCAAGGTGTCGGGCCTGATCGGGCACGCCATCTCGGCCAACAAGAAGTCGGCCTGGGTCGGCGAGACCGAGATCGGCATCGGCCAGACGTCGGCGTGGAAGATGTGCTCGATCTCGCCCCGGACCGCCAACGCCGTCTACTTCGAGGTCGTGACGCCGGCCGGCCAGACGCTCGCGCCCGGCGCTCGCGGCATGATCCAGTTCGTCACGCACTACCAGCACTCGTCGGGCCAGTTCCGCCTGCGCGTGACGACGATCGCGCGCAACTTTGCCGAGCCGGGCAACCCGGCCATCTCGGACAACTTTGACCAGGAGGCGGCCGCCGTCCTCATGGCGCGCATCGCCGTCTACAAGGCCGAGATCGACGACAGCCCCGACGTCCTGCGCTGGCTCGACCGCATGTTGATCCGCCTGTGCCAAAAATTCGCCGAGTACCGCAAGGACGACCCGTCGTCGTTCCGCCTCAACGACAACTTTATCGTGTACCCGCAGTTCATGTTCCACTTGCGCCGGAGCCAGTTCCTCCAGGTGTTCAACAACTCGCCCGACGAGACGGCCTACTACCGGTCCGTCCTCTCTCGCCGTCGTCGTCCTCCTCCCTCGGGGTCGTGTGCACTGACCCCCTCCCCTCTCTCGCGCGCAGGCACATCCTCAACACCGAGGACGTCAACAACTCGCTCGTCATGATCCAGCCAACGCTGATGAGCTACGCGCTCGAGACGCCCGCCGAGGCCGTCCTCCTCGACTCGATCTCGATCCAGCCCGACCGCATCCTCCTCCTCGACACCTTCTTCCACATCCTCATCTTTCACGGCGACACGATCGCCCAGTGGCGCAAGGCGGGCTACCACGAGCAGGAAGGGTACGAGAACCTGGCGCAGCTCCTCGACGCGCCAAAGGAGGACGCGACCGAGCTCCTCCTCGACCGGTTCCCCGTCCCGCGGTACGTCATCTGCGACCAGGGCGGGTCCCAGGCGAGGTTCCTCCTCTCCAAGCTCAACCCGTCGACGACGCACGTCTCGGGCGGCCGTGCGTTCTCCTCTCTCTCCCTCTCGTCGTCGTCGTCGTCGAGCCGTCCTGACTCTTCTCTCTCTCCCTCCTGCCCTGTCCTGCCCGCAGAGTACGGCGCTCCTCCGGTCGGCCAGGTCGTCCTCACCGACGACGTCTCGCTCCAAGTCTTCAGTGCGTCCCCCTCTCGCTCCTCGTCGAGACAGCGCCCGGTCCGCCGCGAGTAGCTCCCTGACCCTCGCCTTCCTCCCTCTCTCTCTCGCAGTGGAGCACCTCAAGAAGCTCGCAGTCACTGGTTCTTCCTGAGAAGGGAACGCGGGATCTCGAGGAGAAAGTGCCGCAGTCGTCCTATACCCCCTCTCTCTCGCCCTCTCTTCTCTCTCTCTCTCTCTTTGTGTGTCTCTCCTTGCAACGACCTGGCAGCATTCCCTCTCTTCTCTCGAGTGTGCGTGTCCGAGAGCTGCGCCGAGGAGAAAGAGAGGAAAGACCAAGTTGCAGAAGCGGCTCGAGCGCTCTCACGTCCGACCCCTCACTCTAGATCTGCGCGCCGTCGCCCTCTCTGCTCGCGCTCTCGCTCCGCCGCAGCCGGTCCCGCATGCGCCGCGCCACCTCTCGCGGCACGTTCCACGCGGCGTCGAGCTCGCGCAGGCCGAGGGTCGCGCCGCCGCCCGCGCTGTCGCCGAGCGAGAGGGCGGCGAGCGACAGGTACGTGTGCATGACGTCTGCGCGTTGGAAGGGAGGGTGTAACGAGAGAGGGAGAGGGAGAGAGAGGCGTCAGTATACGCAAGAGGGAGAGGGAGAGAGGGAGGAAGAAGAGGGCGCCGAGGACGCACCGGGGAGCGCGCCCGGTTCTCGCGCGATGCCGCCAAACTTGGGGTGCTGGCAGTCGAGGAGCCATGTGCGGTCGAGCGCCGGGTCGACGATGCTCGAGAGGGTGAGGGTCGGGTCGATGGCGGGGAGGAGAAGCTGCGAGGGAGGCGAGGAGGGGTGCGTGCGGGCAAGGCGGGTTGGTGACAAGGAAGGAGGGGACAGAGAATGGACATAGGGGCGCACCGTGAGTGCGGCCGTGTTCCAGAACGAGTAGCACGCGTCGGTCGGCTTGTTCGCCCGACCTTGAAAGCCCGCCGAGTCCTCGACTCTGCGCCCGTCCTCCTCGTCCTCCTCCTCCTCCTCCTCTCGCCCTCTCTCGTCGGCCTCCTCGTCGCTCTCATAGCTCGTCTCGGACCGAGGTGGACGAGGCGGCGGGCGGACCTGGCGCGAGACGAGCCAGCGCAGGAGCTGCTCGGGGCGATCAAGCGACGCGAGACGGCCCGCGAGCGAGAACGAGGCGATGGCGCAGTAGGTCGGACCGGCTGTGACGTGAAGACTGAGTAAATCGGTGCTTCGAGGTAGGAGAGGGAGAGAGAGGGAGCGCACCATTCGCCTCGAGACCTGGTCGCTGGCTGAAGCCGCCCTCGTACCGCTGCGGACGGGCACACGAGTCAGTCTGAACCCGCCTGCTCGAGCACTCGAGCGAGACGTAGACGAACCCGACAGCTGTTGAGGAAGTCGAGGGCCGAATCGACGTTGACGGTGGTCCAGTCGTCGAGCATCGACGCGACTGCAAAGGCCGAGTAGGTCGAGCGAGGGTCGCCCGGCTCGGCACACCCAGGGAAGTGCGAGAAGCTGTTGCGGGGTTTGGTCGCCGTTAGTCTTCGGCCTGGCTCGAGCTGCGCGGGAAGGGAAGGCGACTCACGAGCCGTCCGGGTTCTGGCACGCGCCGATGAAGTGGGCGAGGTCTTGTCGTCGCAGTCGGGCGTAGTCGTCGTCGAGGAGGCCGAGGATGACGAGGGCGGTGTAGGTCTGGATGAGGTGGGGCGGGTCGAGGTCGTTCGGGGCGCGAGCGCTGTCGGCGAGTGCGGCGGCGAGCGAGTCGGAGCCGCGGAAGCCGCCCTGCGGGAGCTGCTGGTCGTAGACCCAGTCGAGGAAGCCCTGGCGTTGCTGAGGCTTGAGCATGACGTCGATGGCGGCGAGTTGTGGGTCGTGGGTCGAGACGGGGGCCGAGGGGAGGAGGGCGAGGGCGGCGAGGCAGAAGTAGGCGAGCGTCATCCTGGCGAGGGGTTGGTCAGTGGTTGGAGTGGCAAGGGAGAGGGAGGGACGGACCTGCTGCTGTCCTCTGGCTGGTACGGGGTCGGGAGGTAGCGAGCGTTGCGGAGGGCGAAGAGGACGTGGTGCTTGACGAGCAGGGCATCGCTCGGCGCGGGTCGAGCGGGAGCGGGTGCAGCCATGGCTCAGTGTGCGAGTGCAGCGAGTGCAGCTGTGCCTGGTCTAGACGAGAGGCGGCTGAGGGACGACGACCAAGCACCGCCTCGCTCGTTCGTTCGTTCCTCTCGGCCCTCGCTCTCTCTCCCACACCCGCGACAGACTCAGAGTCTCGCCCACTCAGCTCAGCCCAGTCCAACTCAAGAGCCCCGCCCGCTACCCGCGCCCGCCCGCCCTCGCCTCGCCGCCTCGCACCTCAAAGCTCGTCGCACTCGGCCGGCCCATCTTCGCTCCGCCTCATCTCTCGCCTCGACTCGTCGACCATGGCTGGCGTTCTCCGTGCCTACAACGCCTCGCTGTGCGCACCACCCCTCTCCCCCCGTCCTCGCCCGCCTCGCACCCGACCTGACTCTCCCTCCTCAGCTTGCGCCGGCCTTATGCGACTGGCATGGTCTCGGCAGGTGCGCCCTCGCCCTCTCTCCCCTCTCTGCACCTCCCACCGAGCTGACTCGCACGACCCACAGGCTTCCTCTTTGGCGCGGGCGACGTCCTCGCTCAGCAGGGCATCGAGAAGCGCGGCCGCGACCATGACGTACGCTCTCCTTCACCCCGTCCTCGTATCTCCCGAGCGGCCCTCACTCTGTCCATGCCCACAGTACATGCGCACGCTCCGCTTGTCGGCTTACGGAGGTGCGCCGCCTTCGACGCCACCGCCCCGTCAAATGCGAACTTACCTCGTCGTATCTCGACTCGCGCGCAGGCCTCATCTTTGCGCCCCTCATCACGCGCGTGTACGGCTTCATCGACCGCATCCGCTTCCAGTCCAAGGTCGCCAGTGCGTCCCGGCCTCTCCCTGCCCCGTCCTCTCACCCCACGGGCTCACGTCGCTCGTCCCCTCGTCCGCAGCCACGGTCGCGCGCGTCGGCGTCGACCAGTTCGTCCTAACGCCGTGCGTCCTGACCATCTTCTTCACGGCTCAGTCGCTCCTCGAGGGCAAGGGCTTTGGCGAGGCCAAGCGCAGGATCGAGACGAGCTGGTGGCCGACTATCCAGGCCAACTGGGGCAGTGCGTCCCCTCTCTGCCTTCCTCCGACCCTCGCCTCTATCCTCGTTCACTGACTCTCACCCGCACTCGCCTCTCTCTCTCGCGCCACAGCCTGGATCCCGGTCCAGACGCTCAACTTCTCGGTCGTGCCGCCGCATCTCCGCCTTCTCACCGTCAACGTGCGCCCCTTTCTCCTCTCCCCCTCTCTCGGGCCCATCCTCGAGCGCACTCTCACGTCCATCCTCGCGCACAGGTCGTCAGCCTCTTCTGGAAGTGAGTCCTCCTCGCCCTTGTCGCTCTCGCGCGCTCGGCCCTCCGATTCGAGAAAGAGCCGCCCTGACTTTTTCTCCCTCGCCCGCAGCGCCTACCTCTCGTACGCCAACGCGCAGGCCGCACCGGCGCAGGACAAGGTCAAGGAGGCCATGGGCGTCACGGCCTGATTGCCTTCCTCTCGTTCTCTTTCCCTCTCCCTCTCACTTATAGACGCATGCGGCACCCGAGGCGGGGTTCTCGTAGATGGGAGGGTGCAAGATGCAGGGCGAGGTGCTACAACAACGTCCGGGAGAGATCATGATAGAGAGAGGGAGAGAGATGCGCCTCGTCTAATCGCTGCCGTCGCTGCCGCCGCCGGCAGCACTACCGAGCCACCTCTCGCCCGTCAACCGCTGCCGCTCCTCCTCGGCCTCGACCGCCTCGACCTCCTCTCGCTCGCGCACCCGCTCACGCTCGCTCCTGACCGTGTCGGCGAGGCGGTGCACGAGCGCCTTGACGTTCTCGCGCCGGCGCGCGCTGATGGGCACGACCCAGATGCGGTCCTCGTTGCGCCGCACGCCCTGCGCCACCTCGTCGGCCGACACCTCGGCGACGTAGGCCTCGAGCGCGGCTAGCTTGGCGCGCCCGTCCGACGGCGACTGGACGGGCTCGTGCGCGCTGTCGCCGTCGCTGTCGGCCTCGCCCTCGCTCAGCTCGGCACCTGCTGCCGCCGCTCCTGCTGCGCTCGCCGACGGCGCGAACAGGTCGGCCTTGTTGGCGACGACGCCCTTGACCCTCGCCTCGAGCTCGCCCCTCGGCAAGCCCTTGATGCGCGCGTACTCTGCCAGCTCGGTGCGGAGCGCGCGCACGGCCTCGAGCGGGTCGGCGCTCGACAGGTCGACGACGTACACGAGAGCGGCGCAGCGCTCGATGTGGCGCAGGAAGGCGTGCCCGAGGCCGACGTTGAGCGACGCAGAGGCGACCAGGCCCGGGTTGTCGGTCAGGGTGAAGCGCAGGACCTCGCTGCGGTCCTCGACGGGTGCGTCCGGGCTCGAGCCTGCTGCGACCGCCTGCTGCTGCTGCTGCTGGGCGCGGCGCTCGGCGCGGGATTGCCGAGGCGATGCGGCGCTGAAGTACTCGGGCGAAGCCGGCGTGTCGAGGATCTCGGCGGCGGGCGACGACGGCGAGGCGCGAGGGCCGGAAAAGGTGCCGTCGGACCACAGGATGCAGGTACCGTGGTGCGGGTTGAGGGTCGTAAAGGCGTACGAGGCGACTCGGGGCGTCGACGAGGTGAGCGCGCGAAGGAGGGTGCTGTGATCGTGCCACCGAGTCAGTTACAGTCTGCGAGAGAGGCGAGGGAGGATAGAGAGAGCATGAGCGCACCTCTTGCCGGCGTTGGGAAGGCCGACGAGGCCGACCTCGCCCGTGCTCTTGACCTCGAGCTCGAGGCGCATCATCTCGCCGTCGCCGCCGCGCGTCGCGTACTTGGGCGACCGGTCCTCGTGCGTCAGAAACGACGGGTTGCCGAGTCCGGGTTGACCTCCCGCGACGAGCAGGATCGGCTTGTCGAGCGGCGTCGGCTTGGTGAGGTCGAGGTACAGGGGCGCGTCGTCGTCGTGGTCGGTCCTCGCGCGTCGGCGGCGGCGACGACGGCGCATCTTGGGGTCGGGCATCTCGACCTCGCGCGACAGGAGCTTGGACAGGAGCGTGTGCTCGGTGCGGAGGAAGTGCGGGTGGCCCTCAAGCTCGGCCTGCGGGTACATGACGAAGAGCGCCTTGCGGAGGTTGCTCAGGGCCTGGAGCTTGTCGGCGGGGACGTCGACCTCGTCGAGCTCCTCCCACGGCTCGACGTCGTCCGGGTTGCCGAACTTGTCGGCCTTGTCGCGCCGTTTTTTCCACGCCGTCCACCTCGCGTCGCGCGCCTCGGCCTCGGCGAGCCGCACCTTGTTGGCCTCGTACGCCCACTCGAGCTCCTCGCGCTCCTCGCGCTCAATCTCGGCCGCGTCCTCGTCCTTGGGCTCGCGGCGCACCTCGCGCACGATGGTGCCGACCGGGACGCGCACGACGACGTCGTCGCCGCGCTTGCCCGCGAGCCACGAGCCGCCGCCCGACGCGCCGGCGCCGCCGCGGATCGTGCGCGGGAGGTGCGACAGGTTGGTAACGGTTGGCGACGCGAGCAGGTAGACCGAGCCGCCGGCGCCGCCGGGTCCACCAGAAGGAGGGCCGCGAGCCTGTGGCGAGGAGGGAAAGGGGTCAGTGGGGTCGCCTGAGGGGCTCGTGGGAGGGCACAGAGGGCTGTGGGCGCACCTTGAACTTCTCGCGATGGAACGCGACGCCTCCAGCGCCGCCGCGACCAGACACGACCGAGAGGTTGAGGGTGTCGATGAAGTTGCTGCCCTCCTGCGCGTCCGGGAGAGGGCTGGTCAGCTCTGATGGAGACTAGAGGGGCGAGAGAGTAGGACGCGCCTGTCTGCGCTTCCAGTCTGCCTTTCCCTTGAGAGGTTGAGGGGCGAGTTGTTGTTCGAGCTGATGAAGAGGCGGGGCGGTCGACGAGAGGCGCACGGCGAGCGTGGGACGGGCTAGTGGTGCTCGAGTAACTCGCAAGAGGAGCATGGCCGGGCTCAGCACTTGGCTGGCTAGCTTGGCGGCGTTCGGGGACGAGCGAGGTGGAGACGGCGACCTTCGTCCCGCTCTCTCTCTCCCTCTTCTCCTCCACCACCATGAGCGACAAGGCGAGTCTAGCCGCCGTCACGAGCTCTCTCTCGATCCGCCCGCTGACCCTGCGCCCACAGACCTACACCCTCGAGCAGGTCGCACAGCACGCCTCGGCCGACTCGGCGTGGGTCGTCGTCGAGGGAGGAGTGTACGACGTGTGCGTGTCTCGTTCACCCCATACACACTGTCACCCAAGCTGACTGTAGAATGTGCGCCGCAGAACATCGTTCCTCGACGACCACCCAGGTGCGCCGCCTCGACCCACTTCTCTCGCGTCCCCCGCTCACCCTTCTCCACTACCCGTACAGGCGGCAAGAAGATCCTCCTCAAGCACACGGGCAAGGACGCGACCGAGCAGTTCCACAAGATGCACCCGCGCAAGGTGCTCGAGAAGGTGGCCGTCCAGTTCCTCATCGGCAAGGTCGGCGACGCGACCGGCAGCGGCGACAACACGGTCGGCGCCATCGAGAACAAGGTCAAGAAGGACACGCCCGAGGTCGTCGAGCAGGAGCAGGAGCAGGACGACGCCGACTCGACCTACTTTGGCGGTGCGTCCCCTCGCCCCTCGCCCTCTCTCTCTCTCTCTCTCTCTCTCTCTCTCTCTCTCTCTCTCTCTCTCTCTCTCGTCCCTCCCCGCCGTCGAGGTTCTCTCGCTCACGTCCTCGCGCGCCCTGCAGATCTCGTCCCGTTCGGCGATCCCTTCTGGTACCAGGACTGGAAGTCGCCCTACTACAACGACTCGCACCGCAAGTTGCGCGCGGCCATGCGCCGCTTCACCGACGAGCACCTGACGCCGTTCGCCGCCGAGTGGGACCAGGCGCGCGAGATCCCGCCCGAGGCGTACAAGAAGATCGCCGACTACGGCATCCTCGCGGCCATCGCCGCCGGCGCAACCGGCTGGCCGACCGAGTACGCCCAGGGCATCCCGGTTCCTGGCGGCGTCGACGCCGCCGACTGGGACGGCTTCCACAACCTGATCGTCATCGACGAGATGTGCAGGTGCGCATCGGGCGGCATCCTTTACGGCGTCCTCGGCGGTTTCGGCATATCGATCGGTCCGCTGCGCCACTTTGGCTCGGACGAGCTCAAGCAGCGCATCCTCCCGTCGCTCCTCAAGGGCGAGAAGCGCTCGTGCCTCGCCATCACCGAGCCCGAGGGCGGCTCGGACGTCGCCAACATCGTCACGACCGCCAAGAAGAGCGACGACGGGCAGTACTACCTCGTCGAGGGCGCCAAGAAGTGGATCACCAAGTGCGCTCCCTCTCTCTGCCTCCCTCTTCCTCCCTCCCTCTTCCTCCCTCCCTCTTCCACCCTTCTCGTGTACACCTATTGACTCGCTCTCTCTCGACGCACAGCGGCGTGTGGTGCGACTACTTCGTGACGGCCGTCCGCACCGGCGGCAAGGGCATGGGCGGCATCTCGCTCATGGTCGTCGAGCGCGGCGAGGGCCTCACGACGCGCAAGATGGACTGTCAGGGCGTCCTCGCGAGCGGTACGACCTACGTCACGTACGACGACGTGCGCGTGCCGGTCGGCAACGTGCTCGGCAAGGAGAACAAGGGCTTCCAGGTCCGTCCTCCTCCGCCTTCTTCTCCTTCACCTCCCTGACCTCAATACTTCTTCAGATCATCATGTCTTCCTTCAACGCGGAGCGAGCAGGAATTGCTATCCAGGCGACGCGGTTCGCGCGCGTCTGCCTCGAGGAGAGCATCAGTGCGTCGCTCAGTCCTCCTCCTCCTCCTCCCTCCCTTCCTTCCTGCCGTGGCGGCCTCCCTCGGGCCGTCGACACTCCCTCTATCGGACGAGTCGATCTGACCGAGCCGAGCGCACGCAGAGCACGCCTGCAGGCGCGAGACGTTCGGCAAGCCGCTCATCGAGCACCCCGTCATCCGGGCCAAGGTGCGTCGACGACCTCTCCCTCGTACCTCGAGAGCACAGCATGACAATCCCTATCCATTCATCTCCAGCTCGCCTCTATGGCACAGCGCGTCGAGGTAACGCACGCGTGGCTCGAGACCGGTGAGTCCTCGCTCGCCTTCCCTCTTCACGATCGTCGACGCGATGCAGGAGCTCACCCTGCTGCACCTTCTCGCCCTCCTCGCGCAACAGTCGTCTACCAGTCAACGCAGTACGACCAGGACACGCTCACGCTGCGCGGCGGCGGCACGATGGCCCTCCTCAAGGCGCAAGCGACCGGTGCGCCCTCTTCTCCACTTCCCCGAGGTTGAGGTTGGTGCCTGACAGACTCGCACCCTCGCAGAGACGTTCGAGTACTGCGTGCGCGAGGCGATGCAGATCTTTGGCGGTGCGGCGTACACGCGGTCAGGCGTCGGCGAGAAGATCGAGCGCTTGTACCGCGACGCCAAGGCCTACACGTGCGCTCCCTCTCGCTTTCTCTCGCCGCTTCGTCTTGTCGCACAGCCTGACACTCTCTACTCTGCGCAGGATTCCCGGCGGCTCGTTCGAGATCATGGTGCGTCCCTGCCCGTCCCTTATGAGTGTGCGCGCTCGCTCGGTGACTGACTCGTCCTCCCGAGCAGCAAGACCTCGGCATCCGCCAGAGCGTCAAGGTCGCCCAGATCATGGGGTGCGTCTCCTCTCTCTCCTTCGCGTCGGAAAGCCGGGCCCTGACGCCTCTCTCCTCCCTGTCGCAGCGCCAAGCTCTAGCGCTCTCTCGCCGTCCCGATGCCGCCCTGTCGACTTCCTTTGCCTTTCCGTTCTCTCTCTGTCGTACCTTCAGTCTGTGTCATGTCCTGAATCAAACGCGGATTTATCCTTCTCGTCACCTGCGCGCGAGAGTCGAGAGGGAGGGCGAGAGATCGGGACGAGGTTCGAGCGCGCAGGGGAGACGGGCGTCTACTTGGACTCCTCCTCCTTCTTGGGCTCCTCGGCCGCCTGGCCCTGAGCATTGCGGCTCTCGTACACCCTGCGAGGAGTGAGGAGAGGAGAGGAGGACGAGGGAGCGGACGAGAAGGCGAAAGGAGGGGTCGAGAAGGAGGAGGAGGAGGAGAAAAGAGGCAAAGGGCGCAAAGTCAGTGGCTGTCTCGTCAAGCGGCTCACGCGAGTCGACCGAACACACGAGAGAGGCAGAGAGAGGGGCGGGACGCACTTCTGGAAGAGCTTGAGCGACGCCTGCTGCGTCTCGTTGGCCAACGCAAGCTTCGTCCACGTGCGCGCTTTTGGTCCTGAGTCGGTTCTAGCAGCTCGGGGCTCACTCACTCTCCGCTCTGTGGGTCTGTGCATCCGCATTCGCCAATAGCATAGCGACGACTGACGCGACAGGCCGGTCGGCCGCCAAAGCGAAGAGTTCTTCGGCGCGACCTGCGTCTTCCTCTGGACACCCTCTTCTTCCCCAGTGGCGCGTGCCGTACTCCTTGACGCAACGACTCGGCGCATCGCTCGCGAGTACAGCATCATCGAGCCACGCTCGGCCCGCGAACCTCGCTCGCTTGCGTGCGATGCTGCCCTTCCTACAGGAAGCGCACGTCCCCCCTGCTCCGATCCTGTACTTGGCCGTCGGCCAGTAGTACTCCTTCGAGTCGAGCTGTGCTCGGGCGGCGCTTACCAGCCGCTTCCGCCTCTCCTCGAGCGCGCTCGAGCCCCTCCCTGTCGACCTTCCCAAGCCGCCGTCTCTCCTCGCTCTCAGTGCTCGGACCGGCCCTGCCTGCCCTTGCGGGCTCTCTCGACCGCTCGCGCATGCTTGTAGTACCTGTTTGACCGCTCTGGGCAGCGCCTTGCTCCCTCGGCCGCACTGCACGCGCTTGCGGCTCTCGAAACGATGCCGAAGCGAGTCGGCCACGTCGCTCGCGTCGCTCGCTCTCCTTCTCGGCTTGGCATACAGGCTCCGAGAGGGCAATAGCGATGTACCAGAACGAGCGCCTGCACAACAAGGCGAGCGGCGCTCGCTCTGCTCGACGCTGTTCGCTCCGAGCGGCATGCCGACTACGTCGCGCCCGGCAGCTGCGTCCGACGGTGCCGCTTTCCACCGCTGCGGCGACCTCGCCGTGCACACACGGTCGACCCATAGAGCGCCTGACGAGCTGCAGGGCGTCGAGCAACGAGAGCGGCAGACAGTTGACGAGGCAGCTCTCGCTCGCAAGGGAAGCTCTCGCTCGCACGAGGGACGGCCGCGAGGGGTGCTGGAGAGAGCGCTTCGATATTTCAATACACACAACGGCGCCACAGACCGAAAGCCGTGGAAGAGGGAGGGGGAACTAGGGAGGAGTGGGGAGGGGAGCGTCTAGAAGGGCTGCACAGACGAGGCGCTTTTCGAGGTGGATGGGGGAAGGGAACGACGACGACAATGCGACGAGACGATGCGAGTGGGTGGAGAGTAGGCGAGGGTGAGGGTAAGGACACAGAGGGGGAGTCGAGAGAGGGAGGGCGAGAGAGCGAGACGAGGTTCGAGCGCGCAGGGGAGACGGGCGTCTACTTGGACTCCTCCTCCTTCTTGGGCTCCTCGGCGGCCTGGCCCTGAGCATTGCGGGACTCGTACACCCTGTGAGGAGTGAGGAGAGGTGAGGAGGGAGGAGGCGAGGAGGCGAAAGGAGGGGTCGAGAAGGAGGAGGAGGAAGGCGAGGGCGCAAAGTCAGTGACCGTTTCGTCAAGCGACTCGCACAAGAGACGCTCGCACAAGAGACACTAGTCGTTCTCGAGAAAGGGGACGCACTTCTGGAAGAGCTTGAGCGACGCCTGCTGCGTCTCGCTGACCTTGGCCTTGATCTCGTCCGGCTTGACCTCGGAGCCCTCGGCCTGCGCCTTGACGTTGAGCTCGCGCAGCTCGGTGATCAGGCCCTGCACCTTCTTGGCCTCCTCGGCGTCGACCTGCTCCTTGAACTCGTTGAGCGCCTTCTCGGTCTCGGCGGCGACCGAGTCCGCCGAGTTGGCGGCCTCGATGAGGTCGCGGCGGGCCTTGTCGGCCTCGGCGTGCGCCTCGGCCTGCGCGATCATGTTCTCAATCTCCTTGTCCGACAGGCCCGACGACGCCGCGATGGTGATCGACTGGTCCTTGTTGGTCGCCTTATCCTTGGCCGAGACGTTGACGATGCCGTCGGCGTCGATGTCGAACGTGACCTCGACCTGGGGGATGCCCTTGGGCGCGGGAGGGATGCCGACGAGCTGGAAGTTGCCGAGCATCTTGTTGTCGCGCACGAGCTCGCGCTCGCCCTGGAAGACCTTGATCTCGACCGCGGTCTGACCGTCGGCAGCCGTCGAGAAAGTCTGCGACTTCTTGGTCGGGATGGTCGTGTTGCGGTTGATGAGGCGGGTGAAGACGCCGCCGAGGGTCTCGATACCGAGCGAGAGCGGCGTCACGTCGAGGAGGAGGACGTCGGTGACCGAGCCGGCGAGGACACCGCCCTGGATCGCGGCGCCGACGGCGACGGCCTCGTCCGGGTTGACGCCCTTGGACGGGTCACGGCCGAACACGCCCTTGACGGTCTCGATGACCTTGGGCATGCGCGACATGCCGCCGACGAGGATGACCTCCTCGACCTCGGACGCCTTCATGCCGGCGTCGGCGAGGGCCTTCTTGCAGGGCTCGACCGTCTTGTTGATGAGGCCGCCGACGAGCTGCTCGAGCTGAGAGCGCGTGAACTTCATGTTGATGTGCTTGGGGCCCGAGGCGTCGGCCGTGATGTAGGGCAGGTTGATGTCGGTCTGGGCCGTCGACGAGAGCTCGATCTTGGCCTTCTCGGCCGCCTCGCGGATGCGCTGGATCGCCATGCGGTCCTTGGACAGGTCGAGCGACGACTCCTTCTTGAACTCGGCGACGATGTGGTTGACGAGCGTGATGTCAAAGTCCTCGCCGCCGAGGTGCGTGTTGCCGTTGGTCGACTTGACCTCGAAGACGCCGTTCTGCATCTCGAGGATCGACACGTCGAACGTGCCACCGCCGAGGTCGTAGACGGCGACCTGGCGCGAGTCGTTGCGGTCGAGGCCGTACGCGAGGGCGGCGGCGGTCGGCTCGTTGATGACGCGGAGGACGTCAAGACCGGCGATCGTGCCGGCGTCCTTGGTGGCCTGGCGCTGCGAGTCGTTGAAGCTGCGGCGAGGGAGGGAGGGAGGGGACAGGTGAGCCGGCGGCTCGGCGGTGCGAGGGGGTCCAAAGGGAGAGACTCGGGACGCACTAGGCCGGGACCGTGATGACGGCGTGCTTGATGTTCTTGCCGAGGAACGACTCGGCCGTCTCCTTCATCTTGCCGACGACGAACGCGCCGATCTGGGCGGGCGAGTACTTCTGGCCGCGCGCCTCGAGCCAGGCGTCGCCGTTGGTGTGCTTGACGATCTTGAACGGGACGTTGTCGAGGTCGGTCTGGACCTCGGCGTCGGTGAACTTGCGGCCGATCAGGCGCTTGGTCGCGAAGAAGGTGTTCTGTCGGCGGCGAGGAGAGTCAGCTCTCGTCCGCCACCACCTGAAACCTGGGAGAGAGGGGGCGCACCTCGAAGTTGACGACAGCCTGGCGCTTGGCGGGAAGACCGACGAGACGCTCGCCGTCCTTGGTGAAGGCGACGACGGACGGGGTGGTCCTGCCGCCCTCCGAGTTCTCGAGAACGCGCGGCACCTTGCCCTCCATGATGGCGACACACGAGTTGGTGGTGCCGAGGTCCATGCCGACGACGGGTCCGGAGACCTTGGAGTTGAAGCGCTGCTGCATGAGCGAGGCCTGTTGCGAGACGAGTCGAGGTCGAGGCGAGGCGATGATGGCGGCGGCGGCGAGCGAGGGAGGGAGGTGGGGGATCGAGAGTCAGTGACTGTCCTCTGGGTGTATCTCGAGGTCGCTCGCGTGCCCCTCGACGGCCACGAAGGCGAGCCGAGAGGTGGCGATGGGCGAGCGACCGGGACCACGGAAGGTGATGGAGCGGATCGAAAAACTTACGGCACGAGGCGTGCGGGCGGCACGGAGGCCAGAGAGACGGGCAGCGGACAGCATGGTGTGTAGTCCTAGCGAGCACGCAGAGGAGCAGTTGCGGTGGTGAGGGAGAGGGGAGGGGAGGAGGAGGCGAACGAGGCGAGCTCGACTTGGCGTGGCCGCGTCAACTCTCCGAGACTCGGTCGCCTTCCGTCCCTCGTGCCGGTTCCCGCCGCGGCTTTCCTCTCTCTCTCTCTGCCTCGTTCGAGTCACCGTGTAACGTCGTCTCGTTCGCAAGCGCCACCGCCCTCAGCTCGAGCGCCATCGCCCGCTCACTCCTCGTCGCCGCTCCCTTCTTCTTCCTCCTCGGCTTCTTCTCCCTCGCCCTCCTCCTGCTCCTCCTCGTCGTCCTCGCCGTCGTCGTCGTCGTTCTCGCTCGCCGGCGTCGGCGAGATGATCTGAGGGCGAGACGAGGGCCGCGTCAGGACGGCGCCACAGGGAACGAGCGCCCGCGATAGAGAGAGAAAGAGGGAGCGCACCTCGTTCAGGTACTGCGCAAACTCGGACGCGACCGACATGGCGTGCTTGAGCTTGTCGAGAAAGTCGGGCGACGTGACGACGTCGTCGGAGAAGTGCGTCTCGACGGCGAACGAGCGGCACCTGCGCGCGCGCAGCGGGTCAGGCCCCGGTACCTGCTCCGCCCTCGACAAAGCGTGAGAGGTGGAACACGCACTTGAGCAGGTCGATGTCCTTGTGCGTCTTGTCGACGCCCTCGATCTTGGGCGCGTTCTTGAGCTGGTCCTCGCCGCCATAGATGCTCGAGCGCTTGCCGTCCATGCGCGGCTTGGGCTCGCCGAACAGCTCGACGAACGCCTCCTTAGCGAGGATCTTGCGCAGCGGCTTGGGGTTGCTCAGGATCTGGGCCCGAATGAGCTTGAGGACGTCGGTCGACGGCGACCAGCAGCCGACGCCGAGGAACGACTTGCCGCCCGGCTGCACGTGGACGTAGTACAGCGCGAACGGGCCCTTGCGCCCCGTGCGCGAGTGTGAGGCGCACATGTAGCGCTTGTACGGCGTCTTGTCCTTGGAGAAGCGCACGTCGCGGTAGATGCGGTGCACGAGGTCCTTGACGGGCAGGTGCGGCAGGCTCCAGTCGGCCTCGCTCGCGACGGGGACCCACGCCGCGAGGAACGTCTGGAAGTTGAGGAGCGCGTGGCGGTACAGGGCGTCGTGCGTGCCGAACCAGTCGCGGTCGTTGTGCTGGGCGAGCTTGGCGAGGAAGTCGAGCGTCTCGGGGAGGAGCCTCGAGGTTGCGGCTGCAGCGGGAACGCGCGCTCGCCCAGGGTCAGATCGTTGACGACTGGGCAGGGGGAGGAGAGGGGACGCACCGTTGACCTTGGGCGCAGGCACCTTCTTGACCTCGCGGACGACGCGAGTGTTGAGGCCGCCGTCCGAGTCGTCGGTCGGCTCGTCGGCCTCGTCGTTGTCGTCGTCGACGACAAAGTCGTCCTCGGACTCGTCCTTCTTCTTCTTCTTGGACGCGCGCTTCTTGGGCGGCGCCTTGTCGCCCTCGCCCTTGGCCTCCTTCGACTTGGCCTTGCGCTTCTGGCCCGCGTCGCCGCCGTTGGACCCGCGCGACTTGGCCTGCTTCTTGGGCTTCTTGACCGGCTCGTCGAGGCTGCTGGCGTCCGAGTCCTGGGGGTCGAGAGGGGTATCGCTGGCCGTCTCGTCATCGTCGGTGGAGGCGGGCGGGGCGACCTTGCGGGCGCGCTTGCGAGGCGCGTCGCTGCCCTTGTCGGTCGAGCGCTTCTTTGCGGGCTTGGTCGAGGAGCTGGCAGCCATGCTCGCGCTCGTGCAGGTGGTGGGAGAGAGGGCGAGGAGCTCGAGGTTGACATCGTCCGAGTGGGGAGCTCGCAGCTCGTCGCCATCGAGCTCTCCTGATGTGCCGAAGAGCTCGCTAGAGCCACGAGCGAGCCTGCTGTCGCCCTCCCACGCCATCCGCGACCCACGCACGGGAAGGGGGCTGTGCTCGCTCATCTCTCGAGCCCGCCGGATCCAAGCTTGCTCGACGCGCCTTCCGCTCTCCCCCACCAACCCGCTCTGGCCATGGCTCGCCCAGACAAGCGCACAGCACCTGCTGCTGCCGCGACCACCGTCAAGAAGGCGCGCACCGCCCGCGCAGAACCGCCGCGCCAGTCGGCGCCCGTTGCCCAGCTCATCACCGGCGACGACGACGACAGCGACAGCGACCTCGGCAGCTTCGAGGACCTCGAGGGCGCCACGCACAGCTCTCAAGACGGCCAAGGCGACGAGATCAGCGAGGACGAGTTCGCCGCAGGGCTCGCCGGGCTCGGTGAGCCTTCGGACGACGACGACGACGACGACGAGGGCGACGCGGCGCAGCTCGGTGGGAGCGACGACGGCGACGGCGAGCAGCTCATCGGCGACGACGGCGAGGACCTGTACGCCAACCTCGACGCGTCGATGGACGACGAGGAGGACTCGGGCGACGCGGACGAGGACGAGGCGGTGTCCGAGGGTGCAGGCGCGGCGGCAGCAGACGACGACGACGGTTGGGAGACGGTCGGCACGGCGCCCACCAAGCCGCTCATCGCGCCCGCCGCCGAGCTCGAGCAGCGCCGCCGCGCCAAGAAGCCCAAAGCGCTCTCGGGCGCCGAGCTGCGCGCTCTCGCCTTCGCCGAGCTCACCGCCTCGCCCATCTCGAACGTCCTCGCGACGCACGTCGCCTCCGTCCTCGATCCCGTCACGCCGCCGGCGCCCGCGTCCTCCCCTCTTCAACCTGTCCTCAAGGCGCTCCACGCCCACCTCACGAGCCTGCCTAGCGGCAGGCCCGTCAGCCTCGACGCGCTGCGCAAGAAGGGCCGCGTCGTGCCGGACGTCGAGGGGAGCCGGGGCAAGTGGGCCCAGATGGACCTGCCGTTCGAGAAGCCGCGCGCTGAGGACGTGCGCGTCGTCGGGCGGTGGGCGTGGGGCGGAGGGTTCAAGCAGCTCAAGGGCGAGTACGTCGTCGAGCTCGCCATCGCCATGCCTCCTGTACGTCCCCCTTCTCTGCGCGCGACTGTGTCGGCGAGCGCGCACTGACCCTTAGTCCTCACAGTCCCTCCTCCAGCCCAAGGACTACCTCTTCCCGCGCTTCTCGGTCAAGGCCCTGCACTACCTCGTCTCGCTCGCCGTCCACCTCCCCGCATCACTCGGCCCCGTCTCGCTCTCGTACTTCCCCCTCGCCGGCTCGCAGGGCTACGCCCTCGAGATCCGCTCGGCGACGCCCAAGGGCCCGACAAGGTCGGCCTCGGCAAGGCCAAGGGTGCCGTCCTGCGCCTGCGCGTCGTCGCCCCCGCCGGCGCCTTTGCGGCCGCCAAGCTCGCGCCGTTGGCCAACGTCGTCCGGCCGCCGTCGCTCGCCGCCGCCGCCGATGGCGAGAACCCGCAGCTCGACCCGTCGACCCTCCCCGCCACTCCCCTACACTCTTCGGCGCTCCACCTTTCTTCCCTCCCTCTCCTGACGACCCACCTCAAGTACCACCACAGCCTGTCGACGTCGCACGCCGCCTACGCCTCGTCGTCGCGCCTGCTCCAGGCGTGGGCGGCCAAGCGCGGATACGGCGCCTCGCTCGGCCTCACCGACGAGTGGTGGGCGTGGTGCGTCGCGAGGAGCCTCAACGCGGGCGGCAGAGCCGGCGCGGGCGACAGCGCGAGCTTGGCGGCGGGCGGCGAGGCGTGGGCCGGCTGGAGGAGGGCCGTCGAGTGGCTCGCAGGCGCCAACTGGACCGAGGGCATCTGGTTTAAGTCGACGAGCGACGAGGGCGTGCGTCCAACCTCTCTCTTCTCCCATCAAGGAAGGCGGAACTGACCTCGAGCGCATCTGCAGTACGCCAAGGACGAGTTCAAGCGCGCGTTCGCGGGCAGGCCGCTCTTCGTCGACCCGACCGGGACCGTCAACCTCGCGGCGGGCATCGACTCGTCGACGCTCGACATGGTGCGCTCCCTCTCTCTTTCTGAGCGAGAGGGTGTCCGGCGACTGACATTGCTCGTGCCCCGCCTCGCAGCTCAAGCAGGACGCTCGCGAGACGATCTCGCTCCTCCTGAGCGGCATCGACGACGACCGCAAGTTTGACTCGGCGTTCATGCGCGACATCCGCCCCGTCGAGCGCTTCGACAACTTTGCCAGGTGCGTCCCTGCTCCCCCTCACTTCCCCTCCTCGCGCACGCCCTGACCTCTGCGCCGCCAGGGTCACCCTCCCGTACTCGCCCAAGGTCGACCCGGACGCCTCTCTCGACTACGCCGACTCGTTCGCCTACCTGTCGGCCGCCCTGTGCGCCACCCTCCGCCGCGCCCTCGGCAAGCGCGTCCACGCCTTCATCCTCTCTTCTCCGCCTCGACCCTCCTTCCCCTTTGACGCACCCTCGCCCAAGCCTCCAACGAGCGTCACCGTCACCCTCGGCTTCCTCCTCGACCCCGTCGAGTCGCTCCGCCTCGTCGACCAGGGCCCGTCGGCCGAGGACGAGGAGGCGTGCGCCGACTTCCGGGCCTTTTGGGGCAGCAGGTCGGAACTGCGCCGGTTCCAGGACGGCGCCATCGTCGAGGCCGTCGTGTGGAACGAGTCGAGCGCGGGCGGCCTCGGGCCTCGGCGCAGCACGATCGTCCGCCGCGTCGTCGAGTACATCCTCGGCGAGCGGCACGGCGTCCCGCTCGCCAACGTCGACTTCTTCGCCGGGTCGATGGACCACCTCATCGTCGAGCCCGAGGCGGTGCGACGGTCGCTGTACCTCGAGGACTCGGTCGCGTCGGGCAAAGGGTTCGCCAACGCCGTCACGGCGTTCGACGAGCTCGCCAAGGAGATCAAGGAGCTCAAGGACGTCCCGCTCGAGGTCTCGGCCGTGCAGCCCTGTACGCCTGGGCTGCGCTACTCGAGCGTCTTCACGCCGTCGCCGAGGCGCCTCAAGGACTTTGAGCGCCTTCCCGCGGCGCTCCGGTTCATCGAGCCGCTCGAGTTCCACCTCGCGCTCGAGGGCTCGGGCAGCTGGCCCGACGACCTCGAGGCCGTCCAGAAGATCAAGTCGGCGTTCCTCGCCAAGATGGGCGAGGGCCTCGAGGCGCGGCGGTCGGTCCTCAAGGCCGAGGTCGTCGTCGACGTCGAGGCGCGCCTTATCGACGACAACGTGTCGCTCGAGATCCTCACGGCGTCGGGCTGGGCGTTCCGGGCGCGCATCTTCTACGACCGGTCGCAGATCCTGCTCGAGGAGCGCGAGGAGCAGCTCGGCGACGCCGCCGCCGCGTCGACGTCGACGCACCTGTCGCCGCTCGATTCGTACCTGCAGCGGTTCGTCCACGCGCCGAGGCACCACGGCGCCATGTGCGCGCTCCAGAACCAGTTCCCCTCGTTCTCGCCGACGGTGCGCCTCTTCAAGCGGTGGGCGTCGGCGCACATGCTGTCGGGCCACTTTGACCACGAGCAGCTCGAGCTCGTCGTCGCGAGCGTCTTCCTCGACGCGTCCTCGCCGTTCGACCCGCCGCAGAGCGGCGCGACCGGGTTCGCGCGCGTCATGGACCGCCTCGCGACGTGGAAGTGGCGCGACGAGCCCCTCCTCGTCCCCGTCTACTCGTTCAACCAGGCCGCCACCTCGGCACGCCGTGCCGTCCTGCCCGTCGCCGACCGACAGGAGGCGGTCGAGAGCTTCCAGGCGCTGCGGCTCGCCAAGCCCAATGTCGACGAGCACGCGTGGGTCATCGCGACCGAGGCCGACCTCGCCGGGACCGTGTGGGGCAGGCGAGCGGGCAAGGTCGTCGCTGCGCGCATTCGCGGGCTCGCCAAGGCGACGCTTGCGACGCTTCAAGCTGGCGTCGCCTCGGGGTCCCTCGTCGTCGAGGTGCGCCCGAGCCTTCCTCTCTCTCGTCTTCGTCGTCGTGCCGGCGCCTGATCTGACCTCCCTCTCCCCTCACAGCAACTCTTCTCGCCACCTCTCGGCGACTACGCCTTCCTCATCCACCTCAACTCGGCCCTCATTCCCCGGCACTTCCAGTCGTTGACGCCCGAGCCGGCCGCCCTGTCGACTCGCCGCAACGGCCACTCGTCGATCATTTCTGGGTCGCTCATGGGCGAGTCGAACGGCGACGACGACGGCGACATCTGCATCGGCTTCGACCCTGTGGCCGACTTTGTCAAGCAGCTCGAGGTGCGCCCGACCTCTCTCTTGTTCCCTGTGCCAGACGGACGAGCCGACTGACGCTCGACCTCTGTCTGCAGCTCCTGTACCCGTCGACGTTTGTCCTCTTCCACTCGGAGCACGGCTCGCCCGTCATCGGCGGCATCTGGCACCCCTCGGTCGAGGCGTCCCGGGCGTTCAAGGTCGGGCTCGGCTTCCCTGCGCGCCCTGTCGTCGACGACGCCGAGGCCAAGGACGGCAAGGCCAAGGTCGTGCTCGACAAGCGCGCCGTCTTCCGCGACATCGAGCGGGTCGGCAAGGGCTTTGTCGTCAAGGTCGAGGAGGTCAAGCGGTGAGAGGGCGAATGAAAGGGGTCCTTGTCCTAGCATCGCTGCATTTGCAAACTGTTGTTCCTGCGACTGAGCGTCGAGAGAGAGAGAGGAGAGCTCGACGAGGTCAAAGCGCACTCGACTTGAGAAGGCCGCAAGCGCGCTTCGTCCAGAGCTTGCACGCCGTGCCCAAGTGCTCTGCGCAACGGTCGTCCGTCCTCGCGAGCAGCAAAAAGGCCGTGCATGACGGGCACGCCTCACCAGCAAAAGAGATAAGCGCCCGAGGCGCGTTTTTGATTTTCCCCGACGGGGAATCGAACCCCGCTCGCGGCTGTGAGAGAGCCGAATCATAACCACTAGACCATCGAGGACTTGCTTATGGTTAGAGCCCGTCAAAAGATTTACATAGTACATCAAACAAGTTTGGCACCGATCCGGATTTCTCATCGCTCGCGGCGCCTCCACCGCTCTCGCAACCGCTCCCCTCGCGTTGTCAGCACGCCAGGCTTCAAGCAGACACCCACACCCTCATCAGCTCTCACCATCCGCCGCGAGCACCGCCGCCATGCCCGCCCGCACTCTCTCGACTCAGGCCGAGTACGCATCGCTCGTCGACCAGTACGACACTTGGCTCTTCGAGTGCGTCCACGCTCTCTGTCTCCCTCGTGTCTGTCACCCGCACAACGCCCAGGTCCGGGCGCGGTCGTCCGCCAGGTCGAGAGCGAGCGAGCTGACCTCGTCCTCCTCGTCCGCCGCCCCACTCGTGCGTTGAACAGCTGCGACGGCGTCATCTGGGAGGGCGACCACGTCATCGGCAAGGCCGGCGACACGCTTCAGTACTTGCGCAAGCAGGGCAAGCGCATCTTCTTCGTCACCAACAACGCGACCAAGAGTCGGGCGACCAACAAGGGCAAGTTCGACAAGATGGGCATCGAGTGCGACGTTGTGCGTCCCGGCTCGCAGTGTTATCTCTCTACGTTCGAGTCGAGCGCGCTGACCCAGGCCCCTGTTGCGCGCAGGACGAGATCTTTTCGTCGGCATTCGCCTCGGCGGCTTACCTCAAGGCGGTCCTCAAGTTCCCTGCCGACAAGAAGGTGTACGTGATTGGCGAGAAGGGCATCGAGGACGAGCTGGACGCTGTCGGGATCAAGCACTCGGGCGGAACGGTGCGTCCGGACCTTCCGACCTCGAGCCCCCCTCGCGCCTCGGACTGACTTTCTCCCCTCTCGCACGTTCCTCTCCCCTCCCTCGCAGAACCCGGACGACAACGTCTTTCTCGACCTCATGGACTTTTCGTCGATCACGTCCGACCCCGAGGTCGGCGCCGTCCTGTGCGGGCTCGACATGCACATGAACTACAAAAAGGTCGCCAAGGCGTTCAAGTACCTGCGCGAGAACGAGGGCTGCCTGTTCATGGCGACCAACCTCGACTCGACGTTCCCGACGCACGGCACGGTTCATCCTGGTGTGTCCCGTCCACCTCTCCTTCCCTCGTTGCCGTCGCCGGACTCCTGACTCGGGGTCTCTCTCACAGGCGCCGGCGCGACGATCGCGCCCCTCACGTGCGCTGTCGGTCGTGACCCGCTCGTCGTCGGCAAGCCCGAGGCGCCCATGCTCGAGTGTATCGTCCAGACGTGCGTCCTGCGTCCTCTTGTCCATCGTCCGAGCGAGGAACTCGCTCTTGACGATCCCTCGCGCTGCCCGCAGCCACAAGCTCGACAAGTCGCGCATGATCATGGTCGGCGACCGCCTCAACACGGACATTGCGTTCGGCAACAAGGGCGGCATCGACACGCTCATGGTGCTCACCGGTGCGTCGCCGAGTCCTCCAATCCCTCGTCGGCTCTCGACTGACCCTGCGTCTCTCCCTCTCGGCCACAGGCATCGACGGTCGGGCAGACTTTGAGAAGGAGGATGCGGTCGCAGTGCCGACGTACGTCGTCGACGCTCTCGGAGACTTGGCGTCGCTCGGCGTCGACGCTCTCGGAGACTTGGCGTCGCTCGGAGCATAGAATTACAATTTGGAATAGAGTTGCGTTTGTATTGACACTCTTGAGAGCGAGAAGCACCGCCTCGTCGCGGCTTACTGGCCTCATCAACACGCCCGCTCGCCCGATGCGATGCCAGGTGGCTCCTCTGTCGGCATGAGCGCACTGCGCCTGCCCAACCCGTTCTCGCGAGGCGGTCACGCGCGCAAGTTCAGCGGGATCCTCGACGAGCCGGACAAGTACGACAAGCTCTCGACGCGGCGACTCGGCGGGGCGGCAGGGCGGTGGAGAGTGCTCAGGGTACTGCATTGGGCGGTGGCACTGGTCGGCTTGAGTGTGCGTCTCTCGTCTCACTCCTCTCGTTCGAGGATTCGAGGTCGCGAGCTGATGAGGCGGCGGGGCACGTTTCCCTCGACAGGTCGCGCTCTTCCTGTGGTCGTACGAGGTCCACGTCGAGGTGCAGCTCTTCTCGCGCGGCTGGGTCCGCCGCGCCGTCCTCCCCGTCCACCTGTCGTCGTCAACTTGCTTCGACCCGGCCCACCTCGCCTCGACCGCGTACAACTCGTCCCTCGCCAACGCGCCAGCCTACGTCGACGTTCATGCAGGCCTCGCCATGCCCCTTGGCCGCGACTGCTACGACTTTGCGGCCACCGTCCCCCGTCATCCGCTCCCCGGCATGGTCCTCGCCGCCCGCACCGTCTTCCACACCTACTGGCGGCACGACCTCCTCCCGCTCGGTGAGCGCCAGGTCGCCCTCCTGCACTCGATCCTCGCGACCCAAGACCGCTCGGCCACCTCGGTCGTCCTGTGGACCAACGCGCCGTCGCCGTCGGCCCTCACCAGCCTGCCCGTCCTGCGCCCGCTCCTCGACCTGTACGGCGACCGCCTCTCGGTGCGCACCGTCGACAAGCGCACCCTCGCGCACGGCACGCCGATGGAAGGGCACGCGCTCCTCGACATGGCCGACCGCCAGGCGTGGGTCGACGGCGACCTCGTCCGCATCCTCGTCCTGTACGCTCTCGGCGGCGTCTGGGTCGACTTTGACACGATCATGACGGGCCGAGACGTTCGTGTCCTCGGCGAGCACGAGTGGATCACGCAGTGGGACTGCTACGGTGCGTCGTGTCGTCCCTCTTTCTCTCTCTCTCGGCTCGACGTCCTCGCGCTCTCAGTCACTCACCTCGTCTCGTCGCGCGCGCAGACAAGAAGTACCAGCCGCTCAACGGCGCCATGATGCACTTTCACCGCGCGTCGCCGTACCTGTGCGAGATGCTCCACGTCATGTCGACCTCGCCGCCGCCCGCCCGCAACTCGGTCGACTGGGGCTCGCGCCTGTACCACAAGGTGTGGCGCTCGCTCGTCGCCCGGGGCATCACGCCGTTCAAGGTCCTCCCGTACTGCTTTACCGACGGCGTCTCGTGCCGGCTCGACAACCGCCTCCCCGACCCGTTCGCCGACCCGACCAAGGCCGACCGGCGGTGGGGCCCGGGCAGGCGTGACGACGTGCGGACCAAAGTCGCGAGCGTGTGGGCCGTTCACTTGCACAACCGTTGGGACAAGACGTTCCCCGAGGGAGGGTGGGTCGACGAGATGGTGCTCAAGCCGGTCGAGGCGAGGGTCGAGCAGTACAGACTCGAGTGAAACTTAGAGACGCTCTCTCTTCTCGACGTGACGAGGGACAGGAGAGCTGCATTGCGCGCATGATCTAGACAAGATTGAGAGGGACAGCATGCAGGTCTAGTCGAGGCAGATGCAGAAGAGAGCTAACGAGGGAGATTACGGGAGGGAAAGTGTATGAGAGGCGATGCAGTCTTTTTGAGATAGGCGAGACGAGACAAGGACGTGTAGGGGAAGGATCTAGGGAAAGATGTAGAGAAGGGTTGGCCTCTAGGCGTCGAGGCCGTTGGCCTCGGCGCGGACCTGAGCGAGGATCTGCGACTTCTGGGCGCGCATGCGCGCGGCCTTCTTGATGCCGTACCCGTCCTTGAAGACCTCGCGCGTCTCCTCGAGCGACAGGCCCGACGTCTCGGGGTACAGGAAGAAGACAAAGACCGAGCCGAGGAAGCACAGGCCGGCGTAGAAGCCAAACGCGCCGGCGGGCGAGATGGCGTCGATGAGCGACAGGAACGTCGAGCCGATGATGAGGTTGCCGCCTGGTCGTGAGAGAGTGTCAGAGCGACTCGACGAGAGAGCCGGAGAGAGAGAGAAAGAGGGACGCACCCCAGTTGCAGGTCGTGGCGAGGGCCGTGCCCATGCCGCGAACGCTCATCTCGAACAGCTCGCCCTGCTGCCACGGGATGTTGCCGATACCGGTCGCGTAGAAGGCGACGTACAGGAGCATCGAGAACAGGACGACCGGGTTCCACTTCTTGCTGAGCCCGACGCCGTCGTCCGGCAGCTGGCCGCCCGTGTTGATCGTGAGGAAGTGGAACGCGATGGCGGCGAGGACGAGGGCGCCGCACATGCCCGGGACGGTGAGGCACGCGATGCGGCGACGGCCGGCCTTGTCGATGATGACGAGCGCGACGAGGGTAAAGGCCAGGTTGACGATGGAGATGACGAGGCCGATCACGAGCGAGTTGTCGAACCCGACGTTCTCGAACAGGGTCGGCGCGTAGTACATGAGCGTGTTGAACCCGCACAGCTGCTGGATGCCCTGCAGGCCGCACGCGACGACGAGCGCGCGGAAATTGGGCGCGTTGAGGTGCAGCCGCTTCCACGTCTGGAGGAGCGTCGCCGTGTGGCCCATCGTGTCCTTGACGCTCTTGCTGATGACGTCGGCCTTGAGGTGAAGCTGCGCCTCGCTCGCGTACGGGTAGATCTTGCGCAGGATGTTGACGGTCGCCTCGAGCTTGTCCTGGCGGAGGAGGTACCGCGGCGACTCGGGGAGGTACAGGAGCATGACGAGTTGCAGGGCCTGCGTGGGTCGGCGAGCATCGTCAGGACGTGTAGAACAACAAAGAAAGGGCAGGAGGAAGGCAGGGACGCACAGGAGGGACAGCGCCGAGGCCGACCATCCAGCGCCAGCCGTGCGACACGTTCTGGAACGCCAAGTTGAGGCAGTAGGCGACGACTTGGCCGAACGTGATGGCCACGACGTTGAGCGTCACGAGGCGTCCTCGGAGCGCAGTCGGCGCGAGCTCGCCGATGTAGAGCGGGACGATGAGCGACGCAAAGCCGACGCCGAATCCGAGAATGAGGCGGCCGACTGCGACGATCCAGTACGCGTTGGGGCCGTAGGCGACGGCCTGCATGACTGTGCGCAGGAGAGAGAGGAGAAGGTGAGTTTCGGCCGCCGGACGAGCTGAGAGGAGAGAGGGCGGACGCACTGGCTCCGACGATGAAGATGGCGTCGGCGAGGGCGATGACGGCCTTGCGGCCAATGCGGTCGGCCTGCGCGCAAAAGGGAGAATCAGGACAAGGCCGGCGCGAGACAAGCAACGAGGAGACGCACGAGGACGCCCGCCGAGAAGCCGGCGAGGAGCGCGCCGAGCGTCGTGGCCGACGTGAGGATCTGCGACGCGAGAGAGGAGCGTCAGGGACGGCTGACAAAGGGCGATGCGAGGAAGGGGGGCGCACCTCCTTGTTCGAGCTGCTGAGCGGGACACGGTGGAGGTCGGCCGGGACGTCCTTGTGGACGAGGGCGCCGCCGATGACACCAGTCTGTGGGCGTGCGAGGGGCAGTCAGTGAGGCACTCCTGAGAGAGAAAGAGAGGGCGGCGACGCACGTCGTAGCCGAAGAGAAGACCACCGGTGGCGGCTGCGACGACGAGCCACCAGACAAAGGCCGTGGTGCGGTCCTCGCCCTCTGCGCGAATGACCGACTCGTCGACCTCGAGGCGCGACTGGCTCAGGTGCTGGAGCGCAGCCTTGTTGGCGGGCTTGGTAAAGTCGAGCTCGCCGGACGACTCGGAGCGGACGGACGAGGCCGACTTGTTGGCGCTCGTGAGGGGAGGAGGGATGGGGGACATGCTCGAGGCGAGGGAGGAGGAGGAGGAAGTGGTGTGGGTGGGCTCTGATCAGGCAGAGTGTCTTTCGCCCGGAGCAGAAGTCTTCCGGGAGCTGCAGGCGGGGCATGCGAAGTGTGAGTGAGGGTGCGAGGGCTCTAGCGCGCGCTCGGCTTCCGCAAGTGGCCGAGCGGAGACGACGACGACGAGGGCGAGACGAGCGACGCACCCGCGGTGACGGTTGTGCGACGAGCTGCACGTGGTGTGACGCATGGCGAGAGTGCACACGGCAGCAGCACGCGGGCGCAAGGTGGCGAGGGGCGAGCGACCGACGCGACGAGGAGGAGATGGGGGGGCGAGGCAGATGTTAGCCCTCTCGATCTCGACGACCACGGCTCGTGCGAGGGTGCGAGGTGGACAGGACGCACAAGAGGAAGGTTCCAAACAGCCTTGAAGTGGTTGCGGGCGAACACCGGGCCTGCGAGCCGTGGAGCGAGGAGGTGCGGATGTGGATGGAAGAGGAGAGACGCGCGCCGCTCTCAAGACTCTCTCGTTGAAGCTCGATCACCGTGCACAGCTTGTTTGCAGTCTCGAGTCCAGCCACTACAAGGTCCACCGTCCGTCTCAGCCCTTGTTCTGCAGGAACGGCGCAACAGGGTCAGTCCTGCCGACCGCGAAAGACGGCGAGGTCTCGTGCGCGCGCGACTCGCCTTCATCTCGCGCAGAGCGCCCATGACCTGGACCGGGTCCGTCGCGCCAGTCGCCTCTGCTCGACAAGAAAGAGAGCGAGTCAGGAGAGAACGCGCGCAGTACGGGCTTGAGAGCGAGACGCGGACGCACTCTGGACCGCCGGGCTCGAGGTGCGCATGAAGACGTTGTGCTCCTTCTCGTCGCCGATCGTGAACTTGCCCGTCGTCACCTCGTTCTCCTGCAGGGGGGGCAGCTGTCAGTGAAAGGTCCGCAGAGCGCGACGAGGCAAAACTGGCGGGGCGCACCTTGCAGTACTTGACGAGCTTCTGGATCGCCTCGTTGTCCGGCTCGATCTTGCTCGAGAATGCGACGTTGGACGCCGTGTACTCGTGCCCGACGTAGGTGACGGTGTCGTTCGGGAGGGCGGCGAGCTTGACGTTGAGCGCCTCGTGCATCTCCTGCGGCTCACCCTCGAAGAAGCGCCCGCAGCCACTGACAAACAGGGTGTCGCTGCGACGAGGCAACAAAGGGTTCGAGCGTCAGTACGAGGGTGTGGGCGAGGTGGGAACGAGGAGAGAGCTCACCCAGTGAAGACGGCGCGTTGGTCCTTCTTCTTGTCCTCGACGAAGTAGCAGATGTGGTCGCGCGTGCTGCAGGTCGAGCAGAGGCGTCAGTCCGACTCGCACACGCGTCGAAAAGGTCCAACACCGCCGCGGACGAGGCAGATCTGGCTGCGGCGCGAGCCACGCCGCGACAGCCTCGTCCACTCCGAGCGACCGGCAGACCCAGATCGAGAGAGAGAGACCGAGACGCACTGGCACGGCGTGTGCACCGCCGTCACGTCGAGGTCACCGATCTTGAACTTGTCGCCGTGCTTGACCTGCAGTCGAGAGGAGAGTCAGTCCGTGCGAGGGAGCGTGCGCGCAAGAGGAGGGCGACAGCACGGGACGCACAACGTTGTTCGTCGCCGGAACGCTCTCGGCTCCCGCGTAGACCTTGATGCCCGGGAACCTGGGCACAGGAGAGGGTGATCAGCGTCGACGCCGAAGGTGAGGCCCTCTCGACGCTCGAAGGGAGGGGAGACAGCGACGCACAGCTCGGCCGTCTTGTCGTTGCCGCCGGCGTGGTCGTGGTGCCCGTGCGTCGTCAGGAGGAACTGACCGAGCTTGATGCCCTCCTTGTCGGCGGCGGCTTGCAGCTTGGGCGGGTCGTACGGGTCGACAACGGCGGTCGTGCCGGTCTGCGCGGTGGAAGGGGGGGGGACGAGGCTGAGTCAGTTCACGCTCACCTCGAGCGGTCTCTTGGGCGAGACGTACGCCCTCGTCGACGAGGATGTACTCGTAGTTGTCGCTCTGCGCGGGTAGATGAGGTCGGGCGAGGGGAGGTGGGGCAAGGTCAGGGAGAACTCGCAGAAGGGAGGGCCGACAGAGGAGAGCTGGAAGGTGGGACGCACACGGCAGGGAACAGCCAGGACACGCATTCTAGTCCTGCGCAGGGGCGTACGGGAGGAGGAGGGGCGAGGAGGAGAGGGTGGAGGCGACGTCAGATCCGGCCGCGAGCTCGACGGGGGAGAGAGGGGGCGCACGAGGGGGTGCTGGTGAAGGTACGGATAGGCTGGAAGGTGCCGAGCTGCTTGCAGGTCCGCAAAGCGCTGCGCGAGAGCATGTGCGAGAGGTACGTTCAACGCTGCGCGGCGGCGCGAGCGGCGCGTGGTTTCGGCAGAGCAGCTTCTCTCAGGCGGCTCGAAAGGGACAGACACGAGTTGCTAGCGATACTACAAAGGACATGGTAGAAGTGCGGAGGAAAGAGAGTAAGAAGGAAGGGGACCGCGCCCGTGGCACGCTCGAGGACCGGCTCGAGGCTCACTGAGGCCCGCGCTCGCGCTCCTTCTCCTTGTCGAAGAACGACTTGATGTGCTCGGACGTGATGGTCGTGCCCGAGTCGGCGTGCGGGCGGAAGAAGGCCTTGAGGCGGTCGCTCAGCCCGCCGAACGCCTGCAGCGAGTTGATGGCCTGGATGCGCGGCATGCGCGTCAAGAGGTGGTTCATGCCGAGCTCGAACGTCGACTTGTCTGTGACGGCGACGGCGAGGTGAGTGAGGGCGACGGCGGTGGCTCGCAAAGGGAACGAGAGGGACGCACGAGCATCGGGGTCCTCGGGCGGCTCGAACACCTCTTCCTCCTCGAGGAAGAACGGCAGCTTGAGGAACATGGCCAGACACTGTTTCGAGGGGGCGCAGGAGAGAAGGAAGGGAGGGACGGGGAGGAGGGAAGGAGAGATGTCAGTGACGAAACCAGGCGAGGCAGAGGGCGCAGACTGAGGAGCTCACCTCGCGGCACCTGCACCACCGATCCATGAAGCCCTCCTCGAGGTAAACGTTGACCTGCGTGCCGTCTCGCTCGAGCTTGACGAGCGGCGAGTCCTGGACGGGCACAACCGGCGGCGCGCAACACGTGCCGGAGCTCGACGCGACCGGCGCGTCGCTCGCGCTCGCCGTGACGGGCCCACCCTCGGCCTTGACGCGCTTCGGGACCGGCCCGCATTCCAACTCGTCCTCCGCCTTGCGCTTGCCGTCGCCCGCAGGCTCGGGCGCCCCCTGCGCTGGCGTCGCCGCCGCCGTGGCCGGCTCGACCGGCTCGACCGGCTCGCGCCTCGCTCCCTCGTCGTCGCTCTCGCCCTCACCCTTGACCGTGCCCTCGTCCTCGTCCTCGTCGTCCACCGAGCGAACCTTGCCGAGGATGGTCGAGTCGGCCGCGAGGAGGAGGACGCCCGTGCCCTCGACGCCGGCGTACCTCGTCATGACGCGGCGCACGTCTGGGTCGCGCTCGACGCAGCGCCAGCACACGAGCTGGTCCAAGTCGTCCTGGCGCAGCGGCTTGGACGGGTCGTCGTCGTCGTCGCTGTGCGGGAGGCCGACGCACGCCGCGTGCAGCCAGTCCTCGCAGACGAGGCACTGGAGCATGTCGTCCGTCTCGGTGTGCGGGTCGTACGGCTTGCCGCAGTAGCAGAACTTGCCGCGAAAGTCTGTACGAGGGTAGGGCAAGTCAGGGACGGTCGACCACGAGGACGAGAGGGCGCAGGACGCACTGTCGTCGATGCGGTTGAGCGAGTTGGGGTCGGCGTCGTCGCGGCCCGAGATGGTGCAGCATGACCCGGCGCCCATGACCGCCGTGCCGCAGTCGCACCGGTACGACCGCCGGTTGAACAGCTCGACGAGCTCGTGCGACGAGTGGCACGCGATCGAGCATGCCGCGCAGACGGCTCGGTCGCCGAGGCAGGTGCGACAGGCCCAGAGCGGCTGCTTGATGTAGCCGAGGTCGTACGTGCACTGGTCGAACCGGTACGGCAGCGTCTCCCTCGCCTCGGCCTCGAGCGCTTCTTGCGCGCCCAGCAGGTCGTCGGCGGTGAAGTGGTCGTCACTCGAGGGCACGCCGTCGCGGGTCGGCGAGAACAGGAGGGCGTCGCGGTCGAGCATGGCGGCTCGACGGGGCGGCGCAGGGGCTTGGACGGTCGCGAGGGGAGGGTGGAGGCGGGGGAGCCGATGAGCCGGTTCGACGGGTAGGGGCGTTGGGCGACGGTAGCTGCTGCACGAATGGAGGAGGAGGTCAGCTTGTCCGGTTTCTGGCGCGCGTTCGTGCGCAGGGAGCCGTGCCAGGGAGAGGGAGCGCACCTGGAGGTTGAGGGAGACACGCGCGAGGAGAGGCACGCGAGACGGTGTAGAGCCCTTGGGTGCGCTCGCCGGGCGGTCGATGATGCTGGTCGGAACGCGCAGGCAGCTAGCGACGCGCGCCAGCTCGTGGCGAGAGGTGTGACAGAAGGAGAGGGAGCGGGCGCGCTCGACCCGACGCGTGCGTCTCGCTCCCTGGCGGAAAACGGCCGCGACGCATGCAGCCAGACGATCCAGCTCTCTAGCGCACGCACTGCGACGCAACGAACGACCGGGTCGAAACGAATGACAACAAGGAGCGAGTGCGAGCCCGAGAGCGTGACTACAAGGAAGACCTCCTCTCGGACGCCGACGCCGACGACGACTCCGGCTCGCCGAACTCGACGACGGCACCTGCAACGGGAGCGCCCTCCTTGTCCTCGGCTTTTGACCCGCGCCGTGAGCCTCGCAGCGAGGGCAGCCACAGACGACCCTTCTTGCCCTCGCTCTTCTTCCTCCCAGCCTCGAGGTCCTGCTCGTTCCACGCTGTCGCCGGCAGCGACGGCATGTAGCCGAGCGCAGCGGCGGCGGTGACTGCCGGCGCGAGCATGTCGGTCGCGCCTATGCGGAACTGCATCGGCGGCTGGCCGATGCCGTTGCTGAGCGTGCCGCCGCCGCCGACCGACGACAGGTCGAGCACGACGCCGCCGGCCGTCGCCTTGGTCCCGTTGAGCAGGACCGAGCGCAGCTGCGCCGTGAGGCCGACGGCCTGGATGGCGCCGTAGATCCACGAGCCGAGAAAGATGACGACCTCGGCTGTCGGCGAGTCGGTCGTCGCGAGCTCGTCGACCGTCAGGTCGACGTACAGGGCGAGGCTGCCGAGCGAGAGCGCCATGAGGGCGCCGACGATGCCCGTCTGTGTGCAAGGGAGAGTCAGATCGGTCGACTCGGTCGGAGCGGCTCGAGCGCGAGGAGAGAACGAGGACGCACAATGAAGAGGTCGACCTCGGCCCGCTGCAGGCGCTGCAAGTTCTGCGCTTGCGCCACCGCGAGTCCACCTCCGTCTGATTCGGCGAGGCGCCTGATCGCGGAGCGCGAAGGACGGGACGACGGCGATAACCTTGGCAGCTGGCCCGGCGCCTGCGTCGACCTTGTCGGCGACGGCGACGAACTCGACGTGAGGTCAACAGCGGCCTGCGAGGTGATCGACAGGTACATGTCGAACGGCTGCGTCTCGACGCTCGACGCGATGCCGTGCGTGACCGTGCCCGTCCAGGTGCGTGTCGGCAGGGGCGGACGAGCGGGCGCCGGCGGCGCAGAGGTCGGCTCCTTGCTGTGCGCGTCGACATGCTCGTCCTCCTCGACGGCGTCGTACGCGGCTGTTTCTGGCGCGAACTGGGTGATCTGGACGGCGCGAGTGAACGTGCGGTGGTTCTCGGCGATTTGGCGGTGCACGACGACGAGCAGGGCGATACCGCCGACGTTGATCTGTATCGGCACAAGGCAGTGAGTACACGACGAGGATCGGGCACGACAGGAGAGAGAGAGAGAGAGCCAGAGAGACGCACGAGCGCGGTCAAGAAGGGCGACACGACGAACGCCGTCATGACGATCAGGGACGCCCTGCAAGTCGACGGTGGTGAGCTCGATCGGCCCGCACAAGTATAGGGAAGAGCGAGAGACGCACACGTGCGTCCGGTGGCGCGCCTCGCCGACCTTCTCCCAGTCGTCCTGGATCTGCGCGACCGCGCTCGGCGAGACGTCCGGCCAGGCCTCGCCGGCATGGACGAGCGCAACCTTGGTCGTGTTGAGCGCGTTGCCGAGGTCGACGCCCGCTCGGATGCCGAAGCACGTACCAACCTGCGGGCGCGAAAAGAGCGTGAGCGCCGGCGCATCGAGAGGCCACGACTTGGGAAGGGTCCGAACGCACGATGAGCATGATGAACATGGCCGCGCCGAGGCCGAGGAACAGGCCGTTCGTCACGCGTGGACTCATGGCCCGAACAAAGCGGGTCGCGTCGCTCGCCGTGATGATGTAGCTCTGCAAGGAGGCCCAGCTCACGAGCCAGCTGCGGTCGCGAGGGCAAGGGGCAGGGTCAGTGCGGCGGCATGACGACGTGAGAGGGAGGACGAGCGACGCACATCTGGACAAAGAGGAGCAGCCACGGTACGAGGCGCAAAGGCCCCGTCGAGTCCGAGTAGTCGGTGCCGAACGTCGTCACCCACTCTGTGGCGACGCTCGCCATGAGGAACGGCGTCACGAGGAACGTGAGTAGCGGCTCGAGAACTTGACGACTGCGAGCGTGGGAGTATGTCAGGGTCGCATCCGCGTAGGCGGGTGAGGAGGGAGAGGAGAGAGGGAACGTACTTGCCGACGATGTAGCGACCGCGCTCACGGGCGAGCAGGCGCCACAGGAACAGCTTCTTGCCCCTCCTCCTGCCATCTCGGACGACGATGAAGACGTTGATGGCCGCGATGATGATGGTGTAGCCGAGGAGGGCGCACAGGAACGACTGCCGGACCGTGAACCCAACGTCCGCTTGGCGCCTGAGCGACGCGACGAGGGCCACCTCGTAGTACGCGAACGGGTTCGCGCCTTCTGGTGGGAGCGGAAAGCCGTCGAGGACGATGGTCGAGTTCGGAGAGGACATTGCGCGAGGAGGAGGACGGGATCCTGGAGCTTCGGGATCCGCGAGTACGGAAAGAACGCCCAGCACGAGCGCGGTGGGAGAGCGGCCGGGGTTCTCGGTAGGCGTTACCATGTGCGACCGCTGCAGACGAGGACCGCCAGGAGGGTGCGCGAGGCGGGCAGAGGGAGAGGGAGAGAGGGAGGGACGGACCCGCGGAACGCCTCGAGCTGGGCGAGAGAAGCTGCGGGAGCGAAGCGAGCCCTGGTTTCCTCCGGCAGCCACGGGTACAGAGGAGCCGTCTCGTGGCGCAGATGCGTCCAAATAGAACGGCGCAGCCCGGCCCTGGAAGAGGAAAGCCAAAAGCGGACGAGGTCCGTCCCGCGGCCGAGGTCCGCGCCACCGCGCTCGAGGCGTGCGACAGGGAAGGCGCTGAAGGCGAGAGTGCAGCGCGATCCATCTCGGCGTCTCGCAAACCTCGTTGCCGGCGGAGCGAGAGGGAGCGTCGGCGAAGCAGCACGGCCGCGAGCCAGCCCCGGGCAGCGCTCGAGCTGGCAGACCTGCGCAGTGGAGCGCGAGCAAGTGTGCCGGCAGCTGCAGCAGCTCGCAGCGTCCATCGAGCAGAGTCGAGCGGTGGTCGTGGTCCAGGAGGAGAGCCGCTCGCCGTCGTCCGGCTTCGAGTCCGCTCAACGACTCGCTCGGCCGTGCGCGCCGCCACAGGCAGTCACAGAGTCTTGCCAACATCCTGCGCCCGGCTACGACCTCTCACCACGCCCTCCTCGCCCTCCCTCGCCTCGCCTCCTCCACATCAGCCCCCGCCGCGATGAGCGACCTCCAGGCCTACCTCGCGGCCAAGTACATGTCCGGGGCCAAGGCCGACGCCATCCTCGAGCGCTCGGATGAGGTCAAGCGGCGCAAGAAGAAGCGCCGCGTCGAGGGCGGCAGCTCGAGTGCGGCGGCCGCGACGGGCGGCGGAGCGGGCTTGCTCGTCGCCGACGAGGACGGTGCGTGGGGCGTCAAGGACGACGAGGACGAGGACTACAAGCCTGGTGCGTCGCGGACCTCCCCTCTGTTTCCATTCCCTGGCCCGAGTAAGCTCACCCCTCTCGCTCTCCCTGCAGTCGTCGAGGAGCGCCGCGGCCACTTCAAGGCCAAGGCCAAGGCCGACTCGTGGGCTACGATCCGCGACGCCGACCCGTCACTGCGACCTCGCACGCCGACACCCGAGCCCGAGGACGAGGCGCCCGCCGTCGCGTCCGTCACGGTCGAGACGGCCCCGCGCGGCGGCCTCCAGTCGGCGGCCGACCTGCGCGCCGAGCAGGAGCGCAAGAAGGCCGAGCAGGAGCGCAAGCGGGCCCAAGCGCAACGCGACGAGGAGCGGCGCAGGCGCGAGGCGCGCGAGCGCGGCGAGGACGTCGACGACGAGGACCCGCACGCGACCGTGTACCGCGATGCGACGGGCCGCAAGATCGACGTCAAGGTCGCCAAGGCCGAGGAGGCCAAGCGCAAGCGCGACGAGATGGAGAAGGAGATGGCCAAGATGGAGTGGGGCAAGGGGCTCGTGCAGAAGGACGAGAAGGAGCGGCGCGCGAGGGAGGCGGAGAAGCTCAAGACGAGGAGCTTTGCTCGGTGCGTCCCTGCGTCTCCCTCACTCTCTAGAAGTCGACGCTCACGTCGACCTCGTCGCGTGCCGCAGATACGCCAACGACGACGACATGAACGACGAGATGAAGGAGGTCGACCGGTGGAACGATCCCGCCGCCGCCTTCCTCACGGTGCGCCTCGCCTTCCTCTTCTCCCTTGTCTCTCTCGTGCCCTCTTTCTGACTCCCCCTCGCCGTCGCCCGCAGAAGAAGAAGGACAAGAAGGCGACCAAGTCCAAGTACCCGGCGTACTCGGGCCCTCCTCCACCGCCAAATCGCTACGGCATCCGCCCCGGCTATCGGTGGGACGGCGTCGACCGCGGCAACGGGTTCGAGAAGCGGCTCATGGACAAGCAGAACTCGCGCGCCGTGTGGAGCGCGGCTGCGCACGCGTACAGCACCGAGGACATGTGAAACTCGGACTTGCTCTCTCTTTGTCCGTCTCCTTTCTCAAGAGTCGAGCAGCGCAGAGAGAGTATGTGCGAGAGTTGCAGGACAGCGCTCACAGTCGCTGAAAGTCGTCCCTCGTCACCTTGAGGACGACAATGCTCCTGACGCCGCCGCCCCTCGACTCGCTCACCGCGTGCTCGTACCCGCCGTACCGCCGCAAGCCGCACTTTTCCTGCGTCTTGATGCTCGCGACGTTATCGGCGAACGCCGAGCCGCGGACCTCGTCGACGCCGAGGTAGGAAAAGAGGTAGCTGTCGAGGACGGAGCGCAGGACGTGCGCCATGATGCCCTGGCCGTGGAAAGACGGTCGCAGGTAGACTGGCGGGTCGAGAGCGAGAGTCAGTTCCGACAGAGAGAAGGACCCGCGATGAGGAGGGAAAGAGGGACGCACAGCCGAAGGACCACAGCGCGCTCGGGTCGCTCGCCGTCTTGGCCTCGTTGGCGCTCACGAGCCTGTCGCGCTCCTCGCCGTCGCCGACGTCCTCGAACTGCCACCGGGGGACGCCAAGGTCGCCGACGTACTCGCCCGTGTCGGCGCGGCGGATCGCGCACAGCGGGAGCTTGTCGAGCCACGGCGCCGCCTCGTCGTCGGGCTCGCCGCCGTCCCGCTCCTCCGGCGCAGCGTCCACCTCCTCGCCCGAGCCGTCTCTGCGCAGCTCGCGCCGAGCTCGCGCAGCAAGCCGCTCGAGGACGGCTCGCGTGTCGCGGCGTTTGAGCTGGATGAACTCGCGCGCGAGCTCGTCCGAGTACGGGTACGGCGGCCCAACGAGCTGCGGCGCGACGTGCGGGTGGTTGAGCGTCGAGACGAGGGCACCGGCGTCTTCTGGGCGGGGCGGGGTGAGGATGAGCGAGAGGGTCGAGGTTGATGAGGAGGTGGGGGAGCCGAGGGGCAGGTACGGCTCGAGGTGTGGGCGTGGGTCGGTCGCCGAGGGTGTGTCGACGGGCGTGTAGGTGTGGAAGCGTAACGGCGTGCGCTGGGCGATGAAGGCTTGCTCTTGCGGGGTGAGGTGGGCGAGGTCGAAGTGGGGAACGGTGGTGGGCGTCGAGGCGGCGTTTTGGTCGGCCATGGGGCATGCGCAGGTGCAGAGAAGCACGGTGGAGAGAAGAGCGAGAGCTGCAGCTGCCCCGCCGTGACAGAGCTGAGCGAGAGCGGGTTGCCGGCGGTCGAGAGTCAACCGCGCGACCCGCTGCACGAGTCAGAGCGACGCTGACTCTCTGCGAGTGTGCGGCACGCTCAGAGCACTGTCGAGAGTCGCCGAATTGGTCCAGACGAGCTTGCGACGGAGAGAGACGCATGACGAGGTGCTACGACGGCTCGCTCTCCTCCTCGAGTTACAGCCCGTTGCTGTCCATCCACTCCATGACCGTCTCCCACCCTTGCGTATCCCGCTCGCCGACGATGCGGCGCACAATGGCGTCGTCCTCGTCCTCGCCCTCTTGCGGGCCAAACTCGTCGACGAGGCGATGGTCGCCCGCAGCGCTCCCTTGCGGCGCGACGACGGCGATGGGGAAGCCCGGCTCGTAGTTGAAGTCGTCGAGGGTGGTTGGGAAGGCTCGAGGGAGGTGCGGGTGTGCTGAAGCGGCCGAGAGGGGCGAGACGAGGCAGAGGCCCGAGAGAGGGTGGGACGAGACGTAGGTTTCGGCGACGAGGGCGCTCGGGCCCGACGCGAAGAGGAGTGGTGGGAAGGGTGAAGAGGCGGCAGGGTCGCGTAGAAGGCTGACGAGTTCTGCGTGCGCGCGAGAGAGGTCAGAGCGGGTCGAGACGAGGAGAGAGGAGAGGGACGGACCTTGCTCGAGGCGGTCGAGGCGTGAGGCCGATGTCGGCTCGGTGTCGACGACGGCCGGGTCGATGTCGAGCAGGATGGACGAGTAGCCTCGCTCGGCAAAGCGGTCAATCCAGGGCCGCCATGCGCTGAGGGCGAGCCGAGGGAGCGAGAGGCGACGAGAGTCAGGCGAGGGCACAGAGGGAGACGAGGCCCGAGAAGAGAGAAAGCGAGGGTGTGGGCGCACTCGAGGTGGAGCTTGTCCCAGCCCGAGACGGACACGAAAGCGAGAGGGAGCGCGAGGTGCCGAGGTGCAGCTGGAGAAGGCGGCACGACGCGTACGGTCGACAGCGGGCGGGTGCGAGCGAAGGCGGTCCGCCTCGAGGCTGCTGTGGCTGTGGAGCGCAGCATGGCCTCGCTCGAGATGCGTGGCGAGGTGGAGCGGCGAGTACGAGGGCCTCGGTCGTGGCGACATGGCGACCAACTCCCACCCTTTCCTCCCTCCAACCACCACCGCTACGAGCCTCTCGAGGTGCATGCCGCCTCACGAAACTCCCCGCAGCCCTGCCACTCACACTCTGCACCGCCAGACAGCGCCGCCCCATGTCGTCGTCGCGCTCCCAGTCGCCCGCCCCGTCCCGCCAACCCCCGTCGACCCCGCGCCAGTCCTCGCGCCGGCCGTCCACCCAGCCCACCAGGTCCAAGCAGCAGCACCACCACCCTGCTCAGCAGCAGCAGCAGCAGATCCGCACCCTCCTGTCGCCCCATCGCTCCCCCAAGGTCGACTCGCCACCTCCCGCCTCTGCCTCGCCGCGCCACTCGCTCGTCCCGACCACCCAGGTCGACCACGCCAAGCTCGACGACAACAAGGGTCGCAGGCGCCACAAGCAGAACCGCGCAGAGACGCCCCTCAAGCACGAGGCGTCCCTCTCGTCGTCCGACGACTCGGCCCCGGTCCAGGCGCCGGCCACCACCACCGTCGACTCGTCCGCCGCGACCCCGTCCAAGTCGGCTCGCCGCCGTCGAGGCAAGTCGACCCGCCAGCCGAGCCCGCCCCCGCACGACGGCACCGAGCTCGAGCACCCGGCGCCCGTCTTCCCCTCGACCACCCCGCCCCAGACCGACCTCGGCGCCCTCGCGCACCACTCGCGCTCGGTCCCGCCCGACCCGTTCCTCCAGGCGCCCCGTCTCGACGCCGCGTGGGACATGCCCGCCGTCGCCGCCTCGGGCACCGACTCGCCCAAGCAGAACCTGTCGTGGCAGCAGGAGCTCCTCCGCAGCGGCTCGACCCGCAGCGCCACCCGCGGTGACTCGCCCGTCGCCCGTCCCCGCTCGCGCGGCGTCTCGTCCAACGCCAAGGACTCGCGCTCGAACGCGCAGGCGGCGTCGGCGGCCAAGAGCCGCCCGGCCCTCCACACGTCGCACTCCGAGTCGGGCACGACCGGCGCCGGCCCTTCGCTCAACTGGCAGCAGGAGCTCCTCCTGTCGATGGACCCGGCCGCCACGGTGCAGCAGCAGCCGTCGCAGGCGCAGCAGCAGCAGCAGCTCGGTGCGCCCGCCGGCATCACGCCCGCTCGCCAGCGGCGCAACCAGATCAAGGACAGCATCACGTTCGGCCTGTCCTCCGTCGATCTGAGCGAGGATGACACGGACGTCTTTGCCTCGCCGGGCTCGCGTCGCGGCGGGCACGCCGGCGCCTCTCGCGGCGGCCGTTCGGCCCAGCCAGCCTCGGCCCCGACGAGCTTCTCGACGCCGTCCAGGGCGCAGCAGCAGCAGGCCGCCCCGGCGAGTCTCGTCGAGCCTCGCTACGCCGGGCCGACGTTCCACAACTCGCCGGCGCCGAGCTCGCTCCCGATGCCGTCGTTCATGCTCCGCCGCAAGGTCGACGTCGCCGTCTAGGTCGCTCGGGCCTCGTCGTCGCCAGCTCTGCCTCCCTTCCTTGTTGTTCTCGGTGCGTCCCTGTCTCTCCTTCTTCCTTCCTCCCTCTCAGGGCCCGAGCTGACCTGTCGCGTCCCCCGCAGCCTGTCGCCTCCACCTTCTTCCCTCCCTCGCCCTCGCTTCATCTCGCCGCCAGGCGCTCAAACCCGCCATACCTCCCGACGTCCATACCCTCCTCCTTCGCGCGAGCGCGCAAGTGTAACCCTGTCGGCACCGCCTGCCTCTCTACCTGTCGTCACCACCGCCGACCCTCGACTTCTGCGACCTTAGGCCCACTCGTCACACGCGCACCTCTCTCGCCGCGCGACGCCTGCGCCACCACCACCATCGGCTCGCCTACTCTCGCTCCACGACCTCGACCCACCGTCGCCCGCATTGTCTCGCCACGCCCTCGTCGTCGTCGTCGTCGCCGCCGTCACTCAGCCCGTGTTGTCGCCGTCTCTCTCTGTGTCGGATCTCGTGTCTCAGGTCGCCAGGCAGGCCCTGCTCTCGTCGTTCTACTTGTCGTACACCCTTTCTGTCCTACCCCCTTCCTCGTCCATGTTGTCCTCCTCCCCCCTCCCCCTCCCCCTCGCTCGCGCCAGGTCGCTCTCCCATGCGGCGTCGGAAGCCAGGCGGGTCCGCCTTTTCTGTCGAGCTATAGTTCGTCTCGCAGGGATCCCCTCTTCCTCCTCCTCCCCTTCCTCCCTCCCCTCTCATCGTCGTGCTCTTCCTCCCCCCCTGCCTGCTCGTACTTCTCCCTTTCCCAGCCCTCGCGCGTGCTCAACCACGCGCAACCTCTTGCACACACTCCTTTACTCTTCTCTCACCGTCTGAATCGTCGAGCGAGAGCGAGCGCGAGACAGGCGAGCGCAAGGAGAGGAGGTCCGAGAGCGAGAAGTCGAGGTCCAGCTCTCCTCGCTCGGCGACAGCTCTCTCGGGCGCGCTCGCATGCGAACGCTAGGTGTAAGGATAGTTTGGCAATGCGAGTAAGGAGGTAGGGGAGTACAGGGAGAGATGCGACTACTCGGACGACGACTCGGGCTTGCGGGCGACAAAGTGCATCATGGGCGTGAACAGGTCGAGCTTGGCGCCGGCGACGAGCGAGTCGGCTGCACAGGGACCAACGTCAGTGACCGAGAAGAGAGAGAGAGAGAGGAGAGAGAGGGGACGCACCGGCAATCTTGAGCGTCTCCTGGACGTCCCACGTGCCCTTGGGGACCAGGCCGGCCTTCTCGAGCGCCCAGACGCCGTATCCAGTCAGGTTGCGGCCGAGGGTCGTCATGCGCCACACGGTCGCGAGGTCCCACCACGTCTGGGCCTTGCGCAGGTCGCCCGAGAGCGAGTACCACCAGTCGACCTTGTCGCCGCGGTTGGCGAGGTCCTCCTCGTGCACGATCTCGAACCCGACGGCCTCGAGCGCCTTGCGCGCCGCCGCGATCGGCCGCATCTCGGGGATGCCGTTGCCGAGCTCGATGCCGTGCTGCACCTCCTTGTGCTTCGGGTTCGACTGGTCGAACGAGTCGGTCATGCACCACTCGTAGACGCCGAACGTCCCGCCCGGCTTGAGCACCTCGAAGATCTGGCCGTACACGCCCTCCCACGTCGGCGCGTGGCACGTCGCCTCGATCGCGCTGCACGGGAGGAAAACGAGAGTCAGTCCGAGAGAACCAGGGACGGCCCGAGAGAGAGAGGGGGGGCGGACGCACTAGACGGCGTCGAAGCTGTTGGCGCCAAACTGCTCCTTGAGCGCCATGAAGTCGCCCTTGACAAACTGGACCTGCTTGGACAGGCCGGCCTTGGCCGTGTACTTGCGCGCGCGCAGGACCTGGAACTCGTTGTTGTTGAGGCCCGTGACTGCGAGAGGACGCACGCTTCGTCAGGATCTCGCGCTCGTCGTCGTCGTGACAGAGAGAGAGAGGGACGAGGGGACGCACTGTTGGCGTCGGTGAAGCGAGCGATCTCGCGAGCGGGGCCGCCAACGCCGCAGCCGACGTCGAGGACGCGCATGCCCGGCTTGATGCCCGTGTTGTGGGCGAGGTAGTGCTCGTGGCGGGCGATGGCCTGGTAGAAGGGCTCGCCCGGGTAGTAGCGGCAGAAGTGGAAGCTCTCGCCCCAGCCGTACTCGTACAGCTCGGTCGCGCCGTCGTAGTAGCCGTTGACGACGTCGGTGTAGTGGTCCTTGCGCGCCTCAGTGTGCTCGACCGTGTCCTTGGACGACGACTTGTCCCAGTGGGCCGTGTAGGACGCGATGCCGGCGCGGTTGCGCACGTCGCCCTTCTTGGGCTGCTCGATCAGGGCGGACGAGGACGACGAGGCGCCGTTGGCCTTGATCTCGGGGGCGTTGACCATGATGTGAAGACAGGAAGCTGTTGCGCGCGTGCAGGCTCGTGGTCAGCGACGTGGCCCGGGAGGGTGCGGGCGAGAGTGGAGCGACGCGTCGAGGATGGGGGGAGAGGTGGGTGAGGGAGGGGGGCGGCGCGACCGACGGGGGGACGCAGAGGGCAGAGGGACGCACAAGTGGACCTGTTGAAGGGGTGGTCTGGAAGGTGTTGAACCGTGCGAGAGCCGAAAGAGCAGAGAGAGCGAGGGGAGGGAGGTGAAAGGGAGAGGCGCCGGCCAACAAGGGAGCTCGACCGCGCGCGCCACGCCGCCAGCGAGGAGCGAGCGCGCGGAGTCGAACGATCCGGGGCCGCAACTCGAGCTCGCGATTTCCTCTCTCGCTCTCTCTCTCCCTCTCCTTTCTCTCGTACGACCGCATGTCGCCCTCAAGCTCGCTCCATTGCTCAAGCTCGTCTCGCCTCTCGCGCCATCACGCGCTCGAGCCGTCCTCAAGCTCGGCCGGCGCCTCGTCTGCGCTGCGCAGCTCGAATCTCCACCTGCACCTCGCCCAGTCGACGCGCTCGCCCTCGTGCGACCAGACCCACCGCTGCTCAACTTGCCCAGGCGCGCGACGCTCTGCGGCGAGGCGAGACGGCCACGTCAGAACTCGCTCGTCTCGTTCGACGCTCACGCTGGCTCGCGATTGGGAGGACGGCGACGCACCGCACAGCAGCTTGTACCCGCTCGACGTCGAGACGAGCTCGAAGCGGTCCGGCACGGCGTGCTCGCCATGCTCAAAGTCGACGACGGCGGCGACGAGAACCTGCGCGCACGAGGTCCGGGTCAGTTCCTGGCTTGCTGCTCGCTCGTGCGGGCCCGGCGAGTGGTAAGGACGCACCGCGATGTCGTCTTTGACCTTGCTGTACAGCGTGGCGAGTCGCTCGGCGGTGCTGGAGCGTGCACGAGGGAGTGAGCGCGGCGTAAAGCGAGGCGACGAAGGCGGGCGTGCTCACGTGTGCGGGTGCGGACGGAGGCTGGTCGGGACGACAGTGTTGCTCGTGTGCGAGTAGACGCATCCGACCGAGTCCATGTCGAGTGCGCGGAGCTGCAGAGGCTGATCGTCGAGGCGAGGGCTCGTGCGACGGGGAGAGGGGGAGGAGTCTGCGCTCGGTGCCGGGTTGGAAGGGGGGAAGTACATGGGTCGTCGAGGTACGGTCGGCGTCGAATGAGTGCGCTCTATGGCGAGGCGAGGGAGAGAAAGGTGAGACGGACAGCGAGCGAGCAAGTTGCACCGCCTCTTCGCGCCCCTCTTCTCCCTCTACACCTTGCCCTGCTACAGTTGCCAGCACTCGAAGCAGGCCATCTACAGCACACACCCACCCCTCTCGGCTCGCCACCCAACTCGCTCCCAGCACCCACCGCCTCATCGCTCCTCGTCCTTCCCCCGCTCCAACCTCGCCGTCACAAACTCGACATGGCTGCCTCTAGCCGCTCCATCTGGAGCGGGAACCTCCCCGTCTTCTTTGTACTCGTCTGTGCGTCCCACGCCCTCCCTCCCTACTGCCGCCGTCGCTCACCTCGTCCTCCTCCCCCCTCATCCCGGTGACGCACCCGCGACAGGCCTCCTCTGCATCGTCCCTTCGGCCCACGCGTTCGGCGCAGGCAACATCCCGTCCTACTCGTTCCTCGAGGGCAAGGCCTTCCGCCATGGCGACATCGAGGACGCGCTCGCAGAGCTCATCAAGAAGTCGGGCGGCATCCTCGGGCGCGGGTCCAAGTTCGGCGGCCTCGACATCAAGCGCGTCTACTTCGGTGCGTCCCTGCGTCTCCTCAGTCTCGCGCTCGCGACGAGCGCCGGTCCTGACGGCGTCGTCCTCCCGCATCTCGTCCTCGCCCCCTCCCCCTCCTCGCAGGCAACTGGCTCCGCGACTACTCGCAGGCGATGGACATCGCGGGCCTGACCAAGTTGGCCAAGCAGACCATCCTGAACCTCGTCATGGCACTCGGCTTCCTCGCCCACGGCTACGCGACCGGCGAGTTCGAGGTGACCGACGAGCGCCTCGGCGTCTACCTCTGCACCGAGCACATCGACAACCCCAAGGGCTACGCCGCCGATCAACCCGGCGGTGACGCACGCCGCGTCGACCCTCGCCTCCGTGGACCCGTCATGGACGTCGAGCTTCAAGTCGACCCGCGCACGGGCATGAAGAACTACATCGCCAACGAGAACGGCAACTGGGACACGTCGTCGCGCCTGGTTCGCGAGCGCATCGTCCAGTGCATCGACATGGGTCGTCGGGCGCGCAACGGCGGCGGCGAGACGGCCGTCTACGAGGCGTACCGCCTCCTCGGCACCCTGCTCCACACGCTCGAGGACTTTACCGCCCACTCGAACTGGTGCGAGTTGAGCCTCCTGCGCCTCGGCTACTCGCACGTGTTTCCGCACGTCGGCGACGGCGTTCGCGTCCAGAGCCCGGCCGGCCCGTGCCCGCCGCTCGTCACCGGTGCGTCCCCTGCCGCTCGAGCCCTTCCTCCCCTCGTCGCGCCACCTCGCGGCGCCGCCATTTCGGGTCGGCGACGAGCGACTTACTGACTCTGTCGACACACAGGCACGTTCGGCGGCAGCGACTTTATCCACTCGCTCCTCGGCGAGGCGACCGACCACATCTCGGAGGCGAGGTGAGCCTTCTCCTCCTCTCCTCCTCCCCTCCCGAGCCCGTCGGCCCTCACGTTACCTTCGGGATAGCCCTGACGATCCTCTTTCGCAGCGTCTCGGACCTCGCCAAGGCCATGGACGGCGCGCGCTCGACCGACCGCGGCATCGGCGGCTCCTCGACGTCCGACACGCTCCGCAAGCTCCTGTTCGACCTGCCCGGCTCGAGCGGCTCGGACCTCTCGCGCGAGATGGGCGACATCGAGGACATCCGGTCGAGGGCGGCCAACGGCTCGTTGAGCGAGTTGAGCCCGCAGGAGCTTCACGCGACCCTGTGGAAGGTCCTCACTTTCCGCGACAATGTGCGTCCCCCTCCTTCTCTCAGTTGTCGATGGAGAGCCTGGGCAGCCGTCGAGCAGACACTCACCGTCCTCGAACCACGTCTGCAGGTCGTCAAGGGCATCGAGAACACGATCGAGAAGATCCCGGGCCTGAGCGCGCTCACCGAGAAGATCACCAACAGCGTCAACGCGTTCGTCTTCACGACCATCGAGCCGATGATCAAGCCTATCATGGGTGCGTCCTCGTCGTCGCGATACCTCTCCCCCTGCACGTCGCCGACCTCGCTCTTGCCCCTCCTCTGCAGGCCAGGCCACCCAGGTCCTCACGCAGGGCTCGGCCGCCGTCATCGACAACCCTGAGCAGGTGCGTCTTCCCGACCTCGCTCGACGGTGAGCACGACTGACTCGTCGTGAGCGCGCGCAGTACGAGGTCTTCTCCAACCCGCACGCGAGCGACCCGAGCCACTCGTTCCTCAGCAAGGACCAGTGCGTCCTGCATCTCTCTCTCTCTGGATCTGTTCTCTCGCGCCATCGACTCTGACCCTGTCGGCCCTGCAGCTTCGCCCTCCTCCTCAACGAGCCCGCCGGCCAGGTCGCCGTCGTCATCCTGTCGTACACGGTCAAGCTCATCGTCAAGGCGTGGGAGGACAACTCGCAGAACCCGCAGGACATCGCGCACAAGGTCCTCGCCGCGTTTCACCACCCGTACTTCTACGACGACTCGCAGGAGATCCAGCGCCTCATGGGCGAGACGCTCAAGAAGTGGATCGATGGCCAGAGCGCCGAGGACAAGCGCTTCATCCTTGCCGGCCTCACCAAGGACGCCGTCAAGTCGCACAAGAACCGGCGCAAGGGCCACGAGGCCGGTGCGTCGTCGTCGTCCTCGTCCTCGTCCTCGTCCTTCTCGTCCGCGCCCGACCGAGACTGATTCTCCTTCTCCTCTCGCCCCGCAGACCAAGAAGGACACGGCGCTCACGGCTGTACGTCCATCTCTCTCTTTCCTCGCCATCGTCCTCCTCGACGAGCACGTCACTGACTCGTCAACCCGCCGTCCCTCCCTGCCCTTCCTCGCCTTTCCCTCTCCTCTCAGCCTACAACTCGGTCCTCATGCCGCAAGGCGTCGGCGCGTTCGCCCAGCAGCACGTCCCGGGCGCGCAGGGCGCGATGAACACGTTCAACCAGGCCCAGCACAAGATCAACCACGTCAGCAACCAGTTCAACCAGGCGACGAGCGGCGTCTGGGGCGGCGGCGGCGGCCAGCACGGCGGCAGGCGTGACTACGACGATGGGCAAAGCGGCGGTTTCCAGGAGCCGCAGAGCGGGTACATGCCTCGTGCGTCCTCGCCTTTCGCTTTCTCTCCTCGAAGCCGACCTCTCGAGGACGGCTCTAGCCTCGCCACGAGACTGTGACTGACTCTTCCCGTCACACTCTACAGCGATGGGAGCCCCGCCCCAGGCCGTTCACGGCGGCGCGCCGCAGTTCAACGAGTTCAACCAGCCCCACACGTCGAGCGGCTACCCCGGCGCACCTCCTCCTCAGCCTCAGCACTCCTACGGCGGCAGCGCCCCCTCGTTCGGCGGCGGTGGGCCCTCGTACGGCGACGACGGCGGCTACGGCGGCGGCGCACCGGGCTTCGGCGGCCAGCAGCACCACCACCAGCAGGGTCCGCCGCCTCCTCAGTTCGGCGGCGGCGGCGGCGGCGGCGGGTACGGCGGTCCGCCGCAGGGAGGGTACGACGGCGGGTACGGTGGGCAGCCGCAGTTTGGCGGCGGCGGCGGTGGCGGGCCGCAGCAGCACTTCGGCGGGCAGCCGCAGTTCGGCGGAGGAGGACCGCCGCCGCCGCCGCAGGGCGACTTTTATGGCCAGCCGCAGCACCAGCAGGGCGGGCAGCACGGCCATCACGGCGGGCAGGGTGGGTACAACGCCGGCTACCCTGGCGGCAACGGCGGCGGCGGCGGGTACTATTGAGCGTGCGCGCCGAGCGAGGGCCTGAGCGCCGACTTTTTTCTCGATCTCTCTTTCTCGTCAAGCTTTCTCTCGAATCAGTGCAATACAGACTCTCTCGTTCAAAGCCTCTCGTCTTTGAGTCCTCTCGAGTCCGACGAGGAAGAGAGAGATTGCGAGTGTCTGCTTGCGAAACGAGAGGAACGAGGAACGAGGAACGATAAGGGTGCGAGATGTTCTACAGCAACAGCTCGAGCGAGCGAGGCAGGTGGATATATAGGAGAGGGTCTACCTGCACAGACTGAGGGTGCAGGGAGAGGTCCGGGCGGCGGAGCTCACTCGGGCCAGCAGCCGCCCCAGGTGCCGTCGCACCGACCCTTGAAGGGCGGGAACTGGACAGGCTGCGAGAGACGAAGCGACACGGTCAGGGCTACTCTACGTGACGGTGTGCGAGAGAGGGAGAGAGACAGAGAGAGAGCGGGCGACGCACGTGCCAGTACAAGTCGACGCTGCGCAGGCGGTACTCGTCGACGGCGCGCGCCGGTCCGCCGCGAAGGAGGATAAGGGCCCTGCCCGTGTTCGAGTTGGCGCTCATGACGGCGGCGTCGACCCAGTTGGCCATGATCTCGGTCTGGACGAGCATGCGCTGCGTGTCGTCGCGGCGGTCGTCCTCGGACAGGTGGCGGAAGTCGTCCTGCAGGAACGCCTTGCCCGACCCGCCGCGGTCGAGCTCGCTGATGTCGAAGTGCGCGGTGCAGAGCGGGTGGGCCTGGAAGAGCGCGAGAGCGTCGGGCTCGGTCGTCATGAGGAGGAGCCGCGCCTTGGAGGTCGCGCGGTCGAACGACGGGTAGTCGCTCGCGACGGTCTCGAGCGTGTCGTACGCGTTCTCGCAGTGGAGCGTGACGTTGCCGCTGTGAGAAAAGGAAGGCCGAGTCAGTCACCGTGACGCTCGGCTGAGCCCGGCGACATACAGAGAGAGAGGAAGACGCACCAGCTCATCTGCGACGACGACCGGCACTCGTCCCGCAGCTTGTCGCCGCCTCGCCAGTGCACTCTGTGAGACATGAGCAACGTCAGTGAGAGTCCTGAAGGCCAGACGAGGAACGAGAAAGAGAGAGAGGGACGCACCCGACGACCGGCTGGGTCCGGGGCCGCTCGAGCTTGAGCTCCCACAGGGTGCGCTCGAGCTTGGCCTGGAGGACGGCGTTGAACGAGAAGTGCTCGTGGGTGAGGGCCGACCACTGGGCAAAGCGCTGACGGAAGATCTCGGGGACGAGGTCGGGACCGGGCTTGGGGCGCGAGGAGTCGAGCGCAGGGAGCGTCTCGAGCGTGTCCATGGTGAACGTCGTGTCGCGGATGTACGAGTTGATCGGATAGATTCTGCGAGGTACTGGTTGTCAGAAGGTGTCGAGAGGGAGCGAGGGAGAGAGACTGGGACGCACCCGTCGCTGCCGGCGAGGATGCGCTGGATCCCTTCGAGCTTTGGCGGGCGCTCGTCTGCGACCTTGCTCAGCGAGGCCGTCTTGCCGTCTTCTTGACGGTAGTAGTCGGGCTGATGCAGCTCCTCGGGAATGCGGCAGTCGCTCGGGACGGCCGGCTCGAAGTAGTCGAAGTACGAGCCGTACGAGTTGGCGCCGCGCGAGAACAGGAGCGTGTAGCCGTGCATCTTGGCGAACGTCGCCGACTGCATCTGTGGGCGGGCGTGAAAGAGAGTCAGGGCCGCACGACGAGGTAAGGACGGAAGAGGACGACGCACGACGCTGACGGCCGTCGAGCCAAAGCCGTACCCGAACGTCGACTGCGGGCGAGAGGACCTCGGGTCAGGCTCGCGACAGGAACGAGAGGATCGAGACAAGGGACGCACCCAGTCGATGAGCATCGTGCGCTCGCACACGGGGAGCGACAGGTCGATGCTCTTGGTCCCGACGACGCTCGGCTCGTCGTTGCCGTACTCGCTCCACAGGCCCTCGCGCACGTCGCCTCTCAGCTCGCCGCTCCCGCTCTTGCCGCTCGACACGTACTGCCCGACGACGAAGCCGACGACGAGGACGGCGGCGAGTCGAGCCCAGCCCCGCCACGGCGGCGGCGGCGACGAACCGGGTCCGACCTTGTCGCGGCCGGCTCGTGGACGCCAGGACCCGCTCGGCGGCGGCGGGAAGAGCATGGGCGAGCCTGCGGCCGAGTCGGGCGGGCCCTTCTCGAGGTCGTCGGCGCCAAGGAGCGTCTCGTCGCTGGCGTCCGAGGGGGCCGTGGACCGCGGTCGGGCGTCGTCCCAGTCGAGAGTGCTCCACGAGGCCGTCTTGCGGTGCACGTAGGCGACCAGGGTCGACAGCGGGCGCATGGTGGGCGGTGGAACCGGGGTGGAGGTGCGCGATCGGGGGCGACGAGTGGCCGGGCGGTGCGGTGCGGCGGTGAGCCCAGCGAGGTGCGCCGGGTCGAGCTTGAGCGTGCGCCTGCGGATCCCTCACGCCGGCGTGCGAGGAAGCGAGAGCGAGGACGAGGCCAAGGTTCGAGCGGTGAACCGGCGACGGCGCCGACGGCAAAGACTGGGGCCGCGCACGGGGCACACCGCTCTCTCCTGCTCTCTCGCTTGACCGGCTAGGTGCAACGTCGATATCGCATTCGATAGAGAGAGCGCACACCGAGGGCAACGAGGGGGAGGGCTACGAGGTAGGGGTGGTAACAAAAACGAACGTGGGGGACAAGTGTCTGATGGAGCGGGCGGGCGAGAACGAGCGTGAGGCGCGTCGGGCGCGAGTACAGGGAAGGTACGAAGGGGAGCGAAAGCGAGCGTGCGGTGGTCGTGAGGCGGAAAGAGAGTGGTACAGCGCGGCGACGCGAGTCGGGGCTGCGGGTGTGTCTCGAGTCAGCTCGTCGAGCCCAACGTGGAGAACAGGGAGGAGGAGAGAAAGGAAGAGAGAGAGAGAGGACGCACCCGAGCCGGCAGCTCCCTCAGTCGCGGTCGCGCGGGTCGTCGTTGACGACGCTCAGCCTCCACCGCCTGCCCTGCTCCGTCTCGTCGTACCCCTGCCCGAACGTGTCGCCGACCTGCATCGGGCGCGGGCTCATCATGCGGTCCGGCACGTCGGGCGCAGCCGCCTCGCCCGGGAACGGCAAGTGGCCCGACGCGCTCCCGCCGCCCTCGTACGACGCGTGCCCGTCGTGCGACGCCGAGCCCGTGCGTGGCGGCGACGGCGAGTGGCGGTTCTCGCTCGCGACGTAGCCGACGGCGGCCGGGCCGAGCGTGAGCGGCGCGTGCGAGTGCTGCGACGGCGTCTGCGGGTACGCCGAATAGGCGCTCGCGCCCTCGGGCGAGCTCCCGTCGTAGTAGTTGCCGTACTGCGTGCTGTGGTCCGACGTGTACACCGACGGCGGCACGGCAGGGAGCGTCGGCTGGTGGCTCTGCGTCGACTGCGAGCCGTAACGGCCGAGGACGCCCGCCGCGCCTAGGCCGGCCGCGCCCGCGCCCGCGACCTCGGCCATGCCCGCGCCGTTGCCGCCGTCGAGGTGCTCGTACGGCTCGTCGCCGTCGTCGCCGACGCCAAAGCCGGCGCGGCCCGTGTTGTGGACCGGCTCGGGGTACAGCGCCGCGCTGTCGCCCGTGGCGGGCCACAGGATGTTGTCGGCCGCGTCGCGCTTCTCGCGGCGCTTGCGGCCGATGCCGAGGCAGAAGAAGGCGAGGAGGCCGAGCGCGATGAGGCCACCGACGCCTGCACCCACGCCGATGCCGATCTTGGCGCCGGTCGACAGGCCGCTGCCGCTCGCGGCCGACGCCGCCGCCGACGCCTCGGACGGCGACAGCGAGCGCGTGCCGGTCGAGGTGACGGGCGCGAGCGCCGACGTGATAGTCGAGGTGCCGACGACGATGACTGAGGACGGGCAAGAGCGTCAGGACGAGGTTTGTCCGTTTCGGGACGTCGCCGGGAAAGGGGAAGAGGACGCACTCGTCGTGGGCGTGATGACGCTGGTGACGGTCGTGTCTGCGTGTGCGTGGGAGCTGAGTCAGTGTGTGTACGGTCGGGCGAGCGGGCTCGAACGAGGACGGACCTGCGGGAGCAGACGTAGTGGTGCGAGCGCGCGATGTTGTCGTCGAGTCCTCGGCGGAGGTCGTCGTCGTCGAGCTGTCGGACGGGGCTGCGGTGGTCGTGGTGCTCGAGGGGGTGTCCTCGGGGGCAGAGGTGGTCGTGGTGGCCTGGGTCGTGGTCGGTGCCGCGCTGCAGAGGTTGGCCGAGGAGAGATCAGCAACGCGTCCGGTTCGCTCCTCGCTCGAGAGACGCAGGGGACGCACGTGGTGGTTGTCGTCGGTGCGGCAGTGGTCGTAGTGGCCGCAGGAGCACTGGTCGTCGTCTCTGCTGCGGCCGTCGTCGTCGTGGCCGGGTTGGCGGCACCTCCGCCCGCCGCCGACTCGTCGGCCCCCCCGGGGGCGGCGGCCTGACGACGACGGAGCTGGGCAGGGACGGCGAGGTCGAGCACGCCGTTGCGCTTGACGACGCGCTGGAAAGCAGGCTGAGCCGCCATCGTGGGTGGGTGTGGGTCGAGAGGGAGCTGCCGCCCTCCGCTCCTCCTCCGTCTCAGCTTCAGGGGGGTCAAAAAGTCGCGCATTTTCTTTCTGTCGCCGTCTCTCCGCACTGCGCTTGTCATCGTTTCGGCAGGTGCCCTCTTTCGCACCTCGGTGAGATCGACGTGGGCCCTCGAAGCTCTCCTCGTGCTCGCGGCCGACTTCGACTCCGTCATGACCGGCTCGAGCGCCGAGTCCGCTCTCCTCGCTCTCGCTCTCGACGACGGCGCACTCGGCGAGGCGCAGTCTCGCACTGCATGAGAGAACAAGGGCTACTTGACAAACGGCGTCGCCGACCACGACGGTCGCGCTTTCACCCGCTCGAGCCACTGCGGGTCGAGGAGAACGAGGCGAGGGAGGAGGTGGGGAGGGGCACGAAAGTCAGTCGCCGCTGCTGCTCGCTCGGGCGAGGCGACACAGGACAGTCGAGCGCACCTGTTCGAGGTCCTTGCCGCCGTCCAAGTCGCGCCAGTTCGAGTCGGCGGCGCGCCTGTCGACGTACCACAGCGCGACCGCGGCGGCAATCTGCGGGCTCGAGGGGTGAGCTCGCTGCGCCGACACCGGCGAGCTCGACTCGACTCACGCCGTCCAGGCCGAGGACCTCGGCGGCGGGATCCGGCAGCCGTCGTCGCGCGAGAACGGGGACGCTGCGGGTGACCTTGGAGAGCTGTCCCGTGACCCAGTCCTGCCACACGAGCTCCTTGGGCTGTGCGCACGCTCGAGTCAGCTTCTTGTCGTCGAAAGCAAGGGAAACGAAGGGACGCACACGTTCCAGCCGCTCGGACCGGAGCGACAGCGCGGCGTCCTTGATCGCGCTCGCGAGCGACTCGGTCGTCAACGCCTCGAACCGCTCGAGGCTGCCATGCGGCGGGAGCGCCTTGCCGCCTGCGAGCTCGTCGAGGTACGCGCAGATGTTCTCCGAGCCGTACAGGACCGACTCGCGCGCTGGCGGACCCGGCGACGAGACGACGAGGGCGGGAATCTTGCCGTGCGGGACGAGGTGGCTGTGCGGCGTATGGGTGGTCGTCGGGAACGCCTTCACCGAGTAGTCGAGGTCCAGGTGCGAGGCCAGGCCGAGCTCGTGGGCGAGCAACATGACCTGCGGAACGAGACGAAGATGAGGGCGGGGTGTGGAAGCACGAGGCGAGCTGGGGCGCACCTTGAGGCAGTAGGGCGATGCATTGGAGGTGTAGAGTCGCAGAGACGGAAGCGCAGCCATCTCAGAGCAGGTGCGAGCGAGTGAGAGAGCGCGAGAGTGAGCTCCTCTCCGACGACGTCGGCCGCAGGTGGGGGATTCGACGCTCGCGCTCTCGCACATGCTGAATACTCGCGCGAGACGAAAGAGACGAAGATGCATGCACGGGTATGCCCACGGAAGAGTAAAGCTACGAAAGAGCGCGAGCAAGAGGGACGACGACGACGACGACGACGAGGAGCATGTCGGGGTATCTCGCAGAAAAGGAGGGGTATCGGGGCGGTCTCGCACCCTCGCGAGACGGTGGCGGGAGAGTAAGGAAGGAGACGGGGCACAGTCGAAGAAGGGAGAGCGGCGCAAGCTAAGGAGAGCCCGCCGACTCAAGGCCGAATGCTGCAAGCTCGCAAAGAGTCAGTGTCGTACCTCGTGACGGTCAGACCGCGACGTGGACGCACTCGAAGGCTCCGGGACGCTGCACGGCCGAAGCCGTCTTGACGTCGCGCGCCTTGCCGCCCTCGGTCGTGCCGCACCTGTCGCACGCCCTCGCCGGGCCCGCTCGCAGGCGCTGCACCTCGCGCTCGAGCGCCTTGACCTGCGACTCGAGCTCAAACTGCGTGTGCGCCCAGGCGCGACGGGCGACGGCGTACTCGTCCTGGACGGCGACGAGCCGCTCGGCCGTGAAGGCAGAGTCGGACGGCGGCGAAGCGGCGTTGCCGCAGAACGACGGCGTGATGGGTGTCGCCGTGCCGAACGGCGTACAGGCAGGCGACTCGTCGAAGAGGACCGAGGCCGCACCGGGCGAGATGCTCGACTGGAACGAGGCGGCGTACGGCGAGGCGAGCGGCTCGGCGAGGGTCGGCAGCGGCGCCGAGCGCAGCGGCGGCGTGAGCTTGTCGCTCTGGCTGCGAAGGCGGATGGGTGCGCTCGTCGGCATGGCGGGCGAGGGCGCCTCGTCTTTGACGATCGGCGACGGGATGGTGGCGAGAAAGTCGGACGGGAGGCCGGCGGAGAAGGCCATCGAGATGGGGCGCAGGGATAGTGCTGGGACGTGAGGGCGCTTGTTGAGGCGGTCGCGCGAGTCGGTCGGTGGCGCAGTGAGGAACGAGATGTGCCCGGACGAGGTGGACGACGACAGGGGGCCGGCCGCCACCTGCAGGCCGGCCGACTTGCCGAGCGACGATCCGGGCGTCGTGCTGCTGAGCGAGAGGATGCTCGTGCTGGACGGGAGAGATGGGCGGAACGAGTCGAGGGCGGGAAGGCGCTCGGGGTGCTTGTCGCCGCCGCCGCCGCCCATCATGCGCTTGAGGAAGCCGCTCTTCTTGGGCTTGATCGCCTTGGGCGTCTGCCCGCCTTTTGGCGAGCTCGTGACGATGGCGGTCGGCGACTGCACGCCGCGCCGGCTCGAAAGCGACTCGTTCGTCGACGAGCGCGTGCGCGGCTCGCGCAGGCGCGAGGCCGAGCGGTCGACGACCGTCTCGAGCGGCGGCGTCGATGCCGCCTTGCGCTGCGCCGCCGCCGAGCGCTCGCTCTCGCGCTGTCGCGCCTCCTCGAGCGAGATGAGGCGGTGCCCGGCGAACCCGCCGGCCGGCTTGGGCGTGGTCGACGGCGGCGGGCCCGGCGACGCGCCCGGCACCTGCGAGAAGTACGAACCGGCGGCGGAGGATGCCGGTGACGTGCCGAGGTGGTAGAGAGCGTTGGGCGTCGAGGGGGACGGGCTCGTCGAGGGCGCGCTGCCCGGGGACGTGAGGAGGCTCGCCTTCGAGTCGGACGCCGTCAGGGCGCGCGCATGGGCGAACAGGCTGACGGTCGGCGGCGCCGACATCGGCGGCACGGCCCATGTCGGCGAGGCGAGAGGCGCCGGCGCCGACGACTGGTCGACCACGACGACGGAAGCCGGCGTGCGAGCGACTCTCGGCACGCGCCCGGCCGAGCCGGCGCGAGTTGCCGCCGGGCGCGCGGTCGCCCGCCCTGCGTAAGCGGCGAGGCTCGCGCCGGCGACGTCAGGCAAGGGCTCGCCCAAGCCGAGCGGGACCGAGGGCGACGGCTTCAGGCTGCGCAGCGAGCGCCTCGAGTCGGACGTGCTCAGCCCTCGACTCGATACGAGGCCGATGCCCAGGCCGGCCAGGCTCGGCTCGGGCTCGTGGCGGCCATCGTCCGACAGCGCTCGGCTCGAGAGCAACGTGTTGACGCTGTGCGAGCGGGCGTACTTGCGGCTGCCACCGGCTGCGGCGACGACGGGCTCCTTGGACGCCTCGGCGAGGGACGGCCTGCTCGAGCTGCGCGTGGCGGTCGTGAGGATGTCGAACGAGCGGCGGCCGACGAGAGGCTTGAGGGGCGCATCGTCGTCGGCGTCCTCGAGGACCCACGGCGCCTTCGAGATGATGCGGGTCTTGGGGCCTGCGCAACGAGTTTCAGGTCAGGTTCGGTAGACCAGGAGAGGGAAGATACGGCAGGAAGAAGAGGGACGGACCGAGGATGCTCTTCATGCGGCGCATGGCGTCCTCCTCGGGCGTCATGGACGGGTCCTCCGAGAGCTGGCCGACAGCGGCGTCGAGACCCTCCTGCCACGACTCGACCGTGAGCTGCGTCTGCGCCGACCCGCTCTTGGGCAGGACCTCGCCCGCGTGCTCGACCGCAGGCGGCGTGACCTCGTGCCGGGACGGCCGCTCCTGCTCCTGGTCGGCCGGCTTGCCGCGCAGGACTGCCGCGAGGTCCTGCGGCAAGCGGTCGGCGTCGATCATGCTGGATCGCGCGAGCGCTCTGGCGTCCCACACGATACCGTCCTCGTCCTCGGGAGCATCCTCGACCGACTCGTCGACCGTCTCGGACAGGACGCTGCGGGCGCCGACGCTCTCGCGCGAGGGCGGAAAGGCGCGCATCGGGATACGGGTGAAGGTGGCCATGCGGACCGAGCCGATCGAGGGCGAGGGAGAGGGCGAGCAGGTCGAGAAGTCGGTGTAGGCGGTGCTCTGGACGGACAGGCGGTCGGTCGTGAAGCTGGCCTGCGACGGCGAGAACGGCGGCGTGCCCGCGCGAGGGAACGGCTCGCGGTCGTCGTGGTCCTTGACGGGCTCGAGCACGACCTTGCTCGCGTCGTCGTACTCGTCAGACGACCGCGCCTCGGAGCTGTCGACGCTCGCCGCCGCCGCACTCGCCGCGAGGTCGGGCGTGAACGGCTCGTCGCCGAAGTACGACTGGTGGTGCGCCTCGAAGTGGAAGGTTGACGACCCAGGCGTGACCGGCGAGTACAGGGAGAAGCCCGACTCGCTCAATGCTGGACTGGGAGGAGGCTGGGGCGACGACTGGATGCGCTCGTCGAGCGCCTTGAGGGCTGAGACCGATGCGGGACGGGTTGCCCACGCCTGCGAGTTGGTCGTCGGAGCCAGGAGGCGGCTTGTCGGCAGTGCCGCCGAGCCCGAGGTGGGCGGAGAGGCCATGGGCGAAGGTGGAGGTCGGTCGACAGTCGACGAGGGCGTGAGCTGCGGGTGCGATGCAATCAGTACGCGCCTTTACACGCATAGAAGCTCCACCGAGCCACGCACCTGACCTTGAGCCGTGTCGGACGAGCTGGAGGCGGCAAACTGGCGGCGTGCCGATGAGGACGCGGGGTCGGTGTAGAGGGTCGAGAGGGCGGTGAGGCGAGGGGCTGCTGCCGCCTGCGGGTGGCGAGTATGGCTGAGGATAGCCCGGCGAGCAGCAGGCTGTCGCTCGTGGCGAGTGAGCAGGTGCGAGGAGCGGACTCCCCCCGCGCTCCTCGTGGGCGGCAGGCGACGCGTCGTCTCGAGATCAACAAACGCACCGGCAGCATTGTGCTCGCAGGCTCGCGGCCAGGAGGCGCAGCTCGCAAGCACATCTATCGCGACGCTCACTGTCTCTCGCCGAAAGAGGCCGAAGCGTCGAGAGAGCGAGGCGGGGACGGCGACGACGACCGACAGCGACAGGGAGACTTGCAGAGGGTTGGGCAGAAAGGGTACGACAAACAGAGGGCTAGTCTACATGGAGGAGAGGAAGGGATGGGAGGCGCCGCTCAGAAAGGAGGCTGCCCGAGAAGCTTGCGCATCTCGCCTTCGGCGCCCGACACGGCGCCGACGTCCTTGCGCTGCGGCTGCGACGTGCTCGCCCGACGACCTCGCAGGACGTCGAAGATGGACGCCGACGACGCGGCCGAAGTGCTGAGGGCGCGCTCGCCGTGCGAGCGCGGCGTGCCGTAGCCTTGCGACGGCGACGAGGACGAAGGCGACGACCCGCTCGCGGTTGCCGTGGCCGAGGGCCAGCCCTTGGTCGTCTTGCGACCAAGCGTCATCGAGGCGGTAGTCGGGGCCGGCGAGGGTGCGCTGCTGCGCGCGAGGTCCTCCTGCAACAGGTTCCAGCGCGAGCCGGTGAGCTGGGCCTCGGCCGTCGACGGCGCCTTGACGCTCGGCAGCGGCGGTGGCGGACTCGTGCTTGCGCCGAGAGGGCTGAAGGTGGACGACGCCGCACGACGATGCAGCGACGACGAGAGGATGCTGCTGCCCGAGCTGGCCGAGCGAGGGTGCGACAGGACGTTGACGGACGACGCCGAGGTCGACGGCGGTGACGCGCTCAGGAGCTCGGTCGACGGCACCGGCGGAGCTCGAGAGGAGCTGGCCGGTACGGCAGTTGCGCGCGGTGGCGAGCGGACGTAGCGCGGGCTGTGCTCGGTCGCGCTCCCGTGCGCGCTGCTGCCGCCGGTCGAGTACGTCTTGCGTCCACTCGAGGGCAGGAAGGCGGGCGCCGCGCCGGTCGAAAGGTGTGACGGGTCGTAGTCGGTCGTAGGAGGGGTCGGCCTGCTGCGCAAGGGCGACTCGGGGACAGGCGAGGAGGTCGAGGCGAACGGGTTGGTCGACAGCGGCGGCGAGGGCGTGAAAGGGTCCGACCGGTGCAGCGCCGTCGGCGTGGACGGGTTCGACAGGGCGAGGGCGCGCGCGATACCGGAGGGCGACGAGCGCGACAGGTCGTACCGGTCGGCCGACCTCGGGACCGACTGCCGGAACGTCTGCGGCGACGGCGTGCGCGCCACAGTCGGCTCGTCCTCGTCGGCCTCGGCGATGGTAAACTCGCTCTTGGCGAGCGCGGTCGCGTTGGGCGGGAGCGCGCCGCCCTCGGACGCGCTGCGCCGGAGCTTGGGCATCGAGGCGGGCGACACCTGAGTCGGGCGGTCGACCATGACGACCGACTCGCCGGCGCTCAAGGAACGTGCTGTCGGTACGGCCGAGTCGGACATGCGGAACGAGCGCGCATCTTGCTCCTTGTCGCGCGAGCTCGGCTTCTTGTCGCTGCTGCTCCGGCTCTTCTCGGCGGTCGAGCTGCGGCGCGCCCTCGAGCTGTCCTTGCTGCTCCACGGCTCGACCTCGAGCGTGAAGTACTTGGTCCCGGCCGCGAGCAGGTACGGGTTGGTGGACGGGTCCTGCGCGAGGGGAGCCAGAGTCAGGTCCGGCAGGCTCGAGCGAGAGGAAATTGAGCGCGGGCGCACCTTGGCGTCGACGACCTTCTCGGTGAGCGACGTGATGCGGGCGACGATCCACTCGCGCGTCTTCATCTGCTCGGCGACGACGCCCGTCGCGCTCAGGAAGTGGTGCGGGAAGCTGACGTTGAACGCGGCCCACACGGGAATGGCCGAGTTGCGCGTCGGCAGGAATAGCGCGAGGTCGCCCTTGGCGAAGCTGCGCACGAGTAGGCCTGGTCAGAAAGAGAGACTCGACGATGAGGAGGAGAGGCAGAGAGACACGGCGACGCACTTGCGGAACGCGATCTTGTCGTTGGCGCCGCTCGCCGCTCGGTGCGCGCGCTCGCGGTAACCCTTTGCCTCCTTGACCCACTTCTTGGTGACGCTCGTGAGGCTGTCGACCTTGTTCTTGACGGCGTCGGTGAGCGAGTCGTGGCTGTACGCCCGGAGCTCGTCGACGAGCTCGTCGAGGTCGCCCGAGGCGTAGTCGAGCGGCGCAGGCGACGACACGGTCTCGTTCTGTTGCAACGGCGGCGGCGTAGAGATCTGGACGGCCTTGTCGAGCTCGGCGGCCGAGGCGTCGCCCTTGCTCGGCGGCGGCGTGTTGAGGACGACGGCGATGTTGTTGTTCTCGTCGCGCATCTTGCCGGCGATGGTGACGGCCTCGCGCGCAAGCCTCGTCATGCGCACGAGCTCCTTCTGGATGTCGACGATGCCCTTCTCCTTGTCGCGCCGCGCGTCCTCGATCTCGCGCTTGACCGCGTCGACGTCCTCCTCCTTGGCCAAGGCCACCTTCTCCCACCTCGCGACCTGCTCGCGCAAGCCCTCGACGACGTCCTCGACCGTCCTCGTGCGGGCCTGCGCCAGCTCGACGTCCTTGTCGCGAGCGGCGAGGCGCTTGCGCAGCTCGTCGGCCTCCTTCTCGAGCACGGCGCGGTCGAGGTCGGCCTCGGAGCGCTGGTCCCGCAGGAGCTTGTCCTTCTGGGCGACGACGAGCGTGAGCTCGCGCTGCGACTCATGCGCCGCTCGGACGACCGCGCTCTGCTCGCCCAGCTCGGCCTGGACGCGGTCGAGCTCGACGCGCGCCGTACCGAGCTCGCCCTGCACCCGCGTGTGCGACACGTCGAGCGCACTCCACTGCTTCTTGAGCTCCTGCTCGGCCGCCCTCGCGCTCGCCACCTCGCGCTCGGCCGCGTCGCGTCGGTCCGCCTCGTCGGCGAGCCGCTCCTCGGCGGTGACGAGCGCAGCTGCGGCGTCTGCGCGCGCCGCCTCGGCGTCGTCGCGCTCGCGCTCGAGCTGGGCACGTGCGGTACTGGCCTGCGACGCCGTGCTCTCGGCGGCCGACGCGCGCGACTCGAGCTGGGCGATCTCCTCCTCGCGGGCCGAGCGCTCGGCCTGAAGCTGGCGCTCGAGGGCGTCCTTGCCTTCTTCGAGCTCGCGGACGTGCGTCTCGAGCTCGACGAGGCGGGCGGGATCGACGGCTGGCGGCCGAGGTGGAGGTGCGTCGAGCGACAGGTGCGCAAAGTCGGCGCCGAGGTCGTCGATGGCCGAGACGAGCGACTTGAGCAGGACGAGCGCTTTGCGGAGCGGATGGTCGGGCTTGGCGCTGTCGCCAAGGGCGTCGTCGAGCGCCTGGAACGACTGCTGGAGCGCTGCGGTCGCGACGGGTGGGTCAGTCTGCGGTTGCGCCATCACGGCGCAGAGAAACGGGGACGCACAGTCGAGCGTCTCCCTTCCGAGCTCTGGCAGGCCCTGCTCGCGGTCGAGCACATCGAGCGCCATCTCGGGCACGATGTCGCCCGTCTTGGCGTTGAGCCCTCGCACCTCCCACGGCAGCTTGCCCGAGAAGTCGTGCCGGTACTGCTGGCGGCGAGAGCGCTCGGCGTCGAACAAGGGCGCGAAAGTCGTCGACAGGGTGCTCGACTGGTCGGCGAGAAGACGGGCTGTGGAGGAACAAGGTGAGCTCGACCTCAGGCTTGAGAGAGGGTGAGCGGGGGCGCACCGTATTCTCGCCTGCGCACGACCTCGGCGACGGTCGCGACGTACGCCGGGATGAGGTCCTCGAGACGAGCGAGGTGCTTGAAGTTGTCGGTACGGGTTCTGCATGGCGCAGGACGAGGTGAGCGCTTGTCGGCCGGGAAGCAGGGAAGGTCTGCAGGAAGACGCACCGAAGGTCGTGATCGAGGGCGCCGAGCTCGGCAGGCATCGTCGCGATGTCGCTCTGCAGGGTCGAGATCTTCTGCATCTCCTGCAGCAGGTACCGGGTCATGGCGTTCTGCGGGCAGAAGGCCGAGACGTCAGGCTCGGGGCGACGAACGAGAGGGAAAGGAGCGGGTGCGCACCTTGCGCTCGACGAGGAAGCGGATGCGGTCGCGGTGCTCGGCGTCGCAGACGGTGAGCTCCTCGAAGCACTGCGAGAGGAGGACCGGGTCGGTCACTGGGGGGTCAAGGCGTCAGTTCTCGTCCGTCCGCGAGACCGGGAGAGGGGGAGGAACGGCAGACGCACTATGCTCTCCCGCCTGCACGAGCTCCTCGATGCGGACGTGACCCTGCTCGGCGTCGTGAGCGCACGCCTCGAGATCTTGCAGGTCGACGCTGCGGGCAAAGGCGAGTCAGGGGCTGTGCCTCGCCCACATCTATCCTCATCGAGGGCGTCGGGAGCCCCGAGGGCAGGAGAGAGAGGCGGCGGGCTCACCTTGTCGCCTCGAGATCGCCCTGGACCGCCTGGGTCGCACCCACCACCTCGTCCAGGGTCGCCTGCAGGCTCTCGGCGCGCATCTTGAGCTCAGCTGCAGGGAGTGTAAGTGTCAGAGAACCATGACGAGCCCACCTTTGCCGTCCCGACTGCGATTCGGCATCGGGAAGGACAGAGAAAGGCGGTCTGGGGACGCACCAAGCACCTTTGCGCACCCGTCGCGCACAGCGAGCATCTTGTCCCTCGAGACGTAGTCGCCGAGCACGCGCTGCTTTTCCTCCCCTCCTGCCGCCCCGCCACCACCGCCGCGAACCGCGACCGCGCTGCCCGAGCTGCCGTCGCGCACGTGCCCCTGCCCCTGCCCCGGTCCTTGCCCCGCACTCGTCACGCTCGCGCCGGCCGCGCCCGTGCCCCTCATGAGCAAGCCCGCGACGACGCCGACCTTGCCGACGGCGTCCATGGCCGCCTCCCACCCGCCGAGGAGGGCCTCGTACCGCTCGAGCGTCGGCTGCGCGCCCTCGAGGAAGAGCGCGAACGACGACGCCGTGCCCGTGTTGACGCGGTGGAGGTTTGAGAGGGCGAGGGCGAGAGAGGCGTGCTGCAGCTGGATGGACGAGATGAGGGCGCGCAGGGTCGCGAGGTTGTGGTGCGAGAGCGAGAGGTGCGACGTGAGGGGGTCCTCGGCTGCGGACGGCGAGAGGGGAATCGTCAGTAGGACCTCGCGACGACTCTCAAGACCGCCAGCACCGAGCCGACGGGCTCGACTCGGCGCGAGGGAAGAAAAAGATCGAGGGACGCACGGGTAAGCGGCGGCTCGGTGAGGACCTGCTCCTCCGAGATGGCGAGCGCGCTCGCCACCTCGTCCGGGTCGGCGTCGAGGTGCTCGCGGTCGAACACGTAGATGCGCCGTTCGCCGCCTCGCCGCCCGACGCTGCGCGCGAGCGCGGCCGTGCTGCCCTGGCCCGGCGCGGGCGCCGGTGCGGCGGCGAGAACGGCCGAGGTGGTGGGCGTGATGGCGGCGCTCGCGAGGAGGGCGAGGTGCGCGACGGCCTCGTCGCGGTTGAGCGGCGAGCCCTCCTCGTTCATGAGGATGAGGCAGTCGGGCGGGATCGAGAGGAGGGGCGACAGGAGGTTGAACCGGAGCTCGTCGAGGCTGCGTGAGGGTCGGCTCGTCAGGTGTGGACGGGTGCATGGAGTGTACGAGTGAGGTGGACGCACGTCGAGATGTTGGCGAAGTCATCCGGCACGAGCCCGAACTGAGCGCCGTCGGAGCTCCTCACGACGAAGAGCGACGGCGGCCGCTCCTCGTGCCCGGCTCGGCCCGCGAGGCCGTGCTGCTGCGAGCCTGAGCGGCTGAGCCACGACGACATGGGCCTTGGCGACGTGGGCGGCGTGTCGAGAGCGCGAGCGAGTCGAGGTGGGGAGGGCGGGGAGGAACACAGAGGTGGCGAGGCGGCGCAGCGGCGCAGGCGGTCGCTCTGGAGCGAGCAGTCGGCTCTGAGGCGGCGGGTCGGGCTCGCTCAGCTATGCGCGAGGAAGTGGTGGGCAGAAAGGAGGCGCTTGCGAACCACCGAGAGCGATGGCGCAGCATGTCGCAGCTCCTCTCGCATGGCCATCGCGCGAGCTACTTTTTAGGCTCGTAGACAGTATCACAGTACCGTGGCCAGACACGCGAGACGCACAGCGAGCGCGAGCGAGACGAGGAGAACGACCGCGGGCCGGCGCAGCCAAAGTTACAACAACAGCGACCGCAAGACACTACAAGCCGCACACGCACGCGCGCTCCACCCTGCCCACCGAACCGTCGTCCACGCCGCCGTTAGTCTAGGCGCCCGTCCCTCGAGCCAATGCCGGCTCCGCCGCCGCCGCGTCCTGCATCTCGACGTCTTGCGCAGCGTGCGGCGCACTGGGCGCATCCAGCGTGCGCTCGGCAGCGACAGGATGTGCGAGAGGCGCGTCGGCGGGCGCAGAGCTTGGCGGAAGTGCGACGGCGGCGGCGGCGGGGGTGGAGGACGACGAGGACGCGGGCGCGAGCGGTCCGGGCGAGGGGTGGATGGCGTGTGTTGGCGCGGAAGAGGGCATGGCGAACTCGTGGCCGACGTCCACAGAAGGTGTTGGTCTAGGGATGGCTGCAAGCGAGGTTCGAGAGTCAGTGCCGGGGCAGGGAATGGAGAGGAGAAAGGTGCGCACCTGGTGTCGCCTCGTCTCTCGGTCCCGAGGGGCGCTCGGGCTCAACTCGCACCGGTGACGGCTCGATCTTGGCGACCTCCTCCTTCTCGGCGAGCAGATCTGCCGGGTCCTCGACGTACGGCAAGCCCTTTGCGTCGCACATGGCGCGCTTGAGCTCCCGCTCGACCGTCTTGCCGACGCCCTTGCCGCTCTGCAGACGGTTCTCGAGGCGCAGGACGGGCGCGTTCAGCGCGCCACGCTTGTCGAGGAGGGACGCAGTCTCGGCGACGCGGGTTTGGCGCGGTGTGCGGGCGAGGGACGGCGTGGTCGAGAGGAGGGTGGGGAGGAGCGCGTCGAGTTCGGCGACGAGGGCGTCCTTCTCGGGCTGTGGCGGGAGAGCAGGGTTCAGTGTGTGTGCTGGACGAGGTACGGCGTGACTCGTACTCACGCTCTGGAGGAAGTCGCCGAGGAGCTGCTTGCGGAGGCGGTCGAAGCCGCCCTGCTTCTTCCACGCGTCGGCGAGCTGGCGAGGGGTGAGCTCTTCGGCTCGAGGTGATACTGGCGGGGGCTGGGCCATGGTCGCTGTCCAGCCAGGGGAGAGCGAGTGCGAGAGGTGGACCAGGAGAGATGAAGCCAAGGTCGCTGTTCGTCTTTCACCTCGCCACAGCTACGATGCAGCGGGCTGGAGTGCTGCACCTCGCCCGACAGGCCCTCGCAAGGCCCCGACCAGCGCCAACATGCTTCGCCCGCCCCCTGTCGTCGTCTCCTCCTCTCGCTTCCTCGTCCTCGGCGCCGCCGCCTTCGCCCGCGCCATCATCCTCCCGCCGGTCACCCGACCCCGGACCAGCACCCGCCGCAGCAGGGCCGCACCTCACGCCGCAAGAGCAGGCCGACAAGCAGCTCGAGGAGCAAGGCACCAAGCCTCCGCCGTTCCTCAGCCGCGCCCTCGGCGTCCGCGAGCCGCCGCGCAAGGGCAAGCAGAGCCGCGAGGAGTGGCGCGCAGACTTGCTTAACCGGGAGAAGCGTCTGCAGGAGCGGCGGCACCTGTGCGTCGCCCCTTTTCCCCCTTCCCTCCCCTCGCCGCGCGGTCGACTGACCCTCGAGGCGCGCACCGACACAGGGTCAAGCAGGCGTCGAGGGGCTACTTCCACGACTACAACGAGCTGCGGCAGCAGGGCGGCAAGGCGTTCGTCGCGCCCAAGACGCTCATCCGTGAAGACGTGCGTCTCGCTCTCGGGCCTTGGCGACTCGGGCCAGCCTACTGACCTCGATCCTTCCCGGCCACAGCTGTCGCTTTACTTCCCCGACATCGAGGGCGTGTCGCTCGCGACCAAGGGCAAGGTGCACACGACCGACCTGTTCGAGGACAAGGTCAGCCTCGTCGTGTTCAGCAGCTTCCGCTCCTCCGAGGTGCGCTCTCTCGTCCCTCTTCCCCTCTCGAAGCCTCTCACTGACCCTCTTCCTTGTACAGGAGCACATCAACAGCTTTGTGCGACCGGCGTTGTCCGACTTGAAGGACGAGAAGGCGTTTCAGTATGTCTACGTGAGTCTCGTCCCCTCCCTGTCCCCTCAGACGAGCCCTCCACTGACTCTCGACGTCGACGTTTGCCCCGCAGATCAACCTGCAGGAGAACCCGCTCAAGTCGTTCCTGGTGTCGATGTTTGTCTCGTCGCTGCGCAAGCAGGTGCCGGTCGAGCACCACGCGACGTACCTCCTGTCGCACCAGTCGCTCGAGTACCTGCGCGAGCCGATGGGCATGACGAACAAGCACGTCGGGTACGTGTTCCTCGTCGACTGGAACAAGAAGATCCGGTGGGCGGGCTGCAGCTGGGCGACCGAGGACGAGGAGGAGGCGCTGAGACGGTGTGCGCACGTCCTCGTCGAGCGGTATCGGGCGAGCAAGGCGCCGGGCGGCAAGTCGACGTAGCGCAATGCACTGGAGCAGTCTGTCGACGCAGAACCGAGCTGCGAGACCCCGTGCCGAGAGCGAGAGCCGAGGAGGAGGGACGCGAGCGGCGAGACGGCGAGAGGCGAGCCAGAGACGAGCCCAACCTGAGAACGCGACCGCTCAAGAGCACGCCGCTCGCTCGTCACTGCAGCAGAGCACCACCGCAGTCCACCTGCACGCGCACGAGCCCGACCCGTGTGCGTCTGCAGCGACCTCGACGCCGCCCCCTTCGCCTCGTCGTCCCTCGCCCCTCCTCGAGCCCGCTCCACCCCCGCTCGATGCGCCGAGAGCCAGGCCTTGATGTACTCGTACAGTCCGTCACCGTCCCCCGCACCGGCCTCGCCCCCGCCCAACCAGCACCTGTACTCGCCTGGCCCGTCGGCCTCGTCGGCCCCAGGAGGAGGAGGCCAGCAGGGGCAGCAGGGGCAGCAGGGCGCAGCAGGCCAGTACCCAGGTGCTAGGTACTCGCTGTTGAACAAGCTCCAGCACGGCCACTACCCTCAGGGGCCTCACCACGTACGCCCGCCTTCCTCCCCTCCTCCTCCTCGCACCGCACGATCACGCCAACTGACCCCCTCGCCGTGCGCCCTGCATGCCTTGCAGCACCACCCTCAACACTCGTTCTCGTACCCTGGCCCTCCCTCTTCCCCCGCCTACTCGAACGGGCCCTCGTCCCACCAGCAGCAGTCGCACCACGGCAACTCGCTCCCTCCCCACTCGCACCACCAGCAGCCCCATCCCGGCAGCAACGGCGGCGGTCCTCCTCCGCAACTCGGCGGCGGCCACCCGTCGCACCCGTCCCAGGGCCCGCCTCAGCACCACCTCGGCGGCGGGTCCGGCCCAGGCGGCGGCTCGCCCCACCCGTCCAACGCCGTCAACGGCGGCCCGCTCCCGCCCCACTGGGCCCAGCAGCTCACGCTCGCCCAGACGAGCCGCGCCACCAACTCGCCCCACCACCACGCCCGCGCCGCTCACCTCGCCGCCCGAGGCCAGAGCACCAACGCCATCCCGATCACCGACCCGAACCGGCCGGGCAGCGCCGCGCCTGGCGGCGGCAGCAGCAGCATCGGCGGCGCATCCGGCGCAAAGGGCGGCCTCAACGGCCTCCACCGCAAGGACGCGAGCCTCGAGGAGCGCAGCGCGAGCGCCGCGTCGACGCGCACGACCTTGAGCAAGGACGCGTCGAGCCCCGGGCTCGCCGCCGCACGGCTCGACGGTGGCGCCGCCGGCGACGACAAGAAGGAGGGCAAGAACACGTGGACGACGATCGACATGGGCGGCATGAACCTCAAGAACCTGTCGAGCGCCCTGTTCCGGTACTCGTTCTTGACGACCCTGTACATCCCGCACAACGCCCTCACCGAGCTCCCGCCAGCCATCTGCAAGCTCGAGAACTTGACGCTCCTCGACGCGTCGAGCAACAAGCTGTCGACCCTGCCCGCCGAGCTCGGCCTCCTCACCCGCCTGCGCGACCTGTTCCTGTTCGACAACCACCTGTCGTCGCTCCCACCGCAACTCGGCACCCTCCACCTCCTCGACACGCTCGGCGTCGAGGGCAACCCGCTCCCCGAGACGTTGCGGTCCCTCGTCGAGAAGGACGGCACGGCCGCCCTCATCGCCTACCTGCGCGACTCGTGCCCGGTCCCGCCGCCGCCGCCCGAGCGCGCGTGGCTCGCCATCGAGCCCGACGTCCTCCCGCAGCCGGACAAGCGGCCCGAGGAGACGTTCTCGCTCCTGTGCTACAACATCCTGTGCGACAAGTACGCGACGGGCCAGATGTACGGCTACACCCCGTCCTGGGCCCTCAACTGGGACTACCGCAAGGAGTTGATCCTCCAGGAGGTGCTCAACTACGGCTCGGACATTGTCTGCCTCCAGGTGCGTCCCACTCTCGCTCCCACTCCCTTTTCCCCCGCCTCCCTCGAACTAACTCGCCTCTTCTCGCTGCCGCAGGAGGTCGACGTCGAGCAGTACGAGACCTACTTCCTCGAGCACCTGTCGGCGCAAGAGTACGACGGCGTCCACTACTCGAAATCGCGTGCGAGGACCATGTCGGGCGACGAGAAGCGGTCCGTCGACGGCTGCGCGACCTTCTTCAAGAACACGGTGTGCGTCCCTCTCTCTCTTTGCCCGTCGTCGTGCCGGCGTGGTGGCGAGACTGACATGCGCCTCCCTCGCCTGCAGGTTCGCGCTCGTCGAGCAGCACCTCGTCGAGTTCAACCAGATCGCCCTGAGGCGACCCGACTTCAAGAAGACCGAGGACATGTTCAACCGCGTCATGACCAAGGACAACATCGCCGTCGTCACGCTCCTCGAGCACCGTGCGTCGGGCGCACGTCTCATCGTCGCCAACGCCCACATTCACTGGGACCCCGAGTTCCGCGACGTCAAGCTCGTCCAGGTCGCCATGCTCATGGAGGAGATCGCCAAGGTCGCCAACGACTTTGCGCGCCTCCCGCCGCGCATGAACCTCGGCGAGGGTCACGACAAGGCGCCACACTACTCGAACGGGTCCAAGATCCCGACCATCATCTGCGGCGACTTCAACTCGACGCCCGAGAGCGGCGTGTACCAGTTCCTCCAGTCGGGCCGCATCGCCAACGACCACGACGACTTTGGCGACCACGTCTATGGCGTCTACACCCAGGAGGGCCTCAACCACCGCCTCGGGCTCAAGAGCGCCTACTCGCACGTCGGCAGCGGCGCAGGGTCCGAGCTGCCCTTTACCAACTACACGCCCGGGTTCAAGGGTGCGTCCCCTTGTCCTCTCGTCTTCTCCTGTCACCTCGGCCCCTCGCCGGCGCCGTTGCCGTTGACGGCATCCCGCTCGAGCCTGCGCAAGTCGCTCACGCTTTCTCTGCCCGTCCTGCAGGCACGATCGACTACGTCTGGTACACGGCTCAGTCGCTCGGCGTCCAAGGCCTCCTCGGCGAGGTCGACGGGCAATACCTCGCGTCGACCGTCGGCTTTCCCAACGCCCACTTCCCGAGGTTCGTCCCTCCCTCTTTTCTCTCTCTCCCTCTCTCTCTCCTTCCCTCTCTTCGCTGTGCGCCGACACTGACTCTCGCTCCTCGCCTCGCCGCCACAGTGACCACATCTCGCTCCTCGCCGAGTTCAAGCTCAAGTAGGAGCGTCGCTCGCCGGGCGCCGACAGGGTCGGGTGCGGGTGCAAGTGCATGGGGCTGTCGAGGTCAACCCTCTCTCGCTGTGTGTGTGCGTGTGCGTGTGTCTGTACGTCTCCTCGTCGTCGTGTGTTCAAACCCCTCCTCTTGATTACCCCCCTTCCCTCCCTCCCTCCCTCCTCGACTCGCCCGTACCTAGCTCCCATCCCCTCGTCCTCCTCCTCCTCTTGATCCCTCTCGTGATGTCTCGCTCGCATGGGTAGAAGGCGCTCGCCACCACCTCCCTTTCCCTCTCGTCCTCCCTACTCCCTCCTCCTCCTTCTCTTTCGTCGTCTGTCTTCCTACCCGAGTTCCTTCCCTTCTCTCATCTGTAGTCACATCTTCCCTTCCACCCTCTCTCGTGTCCGTCGCACCCTGCTCTGCTATTCCCTCGTGACCATCTCCTCCTCGTTCGCGCTCTCTCGAGAGGCTCTCGCTCGCTCCTCGGCTCGTCGTCCGTCCCAGGCTCGACAGACAGAGAGAGCGGAACCCTGCTCGGCGCGCCTCAACTCTGAGCGTGCGCTCGAGAAGCTCTCGGCGCCGCTCCTCTCGATCGTGCACGAACCCGCGCTCTCGCTCGCTCGCTCGCAGGTCGGGCATGACGTCGCTGCAGTTGCAAGAGGGACACACATAAGGAGGACAAGGTCGAGATGGGCGCGTAGGCCTGCGCTAAGGAGCGAGCAGGAGGGGCAAATCGAGAGGGGCAAAGAGGGTCGCCGAGGGCGAGCGGGCGAGGGAAAGTCGAACGAGGGAGGGAGGGAGGGAAGGTATGGGTACGGCGAGGGCTGAGAGAAGGACGCAAAGCGCTCGTGGAGCGTGTACGAATGCGCTAGAACCGCATGGGGCCTCCTGCCGCCGCACGCGGCTTGTCGCCCGCCGCAGAGGTCGTCGGCTTGGGCCGAGCGCGCTTGGTCGTTGCCGTCGTCGAGTAGGCGTACGGTGCCATGCGGGTCGGGAGCGCCGAGGTCGAGGAAGCCTTGGAAGGTGAGGAGCGGGTGCGGGTAGGGGGAGCGGGTCGAGCGGCGTGAGGGCGAGGCGTCGGCGAGGCCATGTTGGCGGCCGAGAAGCCGCCGAGGCCGGTGAAAGCTTGCGTGATCTGCGCCCGGTCGAACAGCATGTCAGTGCCACTCGTGTGAGAGAGTAAAAGAGAAGGCTGCGACGCACCTCGGCCAACGGCGACTCGGTGAGCGCCCTCGCCCTGCGGTCCGCCTCGCGCCCATCGACCTGCCGCACCGCCTCCTGCTCCTCCTCGTCGGCAAACGCCGCCGCGATGTCCATGTCGAGGCTCGTGTCGCACGCGCGGCTGTCGACGCTGTGCGCGTAGCCCGAGTCGCGCGCCGACGAGCCCGTCGACGCCGAGAGCGCCGAGCGTGCGTCGAGGGAGGTGCGCGGCGACGCCGAGGCGTTGGCCTTGTCGTCGGCGGCGAGGACGATGTCGGCGACGTGCGGGGCGGCCTGCGCGGGTGGAGGAGCGGGCGCGAGAGGTGCGGCGGGCTCGACCGGCTCGAGAGGCGGAAGGTCGGGCAGGACGCGCGTGCGGAGCGTCCCGGTGCACACGGCGTTGGTCGCGGCGCCCTTGACTCGCTGCTCATCTCGCGACGGCGCCCGCACGCCGCCGCACGCCGTCACCGCCGCGGCCGGCGCACACGAGTCGACCCGCTTGGCGACGAGCGCCGACGGCTTCTTGGCCAGCTTGCCCGCGCCGAGCCCGCGCACGCCTGGACCGAGTGGGTCGACGTTCTCCTTCTCGCCGAACCGCGGGACCCGCAGGCCGCTGGCGCCGTCGAGGCGAGCGGATGCGCCGTCCTTGCGGCGCCTCGACGTCGCCTTGTTTGCCGGGTGGGCGAGCGGGCGCACGAGGGCGGCCGAGGGGCCAGGGACGGCCTGGTCGTCCCGATAGACGGCAAAGAGACCTTTTGCCATGGCCTGGGCGGGCGGGCGCGGTGGCGGGCGAGTGGTGGACGGCGGCGCGGTTGAGAGGGATTCTACGCCGAGCGGCGGAAGGGGCGCTGGTGGGTGCGCAGGGCGGTGTGGCGCAGTGGTGCGGGTCGCAGGGGCACAAGTGGGGGTGGATCTCGAGATTGCGCGCTGCCGGCGAGTGCGGAGGTGAGGTCGAGAGAAGTTGAGCCTCGACGACGACGACGACGACGAGGCGACGAAGGGCTCAAGATGGTGGAGGCGGTGCACTCTGCTCGCTCGACTCTCTGGATGCACACGGTCTGCTGGAAGATGCGACTTGCACACCGCCTTCTACTGCTCAATGCGCCCCGCCTCCGACCCTGACGACGACCTCGCTCACGGCTGGTCGGCCGGGTTGGCGAGCGTGTCCGTCTCCCTCGCCTGCCGCTTGATGCACATCCAGTTGTCGTCCGGTCGCCACATGTCGCGCTGGAAGATGCAGTACTGCGAGAGAGAGAGAGAGAGGGAGGAGGGGAAACTGGTCAGGCTCGTCGACGAGGAGGGGGCGCAGAGTCGAGGAACTGAGAGCGCACCTCGGTCACCGTCTCTGGTCGCTCATGCGACCCAGTCCCGACCCGCCGACCTTGCGCATCGCGCACCTCGAGACTCTGCGCGCAACGACGAGGATGTGAGCTCGCGCCCCTTGCTGACGACGAGAACGAGGAGAAGAGGAGCGAGCTCGGGCGCACCTGCTCCGTGACAAAGCGCACGACGGCCTGGCCGACGTACTCGTCCTTCTTGAAGATCTCCTGCTGGCGCGCACACACGATCTCCTGCTCGACGACGCGGTGCAGCTTCCAGCTGAGGCGCAGGCCCTGCAGCTTGCGTGTCCGCTGCGCCTTGATGGCCTCGACGACCGACGTGGCGGCGTACTGTCGCAGACGGTCGTAGTTGCCGCTGCGGGTCGAGGTCGAGCGTCAGTCGCGGGTGCGGGCAGACGAGGGGCGATCGAGGAGGGGAAGCGAGCGGACGCACATGGCGAGGGCCTGGTTCATGGCCTGGTACGCGGCGAGGGTGCGCTCCTCGAACTGCTTGTGCCAGTCGGACCCGAGCAGCTTGCGCCAGCCGTACCGCCTGTCGACGTCGTGGAGAAGAAAGGGTCAGGTCGACAGGTCCGGGGAGAGAGAGGGAGCGAGCGGTCGACGCACGTGTACAGCGAGTAGCCCCAGTTCTGCATGTCGAACCAGGCGTACTTGCGCTTGTCGGCAAAGGTGGCATCGGGCGGGAGGACGCGGCCTTCTGCTGGGCGGATGTGGTTCGCTGTAGTCGCGGGAAGGGCAGGGTCAGCTGACGAACGAGGAGAACCGATGGGATAGGGCCTCGACGCACCGAAGACGATGTTGACGGAGAGCTGCAGGGCACCAGGAGGGGGTGGGTGAGCGAGCGCGGAAAGTTGGAGAGGCGGTGCCAGAGAGACGAAGGAGAGGAGAGGGGACGGACCGAGCCCATGCCCTGCTTCATGCGCCCCATTTTTTCCGACAGCCTGAGCTGCTTCTCCTGCATCTCCTGGGTCGCATCTTGGGGCTTTGTGGCGTAGGTGCGGAGGTGCGGCGGGAACGCGAGCGGCGAGGGAGATGAGGCCAACCGCGAGGCGAGGGCGGCGGGGCGCGGTGCGGTTGCTGCGCGTGTGAGCGAAGAGGTGGCTGCCCGTGCACACTGCATCGCTAGCTCGAGCTCAGGGGCGAGTGTGGTCGAGAGAGATGAGGCCGCTCGCCGCTCCGCCTCCTCGCTTCGAGAGAGCTGTCTCCCACTCGTCACGAGCCATGGCCGCAGCAGTGCTGTGGCTCGCAGTCGCCGCTAGCTGGCCCCTGCTCGCCCGCGACAACGCACACCAGTCGCGCGGCTCGGCCCCGTCTCTCTCGCGCCTCGTCCCCACCGCGCTCCTCGTGCTCGCCGCCCTCGTCAGCTGGACCCGCATGCGCTCCCGTGTCGGCACCGTCTGGGAACCCCTCGCCATCGCCTCCACCGCCGCCGCGCACCACCTCGTGCGGCGACGGCACGACGCCCGCTGCCGCTCGATGCGCCGCGCTCCTCGTCCGCCGCAAGATGGGTCCGCCGTCGTGTACCGCTACAAGATTGCGCCCGTCGAGTGCGACGAGCACGGTCGCATGTACGGCGGGGAGCTCCTCAAGCTCATGTGCGTCCACTTGCCCTCTCTCCTCCCTCGTTCAGCGACCCGGCGCTGACCCACCTTTGCCTCGTCCCTCCCCCCTCTCCTCCTCCCTCCACGACGCCCCTCCCCGTGCGCCTCTTCGCCCTCGCAGCGACGTCTCGGCGGGTCTGGTCGCCGCCAAGCATGCAGCAGGGCCGTGCCTCACCATCAGCGCCGACCGCGTCATCTTCCTCGAGGAGGTCCGTGTCGGCGACGTGATCTCGATCAGCTCGTCGGTCAACCGGGCATGGGGCAGGTGCGTCGTCGAGCCAGATTCGAGCATGCCTTGGCGCAGTGCGCAGGCGCGCAGAGCCCCGAGCCGAAGCTCACTCTCTTTCCCTTTGCCGACAGCTCGATGGAGATTGGCGTGCGCGTCATGCGTCAGTCGCGCTCCGACCCGCTCAAGAGCGAGACGTACACCTGCCACGCCTACCTCACCTTTGTCGCCAAACCGACCCAGCCTCCCTCGCCGCACCCGATCCTCGTCGTCAGCGACCTCGTCGGCCTCACCTGTCCGCCACCACCTCGTCGCGCCCAGCTCCCCGAGGTCAAGCCGCAGACGCTTCTCGAGCAGAAGCGCTACCTCCTCGCCGGCCGTCGTCGCGCGCACCGCATCCAGCGCTCGAAAGCCGACGCGGCGCTGCACACGTCGTTCCGCGACGAGGTCCTGCGCCTCGAGCGCGCCGTCCTCGGCGCCGACGAGGCGCGCGCCCTCGAGTCGCACAACCGCGAGGACCTGCTCGCGAGCCTCCAGGTCGAGGTCGTCACCGAGGCCTTCATGCGCGGCGACCCGGACGTCCGAGTCGAGGGCGACGACGTCGTCGGCGAGATCGAGGGCTTTGTCGAGCCCGTGCGCGTCAAGCGGTCCGTCGTCGATGCGGCTGTGCGCAAGAAGGGTCACGGCGGGTGGCGCGCGATCCCGCTCGTCGCCGACGACGCCGCCGACCAGGCCAAGGGGCACTCGCTCGCGGCGCTCGCCGACCCGGACCAGCGTCGGGCGCTCGACGTCGCGTCGCATGTCGACTTTGCCGACACGCTCAGCATGGTGCGTCCCGGATTCTCTCCTTCTCTCCCTCGCACGGCCCGCCTCTCTCGCTTCGTCGACTCGAGCGACCTGACCCTCTTTCTCGATCGCGCGCAGTGCCTGTGGATCGTGCGCCCGCAACACGCCAACTCGAAGCAGATCCTGTTCGGCGGCACCCTCATGCGGTGGACCGAGGAGGTGTCGACCATCGCCGCCCGGCGCATCTTCCCCTCGGCGAGCTGGTCGAGCGCGGCCATCGACTCGCTCACGTTCAAGACGGCTGTCGAGCTCGGCGAGGTTGTCTACGTGCGTGCGGCCGTGCTCAAGGTGTACGACTCGAGCGTCGAGGTCGCCGCCATCGTCACGTGCGAGGACCGCAACTCGGCAGAGCCCAAGGTCCGCCAGGTGTCCGAGTCGTTCCTCACCCTCGTGCGTCCTCACTCCACTTTCCTCGTCCTCCTCAGGCACCCCCCTTTCGAGCGGTCCCTCGCTCGTCGACCATCCTCGCGCTCTTGAACCGACCCTGACTCTCGGCTTTCCTCCCTCGCAGGTCGCTATCGATCCCGCCACCGGTCGCCCGCTCAAGGGCGTCCTCCGCCAAGTGCAGCTTCCCGACGGGCCGGTGAGCGACATGGCGGCGCTCGCCGAGCAGAGAAGGCGGGACCGATTGCTCGACAAGCGGGTGCTGCAGAGGTGCGTGCGCTCCTTTCTCTCTATCTCTCTCTCTCTCGCCCCCCTCTCCTCGGACAGGCTACTGACAATCCTCACGAGTAGGGTGTATGCCTGAAGCGTGTTTGCAGAGCAGAAGTACCGGCAATGACATGCAGTTTATCCATCCCTCGCTCCCCTTCTCTCCTCGCGCCCTCGCGTTCTCGCTCGACCGCCCCTCGCCCGCCGAGTCCAGCCCTCGATGCCCTCGCCCTCGCCAAGCTGTGCCCGTCACGACTCGCCGTGCCACGCCGCCACCCCGCCCTCGCGTCCGACGATCCCTCCCTCGATGCTGCTCGCGCTCGTCGCCGTGCTCCAGCGCCTCTCGCTCACCGCGGCGCGCTCAAACAGCGCCGATCTCTCGGAAACGAGCGACGAGGACGACGCGAGACTGTCGCGGCGCGTCGAGGCGGCGAGGAGGACGTGCGAGGGAGGCGAGGAGGAGGACGGCGGCAGGATGAGGGGGCGGCGGCTGGGCACGGGCTCGTCGCGCGCCGAGGAGAGGGGGAACGAGTGCGAGGCGGGCGAGCTGCGGGCAAGGCGCGACGGGAGGAGGGTCAGCGTCGCTCGCGGCGGCGCGCGAGGGAGGGAAAGGTGGGCGCACCGCTTTACGAGCTCGAGTGCACGACGCGACGCCGCCTTGAGCGCCTCGAGGCGCGCGAGCGTCCTCGTCCTCGAGCAGAAGACGGCGAGCTTGACGGTCGACGGCAGGTGCGAGGCCGGCGCCTCGGGCACATGCCGGCGCAGCTTGAGGTGCGTGGGGCGGAATGGGCTCGTGCGGCGGATGCGCTCGGCCGCGCTGCTCGAGCACATGTCGAGTGTCGGCTCGAGCTGCTCGAGGTGGATGTCGGGGTCCGAGGGCGCGTCGTTGGCGGGCAGGGCGGGCGAGCGCTTCTTGAGCGGGGGACGAGGAGCGATTGTTGGCGGGTCGGGCTCGTCGTCGACGTAGCTCGGCGCCGGGCGCTTCTGCCGCAAGCCGCGAGTCGACGGGCCGCTGTGCTGGAGCGAGTCGTCGGTCGACTTCCACACGAGGGGAGCGGGACGAGGTCTGCGTGCGTGGATTTGAGAAGGTCAGGGGCGCCGACGGCGGCAGCGAAGGAGGCGAGCGTGGACGCACATGCGGCTCTCGAGCGCTGTGTTGACGGCGTCGAGGTCGAGCGCAGGTGGCGCCGCTGAGGAGGAGATGGGCGAGGTGCAGGGTGCGGGAGGAGGAGGGAGGATCGGGACGAAGATGGTCGTGGACGGCGTGTCGGGCGTGTACGTGTCGTCGCCGACGCTGCAGTCCTCGTTGCGCCGAATGCCTGCGAGTCGGCACAGGGTCAGTCGCGTCGGGAGGGGCGAGAGGAGCGAGGAGATGTGGACGCACAGGCGAGGCACGGGGCGCCCGTCTCGAAGCTCGAGCAGCGCACTCGTCGTCGCCTGCAGCTGTGCACGTCATGCTCGAGGTCAGTCGTCGTCGCTCGAAGCCTCCTGGCCGGCGCAGAGGACGAGAGCGTCTCTGCGTCGACCGGGGCCGACGCTGCCTCGCGGCTCGGAGAGAAGGGCGAGAGAAAGGGAGACGCACGGCTCGCACGCGACAGGACCGTTCTTCCTCGTCCAACGATCGCCCTGGAGCAGTCTGACGGGCCCCTCGCGGTGCCAGGAGGACGAGTCGGTGTCGAGGTCGAGAGCCGCAGTCGGACGTGTCGTCGTCGCTGTCGTTGGCGCCTCGCCCATCTCGGGCTTCTGGCAGCGCTAGACGGTATAGCGAGAGAGCAAGAGAGGCGCTCGAGCGCCGCATGAGCTGCAGCGAGGTGTCGAACAGCTAGGAGATGCCCGCTCGAGCGCACCACGCTGCTCGCACCTCAGCGCCGCGGCGATGCGCACGCACCGCATGGCCGCCGTCGACCGCCCGCCAGACCTCTCGGAGCGCAAGAGCTAGACTGAAGACGACGATAGCGCGACCGCAAGGCGAGGCTGACGCAGCCGGCGCGCAACGACGATGTCAATCTCGGGAGGCTCGTGCGGATCCGACGAGGGTGGATTTCGTCGCCTGTTCGCTCGTCCGAGCTACAGAGGACGCGTACCAGACGCTCACGGGTCGATACAGAGAGCCAGGAAGCTCGCGCGAGCCTGCGCAGCGAGGTTGTCGATTGACCTCTGAGCCCGCCGCGCAGGCCGAGGCCGGCGGACGAGGAGGCCCCCAACGTCTCTCTCCCTCCTTCACCTCACTTTCGACCCCAACCTCTTCTCGTACTCAAGTGATTCGACCTCTCGCGACTCGGACAGCCCACGAGAACGGCGCTACGCCGGTCGCGGGCGCGCACTCGCGTTCCTTCGCTTACCTCGTCTGCCTCTCGTCCTCGCGCAGCCACCTCCCACCCACCTCGACCACCGACAAGGTGCGCACCTCTTTCCCTGTGTCTTCGTGCGAGATGCACATGCTCACCATCGCACGTGCGCACGCAGCATGGCCCCGTCCTCCACTACTGCCGCCAAAGCTCCGTCGTCGACGGGCGGCAAGGGACCCGTCAAGGCGCCGGCGACCAAGGCCGTCAAGAGCAAGCCGCCTACGGCCGATGGCGGCCCGAAGAAGAGGAAGAAGGCCCGCAAGGAGACCTAGTGCGTCCTCACCGTCCACTTTCTTTCGCCGTCCTCGCCGACCTCGTTTCGTCGACCTGACCTACCTCTCGTCGCCGTGCGCAGCTCGTCCTACATCTACAAGGTCCTCAAGCAGGTTCACCCCGACACGGGCATCTCAAACAAGGCCATGCTCGTCCTCAACTCGTTCGTCAACGACATCTTCGAGCGCATCGGTGCGTCCTCGCCCCCCTGGTCGGGCTCCCTCTCGTCCCTTCAGCGTCGTCACTGACCTCGCTCGGCATGCCCACAGCGACCGAGGCCGGCAAGCTCGCGTCGTACAACAAGAAGAAGACGATCTCGTCGCGCGAGATTCAGACGGCTGTTCGCCTGATCCTCCCCGGCGAGCTGTCGAAGCACGCCATCTCGGAGGGCACCAAGGCCGTCACCAAGGTGCGCTCGACCTCCTTCCCGAGCCCAAGGGCCGCCGTCCTGACGCAGTCTCGCGCGCCCGCAGTTCTCGGCGTCGACGTGAGCGAGCGTTCGGGCCGTCTCTCCTTCGCGTCTCTCTCCTCCTTCCCGCTTGTCACCCCTCCCCTCTGTAGCTACACCTCCGTCCGATCGTCTGTCCCGCTTGCAAGCCTGTCAGTGCCAGAATCGAGAAGCCGTTCGCCTCGAGAGCAAGTGCGAGCGCTCGTCCTCGTCGCTACTCGACCTCGCGGCTCTCGCACGCACTCGGTCGCCTTGCGCTCGCCTCGAGCTCGACCGTGCGCACCTCGGCACACGTCCAGCACTCGCTCGCCAGCCTCGTGCGCCTGCATCGCGTCGAGCCGCCGGCACCTCGCCTCATCGGTCCACCCGACCTCCCGACCCTCGACACACCGCCGACACGGCCGAGGACGCTCCAGGGCCGGCTCGCCAGGGTTCGACAAGATCAACATGAGCCAGCACGAGGCCCTGTTCCACTGCTCGTGCACCTCGCCCTTCTCCCACACTCGCCCTCCACCAGCCGACCCTCCCCTCTCGCACCTCCAGCACCACCCCCTGCCCGAGCTCCTCTTCTGCGAGGACTGCGACGCCATACGGTGCAACGCGTGCGCCACCTGCGAGGTCGCGTGCTACTTCTGCCCAAACTGTCTCTTCGAGGTGCCGTCGGCCAGCGTCCGCGGCGAGAAGAACCGGTGCGTTCCCTCTCCCTCCTCTCTTGCCCCGCCACCCCTATCCTCCTGGCCAACCGCAGCTGACTCGGATGCCCCGCCATGCAGCTGCGCCCGCAACTGCTTCCAGTGCCCCCTGTGCGACCACACCCTGTCGGTCGTCGCGTCCGACCCGGACCCGTCGCTCGCGCTCAACACGGCCGCCGCCAGCGTCGGCGAGCCGCCGTACCTGCTCGCGTGCAACTTCTGCCGGTGGGACTCGAAGCAGGTCGGCATCACGTTCGAGAAGCCGACCGGCCTGTCGCGTGCGTCCTCGTCCTCTTTCTCTCCCTCGCGCCCCGCCCTCCATCGGCGCGCATTCCCTGATCCAGTACCTCCCTACCTCCAGTCCAGCTGCAGAAGGCCGAGGAGCCCTCGGCCGACCTCCTCGAGTTCGACCACGTCAAGGACCATCTCGAGCCGTTCCTCCGCCGGTCGCAGGCCCAGTCGGGCGTCGGCGGCGCAGCAGGCGCCTCGTCGGTATCTACCTCTGCAAACGCGGCTACGGCGCAGCTGTATAAGGACATCCCGGGCTTCAGCAGTCGCTACGGCGGCACGGGCTCGCTCTTTGCCTCGACGACAACCCGGGCCCGACACGGCGCGCACGGCGGCGACGCGTCGACTGCGCCTGACGAGCTCGAGCCGTACAAGAGCCTGTACCCTGCCCGAGGAGGCGGGCCGGGCAGCGAGAAGGAGAACCGGCGCGCGAGGGCGGCGAGCGACAAGGACAAGGGCGTCGACCGAGATGCCGAGCTCGTGCAGGCGATGCGGAGCATGATCGACATGGAGCAGGTGGCGAGCGTCGAAAGGCGGTGGACGGCCGGGTGGGGCGTACCGGTGCTCAGCAGGTGCGCACTCTGTCTCTCTTTCTCTTCTCTCTCGCCCGCGCTCGTCGTCCTGACCCTCTCGCCCGATGCGACCTGCAGAGACCTGCGCCCGAGCCGCACGCCGTTGCAGGCCAAGCTCTCGAAGCGCTGCCCCGTCTGCGCCCACATCCTCATCAAGCCCGAGCAGAAGTCGTCGTCGACCCGCTTCAAGATCAAGCTCGTCGCCGCCAACTACCTCCCGTCGATCTCGGTCTTCCGCCGTCCACCGGCCAGCATCGGCTCGCGGTTCAGCGCCATCGCGGCGAGCACGCCCTCGCGCAAGGCGGCTCGCGCCGGCGCCACTGGACGGTCGGGCGTCGACGCGAGCGGCGAGGACGACCCGCTCCGGAGCGGCAGGACCTACGTCTACGAGCTCAGCTTCGCCAATCCCCTGTACGAGCCGATCCACGTCAAGCTCGCCGTCGCACGGCCGAGTGCCGCGAGCGAGCCTCGTCCCGCCGCCGCTCTCGCAGGCGCCGACGGCGACGAGGGGGACCGGCCTCCTGCACCGCCGCCGTTCGCCGTCAACATCCCGTCGCCGACGTTCCCGATATCGGCGTACGCCGAGGACTGGGAGTACGAGGACCAGGAGGACGAGGTCGACGAGGCGGACGAGGTCGAGGGCGGCGGCGAGGGTGGGCGATCGAGCCCGACCAAGCGCCGGCGCAAGGGCGGGCCGGGCATCGTCGAGCGCAAGATGAACCGCACGACGGTCCTCATGGAGGTGGCCGTCGCCAAGGAGACGGCGCCGGGTCCGCTCTGGGTGCGCTCGCCTTTCTCTCTATCTCTCTCTCTCTCTCGCGTTGCCTCTCTTGCACCTCTCCTCGCGCACGACCTGACCCACCCTTTGCTCCGTCCCCCTCGTCTGCAGGCCAACATGCTCGTCACCTACGTCTACCAGGCCGACGACGGCGTCCCTCCTCAGAGCCCGCAGAAGGGCAAGCACGCCCCGCCGCCGACCGACGTCAAGTCGTTCTCGTTCTGGGCGCTCGTCCCGCTCGGTACAGTCGTGCAGCGTCCGCAGGGCGACGCGAGGAGGGCGGCGGCGGCGAGCAGTGCGAGCTCGTAGACGAGGAGGAGCGCAATGTTCTGGTGGAGTCTGTCTACCAGTCCTGGACCTGTCTGAGCGAGTGTCGCGCGGTCTCGCCTCGAGAGTTTGCCCAGCGCTCAAGTGGTCGCTCGAATTTGTCGCTCTCGAGAGGAGAGAAAGCCCGAGGTGCGAGATCTGGGGAAGCGCCCGGACCTCCCAAGTCGCTCGAGAGCGGCGCGAAGGTGCGTCTGGCCTTGACAGACAGCTCGAAGCGACGAGACCCGCTCGAGACGAGTCTTGCCCCTAGCGCGAGAGCGCTGCCGTCGCCCGCCGAGCAGACGAGGTCCAAACGCGCTCGGGTTGGGAAGGTCGACCGAGCGACCTCGAACGCTCTCCCTCGCTCGGCCGCGGCGCTTTCTCTCGTCGACGAACCAAAAGGAGAGTACGCTGCTGTGGTGGCCAGCAGCTGCACGAGGCAAAAGATGAGAGCGCCCAAGCGCTGTTGTGAAGGTTCCCCGACGGGGAATCGAACCCCGCTCGCGGCTGTGAGAGAGCCGAATCATAACCACTAGACCATCGAGGACTTACTTGTGTGCTTCGACGGCCGCGCGCGTATTGGTAGCGCTGAGCCACCCGAGCCGCCAAAAATCGCCCCTCTGTCGACCTTCCCTCTCTTCGTTCTCGGTCTGTTCTCCCGCGTTCTGCTCGTCTCTGTCGTCGCTCGCACACGCAGCTTGTGCTTGCGAGCCTGCGCCGGCTCGTCCCGAGCCGTGCGAAGCTCGGCGTCGCTCGTACATCGACTTCTCGCTCCGCTCAGGCGCACGAGCCGCCTTGCTCTCGCTCTCGAGCACTCTCCTCCCTTGCGGCGAGGCGCAGCGTGTAGATTGCTGTCCTGCCTTGGCGGGCTCGCTCGTGAGCCTGCACGCGACCCGGCGAGCGACGAACGCGCGGCGGCGACGTCTCGCTCGGACCTTCGCAAGCTTATTTAAGCAGCGCTCCCTGCTCGCGCCGTCGCTCTCGCCTCTTTCTTGTTCGCTCTCGACGGTCTGCGTCACATAGGCTGAGGGTGCAGCAGACGAGAGTGCTGCAACGAGGGAGCAGGCGCTGGGGGGACGTGCACGCTCTCTCACTCCCTCTCTCGGACGCGCTCGAGCGAAGTTCCGACACTTCTGTACAGATTGCAAGCTGCGCTACTCGGACCCGAACTCGTGCAAAGTAACCGCTCAATCGACCTCCTCCATCGAGGAAGCGCCGGCCGTCTCGAAAGGGGGAGGAACGTCGCCCGACGGCCTTTCGGTGCACGCACCGCTCCTTCCGGACGGCGCATTCTCCCTCGAGCGACCCTCCTCGCTCGTCGACGTCGTCTGCCGTCGCTGAACGAGCCGCGCTCGGAACGCAGCGCGTGGAACTTGAGTCGCCGCACGAGCCGTGCTGCGAACGCTGCTTCCGACCTATGTGCTCGTCTCCTCCCGCTCGTCGGTCGACTTGTCCCTGGCTGCCGCGAGAAAGACGCCTCTCGCACGTCGAGAAAGAGAGCTGAGCCTCTCGGACGGAGCGTAGGACGTGCGACGAGCCACGTTCAAGACGACGCCGCGAAGCCTTCTCAACGCGCGAGCGGGAGAGATGCTCGTCTCCCACGACAGCGGCGCTTGCGGCAGACTAGAGCGTGCACCCAGCTCGTACTCAGCTGCCGACGCTCGCCAGATGCACGAGGGCGTTACTGCGAGGGCGAGGCGAGCAGCCCTCGGCGCGTGCGCACGAGCCGGTTCCTCTCGCGCTCGTACGCAGTACGGGAAGTGGCTCTTCTGAGCTCTTCCGCTCCCCGAACGCGACATGGCATAGCTGTGGCAGATGTGCGGGACGATTTTGTCGACGCTCGTTGCTCGGACCTCAAGAGCGGGTCGCACTCTTTCCGGCTCTCGCGGCGCTTCTCTCGGCCCCGCGCCAGTCCGCCGCTCGCAGTCTCTCATACGGCGACGTCTCACGCATACGCACCGCTCGACGCTGGGTCGACGCCGCAAAGGGCGCACGCGAGAGGGAGGGAAACGATGTCGCTCGGCAAGGTTCGGCCGCAGCATCCATGCTCTCTCGCTCTCGGGCCGCTCGCGCTCTCGACGGACCAGACGACGCAGGAAAGAAGTAAAGCGCGCAAGGTTGCAGCGAAAGGACTGAAGTAACAACACGTGGGGAGGGGGTGGGAAAATCGAAAGACGACGAGGGGGGCGACGACGAGCAAGAGGGGAAGAGGGGAGGGGCTCCTCTACGCCTTCTGGGCCGAGAACTTGGTGACGGCCTTGGTGCCCTCCGAGATGGCGTGCTTCGAGAGCTCGCCGGGGAGGATGAGGCGGACCGAGGTCTGGATCTCGCGCGACGAGATGGTGCTCTTCTTGTTGTACGACGCGAGCTTGGACGCCTCGGACGCGATGCGCTCGAAGATGTCGTTGACGAACGAGTTGAGGATGAGCATCGCCTTGTTCGAGATACCCGTGTCCGGGTGGACCTGCTTGAGGACCTTGTAGATGTACGACGAGCTGGAGAGGGGAGGCGAGGTCAGGACGACGCGCTCGATTCGGTGCACACGAGAGAGAGTAGAGGGGACGCACTAGGTCTCCTTGCGGGTCTTGCGCTTGCGCTTCTTGTCGTCACCGGTGGCGGGCGCCTTCTTGACGGCCTTCTTGGCCGGGGCCTTGCCAGCCGGGGCCTTGGAGGCGGGGGCCTTGCCAGCGGTGGAGGCAGGCTTCTTCTGCAGACGAGGGAACGAGAGAAGAGTCAGCGCGCTGCTCGAGGCTGCGGTGTGACGGCGGCGCGTCGTCTCGAGAGGTGGGTGGAGGGAGAAGGGGCGAGGCGTACCTCGGCGACGCCAGACTTGGGGGCCATTGTTGCGGGTAGGGGGTGGTGTGGTGGGTGGTGGTGGTGGAGGGGAGAGCGTGTAGAGTAGCTTGAGCTTGAGAGAGAGAGGGAGAGGAGCGAGGCGGGGGAGGAGGAGGACGAGGCCGCGCGCGCCGCAGGAGGCAAACACGGCCGGCCTCACAGCATGCGGACGTCCACATGACCACGTGGCAATGCGTACGTCCGCATCTACCGCGCCTCGCTCTCGCTCTCGCCTTCACAAACACTCCGCTTCCCTCGACCACCTCTCTCTGCGCACAACTCGCCCCTCTCCTCCTCTCCTCACACGCCTTCAAGCACCTCGCTCCACCACACCTACCCAACCCCCACCCCACCCACTCCACCCTCTCTTCATCATGTCTTCTGGCGGCAAGTCTGGCGGCAAGGCTGGCGGCGACGCGTCGTCCAAGGCCCAGTCGCGCTCGGCCAAGGCCGGTCTCCAGTTCCCGGTTGGTCGTATCCACCGTCTGCTCCGCCGCGGCAACTACGCCCAGCGCGTTGGTGCCGGTGCTCCCGGTGCGCCCTCCTCTCTCCCTCCTCCCCCTCCGTCCTCAAGACTGACCCTCTCTCTGCCTCGCCACAGTCTACCTCGCCGCCGTCCTCGAGTACCTCGCGGCCGAGATCCTCGAGCTTGCCGGCAACGCCGCTCGCGACAACAAGAAGTCGCGCATCATCCCGCGTCACCTCCAGCTCGCCATCCGCAACGACGAGGAGCTCAACCGCCTCCTCGGACACGTCGTCATCTCGCAGGGTGCGTCCCCTCTCTCTCTCGAACGCGCTCTCGAGGTCGACAACGAGAAACTAACTCTCGTCCTCCCCCTTCCCTCTCGCGCACAGGCGGTGTCCTCCCCAACATCCACTCGGAGCTCCTGCCCTCCAAGACCGCCGTCACCAAGGGTGGCAAGGCGAGCCAGGACTTGTAAAGTCGCTGCTCGAGCGTCGGAGGTGGCGGTGGTTGTGCGCGGTGTTCGATTTTCCGTCCCTTGTTGTGCCCCTTTCTACCCCAGGCTGCAATGCGCCCTTTCTTCCACTTTTATAGCGAGCGTCTGTCTCCTTTTCGAGAGCCTGCCGAGGCGCAATCGCGACGAGCTCGTCCGAGAGCCAGAATAAGGAAGGAGAGTGAGGCATGAGAGAGCGCGCACGGCCTCCTGCAACTGCTCCCTCGTTGCGCACTCTCGCTGTCGCGCTCTGAGGCTACGTTATAAACAGGTCCTGGATAGCTAACAAGAGAGGCGAGAGCGACGGCGCGAGCAGGGAGCGCTGCTTAAATAAGCTTGCGAAGGTCCGAGCGAGACGTCGCCGCCGCGCGTTCGTCGCTCGCCGGGTCGCGTGCAGGCTCACGAGCGAGCCCGCCAAGGCAGGACAGCAATCTACACGCTGCGCCTCGCCGCAAGGGAGGAGAGTGCTCGAGAGCGAGAGCAAGGCGGCTCGTGCGCCTGAGCGGAGCGAGAAGTCGATGTACGAGCGACGCCGAGCTTCGCACGGCTCGGGACGAGCCGGCGCAGGCTCGCAAGCACAAGCTGCGTGTGCGAGCGACGGCAGAGACGATGAGCACGCGGGAGAACAGAGCGAGAGGAAGAGAGGGAAGGTCGAGAGAGGGTTGTTTTTTGGCGGCCCGGGCGGCTCAGCGCTACGGGTACGCACGCCGCCGTCAGATCACACCAGCAAGTCCTCGATGGTCTAGTGGTTATGATTCGGCTCTCTCACAGCCGCGAGCGGGGTTCGATTCCCCGTCGGGGAAACCATCAAACAGCGCTTCGGCGCTTCTATCTTTTGCTCCTCGTGCAGCTCCTGGTCACCACGGCGGTGTACTCTCCTTTTGGCTCGTCGACGAGAGACGCACCGCAGCCGAGCGTGGGAGAGCTTTCGAGGTCGCTCGGTCGACCTTCCCAACCCGAGCGCGTTTGGACCTCGTCTGCTCGGCGGGCGACGGCAGCGCTCTCGCGCTAGGGGCAAGACTCGTCTCGTTGCTTCCAGCTTTCTGTCGAGGCCAGACGCAGCCTCACGCTGCTCTCGAGCGACGCGCGACGACGGGAGGAGGACGAAGTGCGGCTCGCTCTCGAGCCATTCTCGGGATCGGGGCCTGCCTCTCGGCGCTTTTGGCCCTCGTCGCAGTCGAGGAGCTATCGAGAGAGAGCTCGCGAGGCAATGACCCAGCAGCGACAGCGTCTCTCGGCTCGCTGAACATCTCTCGAGCTTGAGGCGCGAGGGAACTGTGCCGCAAGGCTCAGTGTTGCAGGTTGGGGACGTCCTTGCCGGGTGCCCACTCGCGGCAGACCGAGTCGATGTTGTCGAGGTACTTGAGCTCGATGACGAGGTCGCGGGCGCGCTCGAGGTCGGGGGACGACGAGGCAAAGACGGTCGAGAGCTCGTCGACGGTCTCCTTGCGCTTGTCTGCGAGGGCAGGTGAGATGTGAGACCCGCGTTCGGCAGGGACAGGACAGGGTAGGGTGCGGGGGGAGAGAGGGACGCACCCTTGTTGCGCTGACGGATCTGGGCCACCTCGTCCTCGCTCGTCGCCTCCTCGAGCGCCTCGCGCACCTCCATGATGGCCATGAGCAGCTCTGGGTCGGTGACGGGGTCGGCCTCGCCGATCGTCACGTCGTGCAAGGAGAGCTGCGGGCGCGAGAAGGGGGGCGCGCAAGCGGTCAGTGCGACCGACACTCGAGGGACCGAGAGGGGAACGGGGGGAAATGGAGGACGCACGAGGTATTCGCCGCGCTCGCGGTCGTTCAAGAGGACCTTGTAGGCGTCGTTGACCTTGCCGCTCCAGGCTTTTGCCCAGTCCTCGACGTCGCCCTTGCCGGAGAACATGTCGGGGTGGACTTTTTGCTGGAGCTGGAGGAACGAGCGCTTGAGGGTGGCGGGGTCGAGGGCGAAAGTGGGCTCGAGGCCAAAGAGGGCGAAGTAGGTGGTGGCATGGGGCGGCGGCGGGAGGAGGGACGAGCACGAGGGGCAGAGCGGGGAGAGGGTGGGAGGAGTCGGGGTTTGGCAGGATGGGCAGGATGCGCCGGGGGTGTAGATGGACTGCGAGGTGGCAGTTGCGCGGGTCGTGGCCGTGCTCGACAGCAGGCGGTGCGGTGCCGATGGTCGAGGTGGTGCTCGAGGTGATGAGGGGAGCGAGGCGGGGCGGAGCAAGGCGAGGGCGGTGCGGGGAGTGGCCGCTCGAGGTGGAGGGTGGCCGAGTGCTGTCCTGAGTGCTGCTGGGACCTTCATCGTGGCGGCCTGGTGGTGCGATGGCGGGAGCGAGTGACTTCATCAGGTGCGAGTCGCCGCTCGTCGTCTCTCTCCCTCTCACAACCACCCTAACCTCCAACAGCACCATGCTCCACACCTTCGCTGCACGCACCATCTCGACCGCAGCCCGACGCACCGCCGCCGCACCCCGCACCCTCGCCGCACCCCTCGTCCACTTCTCGTCGACCGCCGCACCTCCCGACTCGGACAAGACCCACCCGGCCCTCGTAAAGGACCCGCCCGTCGCCAACCCTTCCGCCGACACCGACCCTTGGACCATCAAGGTCCCGCCCATGCCCGAGCCCCCTCAGCTCGACCCCTCGATCCGCACCATGGACGACCTCATCGCCTCGCCCCACCCAGAGGGGCGCGACAACGAGCCCACAGAGACCCTCCGCAAGCGTCTCGTGTACGAGTCGCGCAAGCGCGGCATCCTCGAAATGGACCTCATCCTCAGCACTTTCGCAAACGACCGCCTCGCCGTCATGAACGATCGCGAGCTGCGCGAATACGACCGCGTGCGTCCCTCGTCCTCTCTCTCTCTCTACAGCAACCCCACCTGACACGCTCGAGTGCCCCTATGCAGTTCCTCACCCTCCCCGACTGGACCATCTTCTACTACGTGACGGGCAAGGCCGAGGCGCCCGAACCCTGGCGCTCGTCCGAGGTCCTCGGCGAGCTCCTCCACCACTCGGCCAACAAGGGCAAGAACGTGCGCCGCATGCCCGACCTCGACGTCAAGTAGACGAGCGCGCGAGGACGAGTCGTACACGTGGCGCAAAAGAACGCTTCAGTCGTGCCCGGGCCGCGTTTCCCCTCTTGAGAGTCGCCCTCTCGCAAGCGCCTCTCGTTTTCTTCCCTTCTCGTCCCGATAGTTCCCTCTATACCGTCACTGCGAGAGTTGAGAGCTGCGCATAGGACAGGCGGCCGCTCGAGGGCTGAGAGCAAGCGTGCGCTCGCAAAGAAGAGGCGCCTGCGGGCGCCCAAGCGTCGTCGTCAGGGGTGTCGCCGCCGAGAAGGTCGCTGCGAGAGACCCCTTCGAGACGAGGCTTGCCCCGAGCGCGAGGGCGCTGCCGTCGCCCGACGAGCAGACGAGGTCCGAGCACGCTCGACTTGGGAAGGTCGACCGAGCGACCTCGAAAGCTCTCCCACGCTCGGCTGCGGTGCGTCTCTCGTCGACGAGCCAAAAGGAGAGTACACCGCCGTGGTGACCAGGAGCTGCACGAGGAGCAAAAGATAGAAGCGCCGAAGCGCTGTTTGATGGTTTCCCCGACGGGGAATCGAACCCCGCTCGCGGCTGTGAGAGAGCCGAATCATAACCACTAGACCATCGAGGACTTGCTGGTGTGATCTGACGGCGGCGTGCGTACCCGTAGCGCTGAGCCGCCCGGGCCGCCAAAAAACAACCCTCTCTCGACCTTCCCTCTCTTCCTCTCGCTCTGTTCTCCCGCGTGCTCATCGTCTCTGCCGTCGCTCACACACGCAGCTTGTGCTTGCGAGTCTGCGCCGGCTCGTCCCGAGCCGCCAGAAGCTCGGCGTCGCTCGTACATCGACTTCTCGCTCTGCAAGCGCACGAGCCGCTTGCCCTTGCTCTCGTGCACTCTCCTTCCTTTGCGGCGAGGCGCAGCGTGTAGCTTCGTTGTCCTGCCTCGGCGGGCTCGTCGTGAGCCTGCACATTCGACCCGGCGAGCGAGGAAGGGGCGGCGGTTGAGAGTCTCGCTCGGACCTCCGCAAGCAGCGCTCCCTGCTCGCGCCGTCGCTCTCCCTCTCTGTCCCTCTTGTTCGCTTTCGAGGCACATGTGACGGAGCCTCAGAGCACGATAGCGAGCGCGTGCAACGACGAACAGGCGCTGGGGGGACGTGCACGCTCTCTCACTCCCTCTCTCGGACGCGCTCGAGCGAAGTTCCGACACTTCTGTACAGATTGCAAGCTCCGCTACTCGGACCCGACCTCGTGCAAAGACCGATCAATCGACCTCCTCCATCGACGAAGCGCCGGCCGTCTCGAGAGGAGGAGGAACGTCGCCCGACTCGTCGGCCGCAGCCGGCTCCGCCACCTCGTCGGCGTCGATTGAGAGACCGAGCGCGATCATCGAGTGAATGCGCTGCGCACTGTGGGCGTCGAAGCAGAGAGACGGTCAGTGACTTGCCCCTGGACTGAGAAGGTAAGAGAGAGTGAGGACGCACAAGTCGACCGGGGCGTCGAGCGAGAAGCCCGACGTGAGGAGGGCAGTCTCGTAGAGGAGGACGACGAGGTCGCGAACGGCCTTGTCGGCCGCGTCGGCCTGGACCTTGGTCTTGAGCTCGCGGATGATGGCGTTGTTCGGGTTGATCTCGAGCGTCTTCTTGCTCATCATGTCTGCGAGCGGGGGTTGAGTCGGTCAGGACGAGACATGACGATGGGAGAAAGAGAGAGAGGACGCACAGGACGACATGGACGAGTCACGCAGGGCCTGCGCCTTCATGATGCGCTCCATGTTTGCGGACCAGCCGAACTGACCAGTGACGAGGACGCAGGGCGAGTCGGCGATGCGGTTCGAGATGGCGACCTTCTCGACGCGGTCGCCGAGGATCTCCTTCATGGTGCCCGTCAGGTCCTCGAACGCCTTGGTGTCGTCCTCGCGCGTCTGCTTCTCCTCGTCCGTCTCCTCGAGCTCGAGGCCGTCCTTCGAGACGCAGACGAGCTTCTTGTCGTCAAACTCCTTGAGCTGCGTCGTCGCGTACTCGTCGATCGGGTCGACCATGAGGAGGACCTCAAAGCCCTTCTTCTTGAAGATCTCGAGGAACGGCGAGTCACGCGTCGACGCGAGCGACTCGCCCGTGAGGTAGTAGATGTTCTTCTGGTGCTCCGGCATGCGCGTGATGTAGTCTGCGAGCGACGAGAAAGGCGAGTCAGTCAGGGACAGTCGCCGAGAGAAGAGGAGAGGGGGCAGTGAGAGGGGACGCACCCTTGAGCGAGGTCTGCTCATCTCCCGACTTGGTCGAGTGGAAGCGGAGGAACTCGGCGAGCTTGGTGCGGTTCTGCGAGTCCTCGTGGATGCCGAGCTTGAGGTTCTTGCCGAACGCCTCGTAGAACTTGGCAAAGTTGTCCTTGTCCTCGGCAATGTCCGAGATCATCTCGAGCGCCTTCTTGACGAGGTTCTTGCGGATGACCTTGAGGATCTTGTTCTGCTGGAGCGTCTCGCGCGAGATGTTGAGCGGGAGGTCCTCCGAGTCGACGATGCCCTTGATGAAGTTGAGGTACTCGGGGATGAGGTCCTCGCAGTCGTCCATGATGAAGACGCGGCGAACGTAGAGCTTGATGTTGTTGCGCTTCTTCTTCGACTCGAACAGGTCGAACGGCGCACTGCGAGGCGAGGAGAGCTCGAGGTCAGCGAGGTCCAGGAGAGAGGGGGCGACGACGACGACGACAGAGAGACAGGGACGCACCGCTTGGGGATAAAGAGGATGGCCTTGAACTCGAGCTGACCCTCGACGGAGAAGTGCTTGACGGCGAGGTGGTCCTCCCAGTCGTTGGTGAGCGACTTGTAGAAGGCGCCGTACTCCTCGGCCGAGATGTCCTGCGGGTTGCGGGTCCACAGGGGCTTGGTCTTGTTGAGCTCGACCTGCTCGGTGACGTTCTCCTTGACGGTCTGTACAGCGGCGGGAAAGAGTCAGGAACAGGCTCGGAGAGGGAAAAGGGGGCGGGGCACGAGCGAGAGTGGGGCGCACCTTCTTCTTCTTGTCCTTCTTGTTCTCCTCGTCCTCGACCTCCTCGATCTTGGCCTTGTCGCCGTCCTCAACCGACTCGTCCTCGTCCTCGACCTCCTTCTCGACCTCCTTGGTCGTGACGAGCTGGATCGGGTACGAGATGAACTCGGAGTGCTTCTTGACGATGTCCTTGATGCGCTTCTCCTCGAGGTAGTCGAGCTGGTCCTCCTTCATGTGGAGGATCATCTGCGTGCCGCGGCCGAGCGACGGGTTGACCGTGTCGGGCGTGATGGTGAACGTGCCGCCGGCCGACGACTCCCAGATGTACTGCTCGTCGTCGTTGTGCTTGGTGATGACGGTCACCTTGTCGGCGACGAGGTAGGCGCTGTAGAAGCCGACGCCGAACTGGCCAATCATCGAGATGTCGGCGCCGGACGAGAGGGCCTCCATAAACGCCTTGGTGCCCGACTTGGCGATGGTGCCGAGGTTGTTGACGAGGTCGGCCTTGGTCATGCCGATACCCGAGTCGCGGATCGTGAGCGTCTTGGACGCCTTGTCGGGCGTGATGCGCACGAAGAGCTCCTTCTCGGTGTCGAGCTGGGTCGGGTCGGTGAGGGCGGCATAGCGGATCTTGTCGAGCGCGTCCGACGAGTTCGAGATGAGCTCGCGAAGGAAGATCTCCTTGTTCGAGTAGAAGGTGTCTGCGCGGGAGGGAGGGATGGGTGGGTCAGTGGCTGGAGCGATGAGGCGAGGGAGGTCGACGAGGGCTCGCTCCTGGCGGCCGGCGCGCGAGAGGAGAGGACGGGGACGCACTGATGATGAGGTCGAGGAGCTGGGTGATCTCAGCCTGTTGCGCGCGACAGAGGAAAGGGAGTGGGCGAGGGACGAGGTCAGTCGGGGGAGGTTCGCTGAGGCGGTGGGTGCACACACGGCGGCCGTGCAGTGCGGCGAGTGGTGGACTGGCGGCGCACCTGGAAGCCAAAAGTCTCGGCCATCTGTGCGAAGCAAAGGTCGGTGTCAGTGGCGAGGTGCGAGAGGACGACGAGGTGGGTGGAGGGGGCGACGACGAGGGAGCTCGTGCGCGCGGCGAGCGATCGCGGTGGGGCCAGGGGACGGGCGCGAGACTCACTGTGTGCTGTCCTTGATGATCTTTTGGTGGGTGTGCGGGTGCAAGCGAGTGCGAGGGAGGAGGGAGAGGGGACAAAAGTGCGCGAAGCCGCTCGCCGACCGCAGCCAGAAGCTTGTGGAACGAAGCGACTCGTCTCGCCCACTTCGGTCACCCGCGAGCGTCTTACCGCCAGGTCTGGAACCTCGCTACCGTCGTTCGCTCGGAATGCGGTCGAACCGGTCCGCGCCCGTTTGCGCGACACCAGCTCTCGCGCTTCCTCCTCGACGTCAGCCGCAGGTTGCGAAGGTCGAACATTACTCTCTTCAACGCTCGCTCTGTCACTCGCTCGACGCAGTCAAGCTCCCGGAAAGCTCTTGCAGAGCGCAAAGACGACGCCCAGGCGACCACAGGCCTCCTCGTCCGCCGGCTGTCTCTCGCTCGCTCTCTCGTGCGCTCGGCTGCTGGGACAACGACAAGCTGCGTTGCGAACATGCGCACCCTCGAGATAAAGACGAAACCGCGATACAAAGGCCTGGCGCGAGGCGAACGAGAACCCGGGCCCCGAGCGGGCGGTCACGAACCAACGACGGCGAGGAGGACGACGACCGACCCGAGCGCGAGCGCGACGAGTACGGGGCTCGCTCGGCCGCCAGCGAGGGAGGCGGACGACACCTTGGACTGGACGGCGAGCGCCGGCGCAAAGTCGGGCCCGCAGGTGAGCGCGGCGGCGGATCGACCCGACGAGTAGGTGCGCGAGATGGCGAGGGTCGAGTTGGTCGCGTAGCGCCTGCAGGAACGCCGACACTGTGTCAGTCAGGGTTCGAAGAGCGCAGACGAGAGAGAAGGAGGGACGTACGAGAAGATGCCGAGGAGGTTTTGCGTGCAGAAGTCGCAGGTCGGGGTCGTGCCGGACGGGAGGGACGTTCCCTCGGCCTGCAGGGACAGGGAGCGGATCAGTAAATCGCTCGAAGAGGACGAAAGAGTGAGAGAAAAGAGAGTGCTCACGAGATAGTAGTAGTACAGGTCGGACGGGTCCTTCTTGGCGGACGCCTCGGCGAAGCAGAAGCGCGACGTCTCGTTGCTCCGCGCACAACCGGCCTCGCGCATGAGCGGGTAGCTCTGGAAGCCCTGCAACGCCCTGCGTGACACGAGGGGAGGTTGCCGCCCGTCAGGACCGTCGCCTGGGGCCCGAGGAGGAAGAGAAAGTCGGAGCTCACTCGGTCGCGAGTGGGTTGCCCAACTCGAGGTCAGGCCCGCACGTGTTCTTGAGCTTGATCGTGCGGGCGAGGTTCGACATGGTCGAGGCGCAGTCGGCTTCGGGCGCCGAGCACGAGGCGTTGAGGACGTAGGGGAGCAGGCCGAGGGGCGAGCGCTGGGCCTTGAAGAAGGCGGACGAGGTCGTCAAGAGGAGGGAGAACGGGGCGCAGGATTGGCTGTAGGGTCAAGAGTAGTCAGGACGAGTGCGACGGACGGGACGAGGCCGAGTTTGGGAACGAGTCGAGAAGCTCACAAGGTCGGGTCGGCGAGGAAAGTCGCAAAGAACGACGGGCACGCCGTCGACGAAAAGTTGGTGCCGAGGGTCGAGCTGCAGGAGGAGAGGCGTCAGGCGGCGGCAGAAGAGAGGAAAGAGCGAAAGACGCACTCGAATGCTTGCGGGAGCGTGTACCCGTCCGGGACGGCCGTGCTGGACGAGATGCCCGACGACGCCGTCGACGTCGGCGTCGTAGACATGGCGGAGCCGGCGTCGCTGCCCACTGGTGACGCCGAGGCGGCGAGCGACGTGCCGGCCGCCGAGCCGCCCTCGTTCGACAGCGACGAGAGGTCGGCCGCCACGGTCGCCGCCGCCGTGTCCTGCCGCTCTGCGGCTGTCGCGCTCGCGACAATCCTCGTCGTCGCGTCTTGTGCGCTCGCCGTGGTGGGCCGCCGGGTCGGGGTGGTCGCGGCCGAGGTGTCGACCGCGGCTTGCGGTGCGCGCGCGAGCAGGTGCGCTCCTGGTTCGGGTCGGCCTCGGCGCAGTTCTGGGCCGACTGGTTCGAGTGCTTGTGCGAGGATGGCGGTGGGCACGGCGGGAGAAGTCGAGGCGGCCTGAGCTAATTGAGGGGCGGACAAGGCGACGAGGAGGAGGGCGAAGAGGCCAGGACAGGATGATCGAGAGGGTCGGGGCGGGCTGTGGCGGCCCAATGGTCGGCTGGAGCTGGTGCTGGCGGCCATCGAGGTCGAGGTGAGCGCGCGAGATGAGCGGGCGGACGGCCGGAGGAGGGGGCGGAGGAGGGGCGAGGGCGGTCTGCGCGTGCGGTCCAAGGGCGGGGTCGGGTGGCCAGCCCCTGGCCGTGGGGCTGACCGACTGGATAAGGTTCAGCCACCGAGGGTGCTCAGACGCCTCCTAACGCTCCCTCAAGAAGACATAGGATGCGTCGGCGCTCAGCTCCCTCGACTGTGCACGGTCTCGTCTGGTTCAGGCTACGCCACCTCCCCCCCCCACCCCCACCTTGCTGACTGACTCGCCAGTCCTTCTTTCCC